GTGCCAAGCCAGTCGCGAGCTCTGGAGAGGATTTCATCATCAGTGAGTTCCACGGACTGAGAAAACAGGACTTACATGATAATAGCACGTTGCGCTTACTTTTTGTTGTCGTCAAGAGGGAAGAGCGGGAGATAGTTGATGGACGGGAAGGGCATTGAGCTCGTTGACATGTTCGTTGGTAAGAACGATTGGCGACAGGCTCGTTGTCGACTGAACGACTTCCAACAGTCAGTTGGCGTGCTTATGGACAGGTAAGCGGACTTGTTCAGCGGGGACAAATATGAGCTTACCTGATCATGTAGCGCTCTGTAATTCGGGATGGGCTCGGCAGCTTCCGACCAGCGGTCGTCTCCCAAGCTGAAAAGCGTGCCGAGCTCCAGAGTTTTGGAGGCTGACTCGGCACTGCTCATAGCGCAACGTGTCGCGGGCCGTTATTCGGAAACCAAACTAGAGTTGGCAAATAGTCGGCCGCCTGATGATTGACTTGTAGACCAGTTTGTCGCTGGCCCAGTCGTGGTCCGAAACGAGGGGGACGACGAGTTTGCCGCTGACCCCCCAGACAAGGGGGCCGGCCGGCGTAGTCATGCGATTCGCAAGTGGTCGAGCAGCAGCATGTCGTCCCAGCCAGTAGTCAGTAGCCGTGAGTTGCCGGAGTCAAAAGTAAGCCGCCGGCATAAGATTTGAGGGAGTGGTGGTTGGCGCTGCCATTTGGGCCGGAGAGGGTGCGGTCAGCCGGGCCAGGTCGCCGCTGAACGCTGGGCGTGGCTGGGAAGAAGCAGCAAATGGGGCCAACTGGGCCGGACTCACCGCTTGCCAGATTCCCCGCCGCCATTTTCTCTCCCATCTCCCCGCAGCTTCCCATTCTCCTCCATCTCCACCACTAGCGGACGTTTGAGGCGTGCGCAAGCCTGTTGTGGTCAAAGAGGCTGGCTGCACGAGCGCAGATGATCGGGATGAGGGGCAAGAAGAAGCGACGCGAGTCACGAGCTATGTGACGGCACGCGCAAACTTGAAGAAGGTGAGCGATTCATTTCACTTCTACCAAATACAACATGTACTGATGTCTATGAACAAGGCGGATTTGCGGACTCGTCGTCCAATCCATTTCCTCCATCATCCTAGCTGGCGAATAAAATTGAAAGTAAGTTGTCGTTGACTTGGATTCAATCTTGCTTACCGCGTTGTCAGATAAATACAACGTGCTTGTGCGTTGTCTGCGCTGGCCTCGTTTCGTCCCACACCAAGCCCGCAAGCAACACCGAATGCTAGTAAGCATCTTATTCTCCAATTCATCCTGGTTTACCTTGTCTTCACGTCCAGGTCGGCTGCGGCGTTCCCGCATTCTGTTCCGAGTCCAGAGTTGACCGGCACGTTGGTCAGTATTCGCAGCATCATATCCACTTACTGACTTCATTTGCAGATCTAACATAGCTCAGCTCAAGCCCGCAAGCGAGAGTTGTTGCTCACCTCATACTTGGTTGTGCAAACAAATAAGCGCAAACGAGCTCGCAAGATCGCTCATCACCAATAGCCGCCATCGAAAGGCTTTTGAACAAATGACTAAGTCTGTCAACTCGTTGTTGCTGTTCGTGCTCATTGTTGTTGCTCAACCAGGCGAGCGTGAACGATCCCAAAGGCAAGACTCCTTTAAGGTCTCTAAAACAAATCAGTAAGTGTCTCAACTCGTTGCTGGTGTTCGCGCACTCACGGTTGCCGCTCAACCAGGCGCGCGAATGCGAATGCAAACAATATAAAAACAGTCAGTTAATATTCTTCAACTAAACGACACCAAACTGACCTGTATCCAGTCATTTCTCCACTGATTCCATTCTCCTCCCCATCTCCGCCGCTAGCTGACGTTTGAGGCGGGCAGAAGTTTGTCGCGGTCAAAGAGGCTGAGACTTCTGAAACAAATTAGTGGGTAAGTCAACGTTTTGTTGGTGGTCGCGCTCACTTTCGTTGCTCAACCAGGCAAGCACGAATCGCGAACTGAAGGCCGGTAAGTTGTTTCTGAAACAAATCAGCAGATTCGCACTCACCTTTGCAGCTCAACCAGTCTCCCTTCTTCATCACCAACCTCCACGCTTCATATCGTCGTGTTGCCAGACTAAGATGATTTGTATTTCCAGGCTGCCGCGGCCTGAGATTGACTCGTTGACGGCGTTGGAGTTGTGAGTCATCGTGTTCTTGTACTAGTAGGTGTTCTTGCCGTCCTGGGGCTGTTTTACAGCGGCTGACCTTGTTCTGCAGCGATATTTGGCGCAGCGGACGGAGAGCGGGAGAGAAAGTCGCGGGTTTGGCCACTTGCGTTATCGCCGTTGTAAAAGCACGGGCAACGGCAAGAGGCGGGCAGCGCGACGAGTTGGGCTCCAGGTTGTCTAGCTAGATGTTGAGGACGGTCGTTCATGACGAGAAGGAGATGGTGGGCAGAAGGCCGCTGTCAACGGCACGTGTCGTGGGAGGCTGTGCGCGCCTTCTAGTCGTCCTGCTCTGCTGCTGTCCGGCGACGTTCACCGTCGTCTTCTTTCTGTGCGGCCAGGAGATGCCCTTTGACAGGTGTAGCGCTCCGAGGAGCCAAACGCTGCGCTCGTCCGGCGCGGGCACAGTGGGCAGCTGGGTCGAGGTCGGCTGGCTCCGGGCGCACCCGCTCCCCGGGCGGCCCCGCAGCGCTCTTCTTCCAGGCCGCGACGTTCACCGTCGTCTTCCTGCTCTCCGTCCCCGGGTGAGTAGCAGTGCTATCTTATCTCCGGTAAACTAACTACGTCCCAGTCTGATCGCCGGGGCCACCCGCCGCCGGTCGCTCGCCGGGCTCTCCTCCCGGCTGCTCTTCCTCGCGCTGCCCCTGCCCTTACTCGCCCTCGCCGGGGACGCTCCTCAGCACGCTCCGGCCCGGGGCCGGCTACCCCGCCAATCTACACGTGTCTGGGGCAGACAAACAGCCGACTCATCGGGCAGTTCTGCACCGCCCATACCCGTGGCTATGGCCTCCACGGCGCACTGGCCATCATACCCGTGGCGGCTGCTGGCGGGGTGGTGCTGTTACAGATGTATGCGAGGATCACGGCGGGGAGCTATGCCGCGGAGCTTGATGTGGAGGACTTGCTGGTGCGGTTCAGCAGCTATGGCTATGACGTCGACAAGGAGAAGGACTCGGACCGTGACGCCGAGGCACAGCTCCCACAGCTCGCCCGGACATAAAAAACAAGGCACAACAAAAACGGACACTGTAGCATTATGGATAGAACACAGGCCTGTATAACTAGAAATGAAGAAGCAGATCGCATGCAAGTCAATACTGGCTGCTGGCTCTTCACCCCAGCCTTCCCAACGCCGCCGCCAACGCCCCCCGCCTCCACCGGCCTGCCCAATGCTTTCTCTTGTTCCTCCGGGATAAACGGCCGCAGACACTCCCGCACATACTCCTCCGGCACGCCGGCCCGCACCGCGTCGCAGATCCCGCTGTTGATCCGGTGTACGTACTCGGGCTTCGGCGGGCCCTCGCGCGTGCGCTGCACATCGACATACACGAGCGCGTCGAGGGTGGTGCTGTGTGACCCGTCGGGGCCGACGAGCGTGACGGGGTGCGTCTGCTTTACGTACGACCGCGGGACGCCCTCGGAGCGGTCGAGCGCGGCCTCGTCCGCGGCGGTGAGCGTGTAGAGCAGCGCGTACACGACGGAGTCCGGGGAGGGCACGATCGTGGCGTACCCCCGGGTGTTGATTATCCACCGCCTGTAGAGTATTAGTATTAGATAATAAAATGGGTGGGGGCTGCTTATACCAGTCCCGCAGAAAGGCGACTCCGAGGAGGGTGTTGCCCGGGCAGCGCGTGTCCATTTGGTGGATCCAGAGGTTGCTGCCGTAGCCGAAATAGCGTGTTGGCGGTGGGGCGGGAGGGTGGGCCATGGGAGTCAGGAGCAAGCGATTAATCTGGCTTGATGCTCGGGCCGAGCGTGGGTGTTGACGGGTTTAGCGGTTCCCGCGGCGAATGTTCCTTCGCCAGTCATATGAGAGCGATCATGGGCATTGCGCGTCCTGTGGGATGGGTCTATCCTGTAGGCTAGCAGCCCGTCCTGCAGGATAGATATCCTCATCTTGTAGGATACATGTATGTCCTTGTTGTGGTCCTAGGATAAATATCACAGCATCCCACAGAATGTCCAAACCTAAAGCCTGAGGATATTCAAGCACACATTCTGGACATGACACAGCGTTTGTTGCCGTGACAGACCGCGAATCGCCTCTTCTACCAACCACCACGACCACCAGCGCTTTCCCGATTCTGCCTGTCTGCCGCCGAACCCCGTTCATATCTTCTATCACTCCAAACCATCACCATCTTCAAGCACCACAGCCGTACTCTGCAAATCAACGGTCTCCAGGTCCAGGTTGTGAATAGACCGGGAACTGCGTGGAAAGAGAGGGCTCTCGGTGCGTCCTCTGTTCCTTTTTGTTGTGAGAGAGCGCTCATTCGACAGTCAGCACATACCACCCCCGCTTCTGCCTCCCGACCTCCCTTTGACCCTTCGACAAGCTTGCCTACGAGGTGATTTACCTGGGAATCAGTCCCAGTCGAGCAAGTGAGGCAGAGGTGTCCAACAGCGATGCCGCAAGTAGCGCGAGCAGAGTCGGAGTATACCATATCCTACAGGACACGCCCACTATGTATTGGGATCGTTCTGGTGAAGTCATATACGGTTTTACAATCATTAACTAGCACGTTCATCAGCTATCCTTATGCATCGCATTGGCAAACCAAACACGCACTCCATTATAACCACCCAACACACTGTACCGGTATTAAAGCCAAGAATAGCGCGATTCAATGCTGCTCAAAGCGCGGGAGCAGGCGTGGGCTCGTGTAGAAATCTCCAGCTGGGGCTGCAGCTCGTTGTCGTCGTCATTCCGTTGTTGTGGTGTCGGATAAGCTGTAGCCATCAGTCTCCGGGACACAAACGCACTCCCAGATGACTTGACTTTGGCCCCACTCTAGTATTTGCCTAGGTCGAAGCACATGGCGGGGTGCCGGGAGTAAGAGCAGGCGTGGGCAGCAACTCTGTCTCGAGCAGTCCTAGTTCGAGTTGTGGCAGCGGGTCGTCGTCATGTGGCGCGGGCATTACGACCACCACTCCCACACGCACCCTTGTCGGGGCTGACCCGCCCGCGCTGTCCTTGCTGTCCGCCGCCGTGTAACGCGTCACACTCGTCGCCAACGGCTACCACCCCCATCAGCTATCGCCTCAGACCAAACCACAACCAACTCACCATAACCCGCTCCCACCCACCCGCTCCCTCTCCCGCTGATGACAAATACGCGTCAACCAGCACCGGCCTGGGCCCCTGGTCCTCGTCGTCGTCCTGTCCGCGCACGCCCACGCGGATCCCGCCGGCCCGCATCACCGCGCGCTCCCTAGCCTCCTGCGCGTTCGCGCGTGACCGGAAGTAGAACGCGAGTGTCACGGCCCCGACGAGGAACAGCCCGGCCGGGATCGCGTATTCTGGCATCCCGGTTAGTCAGCACGAGAAGGGAGAGAAAGACACACGGTAGAGCGCAGAGGAGGGCGAGATGTTGTTGCTCGAGGACATGTTGGGAGAAGAGAAGAAGCCACAGACGGCGGCTAGAAATATCATGCGATACATTCTAAAAAAAGCATCCGATTTCTGTCTCCGTCGACGTCTCCACTGGCGTCATACCCGACGACGACGCAAGTGGTACTTACTGCTGCGCAGAGTGCGAGAACAAATTTCGCGGTCACGCCATCCTTATGTCAGCGCAATCTCCTTCCCTCCGACTCGATGGCCCGCCGGCGCAAGACACGGTATGCCCCGTATCGGATACCGGCCCGTGCTCGTGCCCGTGCCCGTGCCCGCCGCTCACTAGCTCCCCGCCACCCACATTGACATCCTCGCGTGGAAGATCGACCGCCGGAAGCTGTGCAGCGCGTCGAAGCTGTACCGGCAAGGAAGACATTGTCGTGCGTTCTTCTCCTTCACTTTTTGATGACGCAGCGTGAGCCGGGTGTGGGTGGCCAAGTGCATCTATCAGGACGACGACTACGACACGTTCTACTTCCTCGCTGGTACTAACCACCTCAAGTACGATATTGCACTGAAACCGGGCTGTCGCGATGCAAAGGCGGCGTCTCTGGATGTATGGGACCCGTTTGACAAGACAACCGACCCCGGTGGCCCGGTGTGGTACCGCATGGGCGCGTACGACAACGAGGAGGAGGAAGTCATCGTGCCGGAATTAGCAAGCAGTAGTTGTTAGAGCCAAGTAGTTTCTTTCAGTCGCGGTAACAATACAAGCACATCGCCTACTCCAGCATACGCAGCCATTGCATCACGTCGTCCTAAACCACATGAGAAAATCACTCAAGACTGCGTCGAATCCTTACAAACATGTTCATACCCGCCGCGTGCTGTTGCTGTTGTTGTTCTGCGGTAAGAATGGGAATCTGGGGGAAAAGTCAGAAAGCATTAGACCTTGCACAAGCTCCTCACATTGTAGTTAGGCTGACTGAGATTAGGAAATGCGAAGAAAGGGTTGAAAAGAGAGAGCATCTGTTGCTGGAAGAGAGCATTGTTCAGTGTTTGGAGTTGGAGCTGATTCAATTGCTGGTAGGGGTTGAGCTGCATTGCGTTGAGTTGCTGGTAGGGATGGTTCTGGGCTGGCGGAAGTGGCTCCTGCGAGTTGAAGTTGATAGCAGGCGGTACAGGGACTTGAAACTGGAGCTGGGGTTGTTGTCGAGCGTCGTTGGCGTCGAATTGAGCTGTGAGTTCAGGCGAAAGTAGCGTCGGGCTGGAGCTAAGCTCAGTAAGAGGGCTTGCGTAACGAATGTGTTTGCGTTTGCGCTTGACTGGCGATCCATCGTAATCGTCATCTTCTCTGGCTTTGCGTTTCGCCTTTGCCTTCGTCTTCAAACGCGTCGAGATATTGTCTTCTACTTGCTGTTCGTGCTGCTCGAGCTCTCTCCCACGCTGCTTCCGCCTGCCCCACCAGTTCCGCACCCACGTTTTCGTCCTGCCATCTGGTCAAAACCAACACGGACAAGGATGACTACGCACAGCTTCGTCTCGCGTACTAATCGCGTCAAAATATCGGGCGTGAGCTTCATCTGCGGCTTCGCGGCCTCTAGCGCCGCTGCTCCTCATTCGAGAAAACCGCTGCAGGACGCGTCAGCTGCGTTTCTCGTCGCGGTAACAGGCAAACAAACGGGTATCGACAGCTCTTCGCGGGATCAGCTATGTAAACGCATTGCAAACGCGAGCACTTGCCACTGTCCGGCATGGCGATGGAAGAGGAGAGCAAAAGTGTCACGCACACGTGAGTATGTCACACATCTGAGAAATGCATCGGAGGCAGGACGTGGTCGCTGCCACAACCGCGTCTTAATCTTGCTCGACAGTATTCTATCATGTTGTCAATATTAAACTTGGTTGAGCTGTGGGTATTGCAGTTGCTTGAAGGATTCTGGTCAATTTCAAGTTTTGTTTTAGCATGCAAGGACTCGCTGGATAAGGCTTCTGTACCTGCTTCAAGTATATTGAAGACCGATGCCTCCTTACTGCTATCCCTTATGTAGTTTGTAACTTGTGGATGGACCCCGACACTAACAACTGCTGCTTGCGATCTCTGGGACGATAATCTTCTCCTCCGAGTCGTTGTAATACGGGCCCATGCGGTACCACACCGGGTCACCCGGGTCGGTCGTCTTGTCAAACGGCTCCCACACATCCAGAAACGCCGCCTTTGCAAGGCGCACATCGCGACAGCCCGGTTTCAGCGTAAGATCGTACTTGAAGTGGTTGGTGCCGGCAAGGAAGTAGAACGTGTCGTAATCGTCGTCCTCGTATATGCACTCTTCCAACCACACCCGGCTCACGCTGCGTTAATGTTATCAGCAAACATTGTGAGCATTGAACAAGAGCCACGCACGATAGGGGCTTGATGCCCTCCTTCTCGAGGCGCTTCTCCCAGCACCGCACATATGCAGCGTCCACATTCTGGTACAGCTTTGGCGTAATGTACAACTCCCGCCGGTTAATCTTCCACGCGAGAATATACGTCGGGGTTACACCCTCCGCGACGCGCTCGTCTAGCATTGGAGGCGGGTCGGTGAACGGACGGGTAGTCGGAAACCTACACAGTGCGCGATGAAGGCGTCAGTTCGACGAGAAGGAAGGCCTACTTTGTCTTGAGTCTACGGGTCATGAATAAGGTGTTGAGGAAACAGAATGAGAGTTGATTGTTAAGAACAAACGACCACGTGACAGCACTGCTTGTTTGTTTTGCTCAATCGCCCTTGCTGGTCCAGGCTTGCAAACCAATGTTTTGGCACTAGACAGTGGCCAACTTGAACGTAACCTCCATCAATGCCCTGGCCTTTAAGTTCTGCTAAAACTCTCGCCACCGCTCCGCTACCAGCGCCACTATCGGCATCTGTGCGATCTTAGACCTCCGCCACCTCGCCACCTTCGCCTATACCTTCTGAACACTCATATGGCCCAATCAATCCTGTTTCTTCTCTCACTCGCTCTGGAAAAACCAGCCTGGGATTTAAGGGAATCGGTGTTTCCCGCCTGTCCATTCACAATCGCACTTCTGAGCTGACACCGCGGTTCAAGGTACAACGTCAAAGACAGCGCTTGACGCGAAACCATCATCCAGGTGGTTTGTCGCTGCGCATCCCATCGTACAGCATTTTTGACTATGGGGTCCAAGCATGGCGAACTTTGCGAGTCGTACATATGTCGGCTTTAAGTTGTAAGGAGAGAAGAGTGTTGGCCGGATGGATTTAAATATATTTGAAGAGCGAGTCTCAAAGAGGTTGACCACTCGCCGCAGGCGCTATGGCAAGCTATGCACATTGAAGCAGAGAGTCGGAAAGGCCTCCAGAAAATCAACGCTGTGCCACGTAGCATGCTTGCAGATCAGCATATTATTCACGACTGCTTCGATATCGCCTTACGAGCATATGTGCTGACCCGACAGCGCGTACCAAGTCGCAGCTTGTTGCTCTGCGTCTGCGGCAGGGATGTGCATCATAGAAATTTGAGAAGAAGGTTCAGAAAGTTCACATTGGAATGGGACTAGCCCTCGAGATTCAGGTAATCGTGCAAGAGGTGGTGAGCGAGGTTTTGATAAGAAAGCATGGTTCTATGTTCCCAGATAACAGCACAAGTGCGAAATAGCATAATGTTTGAAGCTTGCAGCATTGCTTTGGATCAACTTTGCCTCTCTGCCGCCTCTAGCGCTAGTAGCCAACGGGCCACCGCCGCGTCGTCGTCTTCCTCCTGCTTAGCCACCTGAATATGGGATCAACAATAAATAGTCAGTCGAACAAAATGCACCAACAAGCATATTCAGCTGCGAGAGCGTGGCACCTTGTTGTTGTTGTTCAGCGTTAGGAATGTATCTCATGGGCGTCTGTTGAAAGAGGCATCAGAAAGAATGACGCCATACCCGCCGAGCTACATAGGTCCTCACGTTGGAACCGGACTGGAATGGCTGTTGAAAAACATCCAAGTTTGGGAAATTATTGTAGAAGACGTCAAACGGAGGGGGCTGAGAGTAATTGTAGGGAAGCGGGAGGACATTGTGGGCAGGCTGCGGAAGCATTTGTTGGTGGAGGAGAGCATTGTTGCAGCAGTTGAAGGCGTTGCATGGCGGATATTGGACTTGGTTAAACTGAGGGTATGGCAATGCATTGAGTTGATGGAACGTATTCTGGTTGAGTTGTTGGTACGGAAGTGGCAGCTGGTTATGAACCTGGTATTGCGGTGGGAGCATTTGAAACTGTAGTTGTTGCCCAGGATTGTCGGTGTGTTGCAACTGCGGCGTTGGCTTCGTGTGTTTGTTAGTGATGTTGGTCGAAAGCAGCGTTGGACTCGAGGGCATAGAGCTAGGCTGAGGACTTTTGCGGCGGGCGGATTTGCGTTTAGGTTTCGGCTGGGGCTCGTCGGTGTCAGTATCGTCGTCGTTTTCCGAGTCCTCAGCCTTGCGCTTTTTGGCCATTGCTCTGGTCCTGACGCTTTTCACCTTCGACTTCACCTCCGACTTCTGGCGCGTCCACCAGTTCCGAATCCATTTGTCAGTCCTGCATCGTGTCGTCAACAGCACCAAAACTGGACGCAGAAACAAACAACATACAAATTCGTGTCACGCACCAGCCCCGCCGCAATCTCGTTCGAGAGCGTCATATCGGGCTTCGCGGCCTCCAGCGCTGCAAGTAGCGTCCGTTTCTGCGCTTCAGTCGAGATGACGGCTGCCAACAAAACTCGTTCGTGTTATACGTTTGTAGACTGGAAGACGGACCGGGCTTTGGATTTCCATTGATTTTTCTTGTTGCTATAAGTGTGTGCGGTTAGCCACAGAATCGCACTACGATCTAAGGTATATGTACCTTTCCTCGTCATGGAGCAAAGCAGAGAGTGTCACACGCACGTGATACGGTCACCGTGGGTGAATGGACGGTGGTATACTTAGTAGTAAGATACCGAGGACGGGATAAACTTCGACTTTGGATTCGACAAGAAGGATGGCTTACTTGGTCGTATATCGACAGGTCATGCATGAGGTTCTGTGGATGAGGAAGGCCTAGGAGAGTGAGATTACTTACCAGCATGGGCGTTAACAGACGCGTGACATACGCACGTGGATGTGTGACACTTCTGCTTTGCTCCTCCATGTCGAACAGTGGTATGTTCGCGTTTGCGAAGCATCTACACAACTGACCCCGCCAAAGCACCGTGGACGCAGACCCGGAAGAAACGTCTGCTTGCCTGTTCCCCAGAAGGGGTAAATGCAACTGACGCGTCCTCCAGCGGTTTACTCTAATGAGGAGCAGCAGCGCGTCCTCTTCACAGCGCTGGAGGCCGCAAAGCCACAGATGAAGCTGACACGCGAGGTCTTGGAGCGATTGGCGCGCGAGACGAAACTGTGCGTGTTGTGTTGCTGTACTTTTTGGGACCTGACGGCGCGGTTGGCAGGACGGAAACGTGGGTGCGGAGCTGGTGGGGCAATCAGAAGATGCGTGAGAGAGAGCGCGAGCGGGGAAGACAGCAAGCAGAAGAAGGCGAGGACGGTGGTATTTCGACGCGTTTGAAGACAAAGGCAAAGGCGAAACGCAAAACCAGAGACGACGACGATGAAGATGAAGATAATGATGTCAAGCGCAAACCCAAACGCGTCCGTCACGCAAGCCCTCTTTCCGTGCTCAGCTCTGTTCCCTCCAGCCCAACGCTGCTTTCGCCTGAAATCGCTACGAACAGTAACGCGGCTCAGTTGCTCACGCAGACCGACGCCAACGATGCTCGACAACAACCCCAGCTCCCGTTCCAAGTCCCTGTACCGCCTGCTGTGAATTTCAACTTGCAGGAGACACTCCCGAATCCAATGCAAGCCCAGAACCATCCCTACCAGCAACTCAACGCAATGCCATATCCGCAGTTCCACCCCTACCAGCAACAACAACAATTGAACCAGCTCCAATACCAGCAACTCAACGGCTTCCAAACACTGAACCCATACAATAATGCTCTCTTCCAGCAACAGATACTCCCTCTTCTCTCGCTTCCTTATCAGAACTTCAACCCTTTCTTCGCATTTCCCAATCTCAACGCTTTGCGCCAGCCTAATTACAACGTGAGCAGCTTGTGGAGGGTATTGCACTTGCTGATTTTCCGCCAGATCCCGATGCAGATTCCCACCGCACAACAGCAAGCGGCGGCGCCGTTCTCAAGTCTGAACATGTTTGTAAGGGATGGAGTCAGTCATGAATGATTTGCTGATCTGGTCGCCGTTGTAGGTACCCAAGAGAGAGGACGACGACGCGCAAGTGACGCAATGGCTGCGCATGCTGGAGTAGGTGGACGGCGGAGAAATGGTGTGGATGGAGCTACCGAACCAACTCGAATAACTATTGCTCCAAGTCGTCATCTCCGGCTACTACGACTCGGAGCTTCCAATGTTACTTCTAATTCGGACTTGAACTTTGCTTGTACTGCTCTCTGGGAAACAGTAAAAACTATGCTATACCGTCGAGTGGTGCAAGAGTAAGCAAGTGATTTCAAACGGTGCGGGCGGCGGCATTCAATTCTCGTTGGAGAGTGAGCTGCTGCTGCGGATCTGTAAAGAATGTCGCTTTCGATTGACGGAGCATCAATTCAGCCTCAAGTAGCACAGCCCAACTCGACAAGATGTTGGGTGAACAACTGTCTTCACGGGTCAGAAGAAAGGATACTAAGATGTTGGTTGACTTGAAAGAAAACGAGCAGAATAGTATACGATTCATATAGTAAGTACTAGTGATTGCTTGAGTGCTAACCCTCTAGAATCTATCTCTCTGTAACGCTAACCCTAACCTTAACCCTTGTCCTTGGAGCAGAAGTGTTTAGGCAAGGATGCGGTCATTTTAGTACCAAAGCAGGCAGTAGGCCTTGAAATATTATCTTCTCGATACCCGCCGCGAACAACGAGTGCAGCGAAGAAAGTTCTGTCGAAGAGGGTTTCATAGAATTGGGAGGACCACGCGTAATAACGGCGCGACATTGGAGCAGTACGGTTGCCGTAGTACCGCACCAACCCGAAGGTTTCCCGTCCACACAAATACAGCTTTTCCCAAATAGCAGTACAAGTGCGAACTGAAAACGTTGGAAGCTCGCAGCATTGCTTACGCCTTGTAAAGTTTCCTTTAGCGACATGACCCGGACGGGCTTCTGCTCGAGTTTAAGCCGCCCTCCCGGTTGTATTGCGGTGAATCATCGAAAGCGCCAACACGGTACCATATAGGATCGGTTAGCTGCTCGCCCAGCTCGCGCTCGTACGGCTCATAAATGTCCTGCAGCGTCTCCTTCGTTATGCGGATGTCGAGCGAGTCGGGCGTGAGGTCGAATCTGTGGCGGTTTGTCGCGGCAATGAAGTACAGAATGTCGCTCTCTTCATCCGGGCGTATAGAGCAGAGGACATACGGCTGTCGCGTGCTGGTAAAGCCATCAACCACGGGACTGACGCAGAAGAGGAGAAACGCACTGTTGGCTGATCCCATGCTTCCGACGGGTCGTATACCACGCTTTGGTAAAATACTTGTCGACAGGCACGAATTCGTTCGGATATATGCTCAGGTCGCTGTTCCACACGCGCCACGCGAGGATATAGAACGGGGTCCGGCCCCAGGCATCGTTTTGGTTCAGCTGTGGCGGGGGTTGGTCGAAGGGGAGCGTGGCAGGATGGCTGCTTGTGAGTAATTCGTAGCTGGACAAGATATTGCACCCACAGAGTTTTCGGTCGAGCCATGATTCAACTGACGGGTGAGTCGAAGATGAAGGTTGGAGCGATGTTGTTGATGCTGCACGTGACCGCGTCGGCTGATCTTCGCGTTCTAGCGTGAATCTACTGGGCCGTTGGCCGCCGCACCGTTTTCTCTCCTTGCGTTGTCCTTGGAGGAGAAGCGTTTACGCAAGGACTCGGAAGCGTTCGTTTCCGTAGACCTAATCAATAAGTAGCGAGTTCGCTGAACTTGAGTCTGGAGCTTCTGGTCCACACCAAACCAGATCAGGCCTTGAAAGATCCCGATACCCGGAATATCGTCGCACGGATGGGCTGGTGGTGGTTCAGGAACGAAACGAATCTGCGTGACGATGTGATGGCAGTCCTAGTCAAGCAATGTACATTTTGATACAGTGGCAGAGGGTATTAGCTAGGGCAGTAGGTACATCTATATATGGATAACGGATTATAGCAAGGAGCGCTACCGTAGGGACTATAAGGTATCTACACGAAACAGACACAACCAAAGGATGGTGAATACAGCCGGGAACGAAGGACAATGCAAATAGAAGTCGATAGCAAGGATGGCAAGCAAAGCGGGAGAAAAGTCGGCTACGACGCCGTCCCAGCATACCAGTGCAGGTATTGGCCGGGTGTCACAGTGGGCGGTTGTTCTGGGTGAGCTGCTGGTTTTTCGTTTGTTGCGAAAGGCCGCTGGTACAAGGGGAAAGGAGACACCGGAGAATCGTTGGCATAATAGTCTTCTGTTTGATAAACGGCGCTGGATGTCGATTTTAGGCAGCCGTTTGCATCATAGTACTCATACGTCGGGTAGTAGGTTGTTTTGTCGCAGGCAGCAAAGTTTTCCGGGTGGTAGTCCGAGTCGTGATCATAGTGTCCATATTCTGCATAGGGTGTTTGCGGGCTTTCAGCACAACTGCTCCCACTGCTCGTGCTTTCGCCACTGGAGCTTGAAGCAGCCGTCAATGGGGGCGTATACGTCGCGGCCATGAAATTGTCTTCCGCGTAGCTCTGTGATTCCAACTGGTCGGGGTTCGGGGCCGCCCCCGCAGGGGCCGCGGTGCATGAAGAATCGGTGGGGCTTGTTGTGGCTGCCATTGTTGCACCATCGCCGCTAAAGAAGAAGAGGGAGTCTGAGATGTCATGGATTGGGTCTCTCCCAGACGGCGGCCCGTGGCATACGGATGACCACGACGCTGCGCCCTCGTGCCGTCTGAACTCGCTCGGCGGTGAGAGTGGCCGCTTGGCGTCTGATTCGTGGAAGAGGCTGTGGCACTCTTGAGTGAAACTAGTCAGCAAAGTGTTGCGGTGCGGACTCGTGTACTCACTGAATAGCTCGGAGCAGGTTGGCCCTGAAAAAGTGATCAGCTCAATCTCACAGCGAGTGGTTGCACTCTTACGGCGTAGTCCGGGTCTGCAGCAGGGTATTCCTAAACAAGTGAGCGACATTCAATTGTTGAAAAGACCAATCACCTGTTCAAGCTGCTGGGCTATGACATAATGATACTCAGCCTCTGTTGTCACCGGGGACAAATAATCCCCCGTCGGAACCATGTACGCGCCATGCCAATAATGAAATTGACCCCCGTCTTCAGGTTCAACATATTCCAACTCCGAGTTGTCCACAGGCTGCTGTTCCATTCCCGGCATCTCCGAAGCAACGTTGCCTTTCATCCCATTACGGTCTGGTTCGATATCCGTATCGCCGTCCTCGCTTTCTGGCCCCAAAACGCTGTCAGTGTCATTTTGATCGTCCGGGTGCGTGGCAGGCCTGCCTCTCCAATCAAAACCCGTATCGAGCGGTGGGAGGATCGATGCCCCTCGTAATCGGGAGCCGCTTACGCGTTGGGGGGCTGGAGTCGGTGCGGTGGCATAAGCGAGTTCGAGTGCGAGGGGGGATGCCACGAATAGACTGCCGCTTTTGGCAGAACTAGACGGCTGTGGGTGAGAAGCCGGTGCAATTGTTGGCGGCTCGTTCGCCTTGGTTTTCGGAGGTAACGAACTAGATACGGTCGGGTGATTGAGAACTGTGACGGGAGACGGCAGTGGGTCTAGCGGTGCGGCGACTCCCAGCGGCAATGAACTAAACATCCCGGGGGGCGCGGGGGGCGGTGGACTGGGACTAGGGCAATGGGAGCTCCCCACAGCGGATGGCCACGCAGCGTTGGATAGAGCGAAGGATTGACTGCGCGTCTTACTAATCATTCGACCACAGGAGGATGAATTCGAAGTTGGAGTCGATATGGGCTTCCTAATCACGAGGGGCTCCGTCGTCGTCAAGGGCGAATTTAACTCTGGGGTTTCCGTCGAGCTACCATAGTCTTCAAGTTTCGGCATAATCTTGGGTGGCCACTCGATTTTCGGTATGTTCGGGTGCGCGTCTTCCAACAAGGGAGGCGCTTGAGCCAGCCCTAGAGCACGCAGCAAGCCCTCCGCCTTTAGACCTTGTGGGTCGGAAGCCGAGTCATAAGCCGCAATAGCAGCAGCCAAATCGGCCGGGTCTGGAGCCATGAAAATGGGAGGTGGAGACTCCTCTCGCTTGACTGGTGCGTGTTGTAGAGCAATACGCATGTAGTATAAACGCGAGTCTTCAAGAGGAGGCGGCGAATTCGGTGGCGGCGAATAAGAAGGGCAACGAGTGGGGAATGAGTCAGGATCGCGGTCGTTGTGGGGCATGTCGAGCGCTAGCGGCGAAATTGGCGGCGGTGGTGGAGAGCGTTCGACCGTCGATAAACGCGGCTTCTTTGTCGGGGGAGCAATTGCGAATACCCTCCGTCCACCGTTCCGCCCACGCGACCCAGGAGAAAGGTGAATGCGATAGCTTTAATATGGGTCAGTTAGCCACGTCTTGGGGGGAGGGGAGAAGAAAAGAGACGACCCGGGTGCATTTAAGTGGCATTCAATTGAGCGTTCAATTTAATGCACCATGCATGAAGACGAAAGCGAAAAAGCTTAATAGTCGTAAGACGGCGATAGGATGGAGACTCTATTCGAGAACCCGAGCTCCTACTCGGGATTGACTACGGCGCAGCGAACAAGGCCAAACACAAAGGAAAGTTGAATAAATAAATAGCTCACTGTTGTTGCAGGTTGTCCGCCCGTGAACATCTTGTCGTACATCCAGGAAATGGACAGGCATGGTTTCTCTCGCCGGTGTGTGTCTTTGTGTGGCGAGAAAGGTGGCCCGCTGTTGAGAATGCACGTCGGCATTCTCTTACGGAACAGACATGTTTCCCCGGTTGTTTGTCGGTGGGGGGACGATTCGGAGGTTTGGGGGGCATAGAGAAAGAGAAAGAGAAACCGTTCAACCAGAAATGACGGAGCTCGCCATAAAGAGAACGACATGTGGCCGTGGGCGAGTGCTAAGTTTGTTGCCGTTATTTGTCAATCTATTCATCATCCACTGGCAGAAGGCGATCCACCACTGATTAGGTCCTTCTTCTTTGATGCCCATTTCGCTTCCTTAGTTGGCGTTCTTTTGACGTGAACTGCCTCGCATCTTAGCGAATTGCTAGCTTGCTTGCTGGAGGTGAATGCACGCTGTTTCTGCGTGCGTTGCAGTCGTGGCCCGGCCACGCTTTCTTTCTGGGGTCTAGGTACGGTCCGCGGGTCCCGATGTCACAAATGACTAGTCTGTCATTACCTCATCAGTGGATACACGGATGATCTCTGGCAAACAAGAGAGTTCTGGATGTTTGCGTCGGCCGAGACGCTAAGCGACGTGTTATTTGGTTATTTGTTTACCTGGCAAGGCACAGCAAAATGGCGCGACTTTTTTTGGGGAGTGCACCGTGGAGTAAAATTCAAGTTTTCTCAAGTTTGGTGAGTCGTAGCGGGGTATGACAGGTTCTAGCTTGATTGAGGAATAGCGTTGTTTGTCTCTTCCTTCTTGTCTTCTCTTGTGGCGCTAAAGTTTTGTTGAGTCGGCTAAGAACGTGCTAGTAATGTGCGACTGTCGATTTGTTGACTTGGCTGATCAGATTGCCGAATAATGGAGCAGAGTCAAACGGCGCATTGCTCGAGCGACGAACGCACTCGATTTTGTGGTTATACGGAGGCACGAAGACGCAACGAAGAGAGGAGAAGACTTTCTGCGGGCCTCCGTCGAACCAACAAGAACTACATTAGTTCTTGCCCCTGATTGCTCAAGGATATTGACCTCCTCATCTAATTAGCCAACTGAGCGCTGGTTGCTGATCATACTCACAGACATGGCCACTCTGTTTCCGAGTTTCATCATCATAACGTCCGGTAGTCGGTCCTCGTAAGTCTCATCAGTGGCAGTTTGAGCAGACATGCGCGCACCATATCTCACAGGAAGCCTTCTTCCAAAAAAAATCCAACCAAGCACCGGAAACGATGAGATTCCGAGTATTCTATTTGTTATACTGGTGCACGGCGATGGGGGGTGTTGTTTCAAGACTGCTGTCAAGTCTTTATTGAACCGGAGATCGGAAGTGGGACTTAGAGCTGGGGAGACCGGCGGAAAGTTGGAGCGCGGTTGGTCGGTCTTGACGCACGAGTTGAGTTCACACAAAGTACTTGAGGCAATCTATTCCATCATGGGTTCAAGTTATGTAAGCTGAGAGAAGGATGCCGGTCTTGGAATGAGGGATCTTTTTTCGACAATTACTTACGTAGGAAGAAAGATGGTAGATTTAGACTCGTTGGCGGCTGCTCCCACTGTGACGCGACAACTTATTGCACATATGTTTGCTGCTTCTGGCGATGGTGGTGGCGTCGGACGTTTCTGGAATGGACCGCTGCATGAGGGGAAGAATTGTATTGCGGATGTTGGCGGTCCTGGTCAAGAGTGAAGTAAGTGTGACGCGTCCCGTGATCGTGACACCGAAGCACAACTCCGCCCGAATTCAACAATGGCTCCGTGTTGCCCACACCGTTCACGCCGCCTTCACGGATGCCGCGTCTACCCAATGAGCTCTGCGACCAAATCCTTGCCAACCTGACCGAGTTGCGGTCACTTCGCAGTTGTGCACTGGTTTGTCGTGCTTGGGCATCCACAGCCCAACGAAGCCTCTTCGCGACTCTCCGTATTCACGAGAAGAATGTAGCGCCTATCTGCGAGCTCCTTGGATCGACAGCTCCGCATTTCGCGAACTACGTTCAGCACCTCTACATACTCACTTATGGGGACCTGAGAACCAACCTTGAAACACGCATGTCCAAAGATGCGCCGTTGCCCATCATCGAGCACCTATTCCCATACCTCTCACTCTTCGCCAACGTCAAGGAGCTTACGTTGGATAGTTGTCGGCAATTTGTTGAATCAACTTGGGATACTCACTGGACGAATGTCATTGCGAGTGCATTCCCCTCGCTCCCAAAGCTCAACATACTGTACTCCAAGTTTGAAGCTCTCGCAGACTTAGTGGACCTGGTCGCAGCTTTTCCGGTCCTCACAGCTCTGCGCGTGGACGACATCGACATCGAGGAAGCCAGTCACGAATACAGCAACGAAGAGCAGGAGCCATATCGTGGCACGAAAACGCCCCCTGAGGGCTTAGATAACATATCGTACTGCTCCGCTTCTCAATTCGGAAGCGGCGGCGGGCCGTTCCTCCGCTGGCTCGCCGCCCATCCCGGAAACTTCACGACCTTATATCTCGATCTCGCTGCTGAAGCCGGCGATGTGAATGCTGGGGTCGATCTCATCACCGCCACAGGCGACAAGCTGCATAACCTCACACTCGCATTCGACGATCAATGGCAGCTGTGTACGTCGCTTTTTTTTCCTAATCACACTTCTTTTCAACGTGGTCTAGGGGAAGACTTTGAGCTATCGCCCAATACGAGCCTTCAAAACTTCACTATCCGACGGGCAAGTGACATTGGCGATTCTCTCCCGGAACTCATCCAAACGATTTCATCTCCCCTGGAGACGTTGACACTGGGCAATATTGAAGAGATTGAGCCATCGATGCATTCTCTTATCGCGGCTCTCATGGCAATGCCGTCGCTGACCAGAGTCACTTTCTACGTTGGCTATACGGGCAATGTTGCAGAGTGGATCAAAAATTTGACAGAAGACCACCCCGAGTTCATGCAAAGCGGAATCGTTATTGTCGGTAGGTGGACATCCAACAATACCAAGTCTTGATTCTCACCAGCATAATAGATAACAAAGAACAACACGAATGGTGAGAATGAGCGATTAGTAGAACAATTTGGTTACTCAGAAGTACAACATTTTACACCATCTCATTTGGCGGCCGGAATTGTATCGAATTGGTCCTTGAACCCAAAGCTACGCCTCCACGTGTAGTCATCCTCGTTGCTAGCGGAAGGCCGGCGCTGTGAATATGATACTGTTCGCCAACTATCTCCTTCACTTGGTGCATGAGGCGATCTAGTCGGCTTATGATGTTGTAGGCGGTGGCAACGCCAACGCAAAACTTCAGATACTGCTCGTTCTGCAGTGTGTCGAGGGTTAACTGCCGTGGAAGGCCGTAGTCCTCTTCCGAGTCCTTGTGGATCACGTGAAGACCATATTGCGTCTGGAAGCGGGCAAGCAAAGGACACGGAGTGATTTGCGGTAAAGGACAACCTGTTCGCAATGCAGTCGAAATCATACCTGGTATCTAGATAAGTAGTGCATCTATTGGGGCAGAGTCTGTACATACTAATGACCGCAAGCACGTCCCCTTGAAAATCGGTGTCAAGGAACCGTGTCCTTTGTAAGAACGCCCTCGTCCACGCAGGCTCCATGTGCTCGACAACAGACATCACTGAAAGTTTCAGTTTCCAACGCACGCAATCAAGCAAGAATACGTACAGTGAGAAAGCGAATATGCAAGTTGTCTGCATTATCAAATCAGATGATGCAGGAGGAGAACAACATTGACTGACTGCTGCAACTCCATGATTTTGTGATAACGTTTGGCTGGCCAGCGGCCCTTTAGCGAAAACTAGGCCAACAATATAGGTTGACTCTGGACGACGAAGTTCAACCAACAAACCTCGTATACCGCGTTGCCCTTGAGCGCCATGGAGCGCGAGATTCTACTCCGTATTGCGATCAGAGCCGTGACAATAGTTTGGGGGTCCGTTTCGGCACGTCGTGAGTTAGCAAAAGAGATGATATCACAGTATAACGTCCCCAGTTCTGTGGTGTTGGTTGCCAAGGAAGTGCGCTCGTATTTCCTGATTGTCGTTGAAGGGGGCAAAAGTGAGAACACTCCCGCCGCCATTACTCCCGAGGTAACGATAATGAACCGTCTCCAGGCGACATCCCAGCCAAAGCCTGGGTTCGCCAAGGCCCGAATATGACCATCTTGGTACGAGTAGCCAATGACCTAATAGACGGTTGAGCTAATGAGGTCTAGATGCCCTCGTGCACGGGACGACAGACCAGAATAGCAGTCACAAAAAATATAATGACTTTCATCGGGAATCCAGGCCAATATAACCGGCCGTAGAAGAAGAACGGGAAGCAAACGGCACACAGTGCTCCAAGACCAAACGCATTGCCATGCCCCGAACCAGACGAAATGTACCTTCTGAGAGCATCAGTTCGGACTCGGGGATTCGATCAAAAATCACTGACCACATCACCATACCGAGAATGCCGCCGAGGAATGTGCTCAAAACTCTGGTGCTCAGTCCAAAAACAGTGTCGCCTGCAATCAAGGTCACGAAATGATATAAAATGATAAAGAAAGCCAACACGTGCCTCGAAACCGCGCCAACGTTACCTGACCCATGAAAATTCCCCATACAAACCTGTTTTCATATGCGAAGTGGGCAGAGGATCGGAGAAGTGAAGGAAGGCACATGAGGACTGAAATGTTTCAAAATTTCTTTTCTAAGAAACGCACGCGAGTGTAAACACACCTGTCAGGGTTGCGGCCTTGATTGCATAGAGCGTATTACCCGACCCAAGTTGGGCAACTGCGAGATAGATCCTGTTCATCGCCCATTCCAGATGATTTCTGGGAGGTAATGCGTCGGGGTCGCGCCTTTTGGCCATCCCTAAATCGCCTTCTTCGATTTCTGTTGGAACACCCATAACTTTGTCCGGGTCTTCTTCGTCCTGGCCAAAGTCGGAAAAGTGCCAGTTGACGACATTCCAGGTAGCGGCAGGTGTCCATAACTTTTCGGTTCTATGCTGTTTTTCCATCTTATGGATTTCGTCGAGCTACACCTTCATCAGATGATTCCTGATGCACCAAAAACTTCGTACCATAGTCAACACATTGGCGGACATCTGGAGGAGGTGGTACTGATAGACATAGCAGTGGAAGAGATGTCGATGAGGAGGTGTTTCGTGCTCGTTTTCGTGATCGTAATTAAAGGAAGAACGCCAGGGCTCAAGGATGAGATGTCTAATACGTCATTAGGCATTGGAGTGACTGGCACAAGCTCTTGAACCTACCTGGCTTCATTGCGAAATTGTTCTCGCACAGAGTTGAGTGTGGCCCGCACAGCTTCGAGCTCACCGATGCGAGCTTTCAACGCGTCACGTTCCTTTTGACCAGTGATCCAACGTCCAGTAGTTCCTTGTCGAACATATCGAAGCCAATCTTGGACCCATAAAAGGGAGTCGTGACACGTCTTTAACAACGGCGTACAGCATTTAGAAAGAAGCTCCGTCGTTTCTTTAGTATGCGATTCAACTTCGGGATGAACCAAGTTTGCTTCAAGATCTAAATACCGTTGGGATTCGAAGACTCCAACAGCATGCTCGGCTTTCTTCCGCCCCAGAGACAGGTGCAAAGAATGAATGAGAAGATTATGGTGATGGTGATGGTGATGATGAGAATGATGCGAGTGATGCGAGTGACGATTGCGTTTGGTTGGTGTTGTAGGGCTCTCTTCTTCGTCCACGTGAGGAAGATCCGCCGTTTCTCGAGTCGGGGTACGGGGAGGCGATGGTGGCCGAGACACAGCAGGACTTGCCGGCGCAGGTGTGCTGATGCGAGATGCAATAGGTGTTATGGGGAACTTTTCTCTGGTGGGGTCCACAACCCTGAAATACACGATCATTCCATGCGCTCGGACTGCCATACGCTTCGCCGTTTGGTGCAGTTGAACGAAATCCAGTGGTGCATACCGCGAAAATATCAAATCACTAGCGAGGAGCCTGACAGATGCAGCGAGGGGAATAAGCCGAGCTTCAGATTTGGCTACCGACGCAGAAATATCAGTCACCATCTTGGAAAAGTCGGCAGAATAAGGATCTTTGGTCAAGATGGCCTGATGAAGCTCGAACGATTTGACGAGTGGTTCAAGAACCAGCCCAAGTCGGGTGGTAAATTGCGAGGAAACCGTTTGGGGAAAGATGAGCACGGACATGACAAGCGATACGGCAGAGTGAAGTGATATTGGAACCACAATTGATTTTCCAGCCTACCGAGAACATTAACAAGCACATTTGAGGATGGAAAAGAATGGGACATGCCAAATAGTAAGGATAGGGGAAGAATACAGCCGTTGTTAGCGAAACGTCTGTTGCAGGTCAGCAAAGGGAAAAAACGACAGTGTAGTCTTACCAAGACCTAAAAGCTCAAGTTTAAACAGAGTCAAGCTCACCGAATGTAACAGGACTCACATAAGCAGCCTAGAATGCACGCGAACAGCTGACTGAAAACATTTCGAGAACGAATAAACAACACAACGGCAGTACCGATGAAGAGAAAAACTCCGATAATAACCGTCGGCTGAACAAACGATAAGACACAACTCTTCAAGGAATACGAATAAGACTCACAGCTGCTTCTATATACTGACCCGTCAGAGCGTCCGCGAAAGAGGCTGCTGGGTTACGGTGTACCCGCGCCATATCGGCGAACTTTATCGCAAGGCAACTCCATCTGAGAGAACGTTACTATTGTGAATTGACGGTGCGGGTGAAACTTACGCCCATGTCGCTGTTACAAACAGTAAAATCATGAATTCACGTTCCAGAACAGCCATAAACGGGTCAGATGGAGGCGACATGAACGCGACTAGTAGTTTGTCTCCTGAGAAAAAAGAGAACGGAGCCTGGTTGTCGTGAGCTGACCTATGATAATCAAGAATCCAGCCTAGACATTTCAACACATCGCTGAGAACTCGAAATTTACCACTCACCTGCCCCATCATCGCCTCCACTGGTGGTATAAGAAATAGAACGGTAGATATCCAAGCAGCTATGGCGCAGCGTATAACTGGTTTGACTTGAGCCCAGAAAAAGTTGTCAGGGACCCATTGCAAGCTGGATGGCCACCGAATTCGGGGTGCAGTGACTACATTCCCAGGTGAACCTGGGGAAGGCTCAGGCTTATCGGCTGAAGTTGAACGCGTTGACTCTGACGACGGAGGGCCAGAGTCTTCCTCGGTAGCTGGCAGGGGAGATAGTGCTTGCATGGTGGAGGCCGAAGAAGCCCTTTCGCCTTCGCGGTCACGCGTTTGGTAACATGCGATGACATCATGCTTTATACAAGCTATTTATGTACTCTCAGAGTTGTTCCTCCCCGCCAGGAACCGTGACACTTTGGCAGGTTTATCAGAAGCACGTACAATCGCCGGTGGCTGCTGCGGGCGTCGGCTTTGCACCGGTGTTTTCTCTGGCACCGTCGACGACATGACCGGTGTTGGGCCGCTCTGTTGTTGCGGACCTGAAGGAAAGGACGGAGATTCAACAATCATGGAAGAAAAGCCGGTTGTAGGCCTCTCGATAACGGACGACATCACGCCCGAAGAGCTTGGAATCGGTGGAGGCGTATTAGCAAGTTTTGGAGAGGATCTCGTCATTTCTGATGGAGGTGTGGGTGTTGGGGCAGGTGAAGGAGCGTGGCCTCCGCGAGAGAGTTTGAATTTAGATGCTGGTGGTTTCCTGGCAGATGGCGGTGGACCCGCAGGAGGGCCACTTGCCGATTGTGCTATTGGAGCATGGATCCCGTCGGGCCCGGCATTGAACACTTCTCCCTTCTGCAAAAGCTCGATAATTTCCTGAGCTACCGCTTCATCGTCTTCACTTCCGCTTTCCCCAGCCTCCCCACCCACTAACCGATCGTTATCGTCAAGTTTACCGAGACGGATAGCATGTTGAAGGGTACGAGCTTTCACCTCTGGGAGAACATCGGCAGTTGCTGGAGTGGCTGCATGATATGCCGTTGCAAGACGATTAGCTTGGAAGTGAGACAGCGCAGATTTTCGGGCAGGCTGAGTTGAAGAATCCTCTGCCTATATGGTCTGAGAGACAAGAAACCGATTGAGTAGAGTGCACCAACCGTTATATATGGATCCATTGTCTCAGCAGATGTTTTTTTCATGGCTTGGGCTGCTGCCTCGGTCATTTTCGCTCGCTTTGCGTGATACTCTAGCGCAACCTCCCGCTGGTGGTTAGCAAATTCCAAGTCAACTTCGTCGGCCAATTCATCGTCAGACGCCAGACTACCTTCTTCGTTTGATTCGTCGTCAGAGTCTGGAGGGTCGGATGCTTCGTCAGAATCGGGAGGCTGTTGCGATGGCTGGCTGGGGAATCTTTCAACAACATTGACCTGCATAGGAAGCGTGCTGTCCTGAGTGTTGGGCCGCGAACGACCAAGCACAACGCCACCGTTTTTCTGTACCGGTGGAGCTACCTCAGCATTCGCCCATTTGACGCTCTTTTGTGAGGTTGGTTTTGTCTCCACTTGCGGTTTAGATGTCGACGGTGCGGGTTTATCCTCCTTCGCCTTTCCAACCAAAGCCTTTCCCATTCGCTTATGCATCTCCTTCATGGCCTTGAAGCCAGCTAACTCTGCTTCATGCTTCTTCCGACGCTGCTCGCGCTCTTCTCGTTCTTGGTCAAGCTCCAACTGTTCTTCTCTCGCGAGTTCGGCCCGCTCCTCCTCTTCCAACAAGTCCAGAATACGATCACGTTCGCGTCGGCGACGCTCAGCTTCCCATGGCTGAAGCGACAACGGGGCTGGTTCAGGTAAAGCAGTTGTCAATCCAACAGAGTCAACTTGTTCAGTTATCTCGATAATCGGCAAACCCTCATCGTTCAAGAGCTGGCAAGAGTGAATGAAAATAAAGGCGAGGTGTAGATATGCGCACCTGGCCATCCTCGTTCCTCTGGCCTCCGTCATCCCCAATAAGTTCCGCTAGTCTTTTGGACAGTTTTGCGACATTTTCCAGGCTCTCTCCTGCTGTTGTGGGATCAAGAGAACGAAGAAGCGCCTGGAGTGCTTGGAGAAGGTCAGCAGAAGGAGGTTATCACCAACAGGAAGGGTGAAGACCTTCCGCGCCGCCATCGTTGAGATTTTGGGCTTTGCTCGTCATGGTTTTTGATCACGAGTATTAGTCAGACATCTCTCTATGAACAGTTACAAGTACACGTCTAATCTACAAGCTCAAATGGTATTATATGAGTTGTGTAACCCGACTGTATGGTCTGAACCATTGATTATGGGGGCGCCAGAGCCCAAGGTAACATCATTGCTACCCCGCTGATGGTTAATGCCATTGACTAGAGCCTTGTTTGCCGGCGGTATGTCGACCATGCCCATTGCTTTGCCACGAGCGTTGTCCTCCCGGAGACTTTCAAGATGACCGAGATAGTCCTCGTCAACACCGCCTGTCACGTAGTCTCCAGTGAACACTGAGCAGTCCAGAGTTGTAATGTCCCGGTTGAACTGTCGAACTGACTCAATGAGGTCAGGTAAAGACTGGAAAATGACAAGGTCTGCGCCGATGGTTGCCGCTATCGATTTCGTGTCACGTCCAAAGGCGACAAGTTCCCTTCGTGAAGGCATGTCGATGCCATAGACATTGGGATAACTGGATTATAGTTGAGTTTTTAAAATGCTTATGAATGAGCGGCATACCGGATTGGAGGCGCACAACTGGCCACGATGACCTTTTTGGCACCAACATCCTTGGCCATCTGGATGATCTCTTTCGAAGTGGTACCGCGAACGATTGAGTCTAGAACTCGGTCGGAAGGCATGCATTTGGAGAGAAAAATAACCCTTACCATCGACGATCAGCACATTTTTGCCAACAAACTCCAACGCCATGGCGTTTAGTTTGCGACGAACATTTTTCTTCCTAAGAATCATGATCATCTAACAGTCAGGATTTCAACCAGAACAAACCTCATTTCTTGGCCTGGCATGATGAACGTCCGGCCAACATAACGATTCTTGATGAAGCCTTCTCGATAAGGCAGTTGCAACTTCTGCGCCAAATTCAGCGCGGCGACTCGCGAAGTGTCTGGAACCTGGATCCACGAGGTTAAGATTAAAAGGGGCCGAGTTCACACGAAATAAGCGTACGGGAATGACCACGTCCACAGTGAGATTGTTCTCAGCAAGCACACGTTGTACTTGGTCAGCAAGCGCGTCTCCCATGGCCATCCGGCTACGATACACGCTGATTCCGTCTAATACCGAGTCTGGACGCGCAAAGTATACGTATTCAAACATATCTGGGGCAAATGTCGCAGGTGGGGCGACCTGCCGTCGGCTTACCCCATTTCGAGTAATGATGATAGCCTCGCCTACACAATATTAGTGGGCCATAGGTACAAAGGGGTAAGAAGAAAACGAACCAGGCTTCACGTCTCTCCATTCAGAGAAGCCACCAGCATCTGCAACCACGCTTTCGCTGGCGAACAGATAATCATGACCGTTTCCTGACTTGCGAAGTGCCATTCCGACAGGTCGAATACCATTTGGATCCCGGAAAGCCATGATTCCGAAGCCGGCGAGCATGGCGACACAGGCATATGCGCCCTTGACTTGTTGCATCATACCTCCCAGCGCGGTGAATATGTCCTCTTCGTTGATGCGGAATTTGCCCGTTTGTTGAAGATTGTTAGCAAATATGTTAAGCAACAGTTCAGAATCAGAGGACGTGTTGATATGGCGATGGGCGACGGCATCCATATACTGCAACAGGGAGCTAGTGTTTATGAGGTTGCCGTTCTGAGAGCTCGATTGGAATCGGTGAAACACAAGAGGGATGGATTACTCGCATGGGCGAAGACGATGCCATAGGGCGAGTTGACATAGAATGGCTGGGCTTCGGCGTTGTTGAAGCTACCCGCAGTTGGATACCTGGCTGCATAACATAGCTGGGTCAGTAGACCAAGCAACACAGGACAAAGAACACACTATGACCAACACCCATTCCCCCAATCAATCGGGAGATTGAGGCGCTATCGAATACGTCGCGGACCATCCCATTCGCTTTGCATTGATAGAAACGTCCTTTTGGGCCGCAGGTGACGATACCACACGCATCCTGGCCTCGATGCTGGAGAAGGGAAAGGCCCTCACAGATTTCAGGAGCGGCATCGATGGAGGAATCGTGAAGAAGAAGGCCAAGAATTCCGCACACTAGAAACGCATCTCAGCAAATCTTCTGCAAAAGGCACAACCGGGACCTTACTTTTAGCAATGTGGGCGAGTGTGGAGCTGCATTTTTTCGCCCACGTGCGTCACAGTCCTGATTTGGCAGAGTCATCGGCCCGCCTCCTCCGATTGTGGGTCCAGATGCTAGCGGATACTCAGCTCTTGGCTGTTTGCAGACGGCGGGAACAGGCGGTAACAAGGGGCCCTGGTGCAAGTCAACCAGGAACAAAACTTTTACGGTAAAATGGCCAATAAAAATCAATAGAATCTACTATTTAGTACACGTATAAGACGCTGGTCTTCTGTGAGAGGCATTACACCATATTCTTGGTCATTCTGATCTAGCTCAGGAAACATAGAAGGTAAAGTGGGCCTTGGCAGGTCCGTACGAGTCCGACGAGAAAGAGGTCGAGCCACAGTCGGCTCCTCATCGAGGCTATCGCGCGCTTTGCCGGTCCGATAAAGCCCGTTTGGGACGATGATACTTCGAAGGCAAATGTCTTGATCGACGGTTGGGATTAGAGGAAGATCTTGGTGAATAAAGTAGGCTGCAAACACACTTAATCGGCATTTTCATCTAAACCGAGCAGGGAAGCCTACCAACGATATGCCATTTGCGCGGCAGGGTATTCGGTCGAACAACAACCCACGCGGAGTAGGCCTGTTTGACGAGACCACGGTGGATATTCGCACTCCGCTCTTGGTGAGATACTGCAGAGGAGGAGGCTACTCCACGAGTTGGCCCATTGACGAATCGGAATGTTTGAAAACTAGAAGGCTCTGGCTCATCGCCAAGCTTCTCGTCATAAAAGAGGTACGGCTATCGGGAGGGTGAGTCCATTTTCGAAGGTTTATTAGCAACTTCCACACCTCTCGCATTCTAGATTGCGACCAGAGACGTCCATCTAGCCTGTGATAAGCCAAAAAGACCAAAGGAGAAGTCAAGACAGTGTTCACCTGTCCAACGTTTGAGACCAGATGCATTCTCCGACTCTTCCCAAACAAAGACAGCGCCAGATCGGATAAGAACGCTTTTTTCTTTCTCGTCGAGGCGCCGAGTAATCGGGCGAAGGAAGCCTACAATAGTGAGTAGGTTAACAGATAATCCAAGCCTTGAACTACCTTGTCTGACTGCCTCAAATACAACATGAGCATCATGGGCGTTGCGAACATGGAGTCGAGGGTGGGTGGCTTGTTGCATATCAGCCGATGGGTCGCGCATTTCCAGTGTGTAAAGAGACTACCTCCTGTGCCCCGTTAAATAGGTATGCCCAAAGCCTGAGACGTGGGAGGTGCCGGTGGTAGGGCCGACAAGAAAGTTGTCGGGTCTCGATCTCTTGAGGTTGAACGGGCGGGCGAACGAGTTCCCATAGCTTACGAGGCAGTCAAAATGGGCTGACATGTGTGGCAAAACCAGCGTTTGCTCCGCCTTGGGTGCAATCCAAGGGTTTGGATTGCCGTCATGGGTAGTACCAAGGTATTGGGTTGAGAATTGCCTTCAAAGTACTTGAAAGTTCACATCCCAGCCACGTTTTTTCGCGGAGCCGTCCCCTGGTTCCTAGCGGGTTTTAACGCCATTCAACGACGAGCGGCGGACTCCGACGGAGGCAAGCAGAGTATACTGATCCGGCTTGTGACACCGCTTTCTCTCTCAACGACCACCACCTCTTCACGCCATGCATGAAAGAAGAATTCCGACGCTAGTTTCGCTCTGTCAACGAGTCGCTGCAGTCCATGTAGACTGTAAAGTGTCTATTTTACAGCATAACATGGCCTGATATCCCTTTCAGGCATTAGCAGCTTGGGAGACGAACTCCGTTATGACCTCGTTAAGCCCATTCTCGAGCGGTGTACCGTCGACCAACTTCTCAGGCTGGAGCAAGCCTCTCCGGTGCGTCAGGCCTGCCGCAGTGAAAGCCGAGATTGACATGTCTTCCAGCATCTTGAGCGAGATACACCGGGTATGGGACTCATTCGTTTGCCCGAATCATCTCACCAACAAAATTACTCAGGCATCTGGAAGCAGTTGTGTTTTAAGTCTTACCCTGCGGCTGCTGATCGTTACAATTCGGGTGAACTACCTGAACCCGACTCCTGGCGAGACAAATACTTTGTTAGTCCACCCTTGATGCTCATCTGCGGACATCATTGTCAACTTTTCCCATCCAGGCTCTCGTGGAGGAGGAGGAACGTCGGATAGAAGAAATCGGAAACAAACTACGGCGGCAGCGTCAAGAAGCGGACGAACGAAGGAAGGAGCAAGAAATTAAATATACCACCCAGGTCCCGACGGCCAAACGGAAATGTCAGTGGCACTCGTTGTTCTATTTCCCCTCCTCGAGTCTAAAATCTTTGGCAGGGGGCGTTGCCGCTCCTCCGAAGACGCTATTTCAGAAGACTAGGTCGGAGGCCTCACGCTTGCAGAAGAATATCTATCGCAAACCCATGCTACCATCTATGCCAAATGGCGGGAAAAGCTACCGAGTACTACCGCCGAACAACTCCGCCCTCCTGCCCACTTCCCAAACGAGTGGGAGTTCGAGTCGTGTTACTGTCACCACCGTTGTTCACAAAGTCCCTACCTCCACTGCCAAGCCGATCAGCAAATCCATCGCGTCGGGCTCAAACTCGTCGGCCATATCTGGACTCCACAACACCGCTCCTTCAACTTCTACCCTCAAACCGCCACCGAGCATCTCACCAGAGAAACGTGACGAACCTCCGCGTAAGAAACAGCGACCAAACCCCACCGAGGCCTCTGGACCATCTCCCCGCAAGCAACGCGACCCTGGCGCCTCATTATTCATGCCTAAACACCGTGCTTATTCGCAACGTGTCAGTTGAGGCAACCGTATTTATTACTCCCTTACTCTCACGATGGCGGTTTTCTCTCTCTGGTATATTTAATGTACTCTACTAGATCTGGCTCTTAGCTTGGGGGTTCATACCGACTAGGCCGCGGCGAGGCGAGGACGGGCATTTTTCTGGTTCCAGCTCTTCGGCCATGGTGTCCGCTGTTTTCTTGCCTGCCACTGCTGCTCTGAAGATGTACTTGTTGTAGATTATGTCTCGCGGTCGTGGAAGAATCCGCTTATGGAAGCAACAGCGGCTGTCTAGACAACCACTGATAAGGTCTTCAGACGGCAAGTGCTCCTTGATCCCGCAAATTCACTGGGTTCTGTTTCTGTTTCAATGCGTATCTATGCTTAGATTTGTACTTTACGGGGAGAAGTCCTGCCGACGTGTGCGCGTTATGTATTACATTAGGAAGAAATGCGATGGGTTGGTTTGGTTGCGATGTGTAAGGAAGAAAGAGTCGTTAGATGGAGAGCACAAGTAAGGGTGAATGCAACAGTGACGGGGAGAAAGTGGTCATGTTCGTAGTGATGATGAGCCTGAGGCGCCATCTTCCCAATGTTGGCGCGTCTTGCCTTTGCTCTTGGTAGCAAACTGGTTGGGTGGGTCCAAGACATCGGCAGACTCCCAAATGCGGATCGTGTGGTCGTCCGAACAGCTGGCAAACATGCGCTCGTTCCGTGGATTCCATGCGACACAATTGACGCTGCCTTCTCCATGTCCTTCGAGTACCTCTAGCAGAACACCAGTGTCCCGATGCCAGACATAGACGTTGCTGTCTAGTAACGAATTCAGTCTATCGATAGGGCTCACTGATAGAAAAAAAAACATACCTTCACTCCCACTGACGATGAAGTTGCTCTCGAATCCACCAAAGCAGCTTCGAATGATGTCTGTAGACTGCCGTTGGCCCGTGTACCTCCGTATTAAGCGTGCAGTATTGATATCCCAGAGTTGGATGTCCTACATTCAAATGTCATTAACAATATTCGCAATGAAGGTTGCCAATTGTGACTCACATCTGGGGAGCGATTGATCAAAACGTATTGTGAGTTGCGCGATATGCTCAAGCTCGTCAGTTCGCCGTCAAATGGTATGTCTCTGGATGCTGATTAGATTCTCTTTCTTTTGCCCATAAAATGACCCACAATTCAATATGTTTGGTATCGTAGTCAAAGACCAGCATTCGATGTTCATCCTTGGGTGGTGGTGCTGAAGCTGAGGCAGCCGGAGCTTCGCCATCCGGGCGACCGTCGATGGGCGACGGCGCCTTCATCCCAATCACAACGAAACGGGAGCAATCCGGCGTTAATACCATGCTCGCTACCCGTATCGGTGCCTCAGACCACTCTTGTGGGTTTGAACCATCTGGAGACTAAGTCCATGTGAGTAGGGTTGAACGACGGAACGAACAGGGGAGACATGCCCAAAAGTAGATCTTGAAGTCCATTCCGGCAGAGAAAAACCCGGATTTGTCCGGGAGCCACACCAAGGAGGTTACCGGTTCAGTATGCTTCATAAGTGTTCGCACGCAGACCCCGGTCTTTGATAAAGCATAAGCTTGGTAAGTCTTTATGGAACAAGTTGGACACACCTCTGTGTTCCACATCTTTATATGGTGCTCCGTACCAGCAAGAAGGATTGAATCATCCAGCGACCATGCCATGCAGATAACAGGGTACTGGTGAAGCAATGCGTGCCGCTTCTCCCACTCTCTTACTGATGTCGTCTCGGTCTCCGGCTACTCTACTATTGAAATGCTGTCACCAATGAGGACCGGAACACACCTTTAGGCCCCATATGATAACCAGCTTATCGTTACTGGAACTTGCAAGCAAGTTTCCGTCCCGACTCCATTCAAGCATCCAGACCTGGTCCGTATGGACTTCCAATATGGTTGTTGTTATGCGGGGGGAAAGCAGTTTTATCGCATTGGTGGTCGGAGAAGAGAGTAAACCCTGTTGGGGTACTTGGTATATTGTGATATACGCATTGGTGACGCTGAAAAGCATCCGCTTGATGGAGGAGTGTCGAAAATCGCCTTGGGGGTACCATTATGGACGGGTGAATATATCCTGCCAACGGTGAGCACTCGTAACCAGGTTGGAGGACACACACGATGTAGATTCTCCAACAATATTCGTCTCGAGCTGCCTGCCGCGCCATCCCATTGCGCCCTTTCCCGTAGTTCTGATGCTTTGGCGCACATTATCAGACTAGAAGGCCGTCAGTGGTCTGAAGAATCTTGCAACAAGCAACGACGCGCCTGGATAGTAGATGGAGTTGCTCGGTCTCGACTCCGAGTGGCGCTATCTCATTACGGAGCACATGGACAGCGTCTGTCATCTTCTGGGCCTCCAACAACTCCAGGTATTTCTGTTGGTTGATGAGGAACTTGGCATCCTAAGCCGGCTTGGTTATCAAACAAGAGTCCGCGGGAAGACCACGCACGGGTAGATGTTCGGGGTCCTGCAAACCAACGCCCAACGCAATGAGTGCATTCTCCGCTTTAGACCACAAGCCATCGTTGATGTAACGTCTGAATTCGGCGACTTCTGGTGATTCCATTGAGTAGCCAGACTCGGCTTCGAGAGTCGCGGCGCTTTCGCTAGGGAGAGGTTTGGTCGTTGAAGCGACATGGGGGAGTCAGAGGACGTACTGGTAGCCCACATCCCGTAAACTCTGTATTACTAGCCTCACGAACTCCTCCCTGTCTACATTGGAGTCGTCTGGGTAAAGACTGGTGCCGGGGAGTGCGACACGAGCAATAGAGCGAGCAGCAGCAGACGACTGCTTAGAGTGACCATTTGACTTCTGCGCACCATTACTTGTTGCTCCGTTTGTGAAGCCATTCGCGTGGGCGACGCCGTTTGTGGGGAGAGGGTGGTCGAGGCCGAGAGAGGATGGGCCAGCTACTGTTTGTGGAGGAGTTGCTGGTTGCTCTGGAAAGCGCATTGTTGAAGCTGTTTCGATCGAAACCGTACTAGTAGGACTGGCCAGTCGTTGACGCTTACGAGCCCGCGTAGACTCGGACACTGTAACACGGTCAGTCTTGGCATATACGCCGTTGGTATCTACAATGCAGACTTGCCAGGCTCGGGGGTGAAGGGAGTTAGGTCAGAGTCGTCTGACCTTCTACGGACAAGTGAAGAAGCCTCAGCCGGTGAAGGGGCCGGCGAATGACTGGGGGACAGCGAATCAATTGTGGCTACGAGTCGGTCAGGGCGATGGTGGATGAAGACAAAGAAGGGTCTGCTCTACATAACAAGTATAACTTGATCCTCGTGCACAGAGAATCCCACCACCACCACCAATGCATCTGCTGGTGTTTGCTTCTATTTAGTCTCGATACGACACGCAGTATTTATTGTGTTATCCTGCAGGCGCGCTACCATCATCACAACGCCTCTGGAACGTGCTATGAGTACCACACACGAGGCACAACTCGGACAGTCACCCGAAATCGATGTAGTGTCAGCCAATGAGCTACGTTTGCTAACCGCAATCAAGTCAGGGTATCATCAAAAAGTCAGGTTTGTTGTGGTATTGCCTGATTGATAAAGCTGCATTCAGCGAGACTGAGACTTGATTTTGCAATCGATTGCACATAAACAACGCAGTTGGTGGTCAGAGTTGACGTATAGAGTCCGGCAGAAAGAGAAGTGTCACACATGTCACACTCACCTGATGCCTCATGTTCAAAAATGCGAGCTGGGTTCTCCTGAGCGGAGCTTCGGACTGCTGGATTCTATCGCTGTCGAACTCCCTTGTGTCGTTTCGTGGAACCCTTATCGAACCATGACAAAGCGCTAACCGATATCGGACGCATGATAGCACCCAGTCATCGATGACCGGCAGAGATCGATCAACGCGGCGTGGCGCTGAGGTATCAGCCGACGGGGTCCGAGCTAACCAGAATTGCCTTATTGGGAACGTGGACGAGTAAAGTTTGGTTGTGTTGTGGTCTGTCACAGGTTACAGTGACGTCGACAGATATAGCTGGCATGGCTGTGCGTTAGGTAGAATCCGGCTTCAGGTTCAAGATAATTTGTCCAGGACCACTAACTACCACGGCACATGGCCTGCATCACATTTCAAATTCTACCTAGAAGTTTCAAGATAGTTAGGACCCCCTTTCAGAAGCATTGATGCGCTGCAAGACATGAAGGAGCTGTGTCGACAATCTACTTGTAGTAAATGAATTTCAAACTAAATTGATGTGGTTTACTCATATTCGAGCTATCTCGATAACGTTCTTCGGTGAGAGCAAATGCAAATGTGCTGGATACTCTTCATCTCATGCTCAGTGGGCCCTACCTCCTATTATTCTCGCCATTGGCCACGGGCTAATGGTCTAGAGGTATGATTCGCCCTTCGGGTTTTCCCGGCCACTGTCGTGGTCAGCGATGGGCGAGGCCCCCGGTTCGATCCCGGGTTAGCCCCGTTTTGGAGTTGTCTCAACCTTTCTTTTGTTCATGGCGCTGACAGAGAAACACAAGCTCTATTCCACAGTATGGCTTTAGCCTTCCGTTAAATACCAATAAAAACATCCACACAATTGTTTCCGACTTGACTGTCTCCTTTGCCTTGTGGACGGTCGTGAACGCCCTCACGATCCTGTTTTGCCAGGCTACGACGCCCGGGAGACAAACACGCGCGCGTCTTTCCAATCTAAACATGTGACCGTATTCGAGTTTGGTTCAGTCCACCTCTATCCATCCGACAAATCATGATCTCCTACACCCTGAGATTCATTCACGCACGGCTATGCAACTTACCGTGCCTGTTGTCCGCGATCCGTTGACCACCGTTGAGTTCGAGACCCAATTCTTACCAGTGTACGACATTACGATGTCTGTGTTTAGTTTTGGGGTTGAAGCTGGGCGTGAAAGGGAACAGACTGCTGGTCCCCGGGATGACCGCGTGCGTGTCAAGCGGTCCCACCACAAGTACTAGTATAGAGACACGGCACCGGCCCCGGGGTAAGACCACAGCAGCGACAGCAGACGCAAGTCCCTCGGCGACAAACACGGGTGTAGCTGGACGCAATCTCCGACGAGACCAGACAGTAATCGCGCAACCCGCAATTATATGTTTCGGTGTCGTATTCAGAGGGGGGGATTGTTGGCACACATAGATTGGGCAGCGAAGGACGTGGTGGTTTTCTGTTGGTCGGTGGTCACTGCATGCCAGTGTCACACATCACTTCCTACTCGACCCCCACCTGAAAACATGTGCGGCTGCCTTCCTGAAGCCAAGGACTACAGCGAACCTCGGTCTTCTGCCGGCCGCATCAACATCAACATCCGCGCTCTACTTAGTGGATGGGCAAACAACACAACACATGATGAACAGCAACTGGACAATGATCCCACATGAAAGCGATGTGCTCTACATTTACATCTGCCAGACGCAAGAACATTGGTCTGGTGTGTGTGCTTGTGGCTTATTCGGGACAACCGCGCAAGAACAACTTCGAAGAGCTACGATTTACTCCACTCACCGACGGCCGCCTTTGGCCACCACGCGCATCCAAGTTCACAGTCCAAAATACCGAAGCCCAGCCGGACACCTAGCAGGCAGGGTACCCGAATCGCCGCAGGTCACGAGAGAGATTGTTTCTCTCGCACCCATCTGATAGCGGGAATACGACATGGTGGGTAACTAACCCGGCAACTGTATCCTCTTCCTCACTAGTCTGTGAACCCCGAAGTTCTTCTTTGACGCTATACTCGACATCACTGACGCGTGTGTTCATTTCACCTCGTCCATCTCCACCGCTTAAATTTCTCCGCGTCGACAAATATTCGCTGACTGAATTACAAAGAAGACACCGACCCATCGCTCGTTTACAAGCCCGCAACTTTCTGCACTGACGGTCTTCAACGCGACCTTGGTCTTTCTTTGGACGTGTTGCCCGCAGGCTATCATCTGTATGCGACCCCACATCAACTTCACCGTGTTCTTCTTGCCTGGATCCCCAAGACAAGTGTGGCTGTTTTCCCGCCAACACATCACCAAGAACAAGCTCTTTGTTTAGACGACAGCGATACTGAATCGCGCGAGTGTCGTGTGGCCACACGACGTGACCATCTCCACCAACACATTCACGAACAAAACACCCGCGTCAGCGGGTCTCCAAATTTAGCCATTTATGGTCGAGGGTGTGATGTCGGCTCGACGGCTCAATGCTCGGCATCACCGTGCGTGTGCCTGCCGTCTGCACCGCAACACGGATTTGTGGCGATAGTGATGCGATCATTCAATTTATGGAGGTGCCTGTTTGCTTGTTCTTGCTTCAAGTTGCCTGTTTATTTACTCATTTCAATTGAAATCATCACGCGCCCACCTTCACATTTTACAGCGGAAAGTCGCCGAATGCCGATTCGCCGGTACTTAATCTCGATGTCGGGGGATAAAAAGCACTGAAACGCCGCTTTCGGGTCTGTGGCGATTCTCGACAATCGAACATGAACTGGGTCTTTACTTGCCTGCTCCGTTTGGCCACCAGGCCGGGATTCAGAAGGCGGAACCAATTCTGCGTTCTATCGGAAGATCGACGGCCGACCCCTCCTTTTCTACTCCTAGCTGTCTGCGTGCCTATTCAAATGGTTATCGTTCCAAGAAGGGAAGAAATCGGTTTCCTTTTTTGTTGATTTCCCGATTCCGAAGGCAAGGGATTTGCTTTCTGGCTGGGACTCGGACCGCCTTCCCGCGAACTCGAGGTGGGCTTTACTCCACTCCAGTGCCATGCCCGCTGCCTAGTTGCCACCGCCACAGGCTAGACTGGCGCCTGCCCGTGCAACACGGCCCCAGTCGGCGTCTTACTCTAATCAGTACGGTTCACGGGGCCGAAACGCCCGACCTCCATTCGACATCTTTTTTTTTTTTTCCTTTTGCGATGCTTACAACGCACGCGCACTGACTACTTAGTAAGCTCCCCGCTGCTGCGCGCACGTTCCGCATTCGTGAAACGTGCCCCCTTAGTCCCCGACCAAGGAAACAGCCTTTTTTTTCGCACCCTGCCGCTCAATAAATCAGCTTTCCTCGTCAATTGCCGCCGTCAACTGAGGCGTCCGACGCACACTAAATAGTGGCTAAACTCTATGGGATGTCGAGACAACAATGTCAACTTTTTTGTGGTTACAGTTACAGTTACAGCTCACATCTAATCGGATCCGGGCGGGACCCACCAACGGGCGATGTCCGCAGCCGACGACGTGCCTTGTTTTACTTGCTTGCTTTTTTTTGCTTGTCCGTAGACTAGGTTAAGGGCGCGCTTAATCACGCCAGCCAAGGGAGTAAGATCGAGAACAGTCGCGATCGTTGGGAGCAAAAAAAAAAAAAACAGATTGCGCCATCGTGCGCGAGCCAAGCCTCCCCCTTGCCCCCCTACTGACGACTTTGTGGGCCCAAAGCACGTTTATACGAATAAGACGGCTGACTGCACGCACGCCTTTCGAATGCGTGAATCAGGAATCCTACCCTCGCAGTCCGTCACACGCGATAGGCGGTACCTTTTCGTTCATCTTCGAATGGACTAGTCCAAGTAACTCCACTTCACATCTCCCAAACCAGACCAGAGGCAAGGCACCGGCCGACACTTCGCACCACCCACGACAGACCGTCAAGTCAAATTTTATTTCGTTTTTCTGCACTACTACTGTTACTCGTAGTCTAATAGTCGCCTACTGCTAGGAACGTGAGATGAGATGGGCGGAAATAATAATGGGTGTGTGTGTATGATGCGCGTTTCTGTGAAGGAGAGCTGAGATGGTGGTGGTATGCGATGCGAATGGTATGGCCCAAGGAGAAATGCGAAGGAGGGGGGGGTGATACAGTTTTGCCTTTTTGATTTACTTCTTCCAGTAGTCGAATGCCAAAGAAAATGCGAATGGAGTGAGGAGTGGACGTGTGTTGTTCGTGTCGAAAAGGAAAAAAAAAACGTTGGCGCAGGCTGCACCTTTTTTTTTTGCTTTTGGGATCGCAAACGAAGGCCAGGCTTATCGTCCAGTCCCATTTCCGCGAATTCCAAACCACTCGTCGACAGCGCCTTTTCGAGCCCTGCCGACAAGACCGCTTCGCCCAAGCCCTAAGCCAGGATGTTCTGGGCTTTGACCAGCACCGTCCAATTCCTCCGCTCGTGCTCGCCCCCGTTGTCGACTGTTGCTGAGGTTTCTGCTGCTGCTGCGGCCTCGCTCGCCAACGATAAGCTTTGGTGATATGCTTAGCCGAAGATGATACGGTGACTGGCCAGATGGGCCAACCATCTTCGCTGGTGGACTGCTGTTCCGACGGACAGCACGACCACGAGCAAGACCACTAAGAAAGTCGGTTACTTTCTCTTCAGAGTCGCGACGTCGCGCAGGGGAAGGGCTGCGACTGTGGCTGCGGGAAGGTGATGGGTGGTCACGAGTGCGGGTGCGAGAATGGGGACGACGACCGCGGGGAGTGTGGGCATGGGCTGCTGTCGCTGCGAGCCCGGCCATGAGACCAACTTTAGGCGTTGGGAGGGGAGAGTCGGGGGTGCAGCGTTGAAGCTGCTGAAGACGCAACTGTTGGCGAGGCTTTGCTGGAGCTTGCCTCCGACTTGTTGGTGTTTATCTGGAGCTTCGAGAAGTAGACCGGGAGGCTGGCGCGGTTCGTCTTCTTCCTCCCTTTGGTGGTCGTGACTGTGGCCGTGTGCTGCTGTCTGGGTGGGTCCTCTGAAAGGTGCGTGTTTGCTTTACTGTCCGTGTCAAAGTCTAGTTTGTGCTGCTCCCTGTGATAGCGTTGGTCGAATGAGGTGATGTCGTCTGGGGCAGACTGGGGTAGCGATAAAGACTGCAACGAGCCAGAGCCAGTGCGACAATGAAGTACGGCTCTGCCGTTGTTGGTCCCCGAGGGTCGCCGTGTGTAGGAGAGTCCATTTCGTGAGTGTTGCTCGGGCTCGCTTTCGTCGTCGGTGATGGACCAAGTGGTAGACGAAGCGGAGGATGAGGAGGCAGAGTACCGGTCATAGGCGAGTGGATTCCCCAAAGCAGAGGGAACGAGAGGTGGGACCTCCTGCCCATGGGCGTATTGGAGGTGGGGAGAAGAAAAGGCGCTGCTGGACTCGGACAACGACGGCGAGGTGAGATCTCCGTTGTGGCAGACCTCGTTACAATAGGTGCGTCTACGGTGAAAGGGACATGTTAGTCTGGGGGGAGGCAAAAGACCGTGGACAACGCACCCGTCGACGAGCTCTTTGCCGCAAGTGAGACAGTAGTCTTCAAACATTTCTGGCGGCGTCCTCCAAGTCCGCTTGTCCTGCTTTCTTACTTTATATATTCGATCGAGTCACGCTTTGACAAGACCTTAGGGGGCCAGCCCCGATCGCGAATCTCAGATCTGAGTAAAGATTCTAGTCACACGTCCCCTTTGCGGTGTCACACGAGAAGAAGAGAGCCCAAAGAAACGTGCGACCGTTACTTCGAGCTATTACCACGCCCCAAAAATGCAGAATGAGCGCTGCAGGAAGGCCAATCCTTGTGTGTGGCGCGTAAACCGAAAAACGTGATTGCGCGTGATGACGAGACGATGACGCGCCTACAACTCGGCACACAAAATTACTCATGATGCGCTATTAGTAAAATTACGGTCACGCGCAGGTCACGGTGCCCATGGTGACCCACGATCGCGCAAAAACGGCGACACGACGACACGAATCCTTTCCTCGGACGTCACAGAGTAGCGGTCGTAGGTCACCGAGTGGGCGACCAGATATTTTCGCCCTCAAACACAACAAGAAAACCCTTACCGCTACTGATTTTCCGCTGTTGCCAATGCCGCCGCCGGTCGGTCGTTGCCGAATACGGAAGCCTTTTCTTTGTCCCTGCAACCGGTGTGATGGCCTGCGGGCTTAGGAATTTACGAAACGGCTCACTCTTCACGACACAAAATAAAAAGGACAGGGCACGAAGTGACACTGAAAAGGTCCGGCAAACATTGACAACAAGGTGAGGATTCGGGCTCTCCGACGGACAGATCAACAGACTTACAAGGGCAAACAGACGTACATACGCTGGAAGAAAGAAAAAATGTTTCCCCTGTAAGACCTGGACCAGAGCAGATGCACACACACACTCGCGATGACAACAACGATAGAAGCAAGCCAATCTGACAGCGCAGAAAAATTGAACACCCTGACAGAACAATGGCGGGATACGACCACGCAACACCGCGGACTCGGCGTCGGGAAGATCAACCCCAACTGGCAACTCGACTCGACTTGAGAAAAAAACAGTCGGGGTAGAATGGAGCAGAACATGAAAGAACCAGCTTGTCATCGAACGCCGCCGACTGCGACACTGCCAGAGTCACCCACATTGGGGATACACATCTCGCCCATTCACTTTCCGAGATGGAACTGCTGTTGCATTGAGCGCAAGACGCAGTGAAAGCCGCCGAGTAAGCACCGCATAGCTGCGATCCATCAGTCAGAGAAAATTGGTCTCTCCATTCTCCAGCCTCAACGCGGCACCGAGCGGTCACTCTAGTCTGCTTTTTAGCGGAGAACTAGTGCGCCTATACTGGCGCCGCATGAAAGAAGCCGCAATATCTCGCGTGTATTGGACGAAAGCAATTAACCATCTAGCCAGTACCGGACTTAGCCTTCACCGAAGAGCCCCGCGCGCCGAAATTGCGGGGGGATGAGCAGACGAATCGCGTAGAGAAATCGAGACGTGAAAGCTAGAGCAAGTCAACTGGAAGTAAATCGCTTCGATTGTCGGTCCTCTTTTTGCCTATTCCAACGCAAAGAACAGTCGCCAGGAAAGTCCACCTTCGCAGCAGCAAATGCTTCTCGCCACACTTCAGCCAGACTCGACGACTAAACGCAGCATTCGCGCTACCGCTCCCGCCAGAGCAAGATTATCTAGAAGCGCGCGAATCCATCCAGGTGACAAGCTCTCGAGAATGAAGAGCAGACAGCCAGCGAACACAAGCACAGGCGTAAAAGCTCACGAACCAGTACCCAGCTAAATCTGGCGCGAGAAGTGCCTTTTTTGGCAAATGAGGGTTCGCATCGGATATTGCCGGCCGTGTGACTGGACAGAGAGCTTCATGCTTAGCCGCGGCCTGCAGAACTTGAATGCGCTGACGCGCGTTAAGTGCTCGGGGAAGTGCGCAGCCTGTCGCACTGGATGCTAATGTGTTCATGATGGTCAATCGGCCGAAGAGCAATATTAGATGGATGCATATGGCCGAATTGACTGACTGATAACTGTTAGCCCTGGCCAAAACCGAAGTCTGCCAGTGCCTGCTGCAGCGCTGCTGGTCCATTGAAATCGGACTTCATTCCGCTTCGAATGTGATGCCAGTGGTAAATCCTCTTTTACACTATATTCATCGGGAGATCAAAGTACATCCACAGGAAGTCGTCCTCATCGAGGCCAACCACGAAAGTAAACCGCTCCTGATCACCAAGTCATATCTGGTAGACATTAAAAAAATAAGCTCAAGACCCAGCCGGCGACACGCACCTTCTGCCCCACGACGAATTTTCCGCTCATGATCCATAATTCGTTGGTTGTGCTTATCGAGCATTTCAACGTAGGGTTTCAATGAAGTTCGCTCCCAGTCTGCATTGAATTCACCGTGTTAAATTACCGTCAGAGTATTGAGAGAAATGGCTTGCCTGAATGGTGCTGTGAGTCGGTGTCATTGTCGAGCTCTGCAATTAATTGGGCGACGGTAGGGACAGATTCAGGATCGAATGTTTTGATAGTCTTGGGGTCGACTGGGACACATATACGACCAGTCTTTGGATGGACACAGAAAGGCGCTTTGAGCAAATGGTTTCGTTTCTTCGACACGTTCTCATCGAGCCGTGGGTACGTGTATTGGAGAATGATGTCTTCCATCGCAGCAATTAATTGCGCCTGTTGGGTGTTTAGAATTTCGGACGTTCCTAGTATTGTGGCAACGCACACGTGCTGACGAATCCTTCTTGTAGGTCTTGATTTGGGCTTTGAAGGCTTGCCACTTTGCTGCAGAGCCCGAGGACTCGCCTGCCCAGTCGTTCCGCAGAGTCTCGACGATGCGCGTGTCCGGTATTAGCCGCAGAAGCGCTTCAGAGCCCTTTTCTGAAAGGAAGCAATCTTGGTCCACCAGAATAAGGTCGGCAAAAACGTAGGCAAGGTGGTCAAGTGCAGGTCTAGACACTACATAAGTTGATGGCAAATGAACAATGAATTACCAACTTCAAAGATGCAGGCAGTGGACGGGAGCCAAAGCGGATATTCGGTCGCTTGCTTTCGTCCTTTTGCACTACTGAGAGCCAGTTGACGATCGCTTTGCGTTGCTCGTCGGTTAGCACCATTGCCTCTGGGTCTGAGATCCACAAATGTATTCCTCGGCGACCGGAGTAGACCCATAGCAGGTGTTCGTAGCCAAATTGGTCTCGGATGGCCTCGTCCAGAATGCGTACGGCAGCGGCAATAAAGGCCCAACAGCGTTTGCATATTTCCGCTGATGAGCAGCATGTTCGGATAGGATCGTAATCGGTCATATCTATATCGAAAACAAGCTCGCGGGCAACAGGGTTGAATGTGCCTTGTCGCGCTGTCTTTTTGTCGCGAGGCTGTTTTGTGACCGGTCAATGGGGACAAGGAGGAGGAGTAAGGACGCACACGAGATGTGTATACTGGACCAATCTCAAAACGCGTGGGGGCGAGTTTGCATACTTCGTTCTTGAACTCGTCCACATCGAGGTAGGACCGGTATCGCAACATGACATCGTTGGGAAGATTGAAAGCAATTTCTCGTTTGGTGAAGTAGTCCTCGGGAGTAGGGGCGTGATTCAGCCAGTGGAAGATAGATTTGTAGGGAAATAGACGACGGTAGAAGACGTCCATGAGTTCAGGCGAAACCGCGTTGTCGGTCATGGTAGTCAAAACACGAGATGTCACGCGACAGTCACAGCTTGATGGGATTGGGTAAGCGTGCAGGTTGCTTCGTTTGCCATGGCGCCGGTCGCCGACACCGACACCGACGCCGACGGTGATGAAGGGAAGGAATCAACTTTGCGTGCGAACGATCGACCGTTTTGACTCGTTCTTGAGAACCCTCTTGTCATTCTCCAGCCAAACGCCGAAAACGGCCAGAGAATGGAAGTTCACACAGGCTCGATCCAACATTAACTGTGTCGAAAAAAAAGATTGTTTCCGCCCTGATGACTCCCCCAGAAGCTCCCCGTTCTCTGCATATCACACCGCTATCGAAAAAAGTTTTCCACATCTTATCACCGCGCTCAGAGAAATTACCCGCATTGTATCGTAAACTAGTAACAACAACAGCTCTATGGAGGTGGTTGTTGTGGTGTCGTTGCCGAGGAGGCAGCTTGTGAGATTCCATTGTCCGCCCGTTCAGGAGACGCTGAGATGGGTTGATCAGTCACAGCAACAGTGGATTGACGTGCTGTTGGTGTCCGTGGCGTTGCAGGGCCCACACCAAGAGGGTCCTCCGCTTCTTCTGGTGGGAGAGCGGGAAGCGGGCTTTCCGGGCGAGGACTGGAGGGGTCCAGTTGTCTGAAACCTGACGTTCTCAATGATGATGAACTTGAGCTTGTCCGCAGAAGTGGCCCTGGCGGTGGCGATTTACTCGTGCCATTTACGTTTGGTACAGTACTCGAGCTCGTCACGGGAGACGAGCTTCGGCTCGAATTTGCTGCTCCATTAGTGCCATTTACACTAGGATTGGTGGCGTTGCTGCTGATAGCATTCGCGGCAAGCGAGTTCCAGCGTAAACGTGCTGCGAGAGAATTTCGATTGGGATTCGGGGCAGGCAATGATGTAGAGTTTGTGGTCGTGGGGACAGACGCCGCATTAGGTATTGTAGCTGGTGACTTCGCTGAATTGAAGTTTGTTGCGTTCACAGCGGGCGAAGTTGGCTGGGGGACACGTAGCTCGGCAATAACAATTTCGAGCATCGCACTTGGTTTACCGACATTCTTGAGCTCAGCCAACTTCTGATGCAAAAATCGCGCATCTGTAAGGAGGCTGTCAAGGCACAAAATTGTCAAAAACCGCTCATTATCGAAGGCCGGGAAAAGACGCACCCCTGGCGCGCCTCTTCGTTGGGCAAAACTACTTTTGCGTACTCTTCCGAAAGGCGGTGGTTGATCGCGGCGAATACCTGTACCATCACGTCCTATACCGCGCTATCAACATCGGCGTAAAGACCGCAGCATCATTCTTACCTCTACAACGGCGGCAGAGAGATGGCGCGACAGCACTTTGTGAAGAGTCACCGTCTCTCGTACCAACACTGTCATGTAAGAGTTGACACCCTCCCGTGGCGTAGACCAATCAACGGACTAACGTTTTCGATAAGCGCTTGGACCGTATTCACAACACCAACTTGTCTTACCTGGAAAGTACGAATATGGGCGTTGAGACGGTCGCCCATAATCGCGATCAATTTTGCGTGAATCTCGTTCTGATGCTCCTGATAATCCTGCCGTACAAAATTGTGTTAGAAGGGCGAAGGACAAGAGAGAGAGGAATGGAAGAGAACACACGCGTTTGAGTTTGTCAAATTCTACTAGCATAACAGCCTGCTTCTGGCTAAGGTGCCGTCGAAAAGTCTCTCGAACGTAGGGAATGAGGGCTATCATAATGGACAGGGATTGAGATGCGAGTGCTGTGGAAAAAAAAGTTTATTATTATGGAGCCAACACAAAAGTCTCGGGCACATACCGAGATGCTTCGCAGTGATATTTTTGAGACCGGCGGATCGCATTGCCCCTGCACCCAAGACAACCTGGCACGTACGAGAGTTGAAAGCCTTGAGAAATTCAATCACACGGCTCATCGTGTCTGTCGTTAACATCGAAAGGTTGACGATAACGCGCAAATAGTCGAGTAGCAACGAGAGAACCTCAGTAGTCGCGGCTACTGCGGAGTATGTGCGTTCCTCGATCCGCAAACGAATCTTTGCGGCTTTAGCCGTGGATGATGAGCCATTGGCCTTCTTTGAGGGCGGCGGAGCAGATGGAGATGAAGGGGGGATGCCATTGGAAGGGTTCTCAGGGGCTAGACTGTCCGTGGTCGATTGCGAAGGCGCGGCAGCAGACACCAACAGTTCGGGTACATCTTTTACAGCGCATTCAACGAGAACATCAGTAATGTGCTGAATTGGCTGTGTCGCGTCGACTTGCTCCCATTGCTCGTTTTCCACAAGACTGGCTGATTGGGTCAATCGAGCCTGATGGAAAGTTTGTAGGAACGTCTTTGACTGCGCCATGTTAGGAATGCGATTGAAAACGTGGCTGAAACGAACCTGGCTGATTACCACGCCTCGTAGGCCCACGATCATTTGCCTGCATATCACTTCACACTTGACGACGAATGACCACGAGTCATTGAAGAAGACGAAAAACTCGGAGAGGCTGAGAATCGCATGCTGCTCGGCGCGAAGAAGAATTAATTTGGCAGCTTGCGTGTTGGAGAGCTCAGCAGCAGAGCTGAGAATGTCCGTAAGTTCTTCTTGAAGAGCGGCAGTATTCTGGAAGCTGGAATGCGGTCAAAGATGTGGCGCTTGGCTCAATTGACCTGTCACATACCTCGTCGTCTCAAGAACCTGAACAAAGGCCGCACATTGGGCTTGAAGCCCTTCTACGGCATTGAGGAAGCTCTTGTAGACAGATTGTATGAGCACTGAAAATTCGGCATGTGGCATGTTTCGGAGGTGGTTGGCCAGTCCCGGCCTACGAGCATTAATTAAAGGAGCAGGGAGTAATAGATACTACCTCAAAGTGTCTCCGCCAACTGTTGTTTGTTCTTCCGTTAGATCTACCCCCGGTAAATGCTACCGTATACGGAATAAGTGAGGGTTTTCTTCATCTGACTTCAAAATATTACTCACTGTTGCCACAACCCCACGAATTTCGTCTAGCGCGATCTCTCTCCATGACAGTGTTGCTTCGCGAATGCCGTTTGTCCGTATCAAGCCTTGTAAGAGAGGTCGCAAACGATCTGTAAAGCCTTCGTGCAACTTCTTGGATGGAGTCCCAGAGTTGATACGTTCCAAAATATCACCTCGAAGCACGGAAACGAGCTCTGTTGATAAAGAAGACGTTATTTCCAACGTTAATGTCCGAAGATGTTCTGGCAGAGCTGCAAAAGCAGTTAACGATGATAATGGTATTGGCGGAGGAACCGAAGGCGAAGGGGCTGGCCGCTCTTCTGGTGTCGGTGGCAGAGCTGGCAGCCTCCGGTTGATGCTGCCTTCAGCAGTTGCCACTGGAGAGGTCACCACACTAGAAGGCTGGGGTTCTGAAGTACCATCCCATAAATGTTCCATCTCCGTTAACACCGTCAGTGCTTGGTCCCATTGGCCAGCGGCGACTAAACCCTTGGCAACACTCGTCATTTCCACCACCCCACCCACAAAAGTGACGCCCTCGCGTACTTTTCCCAAATTCCGCAACCGACCACCCCGTCGCACTACCTCCAGACCCTTCTTTGCGCTTTTATCGTCCACCTCTTTGAGTAAGGCACGAAGTTTGGAAATGCGATCTAAGCATTGCTCGGATTCACTTTGCAACTCGTGGAGATTTGTGAGAGCAGCAAAAAACGACGCAGACCGAATAGAGATTTCTCGGACTAGGTGTTGTTCAACCGTATCGGCATAATGCGAGAATTTCTCGAGGAGTGGTAGAGAATAAGATATCGAAGCAGGGTCATGCTCAGCAGAATTCTGTTCCGTTACAGTTTTGAATGTGCGCGGGTCGCCGAGGTTGAAGTTTGGCTGGAAGAAGACAGATGGGACAACGTCCAATGGTGGCAATGGGCGGCCTGACGCTTGCGTAAATGGGCCGTTTGTCGGCTTTGGGGTTGAACTCCCTTCCAGTTGTAGCTCGGCTTCACGACTAAGCTGGTGACTATGCTCGAGCCTTTCCCACTCTGGAGCAATTGCTCGGAGGTAAGAGTCGAAGTCCTTCCTTCGTACACGAGGAAGTTCGGCGGGCGCAACAGCCGGAAGAGAAGAATGGGCTTTCGGAGGGGCCTGTTTCTTGTGTGGGTTGTTCAATACCGTTGATATGGCTTGCCAGTGAAACTTGGTGAGTGTCAGAGTTACTATGAAGGCAAGATGCCGCACCATGAAATCCATGAGTTGTACTGCTCCATTGTTGAGGAAGAGAGCTCAGGCCAAGATTGGCGGTAGAAGTGTTAAATAGATTGAGACGCGACGGGCCAGCGAAGTAATCCCGTCCTTCGGTCGTGCCGGAAACGCTTTCTGGGCCTCTTTGGTTTGGGTCCCAGTTGAATCGAAATGGGCGGGCGGTCGGAGGAAGCGGGGATACGGGTGAAGCGGGTCGAGAGGGATTGGATGAAGATTCTTCTGACATGACGAGCGGGAAGCTCGAAAGCCTGCGGCGTCACATGATTGAACGACTTTTATTATGGACTCCTTCAAGGTACCTGGGCCTGTCGCCTATGCATTCTCTTTCTTTCCCTTGCACACATTTCCCGATGTCCTACCACGCTCGACACCGAATCCTGTCTCACCGACTCTTTGGATCAGTCCACCAAGATCAACAACGCGTCTCAGTGCAGATGTCGAATGCCTCAAATGGCAAGCTTACTTGGCTCTCCGTGGACTGACCAACATCGCAATTCGTCGTGATATCGCTTCAGAAGGCGCACTAGACGCCCGTCTTCCCAATTTGCATCTTCCCGACGGCCAGCTTCTTCCAGCCAGACTAATTCCAACCTGGGCAGAAGAAACGTTGAACGAGCCAGAGCGCCCGTTAGAAGGCTACAAAGACCAAGCTGCGCTCGATGAAAGTAGGGCATGGGTATCTCTCCTGGAATGCGACATTCATGCTGCATTGGCAAGTACCATGACGCTCCAACTAGCTCTCATTCATCCTTTTCAGCTTTTCAGTCAACCTCGGCCATCGTATCTTGCCTCCCTGTTTTCATTCGAAACTCCTCCGTCCAGGCCATTAGAAGCAATTCTCTCACCTCCGCCGCCGCCGTTATTCGGAATCAACTCGATATTCCCTGCTGTAGGGAGCCACATTGCACCAGCCGACATCGAATCCAAGTACCGCGCAGCTATATCTGCTCTCGCTGAACGCCTCGGCACGGATAAATGGCTACTTGGATCATCGTATGTGCTCTTTACTTCTTGAAATGGCCATTCACAATTTCACCAGCGAACCAACACCTTTGGATGCCCTCGCTTTCGCATATCTGCATACCATCCTCCATACCGCCAACCACATCATTCGTATAGAAGTTACGCGGAGGGTTAACCTTGTCGCATGGGAGCTGCGAGTTCGAGGATTAGTTTCCGCTGCCTTCAAGTAGCAAACATAAACACGAAAGCGAGCATGGTTATCATAGTATACTTCGAGGGATAAGAAAAACCGTTCAGAATACCCTCCAAAAGCGAGTCCACCGCGTCAAGATAAAAGACGCGTCGTTCGTTGCGCGAGTGACGGAGGTTTTTTTTGTTTCTGTATTTTTATACCGCTACAAGTACACTAGCTACTAAGACGCGATGGTCAGGCAACAAGGCTGTCTGGCCGTTCGATGGGGTGTTGTGCCTGGGAGCCGTAAGGCATGAAGCATAAGATGGAATAAATAAGGACTTGTGTTTGACTTGTGTTCGTCTTCATCGTCCGTTTCGCGCGGGTCTGGTTCGAAGGTCGGGAGGGATGTTGGGGTTCGTGGGTGCCCAGTCTTGGTGAAGGCGCCGCTCTTCTCCAGGAATTCGGCCGGCGCCATCATACCTTTGTGGGCTACAAGGAGTTGCGGGAGTGATAGGCTTCTCGATGCCTTCTTGCTCGGAGTGACCGAGGTCGAGAATGACATTGCGTCATGTTGATTACGCCACTTCCCACTTTTCTCTGTCCGTCATGGACGTGTATGCTTTCCTCCCCAAAATCCAGCCTTATGTTTCCGTGCTGTTGGGATCTTTCGCTTTCTTCAACGTAATCCATCTTGTCGCCGTCCCTCTCTTTGCAAACCTGTTCTTTCCAACGCAATGGGCCAAAATGAACTCGCGAGCCCGCAACAACTGGGCCATACATATCTGCTCTCAAGCGCACGCGCTGGTTATTCTGCCGCTTGCGTGGCGATGCATAGGGCTGCCAGAGCTAGATGCCGACCGCGCATTTGGCTGGCATGAGCGAAATGGGACGGTGCAAGCTATTGCTTGTGGGTCGGTGGTTAAGATCGCTGCCAGCTGTAGAAGCTGATTCACTGTTTAGCTACTTCATATGGGACACCCTGGACGCCATTGTAAACTACGACAACATTGGGTTCGTGCTGCATGGCTTAACATGCGGCGCGATCTATCTCCTCTCATTTGTGAGTGCCAGACGCGAAACGCAGCTGCTCCTTAAGGCGGTTCACAGATCCCATTCCTTGGATACTTCGCGCCGCGATTTCTGCTATGGGAGACGTGTGTACTCCTTCCGACAACCCGCTTGCGTTGACTGTTATTTCCAGGAGCACTCTTTTCCTGAACATCCACTGGGCACTGGACAAGACTAACCGCACCGGCGGTAGCTTACAACTAATCAACGGCGTGCTTCTCGTCGTTTCCTTCGCTCTTGTCCGTCTGGTCGCGGGTGGCTATTGGGTACGGCAACTCTACCTGCCCCAATGCGCCGTCCTAACTCCCCATAGTCCTACCAATTCTACGAAACCCTGTTCGAATACAAGGACAGGATTCCTTTAGCTGCACTCGTTGTTCCCGGTATCGGGAACGTAATCCTACAAGGCCTGAACTGGTTTTGGTGCGTACTAGCAGTGTTGGTTCCACATTTGCTCAATGCTGATCAGGTTCACCAAAATGATCTCTTCCTTGCGTAAACGCTTCTCCTCCAAGGAGAAGACAAGGAAACAAAACGGGGCGGCGGCCAACGGCCACGGAAAGCACCAAAAGGCTGATTGAACACAATTATCTGGGCGGAGGATGGATATACTGTAGACTTGTCATATCTATTAGAGAACTACATACTTAGATTCACGCTGTAAAACGAAGATGAGCCGACGCGGTCACGTGCAGCATCAACAACATCGCTCCAACCTTCAGCTCGTCAGTTGAATCATGGCTCGACCGAAAACTCTGTGGGTGCAATATCTTGTCCAGCTACGAATTACTCATAAGCAGCCATCCTGCCACGCTCCCCTTTGACCAACCGCCGCCACAGCTGAACCAAAACGATACCCGGGGCCGGACCCCGTTCTATATCCTCGCGTGGCGCGTGTGGAACAGCGACCTGAGCATATATCCGAACGAATTTGTGCCTGTCGACAAGTATTTTACCAAAGCGTGGTATGCAACCCGTCGGAAGCATGGAATCAGCCAACAGTGCGTTTCTCCTCTTCTGCGTCAGTCCCGTGGTTGATGGCTTTACCAGCACGCGACAGCCGTATGTCCTCTGCTCTATACGCCCGGATGAAGAGAGCGACATTCTGTACTTCATTGCCGCGACGAACCGCCACAGATTCGACCTCACGCCCGACTCGCTCGATATTCGTGTAACGAAGGAGACGCTGCAGGACATTTATGAACCGTACGAGCGTGAGCTGGACGAGCAGCTGACCGATCCTATCTGGTATCGTGTTGGCGCTTTCGATGATTCACCGCAATATAACTGGGAGGGCGGCTCAAACTCGAGCAGAAGCCCGTCCGGGTCATGTCGCTAAAGGAAACTTTACAAGACATAAGCAATGCTGCGAGCTTCCAACATTTCTATTCTATACTTGTGTTGCTATTTGGGAAAGGTTGTATTGTGTGGACGGGGTTGGTGAGGGTGTTGTTCGCAAGCCCAGGTCAATGAGAAAGTCGTGTTTCGTATTTTAAGGGAATTTGTGCGGTGTTTCCAGAATAAGCAGCTAACGACACGACTGGGAGTGAGCGCGACACGGTTGGTCGTCAAACGATCCAACACGGTACCACAGTGGATCGCCAAGCCTCGCATCTGGCTCATCCCTGGGCTCGTAGAACTCCTCCATAGTCTCTCGCGCGTCGAGGGAGTCCAGCGCAACTTGAAGGGTGAACTTTGTGTTATTTGAGTCAACAATTGAACGAAATACATAACGTCGCTGTCCTCGTCGTCGCGAATGACATTCAAGACCAAGGGATCTGAGAGTCTAAAGAGAGAAGAGAAGTCAGCGCCAGGACATAGTAAAAGACTGGACGCGCACTGCTCGTTGATGTTGCGTTTCCCCTTCATCTCCCCCTTCATCTCCCGCCACGCCTCAGTGGAGTATTTGTCAACCGTGGAAAATTGCCGGGGTACAAAACCAGGTCGCGGCATGGAATTCACCACCCAAGTATATTGAAAGGAGTAAGACCCCAAGGGTCATCTTGGTCCGCACGCGCTGGTGGTTGGTCCAAGGTTGGTCAAAAGGTAGGGTTGCAGGAAACCTTGTGGCGAGTGTTCGTCAGTAATTACAAGCCAATGAAAGGTTTATTACAGTGTTTTGGCCCATGAACATGGTCGTTGTGTGGTGTTATAATCACTTTCCCCTATACACAGTATTACAGATTCAAGTCGTCGCGGGCACGTGATCGTCAAACGATCCAACACGGTACCACAGTGGATTGCCAAGTTTTGCATCTGGCTCATCTCTTGGGTCATAGAACTCCTCAAGCGTCTCCTTGGCAAGACGCATGTCGAGCGAGTCCAGTGCGATTCTGCGCCTCTTGTTATTCGAGTCGACGACAAAGTACATGACATCGCTGTCTTCATCGTCACGAATGCAGTTGAAGACCAAAGGCCGCGATATGCTGCAAGAGTCGCATATGTGTAAGTGCCAGGGCGTGAAAAGTGTCAGGGGAGACGCACTGCTGTTTCATGTCCTCTTTCTCCCGCGCCTCGCACCACATCTTAGTGTAGTATGGGTTGACGGTGGAAAATTGTCGAGGATACAAGCCCAAGTCGCGAGGGGGAACCCTCCACGCAAGGATATATAAGGGAGTCACACCACGGGGATCGTCCTGGTCCACGCGCGCTGGTGGTTGGTCAAAAGGGAGGGTGGCAGGAAACCTTGTGCCGATGGCGAGCGTTAGTCGTATACCGGCCAGTGGGAGAGCCGCTCACCGTGTTCTTGGCCGTCTATACATCAGTGTGTGGCACAGTGAATTGAGAAAGACGAGATCTTGACGAGATCTAGAAGAGAGCCTTCGACGCTTCAACATGTGACGCCGTGATCTATGGCAGTCCAATTGCACATTTAATTTTTACCGCGCGCTCTTGATGTTGCGCGCTCTTTTTGGGCCGGATTTAGTGATTTTCCCGGTAAATCACGGATACCAAAAGATGGCGCGGGAAAAGTGTCCGCGCGCGCTCTTTTTGCCTAACCCGGATGATGGGCGCGAATAACGTCGATGTATGTAAACTCCCGGCAGAACCTGCTCATTGCCAATCAATTCACCCCCCCCACAAAGAGCAGCAACTTGTGCAAAACACTTGAAGATCCATTGCGCAGCTTGTCGGAACTTGAATCGTCCAAGGCCCGCCGTCCGACGTTTGCGGAAGACAACGCGAAAAAGGCGGTTAACGCTTTCGCCAAAGCCATCAAGCCCCGCTTCGATCCCAGCGGCAAAAACTTCTTGTTTGAGGAGCGCGATCTCGAACTGCGTCATCAGATTGAGCGCCAGAGACCGTTGTTCGAAAATTCTCCACCTGCGCAGTTTTTTGCGGGCCCTCGCCAATGGAGCGGCCGGAAATGGGCAATTCTTCTTACCTCCGGCACATCGAAGCGTATGTTCGGATTTGCGAGAAGAACGAGCACCACCAGACAACGTTTTTCCCTACCCCTACTGTGGATTAGTCTTCTAATACTACTGTCGATAATTATAAGTAGTGTAGGTGTTACACTTTCTAGGCTGATCACTGATGACAGCGGCATATTTGATCCCATCATCAATTTCTGATGATATCATCAACCTCTACCACATCACACCAACCAACCCCAAACGAAGGCTAGCACAGCCTTACCATATTTGGTTAGATGATATCATCCATCAATCCATCAATGACTCAGACTGAGTCATATCAATCCGAGTCAGAGTGAGTCATGACGTGAGTCAGGGTGAGTCGGTATGAGTCAGAGTGAGTCAGTATTAGTCAGCCTGGAATTAGTATATAAGTAGGACGCTGGTGGCCTTCTGCCCCCAGCGCTTTTATTCTCTTTTCCCTCCTACCTTCTGGGAAATAGTCATCTGGTTGTATCATACCTATCAATACAACTTGATCTCATCATCAACCACTACGAAGTTAGATCATTTGATCATCCATTAAGTTGGCCCATCATCTGATCCGGCTTTGTTTGTGACAGTAGGGATTTCAATCGTCATCTGTACCTATTTCCGAACGACTGAATGTCTGCATTGTTCATGATGACCGCATTTGTTACTAGTAGACGACCTTAGAGCTCGTTCGGGAACGAGAATCCGCTGCGATTCTCGCGAGAATCTGGATTCTCGTCAGGTCCGGCGTGACTTCCTTTTTGAGTTAGCATTGTCTCACACCCGCCAACCCGCACTGCCCCACGGCGCCCAAGATGCGCCATTACAACGTCTGCGATGTCAAGGTGGGCTGCTTACTTTTCAAGTGGGTTTGACACAATACATTCAAGGCGTTGGCCGAGGCTTATGGGATTAAACTCCCTGCCCCTGTTCCCAGAAAGCCCCGCGCCAAAAAGGTGGCAGCGGCGACTACGGAGGCGGTCCGGGTCCCCGCAACCCCACAGAAGAAGCGGGCTCAGGCTGTCCCCTATTTCAAACAGGAGGAGGACACCAAGAACGGAATTGTATATTTGTTAGGCTAGACACTGTTGTTTCTTGCGTACTACCACATCGACGATTTTTTTCTCCATTTTCCGTTGCGCTCACATGACCTTAGACTGTCAAAACGCAAGTTGACTTCTGCCATGGGCCGCTTCTCCTCGTACAGCCGCGCCAACACGTACTACACGGGCCACGGGCGGTGGCGGCGGCCGGTGGAGATCATCTACAAGACACACGCGATGAAGGAATACGGGCTGAGCGACGGCGACCTCGGGGAGCTCAGCCCGCTCAGCGCGGAGGTCAACCCGCGCAACAGCCGCCAGCGGGTCGTCGTGTACAACGAGGCGAAGGTCCGGGCGCTGGCGTTCAGGGTGCAGCAGCGGAAGGAGGTCATGCGGTCGAAGGGGGTGCGTTTACTTATTCGAGCTTGAGATGCCGATGCTGACCTCATCTGCTAGCTCTCGCCTGCTGATCTGGACCGCCTCACGCCGGTCCGGACCGCGCCGAACCCACACGCGAACGCGACGGGCCCCACGCGCTTCTACAAGCGGTCTGACGTCGAGGCGCTCGTCAAGGAAATTCGGCGCGAAACGGCCACGGCGCGGGAAGCCATCGCGCAGGATGTGGCTGTGTGCAAGGCCAAGGCCGACGACGAAGAACTGTGGGCCGCGTTTGACGCTGACGATGGCGTCTTTGCGCTGGTGTAACTTATATACTTTTTTTACTAATCTCTGGTATAATTCTCTACGATTGTCTATAAGTACCACTCCTGCTATGCCCTTGTTGCTCACCAAGTTTGAGGACTGTTTCCCTGCCAGTCAGGCGTGAACGTGACACTGAACCATAGTACTCCAGACTAAGTCGATGTGGAAGCTAGCGCCAGCAAACCGTGGAATTCTTCCGCGAATGCGGCGACGACGATTTCCGAGCCGCGTTTGTGGAAGCGCTGTTTGCGATGCCGCTGCCTGCGCAACGATGGGATCCGGCGAGCGCGGAGAGCAAGGGCTCGAGGCTGGATGTGAGCGACTACGACGAGGTGTTGGCGTCTCTTGGTGAAATCATAGGGGAGTGGTCGTGAGTTTGAAGGCTCTTGGGCAGCGATTTGACATGTAGCAATTGCCAACTTGGTCTACTCAAGGCCACTGTAGTAATATGCTGACGCCTGCCATGGTGGGTGTGGTTAAGAGCAGAGTTGCATGTGACCGAGTATTTTTTTTTTTTTTTGAATCACATTTATATACCGCGTACAAGTATGCGTGATGTGACCGAGTAGTAAGTAAATAGTTGGAGTTTTACTCTATACACAATACCAAGTATTATAATGTTCCTAAAAACTTACACCAGCACGAAGATCGCGTCGTCTTTCTCGGAGGGAGTTTACGGCCGCCACGATATTGGGACTGTAAAAGAGACAAGGAGTAAGGGAGTTGTCCTCACGCGTAGCATATGCGGGGCCGCCGGTTAGCCCGCTTGGACCTTAGGCAACGGTTATAGGTGTTACATAAAAATGAAAGGGAAGAACATCAGGAAATTTGCGCTATCATGGTCAACGTTGACCAGCGCTCACCAACGTCACCAGCGCGGCCATGCTGGTGACCCACTTGGCCAACATAAAGTGAGTGCTCACCAGGGCGACTCATTTTCGCCAACACTCACCACACTGCCACCAGCAAGGCGATATTCTTGTCAGATATTCAACATGTGGGCTGTGGTTGGTCGTACCGGTGGCGACTTGACCTGTCTGGTGGGGTATGAGCCAAGCTCCAGTCAGCAGGAGGCCACTCGACCACAATCCACTTATTTTCGCGCAAAAATGTAATAAAACAGCAATATATTTGAAAAAAAAAAAACTGTATACATGGCTTATTCTCTATTTGACGGCTCCAGGGCAGCACGTTGAGCTCGTAAGGCAGCGCGCGAGTTGCGGGACGGCCGGTAGGTGCTCGCGGAAGCTGCGTGGGTTTTGAAAAGCCGCCTGGAATCAAGTCAGGCAGAGATGAATGACAGCGAGATGCGTACGTGTTCCACCACTGAAGCAGGTCGTCAACGCGTTTGCGGGCTGCTGAATTGGGCGCGGGCTCTTCAAAATAATCCACCAGAAAGTCGTACATTTGGGGGAGCGAAACTCCCCCATAAACCTCGGCCCATTGGTAGACAGTAGTTAGCGATAGGTAGAGCTGAAGTTGCAGGTGAGAATGGAGCCATATGCAGAGGGAGAAACACGCACCTGAACTGCCCCATAGGCAATGGCGCGTCCAGTAATCTTGCCATTGAGGCCCGCTAACTCGGCGCAGGTCTTGCGCGTGCTTGAGCGCTTCTTTGTTGGCTTCTTTGCTGGTGGCTGGTTCTCAGAGTCGTCATCTCCATCTTCAACCTCAGTGGAGGTGAGGAAGATGGCCGAGACAGTCTAGCAGATGGGTCAAATACATTGAAGCAAGTGAGCAAAGTACGCACCCGAAGCAAGTAACGGCTCTTGAGAAAGCCTTTCTCTACATCATTAGGGTCCCCGCGAAAGCCAGCATACAGCGCGCGGACATAGTAGTTGGGCGCGAAATCTTGACGACCAGCATCGATCTTCTGTCGGGTGCTGGGAAAAGGTAAGAAGCGCGTCACAAGAAGTGACAACCACCTTTCATCTGCCCAGTCAACCTCGACTGACGAAAGCAGCGCGCCAGTTATGTCGTGCTTCGTCCCACGTCCACGGCGGTCGTCTGGGACAAGATATGGTGCGTGTTTTTTTATTAGTACTTGATCTCCATGCTCATTAGTCTCATAGACGGCTGGAGTGTAGTCGAAGGCGCAAATATCAGCCACATTCTTGCTGATATCGTCGTTGATCCAATTTGCGACCAACTTAGTGACCTTTCCGAAGTCTTCAGCCCGCCCGGTGTTGGCCCCACGCTGGACCTGAGCAACAGGGTCAGCCAGGCCTTGAACGAGAAGATGCATACCGTCTGAATCCACGCGTTTAGGTCTTCGGCAGCAAGCGTGGCTTTCTTTGCAGCCAAACCGGGGAGCAAGTGGTGGAGTAAAAGGTTGGCCTCATAGTTCCGTTCATCGCTCAAGGTGCGTAAGTTGATGAAAGATCTACCAAAAGCTCCACTCACGCGCGCTTTTGGTCCAGAAACTTGTCTTCTTCTTCGAGGGTGTACTCCTCCTCTTCAAACATCCGCCGAATCGTCTCGTCGTCATCATACGGGTCCTTCTCCAGCATCTGCGCGTCATAAAGGATGGTTGCTATGTTGCCGAAGCAAGCCACAGCACGACGTAGAGGCCGGCCACTGGCGGACACCGATTTGACTCTGAGATGGAGTTAGCTTCTGGGTTGCGAGGGTCTTGGGGCCTACGCTGGCGCTTTTCGTTTACGGCCTCGCTGGGTTGGTGGTGGAGAAGGGGTCCGAGGTCGAGGGTTTGGCGACGACGTAGCGCCTTGTGAGGAGGTTCCTGTGTGGCGGGTAGAACCTCGAGCTGGTGAACGCGGACGCGAGTGCGAACGCGAGCGCGAGCGCGAGCGCGAGCGCGAGGAAGGCGATGAGCGGTGATGGCGCGATTGCGATGGAGGCGACGAATGACGAGGGCGCGATGGTGGCGACGAGCGACGATGGCTTGAAGGCATCTGGGGATGGGTAAGGCAGGGAGGACAACTGAGAAGTGGTGCGAAGGGGGAGAAACTCACTGGGGTGATGGGGGTTAGAGGCAAACAACGGTGAGCGATCGCCTTTTGGTTTTATCTTGCTGAAGGCCAAGAGAATCAACAAACTGGCACAAGTCACGTTGCGATCGAGGAACGCGAGGATAGGATCGACGCGCACAGCTTGTAATGCATGTGATCGTACCGCAGAATGAAATTTGATACTCTTCCCCCTATCCTACTGGCTCCTGAAACTAACGACGACGACAAGATACTGTTGGCGGCAACTCGGACGACTGCAACACCTTTCGACTGTGTTGCGCCCCAGATGGCAGTAAACACAGGCTGCACGACACACATCTACACAGGCAGCCGACTCATATTCACTTTCTGTATCGTTCTGATCATGGTTCTCTCTTGCGTCTGTGGCGAAACACGCCTCAGCGAGGCGGCTCTGAGCCGTCATACAGTGAATTGCGCTGCCTACATCAACATGATTTCGACTCTGGGCGGCGGCGATAATCAAACTACTGCACCAATTGGCCCAACACTTCCCAGTCGACAACGACGGGGCCGAGGTCGAGGCCAACGCGGAGTACCAGTCAGTTCTCTTTACACATTTTCCTAGCATTGGTTCTGATATATGCTCTGTTTAGCTTGACCGCCAGGCGATTCCGCTCACCAATCCTGCATCAGCATCTCAATCTCCACCTTCTCCTGTCATCGAAGCAAACATGCACATACCGGACATCGGGGCGAGAGAGCTGGAAGTGGAGGAGGAGTTGGTGGCTCATCAGCCGGCCTGCGAAACACTAGGACTGCCCAACGCCGAGTTGGAGAGCCCAGCAACAGCGCCCAATGCGATTCCGACAACGCAAGCATCAAGTCAGCCACCAGCGCTGGTCTTACAACCGCCTACACCTGCTGTCACTGCAACAGGTCGTCCCCAACGAACAATCCGCCTTCCGGGACGCTATCGCGAGGAACTGCCGACCAATCTGGCACCAGCAGACAACTTGCCTGCCACGGCGCAACGTCAGCCTGAGCCGATGCCCCAGCGTCGTGTTCATCTCATTGTTCGTGACACATTCCGAACAGCGGTGAATAAGTTTGGGCTCTGGCGGTCGTATCTACACCGTCCGACATACGACCCCGACACTCTGCTTGGTCTTGACGATCTCTGCAACTATTTTGCTCCCGCGAATGAAGCTGGCGGTTTCCCGCACCAGCCCGCCAATCTTCCGGTCCCACCAATGAATCGTCTCAATACCTCAGCCTCGCTGCTGCTTGATTGGCAGAACAACGGGCATACCACCAAATCGTCCGCGCAGTTAGATTCACTGGTGTCGGAGGTGCTCTTGCATCCCAACGCCCATCAACGCGGTGCTCATCCATACTGGTATGCTCAAGTTCTGGGCATTCTTAATGCAACCGTCTCCCGTGTCACTGCCACAGATCGTACACGGCCAGTACGGATGGAGTTCTTATGGGTTCGTTGGTTGGGAGACCAGCCTGGATACACCTCGGGACTTCGCGAAGGCCGTCTGCCTGTCATGGGGTTCGTTCCCGACACCGATCCATATGCATTTGGCTTCCTGGACCCTGAGCATGTTGTCCGTGGCGCCCACCTTATGCCAGTATTCCGCCGTGGCCGTACATCAGAGCTCCTTCAAACCAAGTCAACGACCGCTGCCCGATTCCCAAACGAGACAAGTGACTGGGAAGCTTTTTACGTTGGCATGTCAGTGATTTCTTAACAATTTAACTTACCAAATTCTAAACAATTATTAGTTTTGTCGATCGTGACATGGTGATGCGATACGTGGGTGGTGGGATAGGACATTTGGATGCAGGGCATGGTGAGCTCACAGTCGAGGATCAGGAAGACGACCCCAACGAGAGTGTTGAGGGCATTGCGGAAAACTCGGACTCAGATGATAACATCAGCGGCTCTGACTCTGACGAGTCGCGGGAATCTGACTATGATTCCGATGAGAAGATGGCAGATTTCAATGAGGAGGAGGAGAGTGATTCTGAAATGGAAGTAGATTCTTCAAGTTGAAATATATCTTATTGAGCTTGCGACAAGATACGACACAATATTTTCCTCTCCCGCTTCGCCGCAGCCATTTTCTTATCCAGAACATGGATCCTCTGTTTAAGCCGTACACGTTTTGTCTGACGAGAGCGTGCTAGGACTACAGCCCGAAATCTCTCCAACTCAGGGTCCGGATGCAATTTCTATGAATGTTTTAAGCTGGAATACATCGTTGTACTAGCACGCACCTTGGGCTGAGGCCGGGGCACTCTGCATTTGTGGCCGTCTCTGGTAACCCGGAGGACAGGGTTGTTTTTGAACCAGCGCTCGATGAATGTCAGATTGTCATCTGAGTCCTGCTGAGAGAAGATGGGTCAAGGAACATTCAGAAGGCCATACGCGCGTACATCTTCTTTGGCTCCCACTCCCACACTGTCGGTGTTCGTGTCAACGCGTGGATCGCTGGTGTTCGTGTCGCTGCTCCAGATGAGTGCATCGTATTCATCAGGTTGCGATGAAGGGACATCGGCATCGAGGTCCTCCAAATACAGTGTGTTGGGCATGGTGGTTTGAGAGAGAGGATAGACGCGAGACGTCACATGTGTGACGTCTCGCGATATGTTATCTAGCCGGCTTTACAATACCCACACTAATATACATCAACACTATCCCATTTGCCATTTACTACGCTCCCGCTCACACCCATTTGAGGTGCTGCTGGCTATCAGCTGGCCAACTGTTGGCCGACGCTGGCCAAGCTGCACCACGCTGGTCCGCCGCTGGCCACCGCCCTACCAACACGGTGCAGCTTGGCCAGCGTCGGCCAACACTTCACCAGCTGATGTGCGTTGGCCAGCTTCGCCAACGCACATCAGGATGCTGCAAATTTCCTGATGAAAACAGGTGAAGACTGTATCCTTGCTGACGCACACACACAGGCACGCACTATGCACAAGCGCCTTTCCGATCAACTGGGAGCGGTCACATGGTAAGCTTCCAACTCTCCTTTTAACCACACCCACCATGGCCCGACGCATCAAGACATTGTAGGTCAGCGGCTCCCGTGTCCGTTCATCAACATTAACCGCTTTTTTGTACGTAGGTTCCCTGCCACCCTCCCTTTCGCCCAGCCTCCGCCCCGCGTTAAGCAGGTCGAGGCTCGTGGCCAGACCCCGTTCTACATACTCGCGTGGAGGGTGCACAACAACAAGCTGGACATCATCGACCACCAGTTCCCGGCCGTCGACACGCACTACGAGAAGTGCTGGCACGCGACGATGGCGAAGCATGCGGTGCGAGAAAGGTGTGTGGCGCTGTCCTTTCGCTGGTTCCCCCGGCTGACGAGGCGGGCAGCATCGGGGAGCCCTACGTGATGACCAATATCCTGTGCGACGGAGACCGGCGCCACATGTACTTTATAACCCAGACGAACCTGCACCCGTTCGACCTCACCCCCGACTGTCTCCAAGTGCGCATGGCAAGAGAGGCGCTCGAGGCGTTCTATCTTCCGTACGTCGACGACCCTGATGATGTGCTGGGGGACCCGGTGTGGTATCGTGTAGGGCCATTCAAAGACGCGACCCCGAAGGAAACTTGATGTATTCGTCTTCTCCCCGTAGTACTTTTATGCTAATTTTTCCAACCCGAGTTCGGGCCCTGACATTGCCTGACTAGTCTAAGAGCTCGTTCGGGAACGAGAATCCGCTGCGATTCTCGCGAGAATCTGGATTCTCGTCACTAGATTGTAACGCATGTCACTTATAGTCACAAATCATTACATCACCTGTCCTCCGTCGATGGGCCGGAAGAAAAAAGAGACTGGCGCCGTGGAAGACACCGACAGCAAGCAGAAGACATGCCTGTACACTGATGCCGACCTTGTGAGAATGATGGAGGAGATCATCAGCCGGAAGTCAGAGCTTGGGGAGCCTGTGGGGCTGCGGAAGGCCACTGCAAATGCCGTTGCTCTTGCTCTTAATCCACCAACTGAAGACACCCTCTAAGATAACAAAGCAGTAAAGAGTACAGAAGATGAACTGAATAATAATGCCATCAACCATTCCGGCGGTTCGTCTGCTCGTCCATCGGCTTGATGCGGTCCAGCTGCCACGCCTTGACCTACCAGCCTCTAGCCTGCCTTTCCAGCAACAAGCAACTTACCTTGTACTTCTCAATCGCCTTCGTCCGCATGATCTTCGCGCCCTTCTTCTCCGCGAGCCACGACACGAACCGGTTGTCCGTCTGCCGGATCCCCATTGCCCGCCCCAGCGCCCAGCACTGCCTCACCACCGCCGCCTCCGCGTACTTGGCCACCGGCTGGCCGTTGTAGGGGTCGGTCTCGGTCACGAGCACCGGGACAGCGTCCACTTCCGCCTCGGTCAGGTGGTACTTGGCCATCGCCTGGCTCTTGTACAGCCACGGCGGCGGCTGCGGCTCCGGGGCCGCCGAGCTCCGTGGCCCGCGCCGAGCTCGTTGGTAGGTGCGCGGGGCGGTCGGGGCCTTGGGCATGGTCGTGGTTACGGGCAGAGTTGTCTCACAACGGAACGGGGATTTGCAAATGATGTCACCTCCGAGTTTCACAAGAGAACAGCGCTGCGCCTTATATACTCCCAGGCAAAGATAACGGGAAACGGGAGATCTGACAACGGACCATGTCAAAGCACGGAGATGAGTCAGTCTGATTTCGCCGTTGAAGAGAGAAGATTGGCGTCGAAAGATAGAAGATTCGGGGCAATGTATTGGACAGCACTTCGAGGTGCCGTGCACGGTGATCCATTTCTCCAACTCCGTTGAAGGTGCACTCTGAGTTTTACTTGGTGAAGATACAATAGATGGTATAGTAGTTGGGGTTCATAGTATTATAGTAAAACACGCTTCCTCACTGGTAGAACGAAGTAACCAGTCTTGGGTATGGGTCTGCCGCTATTCGTCGTCAGAGTCGTAATAATCCTCGGATTCCTCAGCATCGTCGGAATTGTCGTCGTCGTCGTTGTCGTTATCAGAATAGCCGTAGTTGTCAGCATGGTCGTAGCCGTAGAAGTAGGCTTCGTATTCCTCATCGTCGAACGTCTCCACGGAGGGGGGGTATGTAGCGCCATAGATACCCGCCAACATCTCCCGGCCCGTGTCAGTCGACTGCTCAGTGTGAGAAGTCGTCACCACGCACCTTGACATCACAGACGTTGTAGAAGCGCATCTTGCCGCCCGACGCGTTGTGGGGGTTGAGCTCCTCCCGGAAAGGCTTGATGCGGTCCAGCTGCCACGCCTCCAGCTGCTTTCCGTCAGTAGTGAATACTATGTTAGTAACTGCAACTCACATTGAAGGCATTACAAGCCGCCGTGCGGAGAATATAGCGCCCCCTCCGCTTTGCCAGCCGCGGCAGGTCCTCGTCAACCTCCTGGACAACGCCCAGCGCCTTCCCCAGCGCCCAGCACTTCTCCTCCACCGCGCGCTCGCTGTACGTGATCGCCTCCATGTCCGGGTCATGTGGGTTGGGCACCCGCGCCCGGATCGGGATGCTCTCCATGTCCTCCGCGGTCAGGTTGAACCGCTGCATCGCAAGTGTCCTGTACACCCATCGCTGCTCTATTAGGGCGGCAGCAGCACTGGCAGTGCGTGAGCTGGAGCTGGACGAGTTCGGGGCCGTGGGCATGGTGGGGGTTGTGACTAGAGTTGCCTCTGCTTAAAACACTACGGATTGGTAATCCAGTCGTCGAAACTCTGAATAAGTCTGTATGACCGCACAAAGGACATGACGAGCAGGGAAAAGCCAACGTCATGCTTACACATGCGCGAGCTGACAGTGAATTCCGTCATCAACGTCGATCGTAGCTTGCAGCTTCAAGATTCTTTGACCCCATTGCTCAATAAGTCGTGCCCAAATTCACGCACGAAAGCCTATGGAATTCCAAGTCAACCCGAGTTTCGCTGGAGATTTAGCCGAGACCCAGCGCTTGCCGTCGTGTGAATATGCGAGATTTGCGTGTGTAAACCAGTACATTATTTTGTCCGTGAAAATAATTAACCGAGCACCGAGGTCAGTAACTAATGCGGGATCTACGCTACGCTCTCCTCGTCATGCTTACAGCAAGAGCCCAGCGGCAAGACCAAATGCCGCCAGGAAGTGCACCGGCGAAGCAGCCAACGCAAAGCCAGCGCCAGTTGTGTTGCCTGACGGCGACGGGGATGGGGCACCTGGGGCACCTCCTGAGGTGAGTGCGGCTGCTGCATCAGGACCGGAAGGAGCGGCGCCGCCTTGACCTGGGAGACCTGCTAAAGGGTTTGTCAGAAATTATCTTGGGTGCGACAGTTAATTTACCAGGAGCACCAGTGGGTAGTCCAGCCTGAGCTGAGTCAGCGCCGGCGGAAGACGCGCCGGGGGCAGCGGGTGCACCACCAGGAGCGCCTGGAGCAGCAGGCGCTCCACTAGGAGCTGGAAAGGAAGATAAGAACAAGTTATTTCCGACACGTCTAACAAACCTGCACCACCACCGGGAGCTACAAGACAGATCAGTAAGGGCATTCTTTTCTGTATGATAGTGGCTCACCTGCAGCAGCATTACCACTCATCGCGAGAGCCTACCAGAAATTAGTCCAGTCTCAAACAAACCCATAATGCCCACCTGGTACGCAGCAAACGACTTCTCGCTATCGGGCTTTGCGTTCACAGAGAAGACCATACCCGCTTGGCAGTGGTTTGCGGGGATGGTCTGGGCGCAGAAGAACCACAGCGGAGCGGTGTCGTTGTTGATGGTGACGCTCCACTCCGGCAGCTCCGTTGCATTGGCAGGGACGAGTTGGAAGCCCGAGTCGATACCCTGGGCCGGGGTCGTCTGGATCTCACAGGGCTTGCCAAAGGTCGATTGCGTGACACTGTGGTTTTTGCCCTGGGGCGGCGTCAGGAATGATAATGAAGAGTGAGAGGGCATACCTGGAATTGGAAGTGGATCGTGTCACCGCTGATAGACAGACAGTCAGTCATCGAGACGAATTGACGCAGGGCGGCCGCCACTCACACTTGGGCGGTGATGTTCGTGGGCGAGAAGGCGAGCTGGTGTCCATCTCAGATGACAAGCGGAAGCTTTTCTGGGTCCATACCTTGCCTCCGGCGCCCACTTGGACAAGGATGTCCGCAGCGGAGGCGAGGACGGGGAGTGTAGCAGCAGCAACAAGAGAGAAACGCATTATGAGCAGGCGAGTCGGGTTAAGGAAAGTTGGTGTTCAGATAATGGGTCGTTGAAACTTGAGCCTGCTCTTGCGTCAGCCGGCGATCGCAATCGGAGAAGAGGGACGCACTCTGCTCTGCTGCAAAAAAGAAACGAAAAAGCCTGCTGGGAGAAGAAGCGTTGAAGGGGAGACAGGACGGCAATTGGACGGCCATGGTATTTGTATGAACCCCAAAGTGTGACATGTCGCATCACCATCAAGTTCCAACTCGTCATCATCTCCGTCCGTCTGCTAATTATATCTGCTATGGCGACTCCCAATATGCTTCCGCTACGTGGCCACGCTCTCCGCCGTCTATTCCAGCGCACACCGGCCTCAATAGCTGGCTTACACTCGTCTTCTCGCTGCAGGGAACGTTACATCAACGGTTCCAAGACTGTGAGGCTATCCAACTGCCGCGGCTGTTCATTGGTTATTTCGCTCAATCTCGATCCAGGACTTCGACAAGATCGTGCTCCAAAGTTCGACAGACCGAGTTGTTCTCGTTGATTTCCATGCAGAGTGAGTAACATGCCTACTGCCGTCCAAATCCGTGCTGACCCATCATCATAGCTGGTGTGGACCGTGCCACGCTCTGTCCCCCATTCTCAATAAGCTGACTACCGAGCGCACGACCGGCTCAGGGAAGCCGCTGGACCTCATCACCGTTGACATTGACAACGAAGAAGCTGGCGGCGTCGCCCTCGCCCAAGAATACAAGGTACAGCCTAAAAATAAAAAATCAGCCGTAGATTAAAAATATTACGACCTAGGTACGCGCTATCCCCACCGTGGTGGCGTTTCAGGGCGGAAAACCGCTGAGCCAATTTGTCGGCGCGCTGAACGAGGGCGGTGTCGCCGACTTTCTCAACAAGCTCTAAGCGTTTCAGACACTCGCAGGCCGTGCTAAGTAAAACGGGGGTTCTGTTTGCTCCAAGCTAGACTGCGCCGTTGGCTTGGAAACTGCTCGCGATGGAGGACCTCCAATGACAATCGACCAATCAGCGTCTATTAGGGCTACCATAAAAAAGTACAGAGCGATATTTTACATTCCAGAGTCCTCGATAAGCATACGTAGAAAAATAGAGACGGGGACGGGTTCACTGGACTGAGCATTGGCACCCTTTCGTCTGCGCGCCGTATGGATCCTAACATTCGACCCGTCAGTCGCGTAGAGTAACATAAAATTCGTCACTCACCTCCGCCCGCCCAACTGGCCCCCAAACTGACGGGACAAGATGGTCCTTTGTCGTTTTGCAATACCGGATAAGACTGCCAGAGCGCGTCAAACCTCTCCTCATACGCGAAGGAAGCTACGCACCTTGCGCTCGCCTCGCTGACCCGTACCCTTGGCCGTGCCAAATCCTCCCTCAACCGCTGGTTATGCTCGACTATCTGCCCGCCGATAAGTCACCACTCGACATCCAACGCATAGCAGCGCACCCTCCGCAGCTTGAGCTCCGACATTGCCTGGCGACCGCCGACCCGTCCGCTCATCGTGCTCGTGAAAGTTGCAAGTGATCTTGGTTGTTGTTCTCAGGCCCAATTCAGTCCCTCGACATCAACCCATCGGCACGCTCACCAACCCGGGGTTTCTCCGACAGCGCCTAGACTGCAAGTGGTGGATGGACAGGGTGGAGGAGCAAGTTGCAGCGATGGGTACCACCAGCCAAGACTCGACGTTCTTATACCTTGGGCGCCGGCGCTGCTCCCGGACAGATGTAGACCGGCCTAAATTAACGATTGACAAGTTGCTATCACATCGTGGAGACTGGCTAACTCTGCGGGAAACCACGGGGTTTAAAAGGGCACCCAAAGCTGGACTTTTATAGCAGAAATCAAGGTCCAATCCTGGATTCCGGGAAAATTCTCAACTACCAAATAAGGTAATTTTCGGTCACGTGGACCCGGCTGATTGCTCACAAAAAACATTAGCCCGGGTCGCGCGAAACCCCGATGAGAGAACAAATACATTTGGTTGTCTACTACCTCAAAACAAATTATATACCCTCGCAAGCGGCAAACTCTCCGCCGGCCCAACATCCATTAGCTCCCCATCCGCCCTAACCTCATACGTCTCCGGGTCAACCTTCATCGTCGGAGTGGCGTCATTCCACTTCATGTCCTTCTTCCCCACCGCCCGACAATTTCGGACCGCCTCCACCCGTTTGGCTAGCCCATACGACTGGACAGTCCCGCTCGAGATTGACAACTGCGACACAAATGCAACAGAATTCAGCGCTGCCGACCCCGCTTTGGCGCCCCACATCGGCTTGCCGAAGAACGGCTGCACGGAGGGTATCGATGCATTAGCATCGCCCATCTGCAAGTTCAGTTAGATTTTGCTTTTCTCCCCAAAAAATATGAAGAGCAGACCTGCGACCACGCAATGACACCGGACTTAAGCACCATCTCCGGTTTCGCGCCAAAGTTCTCCGGTTTCCATAGCACGAGATCGGCGAGTGTGCCGACTGCAACCTGCCCAATCAAATGGCTCATGCCTTGTGCGATTGCCCTAAAGATAATCAGCAACACGATCAACAAACAAGATAGCAACTAACGGGTTGACAGTATACTTGGCCACATATCGCTTGACGCGGGCGTTATCTTTACCCTCTCCATCACCAAGGGAGGTCAATGGTCCCCGGAATTCCCGCATCTTGCTCGCTGTCCGCCATGTCCGACTGACAACCTCGCCAACACGCCCCATTGCCTGCGAGTCAGAGCTGATAATCGAAATCGCGCCCATGTCGTGCAACACGTCCTCTGCGGCGACTGTCTCTGCCCGAATCCGTGACTCGGCAAATGCTAGGTCTTCTGGTATCGACTTGTCAAGATGGTGACAGACCATGAGCATCTGAAGGGTGTCAGTGTGAACAGCAGAAAGTGTAGGACAACGAGTACATCAAGATGCTCGTCGAGCGTGTTTTTGGTGAACGGTCGGGTCGGATTCGTCGACGATGGGATGACATTTGACAGGCCACAGACAACAATGATGTCCGGCGCATGTCCACCACCTGCGCCTTCAGTATGATATGTGTGGATAGTCCGTCCGCCAAATGCCGCGATAGTGGCTGTTACCATTTAGAGGTTTTCAAACACAGATGTCTTGACTCACTTTCCACAAAACCGCTCTCATTCAAGGTGTCAGTGTGGATATTGACCTGGAATAGCAATCAGTATAGCATAGAGAACAAGATGGTTCAACACGGACTTGAACATCATACTTATCCGCAACATCAAGGGCAGTCGTGATAGTCGCCGGAGTCGTACCCCAATCTTCGTGCAACTTCAGTCCAGCAGCGCCTGCCTTGATAATGTCTTCCAAGGCAGTCGGGCCAGCATCGTTGCCCTTGCCCGTGAAGGCAAAATTGAGCGGAAGCCCATCGGTAGCGGCAAGCATGTGTCGCATATAGAACGGACTTGAGGTGCAAGTCGTGGCGTTTGTCCCTGCGCTTGGTCCAGTGCCGCCACCAATCATAGTGGTAGTCCCTGACGCAAGGGCTTCCTCCACTTGTTGAGGGCAAATAAAGTGGATATGGGCGTCAATAGCGCCAGCAGTGACGATAAGTTTTTCTCCAGCAATAACTTCCGTCGAAGACCCGATAACCAGTGATGGATGAACATTCGCCATAACATCTGGATTACCGGCTTTGCCGATTCCTGCTATGAGCCCGTCTTTGACACCGATATCAGCCTTAAGAATATTTAGGGTTCTGCAGAACAACTTGTGCCAAACATGCCTTGTAGATGCCAGACCAATCGATGATGAGTGCATTGGTTATAACGAGATCAAGGGTTTCCGAAGCTGGGCGGTTTGTGGCCTGTCCCATTCCTTCTCGAATCGTTTTGCCTGGTCACGCATTTAGAAACGAAAAATGCAGTAGCGAGTCCGATAATTACCTCCACCAAATTTGACTTCATCTCCATAAACCGTCTACAAAATTTCAGGTTTGCAATGACGTGGGATGAACTACCAGCTTACCTCGTCGTGCTCGACCTCAACCCAAAGCGCCGTGTCTCCCAGTCGCACCCGATCGCCGACCGTGGGACCAAACATTGAAATATAAGCCTCCCTGGCAATTTCAGCGTCCACAGTAACCTCCAACGCGCCCGGTTGCGGCGCGTAGCCAAAGCCTTTCTGGACTAGGTCGCTGACTATTTGGTCTGTCCTCGAAGGGTCATATACTCCAGACGCTAAACGGTTTCCTCCGGATATTATTTTCGCTCCTGCAATAGAGACCAGCGTTACGGTCTTGGTATCACCAGGCTCGAAGCGGACCGCAGTGCCGGCTGGGATGTCCAGTCGTTTTCCGTATGCCTTGCCTCGATCGAAGGACATGGCCGAGTTTGTCTCAATAAAGTGATAATGCGACCCAATCTAATGAACTTGAGGGCCGTCTTTATCGCGAGTTGGAAACTCACTTGGATTGGACGATCCCCATTATTCGTCACTTTCAACTTCACGCGCTCGCGACCCTGGTTGAGGACAATAGCCTCTGGACGGGCGATGATAGCGCCGGGCATTTTTTCGTGGAGGTATTCAGAGACATCTGATATGGGGAAGAGGTCGTCGGAAGGGGAGGGGAGGAATGAGCCATAGAGCGCATTCGTAAGGTTGCCAGACTCCGTGCAAATAGGGTCGTGGACGGTGACCAGAAAGACACTGCATGGCGCATCAGAGAAAAAGGAGAGGTAGAGTGGATGACGATAATAATCACCCGTCTAGGAACGTGCCCTCGACCTGGATTTCATGGAGCAAGCTGGGGACGTTGGGTAGGACATGACGACGACCGAGCATTTCTTTCCCGAGCTGCATAAGCTGGGCTACGGAATGACGTCCATCACGAATGAACTCCTGTAGCTGAGACGCTATCAATGCGACAGCCTCAGTCTGGTTTAACCGCACGCCACGGGCGAGACGTTTCTGGGCAAGAGAGCCTGTCTATAATCGATGAATAGGCGCAAACAAGTGTTGACGGTGACAGACCTGGTGAAGCAGTAACTTTGCCTCTTCCCGGGGCAACAATCGCATGAGAGAAACGGATAAGACAACAGCATTCAGGCGCAGACGAGATAAGCCAGTGGAGAGATAAGGGATAAGTGATAGTAACCCCTTTCGGCCGCGGACCTCGTGACTTTCAGATTTTTTTCGCAGCCATGGTCGCCGTCGCCCAGCCCGCAGCCCCCGCCCGCAAAAACAGAAGACGAGAGTCCAAGAAGAAGGCCCCCAAACTACCCACAGACGATGCCGATATGGCTGGGGTGGACTCAGATGGCGAACCTGAAGCTTCCACTTCCTCCCCAGCCCAACCCCCGCCACCGATCCAGAACGACGACGATGAAGACGACCTCATGTTAGATCCGGAGCCATTGGCCGCACCAACTGGCGCCCCGACCTTCTCCGCTCTCCCCGCCAGCGCAGAAAAAACTGCTCTCAAATCAGAAACCCGTCGCATACCAATACCCCCACATCGCATGACGCCTTTGAAAAAGGACTGGATCAATATATTTGGGCCGCTGACGGAGATCCTGGGTCTGCAAGTGCGCATGAACGTCCAAAGGAGATGTGTCGAAGCACGGGTGTGTTAAATCGACCATACTATACTTCTCATTCCTAACGTTTTCCAGACATCCAAAGCTACCAAAGACATCGGTGCCCTCCAGAAAGGCGCCGATTTTGTGAAAGCATTCGCCTTGGGTTTCGACATCAATGTGCCTCATTTCCTTCCTAGCCTACAACGGAGAGAACTGACAAGATCATCTAGGATGCCATCGCCCTGCTCCGATTAGACGACCTCTACCTCGACTCGTTCGAAATCAAGGACGTCAAGACACTCCAAGGCGACCACCTTTCTCGTGCCATTGGTCTGCCTCGTTTTTGATTTATTCGTACCACCAAACTCATTCCATCGCAGGCCGCATCGCTGGTCAAGACGGCAAAACCAAATTCACAATCGAGAATGCCAGCAGGACGCGTATTGTCCTTGCCGACACGTGAGTTGCCTTGGCCGTCTAAACGTGTTGTTGACTCTCCCTCGCAGTAAAATACACATCATGGGTTCCTTCCAAAACATCAAGATAGCGCGAGACGCAATCGTCTCTTTAATCCTTGGCTCCCCTCCTGGAAAAGTTTATGCAGGTTTACGCACTGTTGCCTCGCGCATGCGCCAGCGTGCCTTATAGCCCCATTCTATATTCTTCAGTACTCCAATCAACTCCGATTGCTGTGTCAACGAGAACAAAATGCGATTAGGATGTGCGAGAGTAAGTTACAAAGCTAGATCAGGTATGGACATCTTCAAATGGGTATAGAAAGGGTATCGAACGTTGGCTCCTCCACCTACTCCGCATCACCAGCTTTCACTCGTTCGTTAGGATTTGTGCTTGTGTTCTCCAGTACACTGTGAATCATCGTCAGCAAAAGTACCACAATACGAGAAGGAGACACCGCACTTTTTCAAAGCGGCATCATCCACTTGTGGATCCTTGCCATCGCCAATCATTACATGCAGGGCCTCGCTGGGGACACCATCAACCACAATATGGATCCAACCAGGGCCAGGCGGATAGACTTTTCCGCTAGGCGGGCCAACAATACTAAGCCGGTCACCGTCCTCCGGAAGTTTGAAATCAAGATAAACCAGCCGGGAGTTGGCGTGGACTGCGTGTGTGACAAAGCCAAAGTCCATTAATGCGACTGGAGACCAAGTTAGATCCAAATTAGGTAGTTGCTCAATAACCGCACCTTTGATTTTAGAAGAGGACTTTGTCGCTAGCCCGACGGTTAATTCTACCGTTTGACCGAAAAGAACCTGCTTTGGCCCTTTGACGATCTGAGGACGAGCCATGGACATGTATGGGGGCCGTAACCATTCGACTCGATACTCCGTTCCATACTTGAGTTCGCTCCGGTCCAGATTGGGGTTGCTACCAGCGATCATAACATCGCCCCGAGGGGTCAAGGTTGCAACACTGTGATACAACCGAGGTATATTGCTGGTAGGCATTCCTGAGCGCGAAAAACGAGACCCGTGGGGGGCGGATGGATCGTAGAGGACAGGCGTCAACACCGGATGGTCCGCGTTCGATTGGCCAACTTGATTACGAACATTGCCATAGCCAGAGATACCCGTACCAGCGCCATTGACAATGACAACTTGTCCAGTGGGCAGGAGAACTGCGTCAGGCATCAAACGAGCTTCAGGCATCGACTCCACTTCCCATCCTCGGCTGATTCCTTCATCGTTCAAGACCATTCTGATGCATTGCGCTGAGGCAGGGTTTTGGGAGGATATTTCGTAGCCTGGTTTCCGATCGTCGACATTTGAACCCCCACATATGAGGACTTCAGGCGTGTAGTGATTTTGAGGAGATAATGGGAGAAGCACAGCAGTTGCCGCCATAGGATATGTGACTCGAATGCCGTTGGGGATTGGAGGAAGGTGGTGCGCCGAGTTTTTTGACCAATCGTATATCATAGCTTGTGTGTTGGCGGCCACGAAAATGGTGCCATCAGGAAGGGCGAAGGCGATAGGAAACAGATTGGCATTGAGCGTGTCTTCTAAAAACGGGAACGCAATCGGCAAACCCTTGGAGCCGTGAATTGATTTGGGAGGGTAGTACTCGATTGTAGGATTGTTTGTGGTCGCATTATTGATCCAGCCTCCCTTCTTAGAGCCACCGATTATCATCGCACTGCCGTCGTCGATTCGCAGCACAGTACTGTACCAACGAGGAGAAGCCATTCGAATTCGTTGAGGATTTTCGTAGATAGCGCAGCCTTCGACAGATTGAGAAATACATGGTTGGAAAATGCGAATCGCTTGAAGCCCGTTCACATCGCCAAAATCAGCAGCCGACGTCTTGTCTTCGACAACCGGGTTGCCTCCGACATTGATCAGAGTACCGTTACTGAGGAAAGTACCGCCAGCGCAGAAGGAATTGGACTTGAGAGACAAGGGAGTGACGCTGTGGTTCTCGAGATTGTACAATGCTGCCCAAGCAGGATGGCCATCGATAGTCAACGGGTTGTGCTCGACCTTGTCGACAATAAGCGCGTGGCTAGGAGATATCACCACAAGTTGCATCGCGTTGACTCCGGTTGACCCTTTCTGTTCCAAAGCCCACGATTTGGTTTGGAGTGTGGCCGGAGGAAGCGAGTCACGACTCAGTTCACGGGCGGTTGGTGCTTGGCCAAGAGTAACGACAAAAGCGTCAAAGCTCAAAGTTGCGTGGTTGGATCCGGCACGGACAGCAGCGTTGACGAGCTTGATGGTGTGTTTTCCGGGCGATAAGTCGAAGACCCAAAACAGGCGTTGTTGCACTAGTCGTCTGGTGTTTGGACATGCTCCGTTGACCATACGGACAAGTTTCCCGTCGATATACACGGCTGCCATTCCCTGAAGCTCGTCGCATGGTCCAAACGCTTCGATACCGGTGCCAGAGAACGTGAACAAGAGGTAAGCGCCGAGTTGGTTCGCTTGACGGAAAGAGTTGCCGACGTGAGCTGATGAGAAGACTTCTTGCCAGCCTTTTGAGTAATGAATGAGAGGAGAGCTTGAGTCGTAGGACTTTGCTCCAGGTGGGACATAGTATGGTGTGAAGGTGGCAGGAGTTACGGAGTCTGGTGTCGTGTGACCATTCCAGGCGGGCTCGGGGACAATTGCAACGGAAGGCGAGAGAGCGGCGAGAGTCGATATGAGTGTCAAGAGTATTGTTGCAACCATCGTCGCACAGATGGCGGTGGTCGGAAACAGAAACGAATGTGTGACGATGTGACAATCTATGTCGTATTCGCAGCTCAACGCTCAACTCCATGGTAAATGCTTAACCTAAAAGGTAGGCATCACGAGAAGCTGGATATCCAGGCAGTCGTCCCTGCTCCCCAAAAAGACCACCGCGGCCGTCTTAACTTTGTGCACTAGTAAGTAAGCGTCACGTGTCAGTTGATTCGCACCCCTTCAACTCATCCAGTGACTTCCACAACACCTTTCATGGCTCGTAGACGCAAGACCAGGTAGGCCATTCCTCTTGGTTAAATCCAAGGTCGACATTCATTGCGCGCTAATAGGTTTCCCACTACCCGCCCATTCACCGACCCACCAGCGATGCTGGGCGAGCGTGTTGCAGAGGGCCTGACGCCGACATATATTCTGGCGTGGAAGATCGACCGGCGGGAGCTGTGCAGCGCTTCGAAGCTATACCGGTTCGTCGACTCGGAATACGAGCGATGTTGGCTCGAGCGGCTCGAGAAAGAAGACATCGAACCCCTCTCGTGCGTTTCTGTGTTCCTTTCAGACAGTATGAAGTTGACATGACTGCTAGTGTGAGCCGGGTGTGGGTGGACAAATGCATCTACCAGGACGACGACTACGACACGTTCTACTTTGTCCTCGGCACGAATCACATCAAGAGCGACCTCGCACTGAAGCCGGGCTGTCGCGACGTGCGCCTCGCCAAGGCGGCGTTTCTGGATGTGTGGGACCCGTTTGACAAGACCACCGACCCGGGGGAGCCCGTGTGGTATCGTTTCGGGTCATACGAATTTGTAGAGTCGTAGCCAGAAAGCTGGGGCCCGGGCTCGGTCAGGATCGCGTGACCGCGACTCGTCTGCACCTTGCGATTGGTTGCGGGAGACATTATTGACACGAAAAGAGGCAAGAATTGTATTACCAGCGGAAATTAAATCCCAATCCAAACGCTAGATCGCGGAATTTCGCAAGAGATAGACGGATACTGACGACGGTACATAAAAGCGAGACGTGCCACAAAAAAATTATGTAAAAGAGGCAGTTGATCCAGAACGGTCACATGCAACGCAGCTCTTCATCCACAACCGCCAAGACTCATCCATACCGCTCCCTCTACTGCTAAGTGACCATGGCACGACGTGTCAAAACATTGTAGGTCAGCGTCTCCCCGTGTCCGTCCATTAACCATTGCGTAGGTTCCCTGCCACCCTCCCTTTCGACCAGCCCCCGCCCCGCTTCAAGCAGGTCGAGGCTCGTGGCCAAACCCCGTTCTACATCCTTGCGTGGAGGGTGCACAACAACAAGCTGGATATCATTGACAACCAGTGGCCGTCTGTCGACAAACACTACCAGAAGTGTTGGTACCACACGATAAAGAGGCATGCGCTCCGGCGAAGGTGTGTGTGCCTGAGCGCTGCCTTTTTCGCTGCCCGCCTCATTCAGCGAGCAGCCCGACGGAGCCTTACGTGATGAACAATATCCTCTCCGATGGAGACCAGCGGCAGATGTACTTTGTAACCCACACGAACATGCGCCCACTCGACATCGCCCCCGACTGTCTCCAAGTGCGCATGGCAAGGGAGGTTCTCGAGGAGTTTTATCTTCCCTACGTCGACGACCCTGATGATGTACTGGGGGATCCAGTGTGGTACCGTGTAGGGCCATTCAAAGACGCAACCCCGAAGGAAACTTGATATATTTGTCTCTTGCTGTACTTTTATGCTAATTTTTCCAACTCGAGTTCGGGCCCTAACATTGCTTGACTATGTAGTCTAAGGTCGTCGACTAGTAACAACATGAGATATGCGGTCATCATGAACCTTCCAAGTGGTCCTCTTGTAGAGCCTTTCTTTATGTAATTGCATGCTGTGGAACATTTCAAAGGTTACTCGACTTTTGCTTTTACTTTTAATTCACGCCGTGGTAGTCCGATTGGATCACAAACAATGACATATTTTACACAGACGATGTAGTAATAGTACTGGGTACTCGTACACGAAAATAGGCCTGGATATGTGGTCAAAATCAAAGTGGTGTCGAGGCTTGCCGTTCCAATTCGTCTTTTTCGCAAAGGCGAACCAGGCATTCGATGTGTTGAAAGTAGGATTCTGCGAGCTGTGTGCCGACTCGAAGGATACCACTCCAGGTATTCGGTTCTGCGGCAAAGAACTCTTTTGGAGAACGTTTCTCAAACAGGGGTTGTCCTGACAACCTGTGGCGTTTTTCGAGGTCCTCATCCTCGAAGAGTAACGTCCCTTGGGACGCGTTGTCCTGATGATTGAATTGTGGAAGCGTCTTCCGTGCCAACTTCTGGCTTTTGTAAACAAAATCATCCCGCGCTAATTCGAGTGGAGTCGCGATTCCTTTCGTGGCATTTCGTGAATGACTATCGGAACCGGGTGCGCTGGCGACCGTCTGGAGATGGATATAAGCCTCATCCGCCTCTTTGACAAGCCGCTGAGGAGGTGGGGCCGCTTGGAAGTACGGATGGGAGACTAGGGCTTCGAGCTGGTCGTACTTTTCGTTGATGTTGATCGATGAATCTTTCTCCAGTGCCTCGAATATTTCCTGGGCCGTTTCATCATCAGCAGCATTGGGGAAAAGCTCGGTGACGTCGGCGAGCGCTATTTCGTTGTTACCGGATTTATAGGTCTTCAACGATCTGGGATTGAAGGTGCTTTCTGGGCCAGCATCCACCCAACGGAACAACTTAATCGTAAGAAAGTCGCCACTCGCAGCAATTAGGATAACCATGTTCTGATATCGGAAGCGCCAAGACTTGAGCAAACAAATCCCTTGTTGCTCAACTTGACGTTGGGCCGCTCGGATGAGTTGCATAAGTTGCGTGTAGAATTGCTCAAGGTTGATGGGATGTCGGGGGGGACCTGGCTTCAGCTCCAAAAGCAGGGGCACAATCGCGTTAATAACACGAAATAATTCGGGGGGGAATAATCGGTGGGTGGGTAGAAAGCGGGCGAAGAAGTCAGCGACGTTGTGGATCGTCTCTCCGAAAGGGTAGGACAGACCACGACGAGGCCGTAAGACAGGAATGACAATGGCCAGATCGACCAGGACCCCGTCCGCCTTGCTGTCGCCTTTACTTTGGGTCGATAGCAGACTGATGTCGCCAGCATTATTATCGCCTTCTTCATCGTCAGATTCACCAGCCCGAGTGGTGTCGTGTGGATGGGGCGGGTCAGTCGTCATTTCTGCATGAATAGCTTGGCGAGCCTCCGCATCTTCTTGCGGCGAAAGCCAAATCGGAAACTGAGGAGCAACCGAGCGCATAAGGTTTTGAGAGGGAGCAAACTGTAGTAGGACCAGAGTCCAATAGGCGTAGGTGAATGCTTCAAGGTGACGTGGGTCGAAGAAAGCCGACATGCAAAGAGCGCGTCCCATGAAGATACTCGTGAGAAAGACGGTGAAAAGGGACCCAGCTCGTCCAAGCGTTCCCGGGCCCAACCTTTCAGCCATTTGCGCTGCCGCATTAAAACGGAAAGTCGGATTGCTCGTCGCTCGCGGCGACGACATTCTGGAACATAACGGCGATTAACGAAGGTCGCAGAAAAGAAAGGGGAAAACCATACACAAACGTATGCAAACAATCTTTTCAGATGTCCGAGTTGGGGGGGGGGTCTTTCGGGTTGAATTGTTGTGCGACAGAGTCGACTTTAAATCCCGCGTGCAGGGTTCTCCGAGTCATTGGCGTCTCGACAAAAGAGGAAAAGAAGCTTGCAAGGTGAAGACTTCATCCTGTATTTGGATGTCTAATTGTCGATGTTCGTTCGGCTTGCAACGCGGGCTTGGTGTTTAGTGGGAAAAACAGCTTTGGGGGCGCTGCCCCAAAGCTCGAGGATGCGATTACAAGCGCGAGAGAGAGGGCCGAGATAGGCTGAACATACAGGAGGTGTCTACAAGTCCGGAGTGATATGTGAAGTAGATAGGGTGTGGAATGAAATGTGGTGGGAGACGCAACAACAGCTGGCGAGACGGAGTAGAGTAGGTAAGTAAACTTGAGGGAGAGAATTGAATCAAGCGTACCTGGCGAGACGGAGTAGACGTGGGTGAAGTCTTTCCGTCAGCGCCAGGTACCTGCATAAATATGAGCGGGAGCAGGGGCCAAGCGGCGCGCTTGGGACTGATGCAGCTTTGGCCAGTGGTCAAAGCTTCGTAATTGTGTGAGCGATTGACTTACCCTGAGAGCGTGACTCTTTCGACCAGTAGGGCTGGTGGTACACTGCTCTCGCATTCCCACTTGCGACCTTTGCTGCGAGGTGGGGAATGCTCGGTAAGCGGAGTGTGGCGGTGTGCGCATGCTGGGCTCACCTCCAATTAGACTCGAGTAAACCATCGTTTAAACCCGACTAATTGTCGATGTTCGTTCGGCTTGCAACGCGGGCTTGGTGTTTAGTGGGAAAAACAGCTTTGGGGGCGCTGCCCCAAAGCTCGAGGATGCGATTACAAGCGCGAGAGAGAGGGCCGAGATAGGCTAAGAGGGTAATGTGTTGGGAGATTGTGATGATGAGGCACTAGCTGGAGCGCCGTTGTGAGTGCTGCCCGCCCGAAGAATCCCATGGAGGAGTGTTGGGTGCTTGCGCAGATACACGTAGAATGCATCTGATGACCATCGCCCAGCGGCTTGGATCACATGTGGGAGAGCGCCGTCTTCCGCCAACGCTGTCGCTCCACCGGCTCTCAACGATTGGCCGGCGATGTTGGGGTCTGGGAAAAGGTGGCGTAGGCGACGGATAAACCAGGCGCGGGGGGGCATCTGCCCGTCTTCACGAGCCCAGAGATATGGGTTGAGCGGGAGGAGGCGGTCGCGGGAGGTCAAGTAGCGGCGGAAAAAGGATAGGGCGGCGGCGTCAGATATGATGATGCGGTTGCCTTCAAATGCAATGTCGGCCTTGTGGGCCGGCAACCAGTACTCATACGAGTCCTCGTTAAGTGTGACTGTTTCGCGTTTCGTGTACTTCCGTGGATTGCGCAGGCGCGGGTTGTCCGGCATTGTGAGCTCCCCCAGGCGATGAAGCGCGCGGAAACCCGACAATAGCATGGAGGTGAAAAGGAGGTCGTCATGGGAGGGGGAGGGTGGTAGTGTGTTGATAGCTTGTTGAAGGTGTAGCGGTGTTAGCGGGTTCTTACGTTTGACAGGGCGACCATGTAGGCGTTTGGAGCCTTTAAGTGCACGGGAAACCAGCAAGCTCTTCCGCATTTCCCGCACGCGAGGGAACACTGCTTCAAGCTGGTTGCAGATGCCGGATAAGTACGAGTCAACGGAGTTGGGGCTAATATGGCTGGAACGATAAACCACAAAGAAGGCCAGTGTCTTCTCTGTTGGTTCTGTCGAGAACTCGTGAAGGCGGCAGAATTCGATCCAAGAGTTGAGAGCGGAGCCATAAGTGCGGGCAGAGGAGATGTCGATAGAAGCATTGAGGGCAACTGCCAGCTCGCGCTCAAGTTGCTCTAGGGTCCAAGCAGGCCGAGAGGGCTGCCTGGACGAGACGGCAGAGGTTATCATTTTTTGGCTGCCCCCAACGCGCTCTGAGGGGGTTGAAACTTGTTGATGATAAGGCCGGGAGCAAGCTCTCGGGCTTTGTCTAGTTGTCCGCGAGACAGTGCATCGGCGACAGAGTTCTTCTCCCCTTTGATGTGGAGGACACGGAGGTCGACATTGAACTTGATGAGATTGTCAACCGCACTGCGCAGGATGGTGTTGTAGGGCGGGGTAGCGCGGAGGGAGCTAAAGATGCTGACTGTATTTGAGTTGTCAGTGAAAATGGTGATGCGGTAGCGGGAGTCAGTAGCTGTGCGAGCAAGCACATTGCTGCAGTACCAATGGAGGGCGGAGGCGACACAAAGGGCCTCGAAGTAAAAGATGATGTCGGATGGTACCCCGGAGGGCACGGGTGCATGAAAACCGAGCAGATGCTCCGGAAGCCAAAACCCCATGCCGCCCAGTGAAGCGTCACAAAGTAGTGTGGCGTGCGCCTCTGTAAACGGGTCCCAATCAAGTGCGTCAAGGATAAGAGTCCCGCTGGAGGACTCCAAGTGCTGTACAAACCATTCTAGGTCGGACTTGATGGCCTTGTTGATATAAACCTGTGCGTGCGGTTGCGACTTCCCACGCATCTTCTCATACATGTTGGAGAGAGCGGGGCGAAGGAGAAAGTACATGTTGAAGGACCAGTTGATCCATCCGGCGAGACATTGGAACTCGTGCAGTGTGTGACGGCGCGACGTGGAGGAGATAAAGTTGTTGACGGCGGTGATGAGGTCGGATTTCGAGGAGGGGGGGAGAGTAATCGTCATGGCATTAGGGTCAACCTCGAACCCGATGATAGTGAGAGACGATCCGTGGAGCTGCTTCTTCTCCTTGTGCGGAATGCCCAGTGAGTCCCAGAGTAGAAGAAGTTTCACCTGTTTCGCAGGCATTAACTTATCGTACGGAGCGTAATAAAGCAGATTGTTGTGGTATTCCCAGCCGAAACTGTCGTCGACGTAACAGAAGACATCTGCTAGATGCTTGACGAATAAGGCAATCCAGATCACGAGACCCATCACTGACGCCCATATGCGTGGCGAGCCACAGTTCCCAAACGTGCAGCACCAATCTACGTTGCGTTCAACCACCCCATCTGTTGCTCCATTGGTGAGCTCCTCCTTTGTTGGTATGTTTGAAGTGGCGACTTGTTTCAGCTGCATCAGCGGGTGGACAGGGAGTAGGCGGAAGGCTTCTGAGACGTCCGACTTCCACACGACCAGGACAGCATGCGGATTCTGGCGACGGAACCGGAGGAGGGCGGGAATAAACTGCTGCATGGTGTCCATCCGCGGTCCTTTCGTTTGTGCCTTGTCAACCATCGTGTTGAGAGCGAACGGGCCGCAGCTTTGGTGTGAGACGAGGCGAAGGTCCTCACTGTGAGGCTTGGGGACAGCGAAGATGGGAGTGCTATACATCCCCGGGAGAAGGTCGGGGCCAAAGGTGCGCGAGAAACGCCCTTTCTGTACTTCGGTGTCGCGCTGACTGGTGATGAAGTCCTTCTCTCGCTGTGATGGCGGTGGAGCCCAGGAGTTATCCCAGGTCTCCGGGTATCCTTCATCGTGGTGGGTGTGTAACCACGACCAGAAGCCTTCGCGCAACCCTGTCAAGACAGATTGCACAAAGGGCTGATTTGGATGCCCCCCCAGGAGGTTCTCGAGGTGGTCGGCACGAATTACTTGGGGGACTTGGAATAGGTCAGGGTTGGCATGGATGGTTCGGATGGCGGCTTCGTTGGAGAACTCGTATGGCGAAGGTTGCGGCAGCGGATCGTCAATTTCGGTGTATCGCACAGTGCGGCTGTACGACACGGGCTCGCAACCTTTCCAGCCCATGCCCCGCATGTACTGGGGCAAGAAACACGAGACTTCCTCATCCTCCAGCTGCAACGACTCCGGTACAAAGAGATGCAGCCTGCTGTCCCATCTCGTAGTTGTACCAGCCCGTTCAGACGCGTCGGGTGGACTTGTCAGGACACTCGCAAGCGGGATGGGGCCCTTGGCATTCGATGCAGGCGTGGCGATACTTGCAGTGCGCCAACGCGCAGCGGTTTGCGTTGTAGTTGCGGCAAAGTTCCACTGGACCCGTCCGTTGCTTTGGCCGGGCCCCCCTTTCACGAGCTTGTTGCTGTCGCGGGTGCCGCTCGATGTCTCCAACGACGTGGAGCCCAGTTTCGGAGAGATGGGCGTGCCGGATTTGATCAAGGGTGCGCGCGTCGTCAAGGAGGAGACTCCGTGTCTGACCGATATAGACACGGAGCGCGCGGTCGTACTTGAAGACGCGGTGGTGGCAGGAGTCGTGGGTGCTGGAGAAGGTATTGTTGATGTGCCGGTTGTAGGCGCGTAGCTCTTGTTCGCGGCCAGGGAAAGCGAAATTGACTGCCTCTGAGTAGATCCAGAACGCGTCATTCCACTGGGCTGCGCTAGTGATCTGTGAGCTGGCTCGCGGCTTACGGACTTCCAACTCTCCATCTCCGATGACGAGCTCAGAGGCTCGCTCGGGTTCTGTCGCGAACGTGTTGGCACGGATGAGATTGAAGTCGACATATTGGTCGAGGAGGACCAGCTTCCAGAGTCCTGGAGGGAAGGCAGGGGCGAGCGGCGAGTTGACCACGACTCGGACTGCTTCCTTCGGGTCCTCCGAGAACTTCTGGACTCGAGAGGCGACCAGGAGCGCTTTGGCCGAGACGACCGTGTCAAGAAATTCGTCGGCCGAAAGGGCCGGGCGAAGGAGCTCCGCATAGTCGATTCTTTGACGTTTCTGCGGCGCCTGCTCTTCGTCGTCGTCGTCTCGCCTCCGCTTGTTGTTTGATCCGCCGGCACCGCCGCTACTGCTGCCGTCCCCGGCCCCACGCTGGTTATCGACACCCTCGAGCTCTTCGATGTAGGGACGGAGAATGGTGGCGGAGAAGGGGACCTTGAGGGCGACACAGATGTTGCCAAGGGCGATGGTGAGGTGGACAACTGCAGCAGCTCGGTCAAGCTCCCCAGCGGCATACTTGTCAACCACGCCCTTGAGAGTGGCTCGTTGCTGTTCGGTGAAAGCCACGGGCGCGTCATGCGGGGATTGGATTGAGCCATCGGTCATAGTGAGTTAGAGATGGAATAAAAAGGTTTATTCAGAAAGACGCAACAACAGCTGGCGAGACGGAGTAGAGTAGGTAAGTAAACTTGAGGGAGAGAATTGAATCAAGCGTACCTGGCGAGACGGAGTAGACGTGGGTGAAGTCTTTCCGTCAGCGCCAGGTACCTGCATAAATATGAGCGGGAGCAGGGGCCAAGCGGCGCGCTTGGGACTGATGCAGCTTTGGCCAGTGGTCAAAGCTTCGTAATTGTGTGAGCGATTGACTTACCCTGAGAGCGTGACTCTTTCGACCAGTAGGGCTGGTGGTACACTGCTCTCGCATTCCCACTTGCGACCTTTGCTGCGAGGTGGGGAATGCTCGGTAAGCGGAGTGTGGCGGTGTGCGCATGCTGGGCTCACCTCCAATTAGACTCGAGTAAACCATCGTTTAAACCCGATTCATTGTCATGTCGACACCTGTCGACACAACAAAGCACAAGCGAAAAGAGCCAAGTTGAAGAAGGTGAAGACTTCATCCTGTATTTGGATGTTTCATTGTCCTGCACCTGTTGACACAACAAAGCACAAGCGAAAAGAGCCAAGAAGTTGATGGGGACGGTCACATGATGCAATTCCAACTTTGCTCTTAACCCACCACCGCCAACTCATCCACACCCCGCGCCGCTTCCTCCCACTGCTCAGTGATCATGGCCCGACGTATCAAGACATTGTAGGCCAGCGTCTCCCCGCGTTCGTCCATTAACCACTTGCATAGGTTCCCGGCTACCCAGCCTTTCAATCAACCACCGCCACTTGTCAAGCAGGTCGATGCTCGTGGTCAAACTCCGTTCTACATACTTGCTTGGAAGGTGCACAACAACAAGCTGGATATCCTCGACAATCAGTTCCCGTCTGTCGATACACACTACCAGAAGTGCTGGTACAAGACGATAACGAAGCATGCAGTTCGAGAAAGGTATGTGCTTGGGATAGCTCTGTCTTTTCGCTGGTTCCCTAATGAGGTGGGTAGCATCGCGGAGCCCTACGTGCTGACCAATATCCTATGCAACGGAGATCGGCGACACATGTACTTTATAACCCACACAAACCTCCACCCGTTCGACCTCACCCCCGACTGTCTCGAAGTGCGCCTGGCGAGAGAGGCTCTCGAAGAATTCTATATTCCGTACGTCGACGACCCTGATGATGTGCTGGGGGACCCGGTGTGGTACCGTGTAGGGCTATTCAAAGACGCGACCCCAAAGGAAACTTGATATATTTGCCTCTTACTGTACTTCTATGACGATTTTTAACATGAATTCGAACCGCACGCGAACAGGTCGCTCTATTTTGCCATGTCAGCCTCAACTAAGTAGTTGCGCTTGGCTTTAGACGTAGTCCCGGCCCGCACATCCGGCTGTCAATCAGCCTGGACGAGAAATTTGTACCGTGACAGCAGCTACCACTGGATTCCGATTCATGCTTGGGTAGTGTCAAGTCAAGGTGATCACAACACTAACCACAACGACCATGTTCATGTATAGACGGCCAAGAACACGGTGAGGTTCTCTCGCTGGGCGGTATACGACTAACACTCGCCACAAGGTTTCCTGCCACCCTACCTTTTGACCAACCACCAGCGCGCGTGGACCAAGACGATCCCCGTGGTGTGACTCCCTTATATATACTTGGGTGGAGAGTTCATTGTCGCGACTTGGGCTTGTATCCGCGATCATTTTCCGCGGTCGACGCATACTACACCGAGATGTGGTACCAGGCGAGGGAGAAAGAGGACACCACAGAACAGTGCGTATATTCCCGCCACTTGCACACATATTCAACCCCTGCAGAATATTGCGGCCTATGGTTTTCAACCGCATTCGTGACGATGAAGACAGCGACATTATGCATTTCGTCGTCGACTCGAATAGCAAGAAGTTCAGGCTCGCACTGGACTCGCTCGACGTGCGTCTCGCGAAAGAGACGCTCGAGGAGTTTTACGAGCCCAGGGGTGAGCCAGATGCGGAACTTGGCGATCCACGGTGGTACCGAGTGGGCTCCTTTGATGACCGGCCGTCTCGCACTCCCTCCCAGTCGTGTCGTTAGCTGCTGTTTTGGACAGTGACACAACAATACTTTTTTCGACCAACTCTCATCCCAACCATTCCTTGAACTGTGCTTTCTTGGTTCTGCTTTAAAAAAAGACTCCGCCTCAATAACCGACGGCAAAAAAAACCGTGACCTTTTCTAGCCATTATTGTCAACTTCAAAACTTGCGCCAACATGCGACGAACGTTGTAAGCTCCTCCGGCTGCCATCTCCTAAAATAATAGCCTTATAGGTTTCCTGCGACCCTGCCCTTTGACCGACCACCCGCTCGTCTGGACCAGCTTGAAGCACGTGGCCGTACTCCGTTCTATGTCCTTGCATGGCGAATTCCGTTCATGGATCTTGCCCTGTTCCCCAGAGAATACAGAGGCATCGGCGAATGGTATAACAACGAATGGTATGCGACGAAGCAGAAGCATGGCATCAAGCAACAGTGCGTGCATCCACCTCTAGTTCATATTTTGTCTAACCTCGATAGCAGACTGCGAGAGCCATACGTTCAGGACCGCGTCCGCCCCGGCGACAAGGATGACGACGTAATATACTTTATCATTGCCACCAACCGCCGCAAATCCGACCTCACTCCAGACTCACTCGATATTCACGTTGCGAAGGAGCCGCTCCTGGACGTCTACGAGCCAATGGACAATCCAGACGTGCAACTAGGCGATCCTATATGGTACCGCGTTGGGTCATTTGAGGATCAAGTGCTATCAACCACTGCTTGAATTCTATCCATGTCGTTCTCTGTAAAAATAAACTCCAAAGCTACCTGAAAACATGAGACGGAACTCTTGACGCGCGTGACACACTCACGTGAGCGTGACGCTTCTGCCTTCCTCCTTCATGCCAAACAAGGGTACATTCGTGTATCTTCTGTTCCTATGTAGCTGACGCCCGCCAGGAAAGAGCAAGAGCATAGGGCCTACCATTCCTAGTTCGTGCAAGCAGAGCTTGGCGAACTGACTGACGTGTTCTCCAGTTATCGCGAGTGACGAGCAGAGGCGGACGCTCTTTGCGGTGCTGGAGGCCGAGAAGCCCGACATGACAATTACGGACGACATCGTGGCGGACCTGGTGTCTAGTACCGGCTTGTGCGTTATTTTCGAGCTTGGTTTTCGTGGTGGAGGTTGTTGACGACATGGTGTAGGACGGGCAAGTGGATACGAAACTGGTGGCAGCGCCAGAAACGCAATGCAAAGGATCGGATGCAGCGGGAGCAAGAAGAGGATGACAAGGCGAAGCTGAGGACTGTCAAGACGAAAACGAAGGCCAAAATCAACGCCCAAGCTCGAGCGGAGGAAAACAGCGACAGTGATACTGATTACGACGAACCCCCCGCTAAACGCGCCCGCATTTGCAACGCAAGTCCTGCTTCTGAGAAGAGCTCTGTTCCCTCAAGTCCCACCCTGCTTTCGACGAATCCTGATGATATTTTCATTCCCGACCCCAGCCCTCCTGGGCAACAGCTACAGTTCCGATTCCAAGCCCGCGTGCCGCCTAATGCACTTCCACTACAATACCAGCAGATTCAAGCCCAGAACCAAGTGCATCTGTCGCATCAGCAACTAAACCGCTACCCGTACCAGCAACGCCTGGACCATGCACCGCAATACCCGCAGCTCCCCATTCGCCAACCACAGATGACTCAATGCCAATGCCAGCAACTCAGCAACGTCAACTATCAACTCCTGAACCAATGCCCCGACCAGTACCACAGCAATGTTCTCCAGCATCACCATATGCTTACTCCAAATCTAACCGCGCGTCCGTCTCAGAGCTTCAACTGCTTCCATCCGCAAATGAACAATGCCCACACATTCTATGATTGCTCTTCTATGACGCCCAGTGGTTTGGGTTTCGATTGTGGTGGTTACAGTAACACTGCTGCTTTCCACCCCCCACCACCATCAACAGCAGCAGCAACAAGTGTCGTTCCAGCCCGATTACAACGTAAAATTCCCGCACACAAAACTATTGCTTTCTCTGACAAATATTTCGCAGACTCCGATGATGGGTTCTCCCAATCTCGACGGACAGCAGCTAGCAAACGCGCAGTACGGGACCTCTGAGTTGACTATGCTCGTGAGTGGGCAAATCGGTGCTGCATTATAATTTGGCTGACTTTTCTCGAGGCAACGAAGGAGCAACAGGATGCCGAAATGGTGACGCAGTGGCTGCTTGCGCTGGAGGAGGAGAAGGCCAATAGTTCGTGGTAGAGATGCTGATGCTGCTGTGAACTTTGAATGTGGTGCTATTTCTCACTTGTGTTGTCAATGCTATCGGAAAACTGTTACTTTGCAACTTAGATGAGAGAAAAAAGTGGCGAAGTAATGTTTTCTTAATGATGACATTAAAAGAGTTATGCCTTTTGAGAGGCATGACTTAAAAGAAGTTCAACTATAAGTTAGTACTATTTTAAATACTTACTATACTAGTAGCCTTTCTATTGCAAACCACCAGTGGTTTAATATTCCTTAGGTTGAGTTTGTGCTGATAAGGTATTTTTTAAACTGACAAGAGCTTCTTGAAGTTGTTGTGATTCTCTCTAAACTTCTGCTACATCCCTTGTAGACTCTAGTTGAGCGGTTTCCGAGCCCAAAACACGATAAACTCCTTGTCCGTGCCCGGGACCTCCTCCCACTCGCGGTGTAAATCCTCGACCAACTGGTCATACTCGCTCTCCGACGACACGATCCCATACCCACCAGCATTTAACACGGGGGTCTTAATTCCCGCCAGAACAGCAACGTGGTTCTTGCGCATCGCCTCCCCGTCCTCTCCCGCCCAGCTCCCCATTTGCTGCATCCGCGACTCGCTTGCGATGTCGACGAAGCCCGCGTCTTTCAGGAGTTTGGGCATGTCATATGCACAGTCGACGTAGAGATTGCGTGCCTCGGAGGCAGCCCGGTAGAGCGCGGTGAGTTTCTCCATTGCGGGCCGGCCCGGGTATGTGCCCACGTGCCACGGCGTTGATTCGGCCAGCTGGACCCACCCGCCGGGGCGGAGGACACGGTGCATCTCGCTCAATGCGACAGGCCATTGCGGGATCTCTAATGCAAGGAGAAGGAGGCGCTGGTGGATTAGCGTGAAGGTGTTGCTCCAGTCGGCAGGGAGGCTCAGCACTGATTGGATCTGGAATGTCAGGTTTGGTGGCGGGAACGGGGGAAAGAGGCGCGACTCGATGTCGATGCCAGTCATTTGGATGGCCGGGCTGACTGAGGAAGCGAGGTCCAATACCCAGAGGCCTGTGGAATTGAGCATCAACACCCTGATGAAGTTTGACAACAAACCTGGCCCACAACCAGTATCGAGCACCTTGTCCTCCTCAGTCAACTCTACTGGCGCCCACAAAATACGCCCTCCATACATGCTCTTCAGTGTACGATGTTGAAGTGTCAACCTGTCAATGAACTGAATATTCGAAGCCACTGAAACCAAGGGCCCCATTACCGCTGCAGCTCTGGAGTATCCGTAGGTAGAATATATTGCGAGCCAGGATACTCCTGATATTCGCGCGGCGTATGCGTAATCGGCGCAGTAGCAGCCTCCACAGTCTTGTCGACGAGCGCCATTTCCGGGAAGGTCGAGAATTTTCACGCCATTTAGTCCATCTTTTATATGTCTCCTCCTCGGCTGGCTAGTTGCCGCTGACGCAGAAACAAGGAGAAACAAGGGTCCAGAAAGAAGGCGTTCAACGTGTTGCATGAAGGGTGTAATGGAATCTTCTCCTCACAGTCGGGTCGATTGTCAGGGCAAGGATCGTCTTCCAGCCGCGGCAGCTCGCACTCACGAGTGATTCGGAACAGAGGAGCTCCTGCCTTCCGGCTTCCTTCGATTTCGCAGGCACCTTGCGATAGAGTTGTAACTAGGTAAACCCGGGTGAACAGGCACGCACGCGTCTGATAATTTCTAGACGGAGTGAATGTTGTTAAACACAACGAGGTCGGTCTCGTGGGCCACTGATTAGATTGCAAGATCAAGTTGCTTATGCTTACTTCAGGAATATCACATCCGACAGACTCGATCCGGTGAGAAGAGAAGCAGGTTGGCAGTTAAGAGCGTTGGGTATGACTGATGAAACTAGTCGTCGGGCAGACAGCAGCGGTACATGTCAAAGTCACAACTCACTGGAGACAGCACACGAATTCAAGTAGATAACGACGGGAGCGTCGAGAGAGATGAATTGAAAAGATGCGCTTGCGCTCTACGTACAAGAAGAGAGTTGGCAGCTACGGATAGACAGGAAGGCAGCAGAGACGAAAGGAAACAGCGACGAGGCGGATGATGTGACAAGTGGAAGGTTGGGTTGAGCGGAATGTAGAGCTGCTTGCGTTGCATAACCGCGCTCGACGATGGATAAGGTAGCTTTAACGGTCCAAAACGAGTGTGTGGTGTCCAGGTATACGGAAATTACTGTAGCAAGGGTTAGGAGTATGTCCATTGAATACAGCTTGATGACACACAATTGAAGCAAGGGCCAGTCCAGGCCATCCACGATAGCAGCAAGAGGGGATGAGTAAAGGCGAGTTACATGACAACACAGTTGCAGCCTTGAGCTGGTGGTGCGTATGGGTCCTCGCCTAAGCAAAATGTTAGGCAAATACGAATACGAAGACGCAACCACTCACCCTTGCCCACCGGACCCCATACAGAAGGTACCTGAAGGCAAAATGAGACAGGGCGGCATTTGAACGACCAGCAACACATACGAGGTGATCTTTGGTGGTTTTGCAGTAGCGAATCAAGCTACCGAATATGTTAAAGGAGGAGACAGTATAGTTGGAAAGTGACAAGCCTTGCACTGGCCTCGCTGACCCGGACACTGAAGAATGATGAGACGCGACGGGAAGAGATGATAAAGCAGCAATTACCGTGGGCGAGCCAAGTCCTCCCGTAGCCGTTGGTTGTGCTCCGTAAGTCGGCGGAGCTTGAGCTCGGACATGGATTGCTGGGACAGAACGTAAGATTTAGCAGGAGGGGTTGGCGACGACGCACTTTGTGAGGTCGGGAGTTCATGGCAGGCGGGCTATTTAGTGGGATTGGGATGTCCAATGGACGCTGGGACTGTGTGAAACGATGGCTCGGAGTAGGACGGGGGAAGCCCACTGGTTTTGGAAGAGGAGAGCGAAAGGGACAGACCAAGTGACGCTGTCACGTCAGTCACGTATTGATCTGCCCTGACCCCGAATCACGATGACCAGAACCCCAACAACCGCCAACCGCCCTTCCAGTACGTATCGTCTCCTCCTCAAAGCCAATCACGAGTCTATCTCCAGCCCTGATCAAGTCCTCTCACCGCATCCATCGCGTCCAACAACAAAGACCTCGAGAGTCACTCAGACGATCCAGCAACATCTTTTTTCGACGTGATTCTTTCGCCGACTCTGATGATGATGATGAAAGTGGTCATGTCGCCTTGCCGTCTCCAGACAAGAAGCCGCGTCCATCCTACGCGTGGGACAACGAAGAGACCCTCGTTTCAGCACTCCTACTCGACGACAATCCGAACACCGCCGACCACAACTCCAAGTTCAGCATGCTCGCAGACTCGCTACAAGACAGCTTCAACAGAAACGGCGCAACGGTCCTCCAAGATATGGTGCATACTCTCCAGCCTGCTGTCCAGCGCATTCAGCATGTCCATCGCACTCTTGAACGCCACGTAGACCCGACCTTTGCGACTGGTCTCCTTGCCTTCGACGACGCCTGCAAAGCATTCGAGTCGCTCAACATTGATGAACATCGGGCTCTGCAGCGCGAATTCGCAGCCACCAAAGTACTCTCTATATATTCATGTCTATCCCGATCAAGGCTTAACATTAGAAGGAACGCATAACAGATCTGTTCGGTCAACTTGAGGACGCATATCGGCATCGCGAAAAGCTCTGGTCGAATCTTGATGCAGTCATAGCCGCGAAAATGGACCCTGCTATTGCCGCTCTTGCTGAACTGCCCGCTACGACCGAGCGAACTATTGCGACGTTGGAGAAGCACGCCAAATCTCTTGCTGCGAAAGAAGACGATGGATCGGCCGCAGACAAAATTCGCAATATGCTTGCCAAACTTACCTGAGCACCATACGACTTGACATTGCTTCTCGAGCCTGCATTCTGGATTTGTAAACCACACCTTACTTATTAGCAACATCGTCACGGTCTGACTGAATAAATCTGACTATTCCTTGCAAACTTTGGGTGATGCCACGACTCAGATGAGACGCTGCCTCCAGCCCAATACTCAACATCGAAAAACAACCGAAATTACATGTAACCGCTAGGCTCTAACTCAATCCTGTCCGTCAAGTACCTCTTGTCGAACTATTAAAACTCCTCCTTGGACCCGTTTTATCGCATCAAGAGCGGCCAAATTCTGCATATTAATACTAGTGTCAAGGAACGCAATACACCAGGTAGAAGGATGTCAGCACCTCTCCACAACCAAAACCACGATCATATTACTGCCCGCCATTTTCACCAATGGACTGGCTCATCCTATCCACTTCCAGCGGATGCAAGAGAGAAAGAGCGGTTGGCTCACATTCAACACTGACAACGCACCGCTTTGACATGTTTCTAGTCTACAACTTCAACATGATGCAGTCAAGCACATGTATGAGGACCGCATTATACTTGCGCCAGTCGAATTCAATGAGGAAGCTAAGGTTCTGGACATCGGCACTGGCTCTGGTTTGCTCATGATGTCGGTGATATGATGTGAAGGGAGCTAATTTTCTTTCGAACAGGGACCTGGGCCGTCGAGCTGGCTACAAACACACCGTACATTGAGATCACAGCCATCGATATCGAAGCAGGGTGTTTGCCCCCTGTCCTCCCCGAGAACGTTAAATTCCAACTCGGGACGGTGTTGGAGCTTCCGAAGAAATGGGACAACCGCTTCTCTCTGGTACACCAGCGGTGCCTCTTGCTTGGACTTGAGCGCGAGAAGTGGCTGGTTGCGCTGAAAGAAATTTATCGCGTCCTCCAGCCAGGAGGGTGGGTTCAGTTAGGCGAGCCTAAACTCTGGCCAAGGGACTACAAGGATTACGACCGTCCCTGCACAGAGAAACTCGCGACAATACTCCGTGCGGTCGCCGATTCTAAGAATTTTTATGCCGATTGTGCGGAAGACTTAGGCAGAATGCTCCAAGCAGTCGGCTTCACCAATATTAAGGGAGAAATTCGCAGGCAGGGGATAGGGGCTTGGGCTGGAGAGCAGGGTGTAGCGTGGAGGAAGAACTTGGCCGATGTATTCAACGGGATTGAGACCTCTGCTATGGACGAGGGCGGCTTCGGGCTCGTGAACTCGGTGGAAGAGTATGATTTGCTTTTGGAAGGGTTCGAGGAGGAGTGCGACAAGGTGAGGGGGGGAGGCTGGGAGTTTATCATCTACTATGCACAGAAGCCATTGTAACAAACTCGGAGGAGCACAATGGAGGCTTCATGCTTCATCGTGATCAACTTGAAGTCAAAAGCTGTGATTGAAGGCAAATCTCGGGTGGTACCGTGATTGCCAGTGCACCTCAATCACTTCAACCTTCTTCCACAATGTCTTCTGCCTCAGGCAAAAGCTTTGAACCCGCCGATTACCTCAAGTACTACCCAGGCACGATAAAACCCGTCCCTGCTGAGGAACAGGCGGAAGTCCTCAACGACAAAGGCAAATTGAAACAGTGGCAAGATGATTTTATGCGTGGTCGCCCTGCTCAGCAGCGAGCCCGAGCCGAAGACTACGTCACATGGACTTTACCGCTCCCTCGAGAGATAATGGATATGATCCTGGGCGACCCAGTGCTGGGAGTGCGTGAGCATCTCATGTTGGCCGGTAGGGCACTTCCTTCCCTCGAGAATATATTATCATTACTCTTCCTGTTTAGCAACTTGCCCAGAGCTACGACGGTTGTACCACAGCTACGACATCTGGAGCATCATCATGGACCATCGCACGATTCCTCTGAACGGGAAATCGGTCTTCTTGTCGTCAAAAAGGAGTCCCGAACCAGCATTTATCACAGACCCTCCCAAGGGTTTACTTGCCAAATTGGCGACCGCACCACAGAAAAAGAAAGCCTATGGAGCGTTCTTCAAACCGATGTATGAAGCCTACGCCTCTCATGACCGTGCAAGGCGCCTGATGTTACACCATGTACGCCTCCGACACTTTCACCAACATGCATAGTAACTTTTATTCTAGCGAATTTCACGAGACAAAATTCGACGACTATATCCTCTTGTTACCGATGATCATCTAGCTCGCCTCCATTATTACGAGGCATTCACGGGTGGTTATGCGAGCGACAGAACCGCCGCAGGTTACGCTGAAGCTGCGGTGGAGTTTATCTCGATTCGAATTTCCAATGGAATGGCATGAAGAAGACCTTTTGAGTCTTCAAGAACACAACGAACTGATTTGTACATCATATGTTTCCTGTCTGTACCATATCACACTTTCAGAATCTGCTTTCTCTCCCTCTCCGCGCGCGATCGTTCAATTCTCATTGCGTCCTGGCCAAGCCGAAATGAAACTGCTTGGAGTATTTTCGTTCCCAGTCCAAGCAATTTGTGGATTCAGTAGAGCTGTTCGCTAGTAGCTCGTCTCCTTTTTTCGGGGGCGTGTAGTATATAACCGTGGCCCCCATCGCTAAGAGAAACGATAGTGCGTCGAAGGATGTCGAAGGAACCGGCACCCGCCCACAGTTACAACCACGACCATACCACCGCCCGCCAATTTCAACAATGGACTGGCTCTTCATATCCACTTCCGGCAGACGCAAAAGAAAAAGAACGGTCGGTCGTATGTGTGGCTATGATTGTCGTCTGACCGGTTATTATTGTGTGCGTAGTCTGCAGCTTCAACACGACGCGATCAAGAAGCTATACGAGGATCGTATCTTGCTTGCCCCCGTCGATCTTGACAAGAAAGCAAGCGTTTTAGAGACCGGCACCGGGTCGGGTTAGTTGGCCCAGCATGTCGAGCCTTGAGAAATATGACATCAACAGGCATCTGGGTCGTCGATCTGGCTGGGAGGAAATCGAACATCGACATCGTCGCCGTTGATATTGAGTCCCGCAATTGGCCGACCTCGCCGCCCAAGAATATTGAGTTCATACTCGGTACTGTTTTGGAACTTCCGAAGGAATGGGACAACAAGTTCGCTTTGGTGCATCAACGATTGTTGTTACTCGCACTCGCGCGCGAGCAATGGCCAGTTGCGCTCAAGGAAATGTATCGTGTCCTCAAGCCAGGGGGGTGGGTCCAGCTGGGTGAAACGAAAATATGGCCCAATGACTTTAAAGATCCAGCGCGTCCTTGCACCGAGAAATTGGCCACTCTTTATCGTGCGCTCGCTGATTCTAAGGAGCTGTACATCGATTGCGCAGAAAGCCTAGGCAAAATGCTCGCAGCAGCCGGTTTCACAAATATAAAGGGTGAAATTCGGATGCAAGAGATGGGGGTTTGGGCTGGAGAGAGAGGCGAGGCCTGGCGAAAAGATTGGGTTGGAGTCTTCAATGGGATTGAGACATCGGTCATGGACAACAACGGGTTTGACGTGGTTAAATCGATGGAGGAGTATGATTTGCTTTTGGATGGATTTGAGGAGGAATGCGACACAGTCAAAGGCGGTGCGCTGGAATTCATCATCTTTTACGCGCAGAAGCCGCTGTAGACAACTCGGAGCAAGAATTTGTCACCAAGCAGATTTTCGTTACTGAATTCATAAAGTTTCGCGACAAGGGCAGGATCAAACCTATCTATAGGTCTCAGTAAGGGAAATGAACAGCTCGTCACCGACTTTCTACTAGACAATTGGAGCATGGGACTGATTTCGATATATTCCTATATGAATGCGACCCGCCTTTTCGGTTGCAACCTGATCATGACCACTAGCAGTACTTGCCGCTACTTGGGCGCGAGCGAGCGGCCGAAGGCGTCAATAATAGGTTGATAAGGCCAGTTTAATACGCAAACATCCCCAGGTCAATAGCCAATATTCGTTCCCATGCCGCGTGTGTTTTCCAGCGCTAGCCGCATCCGACGATGTCCTCGCACACTTTACTGGTATGGGAGCAATTCGGTCAATTATGCCACATTAATGAAGGTCGAGTGATTAGGGTACTGTGATGGTGAAGTGAATCTTGTTGAATAGATAGCAGTAGATATCGGAGTCGCGATCGTCGTCATACAGTGGCAGCCAACGTGAGAGTGAGAGTGAAAGTACACGTATTGTCTTGAAGTCTGAGTAGCTTGCAGGGCCTTCTGCTCAGGCTGTTGGCAACCTGGTCTTAAGACCATGGCGCCTAGACACCCAAGGAGTCCAACTTGAGGTCGGGAAGGAGCATTGATGAAGCTGTAGTTATCCGGTCTTCCGTCAAACAATCGGACTGCGAACGAGAAGCACGGAGAATTTTGTCTGACGGGCAGCGACGGGTTTGAAGCGGGCATTGGCCATTGGCTAGGGCCGTCAGTGGCCAGTAGATAAACACCCGCTCTCGGCCCAGTTACTGGATAAAGCGATCGGTCTTTGCTATCGCGACGTGTCAGGGCTTCAATTCAGCTGTGCGGCAACTTGGAGGTCTTCAGACAACTGGTCAGGACAGTGTGACGCTGTGACGTGTGACAAGTTTCCGCTCAACTTGAACAACCATGTCGCCATATCGGACTTCTATCGTCCAAATTTCTGTTCAAAACTCATGTCATAACCACCGAGTTGGTTCCGAAGTACCACTGAGAACAACCTGACGATATTCGTGGCTAAGCACGTCGCGCTCAAAGCAAAATTCAGTCCCGCCAGAAGCCGGGCACTCTCCAGTCATGCACCTTCAGCGGGAGAAGCCTCTTGATGGAACCTTACCTTGGAAGGCAAGTATTCACAGAAGCAAACCTGTCAACGCTGCACATTTGTGTTCGAGTTTCTTCTTGCCAAGGTTCTCACCCTGACTGTTCCAAACGTCCGACTCTAAGAAGAATCGTATCCAGTAATGGTGGCGTATGAAAACCTCCGTTGGAGAGACATGTGCCGCGCGGACGAACCGTTCTGGGAAAGGAAGTTCTCTGAATGTGGCTTTGGTTTGGACTCTTATCGCGCTATGCTGGGCTGTTTTTAGATCTCGGATGAGGGTAATAAAAGGCCGAATGAGCACTCTTGCTCCTCTGAAAGCCTAGCCTTCCCTTTCAATCGCTGTCTAACACCATGCCTCAAGAGCAAGACGCTGGGACCGCTAATGCAGACGTTGCAATCCTCACTTCTCAGGCATATGTCGACGAGAAGAAGGCTCGTGAAAGTGAAAGCTTTGATGACGAGAAAGTCGACATCGGGTCCGCCTCTGAGCTGGAAAAAGGGCATGCCTTCAACGACGATGATATCGTTGAACTGAAGGGTGAGACCACCATGGTCATGGTCAACGACTAAGAAGGACTCAGGCGATGACGAGGATCCTGCTTACGCGCCGCTTCCCCGGATAGTGCGCGAACTATGCACTTTCGAAGATGACCCGACAATCCCAGTCTTGACCTGGCGGTTGGTAGTCGTCCATCCGTATAATCGCCCGACTCACTTCTTCACTCCCAGCTTCTTCGTTCTCTCTGGCGTTTTCACGGCCCTCGGTGCTTGGCTGACACAAATGGGTATGCATTATCGTCTTTCGATGTTTCCGCACTATTCATCACGTGGGGCAGGATTCTTTCGGGCTCGTGTTTTTTCCTGCTACATTAACGCGGTTTTAACTCTGATGCTAGACCACCTACGTCCCATATTCGAGTAATCATTCATTTCACAACTCCGCCGTCGAGTCTGACGCATACCCGCTCAGTTTACTTCGTCCAGATTGCCAGTTTGTATATTGGGAAGCTGATGGCGAGCAGCCTTCCTTCTGCGCGCATTGGTTTTGGAAAGTACACTTTCGAACTGGTGTGTGGTAGAAATCTACTGCGACCTCAACTCACTGGGGTTATAGAACCCTGGACCATTCTCTATCAAGGTCAGTCAAGCCCATGGCTCTAGACATGAACTGAAAAATAATCAAGGAACATGTTGCCATCGTTTTAGCGTCCGTCCAATATCTGGCCGCTTACTCTATCTGGCGCCTAATTAGTCTTCTAGTGCTAATACCGGGGCAACCAATAACCTAGGTGACTATGTCCTTGCTCCACTTGCGGTATTCTACAAGCAAGTGCGTTCAAGCTTCGCTCTGTGATGACTGATTGGAGTTAAGTAAGTACTAAATGTTATAACAGCCTATGAACGGCTGGCTTGCAATTCTGTTCATGTGGAGCGCTGTGTTCATCGGTTTTTCACTTGCAACTCTCGCCCGGAGCTTCCTTGTCACGAACCCGACCACAGTATGGATGATACCACTTTTGTTTTTCTTACACTGACAATTTTGTACAGCTATTCCCGTTAACGCTTCAGCAAGTCTCCGTCTGTATGTTGCACTTTGCCCGCTTCCTCGTCGGAGATAGCTTACTTGGAAACCTCCCAGTCAACGCCATGCGCGCGAATTTCGAGAATGACAGTCGCACGGTGAGACCGGTGCCTAGATTATTCGTGATTGGGTTCATCGCATCTCGCAGGCACGGAAGCAGATGAGAGTCTTTTGGTTCGGGATCCTGATATTTTTCTTGTGGGAAGTGAGCCATTTCATCAACCCCTTTCCTGATAAGATAACAATGCGCGTTTGTAGTTTCTTCGTAAGTATCAACAAACCCGGGCTTGCGCTTGCTAACAGCACCTCACTAGCTGAATATATTTTCCCGTTCACCTCCTCGCTCGCATTTCTCTGTTGGGTCACAGACAACCCGACTGTGAGTAAAGAAAATCAATGATGTGTACGCTGATGCTAAGCAAGGCCAATTTCCTGGGCTCGGGACTGGGTGGCGCTGGCCTGCTGAATTTCACACTTGACTGGTCAAATATCGGCTCGAGTCTGATCTACTATCCGTATTGGTCGCAAGTCAATGTCTTCGTAGGCAAGTCAGATGAACCATCTATGGGAGTATTCTAACGATGGTAGCATTTGTTCTCGGTGCATGGATTCTTGTTCCGATTGGTGCTTTGGGCGGGGCATGGCAAAATGACCTGTACCCGATGCAAAGCCAAACACTTTATCTTACCAACGGCTCTCGCTATCCGACCGCAGAGCTCATGAACGAGGACTACACTCTCAATGAAGCGCTCTATGAACTCGTTGGGGCACCGAAGATGTCTGCGCAGCTGCGATGGGCGTATTTCTTTAGTTATACCGCCTATCTAGGTGCATTCGTCTCCTTGTGCCTCTTCCAGGGTCCTCTACTTTGGCGAACTTACAAGAGTGTCCGTACTGGCCAGCGCATCTACCACGATAAGCTCAACCAACTCATGGAGCCCTACGCTACTGTTCCCGTTTGGTGGAATATTGCCCTTTTCGTCGTACCCGCAGCTGTCATCATCGTGTTGGGTGCGACAGGCAAGCTTTACCTCCCGATCTACACTATCTTCGTGGCATTTGGCTTTGGCGCTCTGATTGTTGTACCGATGGCTTACATCTATGCGGTGTCGGGGTATCAGGTTCCGGTTGGGTGAGTATCAAGTTGGTGCCCCTTCAGCAATCCGTTCCATTCAACACTTCTCAGATATTTCAACGAACTTCTGTATGGCTATCTTATCAATGCCGGCGGATCAAGACACCCTGTCGGATCATTGGCTTACAGGACTATCAGTGGCCAATGTTGGTATGAAGCTTGCAGTATGCTGTCGGATATGAAACTGTGAGTTGTTGTCGCGTTCCCTGAGTCTGCGCGTCTGACCCATCTTGCTCATAGCGGACACTATGTGTGGAATCCGAATTTTCCTGAAGTATTGATCTCAAATTCTTTCCCAGTTCCACATTCCCCCTCGAGCGACCCTTTTCGCACAAGTATGGGGAATTCTTATCGGTGTTCCCGTCAAGTATTCCGACTTCATCGTACTTCGAATACTGGATTCATCTCGTTTCTAGTTATGCAACAATTCTCTGGGTCGTCAATACGAAGGGGAGCTTCCTCGATGGCTCCGAAACTGACCCCAATAACCAATGGACGGTAGCTGATTTCCATCCTCATCTTGGATTGTACTCAGCTTTCCTGTAGGGCCAAACTGTGATATCGTTGAACAACCAAGGCATCGCGTTTGCGCTTGTTGGTCCCAAGGCTCGTTCTTTTCATTCGGGTTGGAGCTCTGCTGAAAAAGGTTCAGAAACTATTTGACGATCCAATGTACACCATCCTGCCCTATGGCTTCCTGCTCGGCGCGGGCATTCCAGTCATCCTCTACCTCCTGCATCGTAAGTGGCCTCGCGCGCACTTTGACAAATGGAACGTACCGGTGCGTTTCAACTCCAAACTTATTTCGCTTATTCTTACCTTTCCTAGATTTTTGCGACCACGATGGAGAACTTTTGTTTGTCAGCCCCTCCTTGCGACTATCCCGACTGATGACATCTTCTAGATGGCTTCATCTCGAACTACGTTTTGACTTGGTTCATCCTTGGGTCCATCAATCACCTGTACTTCAAGAAATACAAATATAGGTTCTGGAAGACCTACGCGTACATTGCGGGGGCTGCAGCAGACACGGGGTTCAACCTGAACATGCTCATCTTGTTCATTGCCTTTTCTGCGATCAAAGTCACTGTTGCACCACATTGGGTGAGTTGAGATCGGTGGACGAGAATATAACGCTGATTTCGGATAAAGTGGGGAAACAATGCCAACTCGGTGGAGCGGTGCTTCCCCAAGAATGGAGGAATTTAGCTTATGGTGTCTATATAATGTGTACCATGATTCAGAATCTTATGGGTCTTGCACGAGCAACAGGGCTGGGACATAGCTGTTAGTTGCGTGGATGGCATCGGTTTGCTCTGCCCCATTGCTCAACTTTTGGCTTTTGATACCGCACTTGGAAGGCTTGCAATTGCGAATACCTGTTTACAAGCGGGTGTTATGCTGAGGATGAGAGAACTACAAGGGCATACTTTCTTCTTTGCCCCTACAGGGTACAAGACTAGAGGCCTCGAGGAGTGATGGGCGATGAGTCTGGCCCGTCTAACCGCTTTGTAATGATGTGTACGAGACTAAACCTGTTGGGTCACAACCATCAAAATAACCGTCACTCTCCCCTCCATTGTACTTATGTTGACCTTGGCCAACGATTGTTAGAGCGAGGCACAGTATGCCTGCGCCTACTAGACACAGTCAATCGAACAGGTCATATCAGCTACGCGGCCGCTCACCCCATTCCAATCGACTCCTACGCCTACACACCAGTCCAGAAGTCGGTCACCGTCGCCCAGTCCTAGCCCCACTCGTTACGAACCTTCGACGACGCCCATCACGCCTGCAATCAGCCGAGAAACCTGAAGAAGAGCCAATGCCACTGCCCCAGACAGGCTCAAAACGGAAACGCGTCCCCAGCGCGAATGAGAACGCGCATGGGGGTGGTAGACCGACGAGAGGCTCAGGGAGGCTCAAACGTCTTCGGTCAGACGTATACGAGCCAGGGGAGGCCAGTGAGATGGATGTCGACCCATCACCACGAAACAATTCTCGTTGGTCTTCTGATGAAGACTCGCTCTCTGAGCTTACATCAGACGATGATGACGACGACGAGCAAGATGAGGATGAGGAGTCTAGTGCGTGTTTGCTTATTTTTTGTACTTTTTTTGCACGGCTAATAAAGCTGTCCCAGCCGACCATCACCTGATCCATTTTGGCTCTGTGAAGGAACTCCAACGACTTCGCAAAGACGAGCTTGTACGGCTTTATGTCGCAGCCGGCCTCTCCGACGATGCAGAAGCCCTTACGAAGACCGAAATTATCGACGCGTTGGTCACTGCTCGTGAAGATGACGGCGACCTACCGCCATCATCACCGCGAGGAGTCTCATCTGACGAGCAAGACAACGACCCAAATGAAGATGATGAGGTCCACACCCCACTCCCTGCCGTACGCTCCCGTTATACCCATGGGCTCAGGAGAAGAGCAACCACCAACGAGACAACTGCTATGACCTCTCGGCCATCAAAAAGTCGCAGCCTGTCGATGGGTAACCTCCTCCACAATAACACCGTCAATGCAGTTGCCTCGAGCTCGAAACTGAACGGCGACTCTATTTCCAGTCCTGCCCTAAGGCGAGTCTTCCAACTCTTCCAAATCAGATGCTGACAAATTATTATTCTAGGCGTCGCAAATCCTCGAAAACTTTGAAAACCGAATCCTCTCTCCGTACTTCGTTCCCGCCCCATGCCGTATCATCCCCTCCTGCTACCCGCCTTCGGTCTCGTAAAGGCAATCCCCTCTCCTTGTCCGCACCTTTGTCATCTGCATCCGCGTCATCTCCCATCATTGTCAACAATGCGATCCCATTCCCTGCCACTATCCACCGCTCGACTGCTCTAGCCAAAGGACGGAAAGGGAAAGGAAAACAGGTCGAGTTTCTGCCACTGGAAGAAATTGAACGAGAGAAGGAGCGGCAACGGGAAATTGATCGTCGTGCTCTGGCGGAAGAGAGCGATCTTACTGAACTTGATTCTGAACCAACGCCTGTCGATCCAAGTCCTCGCCGCTTGCGTAGCAAGGACAAGGAGCGCGAGCGACTAGGGATTGGCAAAGGCAAAGAGAATGTCTCGCTTCTTGATCTGCGGCGCGTTACCCCGGCCAGGAAAGCCAAGCGGAATCATATCATGGAGGAAGAAGAGGCTGAAGTAGAGGCGCAAATGCAGACAACCGACATCGAGGAACAAGAAGATGAGGATGATCAACTTGCAACTCCAACGCGTACTCGGTCAAGAAGGTCCAGTCACAAGGCTAAGTCGAATTCCCCGGTAGAGCGGACACCTTTGGTTCAGCGTTTACGATCTAGAACTCGGATTCCTCCAGCCTCTGGTGCTGACGGTGACGATGAGCAATCGGATGACGACGATCATCAATCAGATGATGATGATGGCGATGATGAGCAAGTCGGAGAAGAAGTCGCTCAGGACGGGGAAGAAGAGGAGGATGAAGAAGGGACAGTGGAAGGAGATGAAGATGAAGATGGGGAGGACGAGCAAACAATTGCTGTCGAACCAAGGAAACTTCGGAACGGCAAGATTGTTGGCGACGACTTGGAAATGGAGCAAGAGCAAGAAGAGGCACAAGATGAGGACGAGGAGATTGAAGAAGTTGAAGAAGAGGTGCAAGAGAGCGAAGGCGAGGCTGACGAGATGGAATGCGAGAATGGTACGTGACTAGCTTTCCTTCCATTTTTACAATTGTTGACCTGCAGTAGTGGATCTCACTATCGCCACAGCCAAAACTCTCGTTCGCCTTCGGAGAGATGATCTTGTACGCCTATGCGAGACTCGCGACTTGGAAGTTGTGGGGACCAAACCACAACTTGCAGAAGCTTTACTGCAATGGCGCGACCGGCATACTGATTTCTCGTCTCCTTCATCTACTGGGACGGTCATGAACAGGCCACCTTCAACAGTGATCAACAAGCGTCGTCGAAACGCTTCCCAACCTGACACACCCGTTTTGTTGCGCTCCCAACGAGTCCATATCGACGAACCTGTTACTCCTGAACCCAAAGAGGCGCCAGTTGGGGAACCCGAACTAGAGCTTGATTTGGAGAGCCTTGGACTCGATGACAGGGAAATCCCACCCGACAAGCTCCAGAAACTGGAGAAGATCGGCAGCGGCGGCTTTAAAGACGTCTTCATTGGCAAGTTCCGAGGACGCCGCATCGCCATCTCTGAGTTTAGAGGTCAATTGAGCGCAAGTATGTGTTTCTTACGCTCCGTTCAGGACGAAACTAAGATATTCTAGTGGATATCAAAGAGCTGAAGCTCCTTGGCGGATTCGACCATCCCAACATTGTCCGATTCGTATGTTTCGTTATCCAATGCCCTCATTAGCCTGTTGACCAAATGTGTTTAGCTTGGAGTCAGTATTCCGGAAGACACGAAAGTAACTCCAGTTATGATCGTCAGCGAGTTGTGCTCAAATGGCGATTTATTCGACTACGTTCGGAATGTTGCTGCGCCTTCGCTGAATAAAGTGGTATGTCCCTGTTCATTCTCTTCACTCGCCTCAATCTCACCATTATCAGTTGTCCATCATGCTGGACATCGCGCGTGGCCTGGAGTACCTTCATCTACGGAAGCCCTCTGTCATCCACCGAGACTGCAAGTCGTCGAATATTCTCATCACGGCCAAGGGTACTGCTAAGATCGCAGACTTTGGTCTCGCCAAGGTCAAGCAGTCTACTCGATCAATGGTTCGAAGTCTTGTTGGGACGGTGAATTGGCAAGCACCCGAACTATGGCACGCACATCCCAAGTACAACCATAAAGTGGACGTGTTCAGTTGCGCTATGGTGTACTGGGAGATGTTGCAGTGGCATCAGAAGGAGAAGAAGTTTCCTTGGGAGGGCATGAACGAGCATGCGATCTATGAGATTGTTGGAACCAAAAAACAAAGGTGTGTTTGGTCCTCGTAACCTGAGTATGGTTAATCTTCTTGCCAGACCACCCACTAGTGGCCTCCGAAAACAATGGTGTCCTGCAATCGTCGACCTGATTGAGCGCATGTGGGCCCAACAGCACGAAGACCGCCCGACCATGTCCGAGGTCGTCTCGGCGCTGGAAGAAATGAGGAAATGATGGTTTCGGGTGGCGAGACCAGATCCTTTCCTTGACGATCTACGAAAAAACTGCTTGCACCCTACAGTAGAGCCAGCCCCCTTCAGCCGGCTTCTTGTTCTTTTTTTTTATCTTGAGCATATCGAGTATTATTAAGTCCCATCCAATCAATGTATACTGTAGCCACTATAAAAATCCCAATTACGACTGAGGCTCCAAGTGCTGGCGCCGTGTTACTACGAGTACTATGAGACGCTCAAAAATTGTAACGGATTTTTGAAATCATCAGTATTCTGAAACGACCGTTTCCAAAAGTTATTAGATTCCATTTGTAGTCTCTCGCTACACTTAACCCTAACCCTACTACACCAATTGCCCTTTCAAAGTGTTGACTGTGTATATATAGTAAGGAGGATGATGAGTCTGGTCGCAAACTATGCGACTCCGACTCTGAGAATATCAGCCAGGGAGTCACGGTTCAAAGCACGGAAGTCGGAGAATGTGCTCATGGGTAGGATCAACAAGCGTTCAGTAGCTGAACAGGTATAGTGCGGGTCCGTCAACTGAACACTAACATGCGGCACATCGCTTTGAGCGACGATGTCCGCCAAACGGGTGGATATTGCATCATGCTCAAGCTAATGTTGTTTCTAGACGAGGGGATGGTCTGTATGCAGAAGGCTGGTTGTCGGTAAAGGAACTGAGGTACTCGGAGCAACAACTGTTTCGAGCTTATTCCGCAGAAAAATGGTGACAGCTTTCAAGGTGCATGCCCGAAGAACATACTTTTTCGTCACTGACCACCAAGGTCGGGATCGATATTGCACCTCGAGAGAATGTCAGTGTTCAGGCGACCGTCAGACTGGGAGGTTTTGACATCAGAGCAGAGAGGCTGGACGAGGGGGGTTGATATTGTGTTGTTGGAGGACTCGCTGGAGAGTGTAGATAGACCGAATCTGACCGATAGACGAAGGATGGTGGGAGAATTTAAAGGAGAGCGGTGGTAGGGAATATATGTGTTTCATTGAAACAAAGATCCTATATTTGGGAAGCTATTCGGTAGAAAAGTACTCGGCGCCGCGTCGGCCTTCCTCCCAAGTGTAGTGCTCAGTTGGAGGATGTGCTGTCGTCGACTGCCGTCTTTGTCATCTCAAGATTATATTGGACATTGCGCCGGTATTTGGCAGAAAGATCGGCGGCGGTACGGACTTGTGAGTTGGCGCGGACGGTGCTCTAGAAGGTTGCGATGAGCTGGGGAATTGGGCTAGGGAAGGCGGACCTCGAGACAAGCATTTATCTCGAGTATCGCTTCGGTGCATTTGGCCTGCAAAAAATAGTTGGTCAGGGAAACGGTTGGTGATTAAGAGGAGGAAGTTGGCTAACGGTATTCTTGAGTATCCGATCGAGGAGGACCGCCTGGCGCTCTGCGTGTGGGTTCTCCATCGACGTTGTTGATGTGAGATCGAAACGCGAATCGTCACGCGTGACCCATCGTGGCACAGCCACTTTCATCACTCTCGCAATGGCGACGACGTTCGCACCCACGGGGCTTTTGGGAATCAAGACGTCGTTTGCGCCTACGGGTCTTCTGGGAGGGGTAGACGCGTCAGAGTCGGATGCTGGTGTGTAATACGTCTCTGACTTGGGTGCTTAGATCTGACAACGCGTTCTGCTCACAGGGCCCAGTAGTGTCGCTGTGCCACCTGAGCCTAGGCTGGGTGCTATCGCCACTCCACCCAGTTTTGTCTCCAACGGCTTGCTTGGCAGCGTTGTGGAAACGAATAGTGCAAAGGACGCGGACCTGCCTCCAAGTTTTGTCTCTAATGGCTTGCTTGGTAGTATTGTGGAACCACCGGGGATAAACAATGCAGAGCTTCCGAGTTTCGTCTCTAATGGCCTGCTTGGCAGCAGCTCCAGTAGTAATCAAGACCTACCGGAAACAATCAACTCCCAACCCAACACTGAACTACCACCCGCCGTCCCTGCGTACAAATACGTCATTCGCGCGACTACATTCGATGGCAAAACCGTCTTCTTCCGCAAGAAACCGAAGGCAGCACGACACATAAGAGTGCGCTCTCATGTTTAATTGGAGGGACGACTACTAACACCGTCTAGAATACTACTTCACGTCCAGAGCAACTTGAAATGGGCAACCTGCTGGATGTGCCGATACATCGGATGCTGGATGAGTTGTCGTTGGAGACCGCAACTAAGCTGCAGGCATCTTTTGAACCAACGGCTTCTACATCCTCAAACGATTTACCTGAAGACACGCTCTGGGTAGACCGATACCGCCCTCGGCAATTTGCGGACCTGACTGGGAACGAACGTGTCGCGCGCGAAGTTATGACCTGGGTCAAGCAATGGGACTACTGTGTGTTTGGAAAGAACAAGGGGAAGAAGCGGGCTCGAGAAGACGAGGAGGAGATCGCGTATGATGTGAATGATGAGTATAGACGGCCAAGAGAAAAGGTGTGTCCACTGTTCCTGCTCGACAAAGCTAATACTTCATAGCTCTTGCTGCTTTCCGGCCCTCCAGGGCTGGGGAAAACATCTCTTGCTCATGTCGTGGCGCGGCAGGCAGGCTACCAGGTCATGGAGATCAATGCGAGCGATGCGCGTTCTGGTTCAGTGATTGACGATCGAATACGGCCTGCTCTCGAGTCTGGACGCGCCATTGGGAGCACGAAGCCCGTTCTACTGGTCATTGATGAGATTGATGGGGCAACGGGGTCTGGAGACAATGTCTGTCTTTTCTTTCTTTCTACCATCACATTTTCTAATACGTTAATAGTCCAGCACGTTTATTCACAAGCTCATCCAACTAACCCAAGATAGAGCCTGGAAAAAAAGTGTGTGCCAATTTTGGTCGAATTCTTGTAATTCACCGACATATAAGGTCGAAGTAAAAAGAAGGATCCTAATGGCAAACGCCCGATCCTGCGTCCAATAATATGCATCTGCAATGACCAGAATGCTGCGGCACTCACCAAGCTTCGCGCTGCATCGCTGCAGGTCCGATTTGCGCGACCCGCCGATATTCACACAGTCAAGCGGTTGAGGGAAGTTTGTGCGGTCGAAGGACTGAAAGCTGACAACCGGGCGCTGACTACGCTTGTGGGAATCGCGAGAGGCGACCTGCGGGGGTGTTTGAATACACTACAGGTAAGATTGCTTTGGTTCTGGAACTATAACTCATCTCTCGGCCAGTTTATCAAGTCCCGAAACGAAGATGTCACCGAGGCGGTCATACGGAGGGCAACTGTGGGGATGAAAGAGGCAGAAAGCTCGCTGATTTCTGTGCTCAACAGTCTGTTTACCCCTTTGACGCGCAAACGCGTGCTCGAGCTTGCTATGACGGAGGCGGAGGAGAAGCGATACGTCACGCGGCTGAGTCGCGAAATAGAGGCATGTGGACGCGATAGCAGTATCGCTGTTGGTAGGGGACTTTCATCATCAAAACTTGCTTAATAATTTTCTTCAGGTTGTTTTGCCCATTACGCGACCCTGCACCAATACGATGCCAACCTTTTGCGGTTCGAAAAGGCCATGGGATGGCTTGAAACTTTCGACTTGCTCTCCGCTGCGATGTACTCGGACGGCGATTTTGCTCTCAGCCCTTATGTGTCCTACACACTGGTGCCATTCTACCCACTGTTCAAGGAACGCAATGCCCGCGTAGAACGGAGTCAAGTAGATTGGGAGGTAAACTATGTTTGCGCTATTTTGTTCCCATCACTAAGACTTTTTTTGTAGAGCCAAGTGCGCACCAAAGCCAACGAGGAAATCTACAAGACCCTTGCGCGTGGTCTCCGGACCGCAAGCACGCGGCATGGCGGAGATTACCGGCACCTTTGCACGGCCCCGGTCCTCCAACTCGAGTTTGCGCCATATCTAAACCGGATCATATCGCCTCCGCTGCGTCCGGTAAGAGCGATTTTCCTTCGGGAATACTCGGCATTCACACCTAGCTCAGGTCAACAGCCAGGTAATCCGCCCCGAAGAGCGCGCTTTGCTAGCGCGTTTGGTGAACATTATGGCAACGCTGGAGCTGCAGTTCTACCAGGAGCGCGCGGAAGACGGGACGCTGTCGTATCGTCTGGACCCGTGAGTGCCCTTGTCGCGGTCAAGTTGGCTAATTAACTGACCCTCCTCCCAGTCCGATTGACGTTTTCGTTACCTACGACGGTAAACGCGCGTCAGACATCCCCGTGTCGCGATATGCCGTTCGCCATCTCGTTGCTGGCGAGGTACTACTTGGCTATTATGATTGCCTCAGCTTCTGACGACCAACATAGATTGAAGCCCAGTTGATTGCGCGGCGAGTAGACATTATCGAGCGCGAGAAACGGGGCAAACACGACTCCTTTTTCGGCGGGAATGCAAAGTCGTCTCCGTGAGTTTTGTTTGCTGTCTTAACCTGTGGCCAATGCTTTGCAGGATCAAAGGGGATGGCCAGGAGCACGATCCTCCGAGCTCTCCGACAAAGGCGCTTGCAACGCCGCCTAATAAACGAGCGCGAGTGGACGCGCCGGTGGTGGACATTGCTGACAGAGTTTGTGTTCGACATGTTTTTTTTTCGTCCATGCTCAGTTCTTGTCTAGCCTCCGACTGACTTCTTTGGCCGGCTGATCACTGTGCCAACCTCGAGAACTGCGCAACACAAGAAGAGCGGGGACACCAAGTTCAGAGTTGCGTTCAAGTATAATGAGGGCAATTCCGCCGCTGTGAGGAGGCCGGTCAAAGTCTCATCGTTCCTATAGTGGTACTCTAGTATATATTTCGCGGGAAAATGGCACCTACCAAATCCAATGCTTGGGACAGAATTTCGACTTTACTGTGCACAGATTGTAAGCTTTTTATTATGTCTGCCTTCATGAGAAAGTATGTTTCTGTGAGCCGACTGAACTGACCAGAAATTTACCAGGGTCGGAGAGGCCTCAAAACCGGACAAGGATTCCAAAATTTTCACTTCAAAAACCTTACTGTAACGTTGAAGCCAGTGAAAGCTTCAACATTGAACAGGCTTCAACGTTCAACTTTGTAGACAAGTGTGACATAGCTCACTATTGTCTCTTTTACAGACCCGAATGTTTCGTGGACCGGTCGTAAACTCCCTGCGAAAAAATAGGAGCTCACTATAGGTCTCATCCTTCTCTGTCATGACAAAACAACCGAAACCAAACCGAAACGCCCCTGGCAAAGGCGAAGGTTTCTTCTTCCGCCCAATATCATGTCTTCCGACGTAGAACCCCCACGGCCTAGCCTGCCTTCAACTCCTGAGGATGGTCACGGAGAAGGTGTCGAAGCTAATGACTCCGAAACTATCGCCGCTTCCAATGCTACCTCTGACCAACTCGGTTTTCGCCAGCGAGACCCAGTTGATAACCCGCCTCGGCTCAGCGATGCGTCAAACACACCCAAAGCAGAGTCCTTGCCAGAACCTATGCAGATTGATGCGGAAGAGGTCTTGAGGGGGGAAAGTTTGGTTTTTTCTCCGACCTCGGGGCCGTTAGCAGCTACCACTACAGTCGCATTGTCACCGAGGACAAAAATCGTCGAGGCTCGCGCATTATATGCATTTGCTGCACGATGGGAGCATGATATCGTCGAAGCCGCCATGAACAGCGGTGTAATGGCTATCGCGATCTCAGTGTCTCAAACTAGTCCCTTGGACTCGGATTCACCGGTGACTGCTCAGTGGTTGCTCTGGGCCAACGCGAGCTATCTACCATCCCAATTTGCCTATAATCTCGCTGCCGAAACGGGCGTTCAAGTACTCATGCGACCTGCCGAGGCGGCTCCCCGCGAGCTTTGGCTCAAGGACCGCCCAGCTTTGAGTCCAGTGCAGTCACCGTTTCGGCAGGTTGCGACCTCTTCGTCCAAAGGCACTGTCAATAAAAGCCCAGAACATGCTCGCGAGAACAACCCACCGCCCGCGACAACTGGTTCGGCCTCGAGTCCAGTGGCCGCTGATCCAACCTACGCACCTTATGTCCCGAATCGTTTTGCGGAGCTTCCAGATCCCTCCCCGGGGCCGCACGAAGACGACTCCGACCCCAAGGATTCGCCAAAGGCAAAATGTTCAATGGTGGACATTATGTTGAGCGATAACACAGCATTGTTCGCCTCATTGTCGCTGTCCATCCAGGTGTGTATCCAGAACACTACCCCCTCTACATATCTTGATCACTGTTGAATGTAGCGTGGTCAGCGCCACAACGTCTCGAAACACGAACTCGGTGTCCCTCTCAGGGCTGCTCTAAATTTCAACACCGCAAAACTTGAATTATCGGGCGGTTTCCTGACAGTCGCATCAAATGGTCTCCCCCATACGTTATGTGTGTGCGTTACTTCACTCTTGGAGTGAGAAATTCGTTGTTCACACCATTTTAGTGCCTACGACAATGCGATAGAACGAGGAGCGGACATGGTTACACTCAAGGTTTCCAATACCGGTAACATGGCTGCTAAGGCAACGTTGGGCCATACGGGAATAGCGGTAGATGCAAGCGCCTCAGTTGCTGTCGGGAAGGACTCTTCCACTCAAACACAATACCCAGTATGCAGCCGAGTCCTTGAATCCCAAGCCCTGACTTATCTTAGACCACTCCACCATTCGTCTGCAAGATGCACTCAAATCAGGTTGTGGCAGCAACAGTTGAAGTAATTCCCCACCCAACTGTCGCCCGGAACGGCATGATCGCTGTTGAGGTGAATGCCAAAGTTATGCTTCCCCAGCGCTCGCAGCGAGACTGGCCGTACGCATTGCCAATAAGATTCAACGCCCAGTGGTGTTTGCGTGACCGTTCAGAGTTGAATATCGGACGCTACAGCCTGGTGGTTTTTGAAGTGATCAGTTTTTCACACTCTGCTTTGTTCTTGTGCTCAGACGCTGTGACAGGTCGTCGAGGATGTGTGGGGCGGGCGGGAGGATTGGGAAGATAACCTGACGCGAAGTGTAGCGGTGTTCCCCAACTATGGTGAGGTATCTCGAGCTTGACCTGTTGTGCTAATGCAATGTTGGTCATCAGATGCAACCCCAAACGATGACACCGAAAACGGTAGGCTGTTTGATGTTTCCTTCGAGTGGCTGATGTAGAGGAAACAGGCTTTACTCAGTATGAGAATACGACCCTCCTGACAATGAGAGAAAGACTGCAGCCCAAGCAGCCGCCGTGGTACAACTTCCGGACGCTTGTTCGACGGATCCGCCACGAAAAACCACAGACACTTCCCGCTGGCGCGTATCAGATGTGGGGCCCGAAGGGTTGGATGGCCGTCAAGATTGGCGAGCTTTTGCAGGTCCCATTCGACGCGCAGAGCCTGTCTCCGCCGTTCGACGCATTGCAGCTCGAGTACCCCATGCGCTTTCGTGAGGCGCGAGGTTCGGAAGAGACATAGTGCAACTTTATGAATGAGTATTATCGAGGCTATTACCAATCAGAATACCGGAATAATGTAGATTATCACGCTTGTTAAATAAATTAGGCAGCTCTGCGCCTCCTGGAATCCTAACGCCGCCTAAGAAGTAAAGTCGGTGCTCCGAAGTCCTTGTCAAGTTTATGCTGATTTCAAGTTTTTGTCTGACAATACTTATCTGCCGACTGCTTGCCCCGCTCAAGACTTAATATCAGGCATTGTGGATTCAAGTTGTCTTGGCCAGAAGTTGTGTAGACTTCAACTGCGTTGTCTGTGTCTGCAAGTCAGGTCCATTAGATGTGTACAGGCATAGCCGTAGTCTACGAGACAACATTTGAGCTCTGACGCCGGGATATCATTGTCATTATAACACGTAACGGAACTCTTTGTTTTCTAGGTCAGTCAGATCTAGGAACTCCTGCAGCACCGAGTCAACGCAAAAGCCAACGGGACGACGAAGAACATACGCGGTTTCTCGATGATGGTCCCAGTCGCTGACATAATATTCATCGTAGTTGCGCGCAGTCTCGCGCCGTAGACGGCGCAGAATATCATGTTGTTGTATACATTGTATATAATTCCCTCCCGCATCCACCTCAACGCTTTACTCACCCATCGCAAAGGCTCGCAGCTCGCTAAGGCTCGCGCGAGGGCTCTGGTTATATACCCTTGTATTACGGCAAAGGCACTGAAAAAAATTTTATTCCAGGTACGCGACGCTGCAAATCCAACACGTAAGACACGTATATCCCAGATCCATCGCGATGTGTGCCTCCCGATCCATCTCCCTGCCAAGTCGCGGTCACGGTTTCCTTCATCCCCTTCCCCAGTTAGGTCAAACCAGCCCACACTCCCTTCCAACCAACTCCATCGTCCCCCCGCGTTGCAGCCTACAGCGCCATTTGTGCCAGTCCTGCCAGACCACGATATGGAGACTGAGCGCCCGCAGAATGGGTGTCGCGAGGAAAGATTTTGAAGGGGAGTGGTTTGTCGGGTTGTCCAAACCCGTGCCGGGGCTGCTAGCAGGTAGCGGGGACATGTTATAGGCCAAACACAGCGGTGTTGGACCAAGTCTGTCGCTCAGTTGCCGTCAATGAGCCAAGATGGCGAGCAGGAAGGTGTGGCGAGTTGCACAGAGACAGCGCAGGAAGTCGGGTGAAGGACCAAACTGCATGTCCGTTACTCTCGCTCCCTGCTACGCGCGGTCAAGGACCAAAGCCTACGTCCGTTGCTCTAGCTCGCAATGTTGGCGACACAGACAACTCGGCGCTTGTCAAGTGTCGCCAGTTCAAACATGCAGCGCCAACCAAACGGGCCCATCAAGGTCGGAGTGAAGAACCAGCAGCTAACGCTGCAGGGGAACAAATTGGCCGTGCTCGCCAACGCGTTGACGACGCCGAGGCCGGCTGATAGCGCCGCGTTGCGCTGGTCGGAATGGACAGTGCAGTTGTGGTATAGCTCGTGCCGCGCCGGACTGCCGCATTTGGTCGGGGTTGGCGGACAGTTGCATGGGCGTTGAAAGGGCGGTCAAGATCTGGTGCTTGCGCAAGCACCTGCAAGTTTGGCTTGGACAACCCATAAGAAGAAGGCTATGGCGGGCCGGTTCGCGCACGTGCCGCCGGCGGATGGCCTCGGTCGGGGCCACGCGCTCGCACCTCGGAGTCGACTCAAATTCGTGCCGCAGAAGATGGCAGGGTTGGAGTCGATGCGTGGGGACAGTGGCGTTGCGCAGATAAGGAGCCGTGGTAGTGCTCTCGCACGTGTCGCCGGAGAAACGGGCTCGGTCATTAATATGGAGTTGGTGTTGAGACTGGGTTTGTCGTCGTTGATAACGGTCAACAGCACGGTGGAGTGCGGTTAAAACTCAGCAACCGCGCGACCTGCAAGTTTGGCGCAGTTCACCCACTTCTGCTCGATGCGAGCACGTGCCACTGGCCGACAGAGCACTTTGGAAGGCAGCGGGCTTGAACCCAGCGCGCGGGGACTCGGTGCTGTCGCATTGGCCTGGGGGTAAGAAGAAGGCCCAGTTTGGGCACGTGCGTCGCATTGGCCTGGGGGTAAGAAGAAAGCCCAGTTTGGGCACGTGCCGCCGGCGAATGGCCCCGGCCGGGGCGGCTCGCGCCGTAAGCCTGGCGTGGTCGACTGCGATGCAGGCACATGCCGCACACCCCTTAGGAAGACGGCGGGAATGGAGTCGATGGGTGGGGGCAGGGCGCTCGCGCCGTTTGGTGTGGTAGTGAGAAGAAGCGCGGCTGGGGGATGTGCCGTTGGTAGAGGCCCCGGCATAGAACCCGTTGTTGAGGGAATTCGGATGGGCTGGGTGTGGAAGACTACAATGCTTTGAGCACTGGAAAACAAAAGGCCAAATGGAAAACTTACAAGGGCGTAATTGGCAGCGCACTGCTGCCAACGTTCACGTTGAAAGTCCACCTGTACACAGGCCTCCGGCGGCAAAATCCTGGAAAAAAATGACATCTTGAATCGCATTTTTTGAGGTCCAAATGACGCCCCGAAATCCTCGGATAATGGATTGATCGCATCAAAAGTCGATGATGCGGGCGATTTGGAGCGCAACGAGCGGCGCAACACGTTGGGCACACTGACATCAAGGTCAGTAATAGCACAATGAAGAGGAGAGACAAGGACTGACCAGCCAGATCCTGGCATTGACGCGCCTGCGCCAGATGAGGTTGTTGCTCGCCGAAAACTAGGAAGGGTGATGGATGAGTTGAGTAGAAAAAAACCATGTTGTGACTTACAATGGTGGGGGAAGGCAGCGCACTGCTGCCAATGTCTGCGTTGAAACTCCTCCTGTATATACGCCTCCGGCGGCAAAATCCTGGAAAAAATGAGGTCTTGAATCACGTTTTTTGAGGTCCAAATGATGCCCCGAAATCATCGAATAATCGATTGATCGCATCAAAAATCGGTGATGCGTGCGACGTTCGGGCGCGATGAGCGGGGCGACGCACTGAGATCAAGGTCAGTAATAGCAAAATGGAGGAGATAGGAGCAAGAGCTCACCATAATAAAAGACCGCATGAGGATCCCAGCGTTGACACGCCTGCGCCAGATGCGGCGACAGCGGAGCGGTGGTCGGTGTTGGGCGCAGTTGGCAAGGGCGGCGGCCACAAGAGGAAAGCCAGGGAGCAGAGCCCTGGCTCCGGAATGCTGAAGTCCAGAGGGACGCTGGGCCTCCGGCCGTCAAAATCCTGGCGCAAAAGTAAGTTTTGATAAGGTAAAAAGTTGGCCGAAATACGCTTACGTAAGCATCCATTGATCCATGATTTTGCGCCGATTTTGATTAAAAGGTATCGTGTTCTACAGAAACAACTAAGTTGACCAGTCAGGTTTAGCAGGATGCAAGACTCACCTATGGCAGCTATAGCACAGGCTGAAGTAGGTGCAGCGGGTGTGGCAAACCGCCCTACAAACAGTATGTGTCAGCAAAAATTGAGAAACAAATGAGGGTGCAAACCTTGGTTAATGGGTTTGCGACAAGACCAGGAGCTGCAGACCAGAGTTGGATTTTGGCAAGTGACTAGGTTGTCTGGGAAGCCTTCAGGTCTTCAGCCAGCCTGAGCGAGCAGAAAACAACAAGAAGAGCACACACCTTGTTTCGAGCAAAGAATGTGGTGGTGGAGGAGCGGGAAGACATGTCTTGGGAGCAACCAGGGTAGGCTGTGGACATCCCTCGAGGGCCAGCGCTGCACCAGTGACGAAGAGTGGTCAAGAACAGCACTACAAACAGTATGTGTCAGCGAAAATTGGGGAAGATAATGTGCAAACCTTGGTCAACGTCAAGGCCAGGAGCAGCTGCAGGCAGGAGTCGAATGTTGGCAAGTCAACGCGACGCAGAATGTTGTCCCACATGTTGCGATGAAAGCTTCGCGTCCACAGTCAGCCTGAGCAAGGAGAAAATGGCAAACAGGGAACACACCTTGTGTTGAGCCAAGAGCGGTAGTGGTGGACTCAAGACAAGAGGCGACGCGGCCGGTCATGTAAGGGGCATGGCGACGAAGAGTGGGGGGAAGGCAAGAGAGGATGGTGGAGGAGTTAAGACAAGAGAGGATATGTGACCTTGTTGATACGCAGACACGCCAAGACGCGTCGGAGGGAAAAAAAAAACGGCATGTAACAGATGTCACATCAGGCCGGAAGCTCCGGTCGCCGGTGTCGACCAGGAACATAACATTAGTGGAAAATCAAATTCACTGACATCGGGGGAGGGCGCAAGCATCGGCGGAGCATTAGGCGAAGAAATAAGCCCGGCCGAGCCTGAAACAGACATCGGCTATGGGTATGGCAGATGTGGTAACATCAAATGATACCGGCTGCTCAGACTTTCAAACGCTTCTTGGTCTAGCCGCTGCCGTTCCCTGTGCCTGTTTTTCCACAGGCTGTTCATGCCTTTTGTTTTGAACAGTGGCCCTATTTTTTCTTAGGTCAAGTTCGTGGGTAATCAACACTGAAGCGTGACCAAAAGTGATACTGAATATATTTTTCTGGACTTTCTGGACGTTCTGAGAGGTAATTCAGCACACTAAAGATAGCATCCCGATAAGGTAACAGTACCAACAACTGCTAGTTTTCCTCTAGTTCAGCCCCGATCGCCTAATTCCGAGCGTGGGAACTAATGTTCGGCTTCAATAAATGTTATCCACACCTTCATCGCAGCTATCCCTGGCATCCAACTCACTCTTTTCCTGTTGTAGATGGGAAACAAGATAACTCTCTGCTGGAGTCGAATTTACTCTGATTACGACAGAGGGGGACGCCCATAACACGAATGATAGCTCCAGGCACGTACCCGCGAGGATCGGAGGGCCAGACCGCGGCCGCCAGCACAATGTGCTTGGAACAGGAAATACGCGAAATCGCGTATTTGCATCTCAACAAACTGTTGGCGGCGTGCATGCCCGCGGTAACGTCACTTGACAGATGAAAATTTTCATGGGAACTTTGTGTTTGTTGATTCCGCCGCAACGTGGACATGTTTACAAGTGCACCGCCCGCTTATCCTGCCTACATAAGACCTGACTTGTGTCGAACAACCCAGCACTTCTTTCCCTCTCCCTCCATCCTTCCCCTTCAACCTCACCATTGTCCATCATCATTGTCATTGCTGCTTGTTAATCTACAAGTCGTCTACAACAGTCTACCCAATTGCTCGTTGTCCATCGCTCATGCCTCTCGTCGTCACTCAACTCTCGCGCTCGCTTTCAGTGTCAACGCCCGCGATGGGATCGCCGTGCTCGTCGTTGCAAACACTCTGCACTGAGGTCAGATTTCGATTTGAGCACTTGATTTAGCTGCTGACCATGTCTCCCAGCTTGCCGACTTGAAACCTGTGCGCTTGTCGTCGTCCATCGTGATGGGCACTGTGCGTCGTAGTTATCGTCCATTCTGGTGCAATCCCCAATCTCACCTTATCCAGAAGATTTGAGGCCAATGACCTCGCTCCTCGTCGCTGTCGTTCCAGCGCTAAGATTTCATCGTCGTCCTGCGGGGATTGGTGAGTTGTGTTATGGCCCGCGTTGAGGAAACAAGACTTACAAATCTGAAAGCTGCTTTGTTCATTGTGTTGGCCTAAATCGAAGTAGTGTCAGCGGCTTCACCACCGACGCATCGGTCCTGCCAGCTTGCCTCTAGCGCAGCCTGTCTGCGTTGCGGGACGGTCGCTTGGGCGAGCTCGTGGCTATGTCCGTTGACATTGCTGCCGTTTTGGTCTCGCTGTTTAATGGTAAGTTTACTAGTATTGGCAAAAATGAGACATTCGGCTCACTTTCTTCCAGCCAAATCACTAGTTTTTTTCCATATTCGGCACCACCAAACTGTTTAATGGTGAGTTTCCTTGTAAAATGAACGTATAACTAACCGTTTTAGGCTCGCCTTCCCCGCAAAATCAAGTGCCCACCTCCCAAAATGTTCGCGCCGCGCAGAGGTCCGCGCAGAGGTCAGGAACCCAAACGCGTAGTTGTTGGCCCCTGGATTTGCCGTTGAACGATTCGTCATTGTCGCTACAGATTTCATCGTCAGTGAGTTACACGGACTGAGAAAACAAGACTTACATGATAATAGCACGTTGCGCTTACTTTTCGTTGTCGTCAAGAGGGAAGAGCGGGAAATAGTTGATGGACGGGAAGGGCATTGAGCTCGTTGACATGTTCGTTGGCAAGAACGCTCGCCGTTGGCGACAGGCTCGTTGTCGACTGAACGACTTCCAACAGTCAGTTGGCGTGCTTATGGACAGGTAAGCGGACTCGTTGAGCGGGGACAAATATGAGCTTACCTGATCATGTAGCGCTCTGTAATTCGGGGTCGGCTCGGCAGCTTCTGAGCAGCGGATTCGCCGCCTCAGCTGAAAAGCGTGCCGAGCCACACGGTTTTGGAGGCCGCGTCGGCACTGCTCATAGCGGAATGTGTCGCAAACCAGAGTTGGGTAATAGTCGGCCTCGCATCCCGTCTTGATGATTGACTCGTAGACTAGTTTGTCGTTGTTGCGCGCGGAGATCGCTGGCCCAGCCCGAAAACAAGGCGACGACGAGTTTGCCTCGAACGGTGTCCAGCTGCCCGCCCAAAGCTTTGGAGGCCAGCGGGCCGGCCGGCGTAGTCATGCGATTCGCAAGGGGTCAAGTAGCATGTCATCCCAGTAAGTAGTCAGTAGTTGCCGTCCCAGCCCGTAGTGAGTAGTTCGCCGTCAGTTGCCGGAGTCAAAAGTAAGCCGCCGGCATAAGTTTTGAGGGAGTGGTGGTTGGCGCTGCCGTTTGGGCCGGAGAGGTGCGGTCAGCCGGGCCAGGTCGCCGCCGAACGCTGGGTGTGGTTTGGAAGAAGCAGCAAATGGGGCCAACTGGGGCGGACTCACCGCTTGGATACCCCCGGCCGGCATTTCCCTCGCATCTCCCCACAGTTCCCCGTTCTCGTCCATCTCCACCGCTAGCTGACGTTTGAGGCGTGCGGAAACCTGTCGTGGTCAAAGAGGCCACCTGCACAAGCGCAGATGATCGGGATGAAGGGCAAGACGAAGCGATGCGAGTCACGAGCATGTGACGGCACGCGCAAAGGTGAGCGATATTTATTCACTTCTACCAAATACAACATGTACTGAGGTCTATTTAACAAGGCGGATTCACTGACTCGTTGTCTAATCTCCGAACTGGCGAATAAAACTGAAGGTAAGTTATCGTTGACTTGGATTCAATCTTGCTTACCTCGTTGTCAGATAAATACAACGTGCTTGTCGGCGTTGTCTGCGCTGGCCTCGTTTCGTCCTATACCGAGCCCGCAAGCAACACTGAATCCTGGTAAGCATGATATTCTTCAATTCATCCTGGTTTACCTTGTCTTCACGTCCAGGTCGGCTGCGGCGTTCCCGAATTCTATTCCAGAGTTGACCTGCCATCGAAAGCCTTTTAAACAAATAAGTAAGTATATATGCCAACTCGTTGTTGCTGTTCGTGCCTCAGCTCGTTGCTGGTGTTCGCGCGCTCACTGTTACCGCTCAGCCAGGCGCGCGAATGTGAATGCAAACCGGCAGGTGCTGCCGAGCCCGCGCCGTTCACCGCCACCGGAGACTGACCCCGACTAGGGCTGCAAGTTGAGGAAAGAGATCGTGCCGAGCAGGCCGGTGCCGTCCCAGTAGTCAGTAGTACCAGTTTGGTTGTTTACGCGCGAGAGCCGAGGCAAAGCTGGCCGGTCGTAAGTAAGCGCGGGCCGTTGGGGCTTCCATTGGCGAAACCAGACCTGGCGCTTGCTGGGTAGTCAGTGGCCGTCAGTGCTAAGAAAGACAAGGCGCTAACCTGCTGGTCGTCGTTTCGCTGAAGATTGCGATCGTGCCAGTTATTATTCTCCTAGTATATGCCGGGGAGATGGTCGCCGAAGAAGTGTCCGGAGCGAGTCATGAGTTCGGTGATGGCAGGATGCTGCATTCATTCTCGCCGACTACACTTACTCAGTACACACACCCATGGCCAGTGCTTCCTCACAAGGCCTTCAAGCGCGCGCACATCTGTCGGGCCTAGAGTAAGTGCAGAGTTGAGTCTTTGCGCTCGTCGTGCTGACCTCGCTGCAGGGCTTTTGTATTCTTCAAGCAGTCGAGCGCAGACGGGCTTGTCAATATGGTCAGTGTTTTTGAACGGCTTCACACAAACTTACATTTGGTCCAGTTAGCGTCTGCGTAAGCATTGGCAGGCAAAGACGGTGGCAGTTGCGCGTGAGTTATTCTTGCTGTTAATTCGAGTTTGCTGACCACATTGCTTAAAGACAACGGGAGGTCGTCGATGCAGCTGGTCCTAGTTCGATCGATCGTTCCAAGTTGTACGATCAATGCAGCTTCGATTGCAAGGGCACCAGTTTTTGCCTCGAGTAAGTTTCTCGACGAAGAATGCGGCTGGAACTGACTTGTTCTTTTGGTACAGGAGCAATAATATATTTCTTGGCCTCGAGGCCCGCGCATTATATGCATTTGCTGCGCGAACATGATATCGTCGAAGCCGCCATAAACAGCGGTGTAATGCCCATCTGCCAGTGTCCCAAACTAGTCCCTTGGACTCAGCTTCACCGGTGACTGCTCAGTGGTTGCTCTGGGCCAACGCGAGCTATCTACCATCCCAATTTGCCTATAATCTCGCTGCCGAAACGGGCGTTCAAGTACTCATGCGACCTGCCCAGGCGGCTCCTCGCGAGCTTTGGCTCAAGGACCGCCCAGCTTTGAGTCCAGTGCAGTCACCGTTCCGGCAGGTTGCGACCTCTTCGTCCAAAGGCACTGTCAATAAAAGCCCAGAACATGCTCGCGAGAACAACCCACCACCCGCGACAACTGGTTCAGCCTCGAGTCCAGCGGCCGCTGATCCAACCTACGCACCTTATGTCCCGAATCGTTTTGCGGAGCTTCCAGATCCCTCCCCGGGGCCGCACGAAGACGACTCCGACCCCAAGGATTCGCCAAAGGCAAAATGTTCAATGGTGGACATTATGTTGAGCGACAACACAGCATTGTTTGCCTCATTGTCGTTGTCCATCCAGGTGTGTATCCAGAACACTACCCCCTCTACACATCTTGATCACTGTTGAATGTAGCGTGGTCAGCGCCACAATGTCTCGAAACACGAACTCGGTGTCCCTCTCAGGGCTGCTCTAAATTTCAACACCGCAAAACTTGAATTATCGGGCGGTTTCCTGACAGTCGCATCAAATGGTCTCCCCCATACGTTATGTGTGTGCGTTACTTCACTCTTGGAGTGAGAAATTCGTTGTTCACACCATTTTAGTGCCTACGACAATGCGATAGAACGAGGAGCGGACATGGTTACACTCAAGGTTTCCAATACCGGTACCATGGCTGCTAAGGCAACGTTGGGCCATACGGGAATAGCGGTAGATGCAAGCGCCTCAGTTGCTGTCGGGAAGGAGTCTTCCGCTCAAACACAATACCCAGTATGCAGCCGAGTCCTTGAATCCCAAGCCCTGATCTATCTTAGACCACTCCACCATTCCTCTGCAAGATGCACTCGAATCAGGTTGTGGCAGCAACAGTTGAAGTCATTCCCCACCCAACTGTCGCCCGGAACGGCATGATCGCTGTTGAGGTCAATGCCAAAGTTATGCTTCCCCAGCGCTCGCAGCGAGACTGGCCGTACGCATTGCCAATAAGATTCGACGCCCAGTGGTGTTTGCGTGACCGTTCAGAGTTGAATATCGGACGCTACAGCCTGGTGGTTTTTGAAGTGATCAGTTTTTTGCACTCTGCTTTGTTCTTGTGCTCAGACGCTGTGACAGGTCGTCGAGGATGTGTGGGGCGGGCGGGGGGATTGGGAAGATAACCTGACGCGAAGTGTAGCGGTGTTCCCCAACTATGGTGAGGTATCTCGAGCTTGACCTGTTGTGCTAATGCAATGTTGGTCATCAGATGCAACCCCAAACGATGACACCGAAAACGGTAGGCTGTTTGATGTTTCCTTCGAGTGTCTGATGTAGAGGAAACAGGCTTTACTCAGTATGAGAATACGACCCTCCTGACAATGAGAGAAAGACTGCAGCCCAAGCAGCCGCCGTGGTACAACTTCCGGACGCTTGTTCGACGGATCCGCCACGAAAAACCACAGACGCTTCCCGCTGGCGCGTATCAGATGTGGGGCCCGAAGGGTTGGATGGCCGTCAAGATTGGCGAGCTTTTGCAGGTCCCATTCGACGCGCAGAGCCTGTCTCCGCCGTTCGACGCATTGCAGCTCGAGTACCCCATGCGCTTTCGTGAGGCGCGAGGTTCAGAAGAGACATAGTGCAACTTTATGAATGAGTATTATCGAGGCTATTACCAGTCGTACCGGAATAATGTAGATTGTTAAATAAATTAGGCAGCTCTGCGCCTCTTGGAATCCTAACGCCGCCTAAGAAGTAAAGTCGGTGCTCCGAAGTCCTTGTCAAGTTTATGCTGATTTCAAGTTTTTGTCTGACAATACTTATCTGCCGACTGCTTGCCCCGCTCAAGACTTAATATCAGGCATTGTGGATTCAAGTTGTCTTGGCCAGAAGTTGTGTAGACTTCAACTGCGTTGTTTGTGTCTGCAAGTCAGGTCCATTAGATGTGTACAGGCATAGCCGTAGTCTACGAGACAACATTTGAGCTCTGACGCCGGGATATGATTGTCATTATAACACGTAACGGAACTCTTTGTTTTCTAGGTCAGTCAGATCTAGGAACTCCTGCAGCACCGAGTCAACGCAAAAGCCAACGGGACGACGAAGAACATACGCGGTCTATCTTCTTCTCGATGATGGTCCCATCCGGCTGCACGTCGCTGACATAATACTCATCGTAGTTGCCCTCGTCCCGCGCAGTCTCGCGCCGCTTATTCTCGGCGGCGTAGACGGCGCGGATGGCGAGCATGAGCAGCGCGGACCCAACAGTGCAGGCGGCGATAATGGCCCATGGGATGTGGTTCCTGGTGGACAAGGGTAGAGTTTCAGTTTAGCTTGTCGAGACAGCGAGCACGAACCGTGGCTGGTACTGCGCCTTCCACATAAAGGGTCCGACAGCATTGCCGAGGCCATACGCGACGAGCATGATGGCGTTAGCGGTCGTTCCTAGAAGGCGATTTTAAGCAGCCGAAAAAGGAAATAAAAGAGAAGGGCAAAACATACGACGTGTGTGGCCGGCGGTGAGCGAGCTCAGCCATCCGAGGGAGATGGCAAAAGGGGTAATTGCGAAGACTGGTGAGCATGTCAGACGCGCAGGCAAGAGCCGGAGCCAAGGTAAATACGCACTTGTGAGCCAATAGCTGAACAGCAAGCCAACCTTGTTATGACTGGGAAGTGTGTTGACGAGGATGGAGCCGAGGATGGCTGGGATAAACATTATCACCCCCGCATACGCCCGTCCGATCGGTTTGTAGCCAGCTAAGGTGACGCCCGCCCAGATAGTCAAGACTATAATGCAATCTCAGAAGTCGTCCTTGTCGTCCGGTTAGAAGCAACGCTTACTTTCTACGACACCGTCGACACAGCCAAGCAGAGTGGTCTGGATGGGACTGAATCCGAACATTTTCACGATGATTTGCCGTTGCACAATGAGCTGTTGACATGTGGAATGAGCTCGAGAACTAGGATCAACGCGACGGAATCAGACCGAGTTTATGATGTTTGAAAGAGCGGCGAAAGCAGCTAATAGCCATATCTTCGGATCCTTGATAGTAGCCATGAACCTGCCGAAAGGTCAGGCAAGCAAGAGCAAAAAAAATGACGTACTGTGCACGCTTCCAATGCTTGTTTTCGACACCAGCTTGGTTAACCTTGATACGCTCAACAGCAAGTACACGTTCTTCTGTCGTAAGGAAATAGGCAGAAGTGGGAGAGTCGGGGAAGAAGAACCTTGTAAACATAAGCTGGAGTCAAAACGATGGTAGCTCGAAAAAGATATACCAGAACAGGACGGAAGTGAGGAGAGTAATGATTCCTGTGATCATGAAGAGCCTGGATGGCGAAGTCAGTCGAACATCCGGGAATAGAAGAGCGCCGAACCATTGCCACGGCAAGAAATTGGGAGTCTACAAAGTATAATGATAATTCGTTCGCAGAAGAGTTGCAAAACCCACCTTGGTGTGAAGCACTCCGAAGGCAACAAAGCCCAGGAAAATCACAGCAAACCCGTTCATCAGGACTAGAGAACGAGCTTAATGGTGGCTTCGAGCCAAATACGAATAAACTTACACCAGTAGCCCACCCGCTTATTCTAAAGGACAGCATTAGGATTCAGATGCACGCATGGAGAATGCTATTACCTGCTCTTCGCGCGTGTAGAACATAGCGGTGACCTTTTCGGGATATAGGTTATACCTTCGGCGGCATGGCTATGAACATACGATCATGAATCCGGGAGTTATAGCACCTTAAGGCAAAATGAGATCACAGTGATGATATGAAACGGAACCGCCCGAACCCTCGCAAAGTCCCAGAATGAAACGGACGGCAAAGAGTGCGCCGAAAGACTTGCATGCCGAATGGGCCATGAGAGCAATCGCCCACACAAAGATGTTGATGCTCATCCATTTTCCCACGGGGAAGCGTTGTAGGGCCTGGAAGTCGGCATGAAGAGAAACCGAATACTGCAGTAGCACAAGCGTACCAGATTCTGCGGGTACTAGAAGATGGTCAACTTTGAATAGAGTTGTACCGAAACCTATAGGTTGGTCGCACCTCGAATAGAAGATAGCTGAAGTAGAATATGGATCCGAGCCAGTTGAATTGGTTCTGATTTAGGTGGGCGCCGGGACTGAGAATAGTGTAAGGAGAAGTGAAGCGGAGTGCGATGGGTTAATCGCACATTAAGCCTAGGACGGCAGCTTGGCCCAATGTGGTCTTGTCGGCAAATGTCATGCTGTTGGTTGTTTACCGCAAGTTAGGTCGGAATAGTGGATACCTACAGATACATGACTAGTGGGAATCAGCGGAAGCGCGTAAACAAGAGCTAGAAGGACGGACTGCACATGAGAGGCATTAGATGCCAGTCGATTTTACGCCTACACGATATGGTCAACAAAAAACAATCGGATTGAATAGACGTACCGTAGCCTGGCTGCTGCTTCAGGATCCAACTTGACATTCGAGGCCGCGAGACCAGCAGCAACGTCAATGTCAGCGAGGTCGACTGCAACCGTCCCCGCATGGCGTTTTTCCGAGTGTTCGCTGCTTGAGTCCATGGGAGGGATGGGCGAAGAGCAAAAGAGACAGACGCCGCCATATTTAAGATGGACCTGGGTGCCGTAATGTGTAGTCGAATATTACAGGCTTAGGATTTTCGCGCTGTCTAATTACTGGATAGCCGTGGGTGCTTCCAAAGACTTCGTCCGGTGATGTCGAACATTGCTTAATCCTGAGCGGAGCTGTTTCTCAAGGTTGACGCCGGTGGAGGTTGGTTATAAGAAGCGGGAGAGGTTGGGAATTAGCCCAATCGCCGACAAGGGACATGAAAAGTTTGTTTTCATATGTACACTGTCTTCGGAGGGAAGGAGTCGGCGTTGTTGCACGTGATGCCGCCACTTTTTTCCTTCGTTTCGACTCCCAACCAAGTGACTGAGTAAGGCACATTTGAGATGGCGTCGGATGATTCTGTCGACAAGCGAGAATGGAATCTTGAGCGCGAAACAGAATACAGGTTCGAGTTAGACCCCGATTCATCGCTGGCAATCAAGGCAGGTCTGCCCAACGGAGTCTTTGCTCCAACTCAACCCGGAGTAGGTCGTCAAAGGGCATGCCGAAGTTTTCGGGGCGGAGCTGGCAGCTAACAGACCCTATATTTTCGGTCAGGAATGCAAAGCGGCTATCTATACTTGGGAGGGTTGCACCATAGAGATGAGTGGTTTGTTTATCTGGCCACGCCTTTTGACTCACCCTCGGTCAAACGTTATAGGCCATCCGTCTACCGAATATGTCTCTGAAGAGACCCCCATGGTTCCATACGGCAACGTGCATTATTCGTTCGAGAAAATGCGTGTTCTGGCCTTGAGTCAACTTCGTGGCTCTCCTGTCCCGGCATCTGAGCGTGATAAGCCCGCTGAGCCACCGCGGGTACTCGTCGTTGGCCCCGAAAATTCGGGTAAAACAACGCTGTGTAAAATTCTCACAAATTACGCAGTTCGTATGGGTCAAGGCTGGTCCCCACTTCTCGTCAACTTGGATCCCGCAGAGGTATTTGCTTAACCCAACTCTCCTTTATCTGTTTCCGACGATCGCAGGGTGGCTGGGCTGCCCCGGGTGCGATTGGCGTCACGCCTGTTCACACCCCACTGCCAACAAGCACCCCAGCAAGTCCTTTAGGCACAGCAGCAACCTCGGCTCCGACTGCACTATCTTCAAATGCCCTCTTACCACTCGCATACTGGTATGGTCACGCAGAAACTAAACGAAATCCTCTCTTGATGGAACGCATTATCCGCAACATCGGAGAAAACATCAAGGACAAATATCAAGCCCACCCTGAAGGCAAGGACAAAAAATCGCCCGCTTGTGATCATGCCAACGTCAAGTATTCCAGTTCAGGCAGCAGGTTTCATTGTCGACACCCCCTCGAGCTTTGCAACTGGATCGGGCAGCAACGAAGAACGGCAACGGTTAATCAAGGCAACAATCGACGCATTCAAAAGTGCGTACGTGTCTCTGCTCGTCATTAGCTATTTATACCCATGTAAAAGTCAATACCATTCTTGTCGTCGGACACGAAAAACTCAACGTCGAGCTACAGCGCGCCTATGGTTCCCAAATCACCGTCGTGAAAGTCCCAAAATCCGGTGGTGTGCGCCTGATTTTCTCTCCTCCGCTTATTTCTCTCCAATGTTTCGCGTCAGGTTGTCGAGTTAGACTATCTATACCGCGAGCGGGTGCACAAATCCCAGCTACACGCGTACTTCTATGGACAGGTTATTCCCCCACCTGCAGGCATCACCTCCGCCTCGTTCGGTAGCGAGACACTCGTGCTGTCCCCGTCGTCTTCGATCCTCAACTTTGACGACCTATCAATTTACCGTATCGGCGCAGGTACACCAGTTGACAGTCTCAAGTCACAAACACTAACACTACTTGAAACAGAAAGCATGGCACCCTCGTCTGCGCTGCCCATTGGAGCGGCACGTGTTGTCTCAGAAACCCAGGCAGTCCCCGTTGACCCTTCGTCGCCTGGCTCTGGTCTCCTCAATGCCGTTCTGGCCATTCTCGCAACACCGTCCACAGCGGACGATGCGGAGCGGTACGACGAAGAAATACTCGATCTATCGGTTTCCGGATTCGTTGTCGTGTAAGCTTTCTGTCCGTATAAGCTTTGCATGGCCAATACCCACCACAGAACCAACATCGATATGCCAAACCGGAAAATGACGATTTTGTCGCCAAATCAAGGCTCTATAGTTGGACGAACAGCGGTTATTGGTTCATATGAGTGGCAGGAGTGATCCATATTATTGCGTCTGGTTGTTGTCCTGTAAAGTACAAAGCATTCCGCCACCCGCCACTGTCCGTTTGCCATCGCGAATCTAATAGCAACATTGTCCGTAGGCTAGAGTAAGAAGTAGTAAGAACGCCAGGTCGGAAGACCTAGAGCCTGCTTAAATCGCGTCCCCATAGTCCCCTGCGCGAACGGAGAGAATGCTCGTCAGTCAACGTGGCGTCGGCGGAAGGAAAAAGAAGACAAGTGACTGGAGGACGCCGGTGCACTTTTCACCGGACAAACGCAAACGCAAACGCGAAAAAGCGAAAGAGTAAAAGTCAGAGTTAACAACTCACCGAATCACCCAGTCTATCATCAACAGGGCGCGCGTCCGTAATGAAACAGATTCATTCCAGTAAACGCTTCGCCAGGCATACATAGCCACACTAGAGTAGTCGGGTTCAGTAAAAAAAAAGATAAAGAACGAGGAATGTACGCACAGGCCACCCATGAATGAATGTGAGCCCAAATCAAAAACTGCCGCGTTGCCGATATACGCCAGACTGCCGAGATGATGGTACTTGAATGGTCTCATGACGGCTTCGTCCTCGATGCCCCTGGAGGCTGCTTCGGCAGTGGCAAGGGCGGATTCAGGAGCAAGGGGTGTCGTGGAAGTCTCACTAGCAAGCGCGGCTTCGCGTTGTCGTGCGAGCTTGTGGAGTTTCTTCCCAATATATTTACCTTGCTGAGCAGCTACTTGGGCGGTCTATTTTACTTTTAATAACGGCAGATGATATGCTGAACAGAAGCACGAACCGCGGGTAATGAAGTGATTTTGTTCCCGAGCTCAGTCAAGAGCTGGGTCAATTCATTGAGTGTGAGGCTGTTGTTTGCATCCTTGTCGTACAACTCGAATAGCTGCTTGACTTCGGACAAGTGGTCTGCCGCCATCGGAATTTTCTGTTTGATGCGAGAGACTTGGCAAAGTTCCATCATTTGAGAATCGTCGGAGAGGCGGAAAAACCCACCCATGATCTCCCATTCGTCGTAGTCAATAACACCGTCTTGGTTCCGGTCTGCCTCCATGACGAGATCGAGCAAGTGGCTCACAACGGATGTCTCAATCTATTCTTGTTCAGCATTTGTCTCTTCTGCAGACAGAAATAGCACCGTGGAGCAATCCCCAATGGCATAAACAGATCCTGGTGATGCGCCCTTGACCCGCAAATGGGCGTCCACTTCAATTGCCTTGTTATGAACTTGGTTGGGCAAGAGGTCGGTTACCCGTTGGGCAAAGGGATTCATTGCGATGCCGGTACTCCATAGAACAAAGTTAGTTGGAATGGTATGTTGAGTCGTTTCGCCGGAAGGAGATTTGGTCGTATAGATGACATGCGTAGGAGTAACTGCGCCGACGCTAACCATCTTTAGAGCCAAGCGTCAAGAAAAAATGAAGACAGCAAACCGTGCAGAGGTTATAAGATCGACACCGTCGCGCTCGAACTTTTTCTACGACCTTGTGAATATTTCGAGACATATGAGTCCGTATCTACTGACCTCCGCGTAGTCTGAAATTGCTTCAGAGTACTGAACTAGATGAGCCTCATCAAATGGCTGTTATGAAAAACTTACCGTGTTCAGAATGTGTCCACGCGATTGGATAACATGAATAGAAACTTCCTCTCGACAGATCTTAGGATACTGAGGGACAAATCAGTGTTGGCAAAAAATCGAATCCAAGTTGAGCCCGACATAGTTCATGATGTCCTCCTGACAGAAATCGTATATTTCTGCTGCCGTCTCAACGCCTGATTCAAAATTAAAACAGACGGAAACGGACAAAAAAGCTTGCCTGTCGGTCCACCACCACAAACTACAAACGACAACAACCGTCGACGTTCTTCAGGTGTGGTTGTAGGGAGGCTGGCCGCTTCAAAGTTGTCTATGCCGGAAATGAGTGGACCACCTTTTGGAGGAAGAGAAGGTAAACCCATGATTCTTCTTCTTATCTGTTGTGCTTCTGCAATGGTCTTTAGCTGGAAGCAGTTCTCGAGTCCCGGTACACCATGCGTGCTCGATGTAGAGCCCACAGCGATGACAAGTTTGTCGTATCTAGAGCGGTTTGATTTTTCTTTAGAAAAAAAGGAAGATGAGCTAAACGCACGGAATGTAGAGATTTGCTGTCTTCCCATCAGCAGACGAGGTTTGGACCTCAAGCAGCTTTTCTGAGAGGACCAGATCCACAGCTTTGCCTTGGACAAAGTGCCCTCGCAAACGGGCAAGAATTTTGCGGATAGGCTCAATGAGCGAGCGAACCTATTTCTTCAAGTTCACCATCACTCTCCTCAAACAGCAAGGATCAAGCAGACCTGAACAGTGCCAACAGCAGCAGCTGGAACATTTGGATAAGCCAAGGTTGACTGAATGGAGCCGAGAACGCACATGGAAGTAGAGGTGTGAACGTCGTGAAGGTTTCTGAGGATACTAGGGTGACATGGTAATCGCCGGGATAGAGATTTTGGAGTGTCGCCACAGCCTGAATGGTATCAGCGGTCTAGAAGAGTCAAGTTGTCGTGGAACGCACCCCCCAGCCACCGCCAACAATGACCAGCCTCGGTTTCGTCGCGAGTTTTGCTTGTTGCTCGTCCTCCTCATCGTCTACTAATGAACGCACGACAGGCAGGTCTTTGGGACCACCAGTCTCTGGATGAAGGGCTAAAGGATTGACTGGGACCTGAATAAGGGGATTTAGACGGTTTTTTGCCCGTGTTTTGAGACCCACGCGTTCGACATGACGGTCGGTGTAGGTCATGGCATCATGAACAAACAAGCCGCCTAGGACAGTGAAAACACCGAAAATCGAGGAGAGGCCGAGATAGCCGGTGTATTTGAGTACAGTAACGGAGCGGGCGAGAAGCGGAAGACGGAGGGGGCGAGTGGTATGGAGTTGACGAACATGTGGCAAGCGAAGGACGCGAGTTGGTCGGGCTACAGCCGCCAGCATCATTCTTTGGTACTACCAAAGGCCAACTCAAGAGCTAACCTCGTCGTTGTGACGATGTTGTCGGTCAAAGTCGGTGTGGCCGACGAAAAGGGAGGTTATGTAATTTTGACATTGATGGCAGATGACGTCGTTCGAGGGATTGACGGGAGTAAAATTGTGGAATAGAAATTCGTCGAGCGCTCCTTTCGATAGTCATAAAAAATGGAAGAACAAGAAGAGTCATGTGGGGAAGAAAGACGCGGATTTGGTGTCCGTTGTGCTGGCTGACGAGTCTCACACGATGCTCTGAACCATGCGAAGCTTTTTTACAAATCCGATGATCTTTTTAGTATTCTTTGCTCGAGCTCTAAAAGGGTACATTTATCCGTAAGGCAAGCCAGTTCTCATGTCTGTTTTTCTCGTCGCCTGTCGGATACTTCCCGGGCGGGCCATGTGGAGTTACGTCGGGACCATCAGCGACCTGAAGAGGTGCCTGGTAAAATGAATCCGTCACACGTCACGCGGTCTTTCGTTCCCCTTTGTATTTATACCTTCCTTCTCCAACGCGCGTCGCTTTTGGCGCCAATGGACGACGACAACGACTCGCTGCGCTCTGTTCTGACTCCAGCCCTTGTTGCAACTGCGCTCGCCACCCTCTTCATCGCTGGCTCAGCATCGGTCATTCGTCGCCGTCGTACAGCCGAGCCAGAGCCACCACTCATTCCAGAAGTCAAGCCACCCATCCCCCATGTTGAACTCAAACCCTCCGCTCGCTCTAAGGAACGAAGACGACGCGGCAAAGACCCATTGAAGGAGGTCCTGAAGGGGGGCAAGAAACAACAACAGCAACTCGACAAACTCTTGACAACGACCGCAGTCGACTCTTCCCCTGCCGTCATTGACAATGCAGTCGATTCAATCCCATCTTCCGGCATTGTTCGGCCCGCTTCCCCACTGCCACCTGCCGTGCCAGCCGTGAAGGTCAATGAGGTCTCGAATGCACCCGCGGTCCGGTCTCGGCAGTCTACGGCTCACGATCCATGGGCATGGGACGGTCAAGGCCCTTCTTCCCCCACTCGCTTCCGCTCAAAGTCATCCTCTCGAGCCATTTCCCACCAATTACCCTCCATTCCAACACCAACTTCCTCTGATGACCTCGCACTCAACAAAAGTGCACCCACGCCTAGCACTTCCACTTCGGCATCCATTGCCTCTGCTTCCGGGTCTAATTCTGGTAGAGGAACACCGCCTCCGCAGACACAACTGGCTTCCCTCCGGGGTGCTCTGGAAGCCGCTCGAATGAGAGAGGAAAAGGCACGGGCCGAACTAGATCGAGCAAACCGAGATGCAGAAGCTTTACGTTGGGAGAACGGGACGTGGAGGAGAAGAGAGGTCGAGGCGAGTTTTTCTTCTTGAACTCGTCCTCTTTTACTAATCCGCAGCAGCTTCAAACCCAGATTCACCATCTTATGCACCAACTTCAGACGTACGCCGCGTTTTACATGCAACAACAGCAACAGCAACATCTTCAAGTTCCTGGCAGTGGCGCGACTAGTCCGAACAGTCCCGCTTCCCCAAATGGCTTTTCACCTTCTCCCTTCGCTCCACCATCTCCCAGCGGTTATGCACCACTATTTCCACCTCCAATGTTTTACGGCTATGGGCCTCAGAGTCCTCCCGCCCCGCCACCACCCCAACACCCACCGCAGCCACAACAAGCAGACCTATTTTCAATGTTGTTCCCCAATGCGTCCACGAAGAGTGGCAGTCGTGGCAGTGCTTCTTCAGCTTCAGCATCAGCTTCGGTCAGCTCCTCTTCCGGAGCGGACTCTCCAGATCTACCCCCGCTTGGGCAGCCGATGGACCGCGGTCGCAGGCGAACGAGGGTCCATACTGCTGACGCCAGATTAGGAGGCCAACGTGGTGGAAGCTGGGAAGAGGGCTGGATCGGTGTTAACGACGATGTCTATGATGATGACTCTGGAGAAATACAAGAGGATGATGAAGGGTTCAGCGAGATGCTCGCTGATGCTATCTTGAAGCGACCAGAAAGTATCCGAGTCAGCTCGCGCAAGCGCAAACAAGAGCCAACTGTCGAATTTACCTTTCCCTCGTTGATGGATTTCGGGGCTGGGGTGCACACTGTTCGGGAGGTTGATATCTTGCCAGAGCTGGGAGGGGCTGAAGACGAAGAAAACAACAACGACGACAACGGGATCGAGATGCGATCAGACCAGCCAGAAACAGACTCAGATAGCGGCGAAGTAACACCTTCGCCTCATGCAACCACAACACCTCACCCAACAGAAGAAGTTGAAGGAGAGCCGACGGAGGAACGGTGACCTTTGGAAAGCATCGTTCGATTCTCGTCATTGTTTTTTTGGTCTTTTTCTTCACGACACTTCGCCAACTTGTGATCGAAGATGACAGACGCTTTTTTTCGTTGGCTTCCACGACTACGCCACTTGCGTTTACAAGACGAAACGTACGCCATTTGTATCTTTATTCCCTTTATTCCCTCTCTTTTGCCCGTTTGGCGTAATCTGGTCCGAAATCATATCCAAAAAGGGCTCCAATCTACGAATGAACTCTCTTCCCCCCAAATTGTATCCACTCGCTGCCCTCATTTACCTACCTACCTACCTACAGACAAAGACACGCCAGAAGTTAGCGCTACATCCATACCCACTTGTAATCAGATAAGTACATAAATCCCAAGGAGATCCAAAGCATTCCGAGGCCGCGCTGAATTACTATAATTGGCCGCGGCGATCGCGCGGTCCGCTCGTTTGTTGTCTTGAGCAGAGGACTGGGCTATCGCGTGCACTCGTCTCGTGCTCAAACCTCTTGGGTCGCATTACGACCCTCTGCTTCTCAGAGCGGCATCCCGCTTCCAAGATGTAACTGGGCGGCGGTCATCAGAACCATGCACATGGAGAGATCATAATAACATGCAAGACCAACACAGCATCAACAGAGCAAAGTTCAGAGCAAAGTCTACGCAAAAAAGGCTTAACCGACAAGCGTGGAGCTGGTACTGGCCGTGTTGCTCCTTGACTTGGTCCGCAGAAATGAACGAATCCTGGAGAAACGCTTCGCCTTGGCGGGCTGGGAGGGCCCGGGCGGCATGTTTGCTGCATCGTTCTGAATGTCTGCATTGGCCATCATCCGGCGCATCCCTTCGAGGGTAGCGCTGACAGAGCCTGAGGGAGAGCTGCTAGTCGGAGATTCAGGAAGACTCAAGTCGATGCTTGCTATCGCTTGCAGTATTGGCGTGGCTGCTGGAGAGGAAGTATTGACAGTGGTCTCCGTAGTTGAGGCTATGAAGATAAAGTGTGAGAACTTTTGTCCAATATAGGTGGAAAATCGCGACTCACCAACACTTGCTGCAGAAGCATCGTTTGTGGCAGTCCTTTGAACTGATGCCTGCGCATCCTCGTGATGCTCTGCGACAGGCATCGTGACAACACTACCGTCCACCTCTTCCACGACGGGAGAGGGAGAGGTAGAAATGGATGCGCTTCTCACTGGCACTGGTGTCGATTGACGCCTCGTTTGTTCCCCGTATTGCTGAGGAAATCCAAATTCTGTAAGATCGCCTGAATCAGAGCTGCTATCGTTGGAATCTGGTGGCCAAGACTGACCGTGTCCACTGCGCTGATTCGATGATGGCCCCATCCCAGGGTTGAAGCCCATAAAGCCATTCGGACTGAAAGGCGAGCTCGGATTACTCCCAGATGAGCTGGCCGTCGACGATGCTGGGCCGTATGACGGGCCATATGACGGGTAATTAGGGCCGAGGAATGGAGGGGTGGGAGGACTGGGATACGGCCTGTTGTAGCCCTCAAACGAGCCTGCCCCGAACCCATACGCGGTGTTGTACGCGTTATCCAAATGGTTGTGTTGTGCAGCTAGGTTCTGGTGAACATCCCCGCTGATAACTTGGAAGGTCCCCCCTATGCGATCGCTAAGATTGAGCAATAATATAACATCACTCAGCCAATGAACGCACCAGAAATGTTAAAGTTCTGTGCCTTATGGAAGAAGGCACCTTCTGCAGACGGGGGCGCGCGCTCTACCTCAGACCGACGGCGCATGTGGACAGGAAGTAAAGACTTTATGTCGGAAAACGACAACGGCGGGATTAAATAGCGGACGACATGAGGCTGAGCACGGCCATAGAAGATGCCAACAGCACCAGGTCAAGAAAGGAAATAATGTCCAAGGAATTGACAGGACAAAGTTGAACAAAGTTTCCAATTCACTAGGCCATGGACACACACAAGGAGTCCGCCTTGTGTCCTCTTGGTGGATAAGGGAAGAATTAGCGGTGCGCAATGAACGCATCTGATTTCATCACCACAAAATGATGGGCAATGATCAACAACTCTGGAGACATTTGGGAAGAAAACTATTGCATTGTGGCTTCACGGAACACTGTATCTACACTTTCTCGATGGCAATGAACCTAAGGCTCACCCTCATCAAATACAAAAGTCCACAAGGCACTTGAGTTACGATAGTCGTGGTGGACGATGCTGACTAGCCACCGGTCGTCACCGACACTCTCAAGCAGCCGTCTTTCTACCGAGCCTGGGCGATACAACGAGGCCCAGTCCGCCCATATTGAGAAGGCCTCCTCCTAAGTAGCAATCGTTCAGCGACCTGGCCAGGGAAAGTGCGGGATGGTACGGTACCTTCCATGTGAGAAACGACTCGCGTTCGATAATGGTCGTCTGAACAATTTCTTGTCCGGGGAAAACACCCCATGTCACAGCGTTCCTGCCGCCTTCAGGAACATTCCCGCGGCACTCGCCCTAGAATAGACAATCTCAAAACTCAATTCAATGGGATAAAGGTGAACACCAACATGTTTGTTTCCCGCAAACCAATGAACCCAGCCGAGGCCTTTCTGTTGTGCGCGATGCTCGATTCGATCCACTTCTGCTTCGGTGCAAAAAAACTCAACAAACCCTTTTTGGAACACATGTCCCGCGCGGGGACCCCATCCGACAACTTCGTCGTCTGAGCGAGCGCCATCAACTGCAGGTTGCGACCCCACAGTCCACCATCCGGCTTCTGTGAGCCGCTCAAGATGCGGTAGGATGGACAATGATTCGGGAGAAAGGGGAGTCGGTGAGAATGGCGTAATGGGGATGCGTGAGTGCAAATGAGCTAGGAAGATAGAGGTAAGATCAGCGTGCGTCCTCGGGTGACCACAATGTTGGAGAACATCAACTGGCTGGGTTTATCAATGAGTGATAAAAAGATGGGAATGTTCGTACTCGGATGGCTGGCCCGCCCCACATATCCGTGCTACCAAACGCAGGACTTTTGAAGTCTCCAAAACGGCCATTCGGAAAGTCATCCCAACTTGAGGCGTTGTTTAGTTCTCCTCGCCCGGCCTCGCTTTCAACCGCAGCAGGAAGATTGGCTAGGCCAAAGGTGGCGGAGCTGGCTGCTGTCGAAGCGGTAATACTCAAATCATCTATTCGGGGTATTTCCTGATGATGATTAGATATTCAATCCGGGGTGGAGTAGAAGTGGATCACATCAATGAGTTTGTTCTGGGCCATGAGAGGTGAGGACGGAGAACTGGTCCACTTGAGGCCTTCGAGGACACGCTGAACACTCTTTTCGAGGTTGAGCGTCGAGATATGGACACCGGGTACGCGGCCCTCCTCAGTCAAACGTTGGATCATGTCGGTGGCCAAAGTCACGCCGTATTCCTTTACCAACTGGTCGTCATTCTGAACGTAGATTCAGTGAGATTAGTCGGAAAGCGAAACACCTCAATACACATATTGGCTCCAAAGCCTGCATAACGGAGTCTGGGACATGAGCACCAGTGAGCTTCGTCAATCGAAGAAACGAAGCGTAAGTTTGGATGGGCATAATTCCTGGGATGATAGGGACTGTGATTCCCGCTGCTCGTACTTTGCTCTCCCATTGGAAGTAAGAGTCGACATCATAGAAAAGCTGGGTGATGATGAAGTCCGCGCCCGCATCAACCTTGAGCTTTAGATACTCAATTTCTGCGCGTTCGTCGTCGAGCTGGCCGGTGTGGCCGTCTGGGTAGGCCGCAACCCCAATACAGAAATGGGCAGCGTATTCCGGAATAGAACGGATGTACTTGACGAGGTCGGCGCCATGTTTAAAGCGAGGGTCGATCGGTGTCCACTCCTCTTCACCTCTTGGCGGATCTGGGGGGTGCTTGAACCCGAAAGTAAGAAAGATCGTTGCAGGGACGCACCTCCTCGCAATGCCAAGATGTTGGTTATACCGCGCTCTTTCGCAGCCTAAGCGCAAGATCAACTCTTTCCACTCCCAGCTTGTCGCTAAGCACCTTCAGCGTCTGGTCGATCATGCCCTGCGCCATATTCGTGCAGGTCAAATGAAGGATGGTGTCCAGTCCATACTCTCCTTGCGTGATTCCAGCCAAATCAAGGCTTCGCTCTTTTGTGCTGCCTCCCGCGCCCCATGTTATGCTCACAGCGAGTGGGGCTAGTGTAGACAGGCGCGCAATACGAGGCAAAAGATTCTCAAAACCCTAACAGGAACAATCAGAACTCATCGATTAGGAAGTAATGAGAGACGCTTGACTTGGTCAGTACGCGGAGGGAAGAATTCGAGTGTGAAAAATGGGTGAGAAGAACGTAAACTGTTGAGTTTGTCGCTCAGCTTCATGATGGTCCAAACGCGAAATGTTTACTAGTCAGCGGATCGCGCATAAACTGATGATGCCGAGTCGGCCGATGACGACCGAAGAATACAGCAGCTAACTAATTTAATCCAACGATGTCCTCTTGGATGTTTGGTGGGGATGTAGTGAGGAACGCCATTTCCCCTGTTGCGTTCGCTATAGCCTTCAGCCCACAACGTTCTACAAAGTCGCCCGCTACGTCTGCACGAGTCTTGTGAATATAGGTCGTGAAATGGTCGAGCGGACAAGTCGATCCTGGGCCAGTTGCGCACCCAGGAATCGCAACAGGGGCATTATTAACGCGAATACGAACAAAGGCCCTCGTCGATATATTTTGCGGTGAAGCACCGGCTATGTGGTTGACTTCCGTGATGTCCTGAGTGGGAGAACAGGCGAGCCGTTCGAGTGCGACATAGCCACGGAATGCGACAAGATATGATGCACGGAATTTGCGCAGTGGGTTTGGAGTTGTGTGTGAGAGAGGATAAACCCCAGGCGTTGAAGAGTTCCAAAGCCCGAGGGCAGAGATGATAGGTGGGAGATTGTTGTCGTGCTGAAACGACTTAAAATCTGTTTTATTGTAGTAAGACTGGGGAGTATATTCACAGTGAATCCCATAATCAGAGGAGGAGGCGTAATGTTTCCACCCGGTGTTGTTTGTCCCGGGCCGAGAGTGAACAGATCCGAGATTGCCTTGACCCAAGGGAATCCTACGGTCGCTGAAAACGGGTTTCCGGGACCGGAGCTATCTCATTAGCCTTAAAACGACAATGGTAGCGCTTGTATTCACCCATAATAATAGTTGAGGTCGTGAGCGTATTCGTACAAGAGCCACTCGTCTTCTAAGGAAGGATGAGTGGAGAGGAAGGAAATCTTAACTGAACATACCTTCGAAAACATCACAAAAACGCGAGTCGCCATCGATCTCCGTTTGGAACCCACACAAGTCTTGCATAACACCAATATCAGAAGCAGTCAAAGTCAACCCCTCCAAAAACTTGTTCAGGCGGGCAGCGATTTGGCCTTGATATGCGGCGCGAAAAGTGCCTGCAACGGCGGAGGTATCTCCGGTGGGGTACAACGGACATCCGGATGAGGGTGTGAGCGAATTCGCGAAAGTATAGTTAACCGAATCCGGCAAGACGAATACATGTGCCCGGTTGGAGGATGGCTGGGTGAGATAGTTCCCTTGGGAGAGGTAACCTCGCCCAAAGAATGTCGCAGTGTCTACTACGCGTTGTTGACCTGCAGACCTATAAAGGTTGAACAACAAATTAAAGATAGAATCCGGGTGATTCACCAAATTGTGATGTTGCCTCCACCTGCAGTAAATCTGTACCGCTTTCGCAGCTCGACGCCAAGGGAAAAGGCCTCGAGAGCTCCGGTAGACGTCAGGTATAGCGGTTCATGCGGAAAATCATCCACGGGGAGAGTCCACGATGGAATGAATGCGAGAGGACCTTTGGCTGTGTAGCTGTTGTTTCTTGGTAAGCTGCTCATGTCGCAAAATGTATGCGGCCTGATCGACTTGACATCCCCTGGGCGTGTTGACGGCAATACCGTCTTGGGAAGGTGCGTTGAAGTAAGGTGAAGCTGGACCCGAATGTTGTAGTGGATCGAAGGAGGCGACTACGAAGACAGGAAACAGGGCCAGTAGAGTGCTGAACTGCATTTGAGTGGGAGAAACTCTGAGAAGCTCATGTTGCTTGGATTCTTATGTTCAGTCCTGCCAACGTGCGTCGTCTTCTTCTTTGAAGAATGCATTTTGGGACTCTGCCTAGGAGGAGGTCGCGTTGCTCTTTTGTGAGGGCGCAAAATGCGGCGGCTGCGACCAGGATTTGGCCAAGTATCGTACTGTCCCACGGTGCATTTTCTCCTTGATACCATCACCAGTTCTTCTCCTCGATGTCTAAGTTGCTTATCCTTTTGAACCCCCTCAACGACCCCAAGACCCCCCTACAGCTCCACTGCATCTTTGATGTTCGTTGTTGCTGGTAGTCCCTGACTTTGTCCTGCCAAGGTCGGACATAACTGAAGTTTTCGATCGAAGAGAGCCTAATCGGGCTCGATTTTGTATGCTGTTTCGGGTTCGCTTGACAGGCCTCTTCGTTGCTGCTGGACAACCTAACACTCTTTGACCCATTTACCCAGAACTGATCCGTGCAACATCTAGTTTCATTAGGACCCTGACGTATTCTCGATTTCAACCATGTGAAACCAACTCTCGACGTATTTAATCTCTGTCGACGTTAGTGGTCACCATTCTTTTTTTCCTTCGCCTCCCGTCTTTCTTTTCCCTGCCAGTCAGGTACGTGCTCACTTGAAAGTCAAATCGGCGCACTGAAATCATCACCACAGGCTCACAGTCTTTCCCCGCACTCGACACCTTCAAATCCGCCTTTCTTTGTTTACGTTGCATCCACGATGCGCACTTCTTCAACTCTTTTGGCCCTCTTGAGCGCTGGCTCTGCCCTCGCTGTCCCGATTATGAAACGTGCCAAGCTTGACCCTGCAGCCACGGCGGAGGCTCATCAACGCGATAACACTGCGACCAGGGCCTTTACCGCGGTCCCAATCAAGGCCTCCAACGGCCTCTGCTGGTCTGTCGACCCCGAATCCGGCGACTTCCGTTCCAATCTGACGTCAGTCTCCTGCCTTGTTTTCTTCCCGCTATTATTTACCTTGAAATTAGCCCCGTCACTCTCGTCGAGTGCAACGGAAGTCCCAACCAGAAGTGGGATGTGATTACCGAGGGCAAGCACACCAACACCCCCGGAAAGGCAATAGTAGTCAGCTCTTTGGTATGTTTGCTCACCAACCTTGCTGCATCCATGAAACTTACTCATATACAAGACTAACGCCTGCTTGAACTTCGATTCCCGCAGACCCGCTGGAAACCAGGTTCTTCTGTTCTCTTGCGGTGGTACGCATGCGATTCTTGAAGAGTTTCTCAATTTTTAACGATCCAATAGGACGTGCCGATGGTGGAGGGGAGATCACCGACTCGCAGCAATTCAACTTCAGAGGTGTTGCTGGCGCGTTCCCGCTCTCCCAGGGCAACGGCAACAACGGTGTCTGCATCACCGCCAAGAATGGACGTCTTGACCAAAGCAGCTGCAACCCTGCAACTGCCTCCGGCGACCAAGTACGTTTTTTTTTACCTCATTTATGGATGATCAATGTCTTACATCCTGAAGTTGTTCACCATCGGCGAGGCTGGTGCCGCTGCTCCCCCTCCCGCTGCTCCCCCTGCTCCTGCTCCTCCCGCCAACAACAACCAGGATAAGCCCACCAGCACGCCCTCTTCGCCTGCGCCCGCGACTACCCTCACAATCAACAAACTCGACGAAGCTGGCACGGCCGAAGCCCAGAAGAAAGACAACGGTGCTGTCCGCGCGGCGACTGCGGTCCCGATCAAGAGTGCAGACGGCAAATGCCTGCGAGCGACTTCCGGAACTGGCGACTTCCGTAACAACCTTGTCCCTGTCGAAATCGTTGATTGCGATGGCAGTGCTACCCAGCAATGGGATGTCATCACTTCCGGCGCCCACAACAACGTTCCTGGAACTGCTTTGATTGTGAACACAGTCATTGGAGCCTGCCTCAACTTGGATGAGCGTCGCCGCCCAGGCAACCAAGTCCTCCTCTTCTCGTAGGTCGTTTGACGAATATTACTTGGCTGTTGTTCATTTTGTTTCTTAGTTGCGGTGGTCGTGCCGATGGTGGAGGAGAGGTGACCAACAGCCAACTCTTCAAATTCGATGGCAAGAAAGCAGGCATTCCCCTCGCTCCGACCAACCAGGCCAACACTTGCTTGTTCAACAACAACGGCCGCCTCGACCAACAAGACTGCAACAACAGCGGTTCTCAGGTTCGTTCTCAATTTTGAGTTCTCTCCGATGACAAAGTAACTGATCTCACTCTACAGCTCTTCACTATCGGTTAAGGAGTGTTGACGACGGGCATATGGTAGAACCAGTTGCTGTACATTAGAGGATACCCACACAGAGTTGACTATTCATGCAACGTTTTCAAACCGAGAAACAACTAGTTGTCCATTTTGATCTGTTCGTCTGCCAACATCGGATTGTAGGACACAACTTGGCGTGAATATCAGAGTTACAGTTGATACTTCTGTGCTCTGAAGAAAGGATGGAGCACAGAAGAAAGGATGTAGTTTATCAACCAGAAACAATTATAGAATTCGAAGAGCACATCATATCATATCTGGGTGTTCGAGCAGATGCACCAATGCCTCCGTCGTGGACAAGCGGGCACTTTGAGCGACCGTCTGGTTGTTTAGCGGACCGCCGACTTGAGAGAGCGTAAAGACGAGGCTCGTGGGTACCAATCTAATTGAAGATAGCGGCGCAAGAGTATGTCCCAAATGATTCCTTGAGCAGAAAATTGGTACTTTAGGTTACTTTCATCAAAGTCGCCTTTTCACAGACAAGACCTAGGATTCAGAGCTATCCGATGAGAGGCAGAGTTAAGCATCGTTAAAGCGTGTTTACAGCATGTTGCGGAGGTTATGCGGACAAAAACAGCGCTCCAAGAACTTGGAGAAGTCTCTTTCGCAGCAATTGATGTGTTTGCAGTTGAAACTCGTCGGATCAGTTCGCACATCATAATCAAGTGGTGTGACTGTCACAGTAGCCAGCGAAAGTTCCCTCCTCCCACCTTCCAACGATGCTCACCTCCCGCGGCGTCGTCCGTCTCTCTAGGAGAGCGGTTAAAAAACCTACTAACGCGTTTTTCTCAACCGCTGCTGTCCTTCCACGAGCAACTCTTCCTTCCCAGTCCAAATCCCAGCAGCGCGTGGGCTCTCGACCGGACACGTCTGTTACTCCTTCTTGTGAGCTGTTCTTGTTTCTTTTCTTCGTGTCACTGACGAAAAACTTAGCCCGCTCATATGCAACCGAGTCCAAGTCGGTTGTTGGCAGCGTCAAGACCGTCATTGGTGCCGTCGTCGACGTTCAATTCGAGACTGATGACCTGCCTCCCATTTTGAACGCTCTCGAGGTCCAAGACTTCACTGGTGGTCGTCTCGTGCTTGAGGTTGCTTCCCATCTCGGTGAAAACACGGTCCGCACCATTGCCATGGACGGTACTGAAGGTCTTGTCCGTGGCCAAAAGGTCGTTGACACCGGCGCGCCTATCCGTATTCCCGTTGGCACTGCTACCCTCGGTCGTATCATGAACGTTATTGGCGAGCCCATTGACGAGCGTGGCCCCATCAAGGGTGTCAAGACCAACCCCATTCACGCTGACCCCCCGCCATTCGTTGAGCAGGCGACAACTGCTGAGGTCCTCGAAACCGGTATTAAAGTCGTCGACCTTCTTGCTCCCTACGCCCGTGGAGGCAAAATTGGTCTTTTCGGTGGTGCTGGTGTCGGCAAGACTGTCTTGATTCAGGAACTCATCTACAACGTCGCCAAAGCTCATGGTGGTGTCTCCATCTTCTGCGGTACGTTCTTCTTCTTGCCTCATGGTTTTTACTCATTTTTTACAGGTGTCGGTGAGCGTACTCGTGAGGGCAACGATCTTTACCACGAAATGATCGAAACGGGTGTCATCAACCTCGATGGCGACTCCAAGGTCGCTCTCGTCTTCGGTCAAATGAACGAGCCCCCGGGTGCCCGTGCCCGTGTTGCTCTGACAGGTCTTACCATTGCCGAGTACTTCCGTGACGAAGAAGGCCAGGATGTGTTGCTCTTCATCGACAACATTTTCCGTTTCACCCAGGCCGGTTCCGAGGTGTCTGCTCTGCTTGGTCGTATCCCCTCTGCTGTCGGTTATCAACCCACTCTCTCAACGGACATGGGTGGCATGTAAGCGTGACTCTTCTATCACTGCACATTTTTCTTACTTCGTCACAGGCAAGAGCGTATCACCACCACCAAGAAGGGTTCGATCACATCTGTGCAGGCCGTCTACGTGCCCGCTGATGATTTGACTGACCCTGCCCCCGCCACCACCTTTGCTCACTTGGACTCGACCACTGTGCTGTCTCGTGGTATTGCCGAGCTTGGTATCTACCCCGCTGTCGACCCTCTCGACTCCAAGTCTCGCATGCTTGACCCCCGTATCGTGAGGACTTGCTTCTTTGTAACTTGTTTGCTTTCTAACTCTGTCATGTCAGGTCGGTGAAGACCACTACAACACCGCCACTGCCGTCCAGAAGATCCTCCAAGACTACAAGTCGCTCCAGGATATCATTGCTATCCTGGGTATGGACGAATTGTCTGAGGAGGACAAGCTCACTGTCGAACGTGCCCGCAAGATCCAGCGTTTCATGTCGCAACCTTTCCAGGTCGCTCAAGTCTTCACTGGTTTCGAGGGCAAGCTTGTACCGCTGAAGGAGAGCATCCGCTCCTTCAAGGAGATTCTCTCTGGTCAACACGACAACCTCCCCGAGTCGGCCTTCTACATGGTCGGCACGATTGAGGATGTCAAGGCCAAGGCTGAGCAAATTGCGAAGGACATGGCGGCTTAGACAACTTGGTCAGCGGGACTACGCGCGTTGTTGTGCTTTGTGGGAGGTCAAACAATAAAAAAAATATTGCTCGTTGCAAAGACGTTCCTTTGTTTCACTTTTTAATACGTTAGAGTATTTGCCTTTGCAGCGGGCTTATTCCATCCTCTCGTCGCATGCTTGCTCTGAATAAAACTTGTTCAAGTGCATCTTGGGTGGGTAGGGTGACCCAGAAACTGAACGAAATGACCCACATATTCCAAGGTTCACTTGTGCTCAACTTGCAAGTCCAATGAACTCAACTCTTTCCTCGTAAACGTAAATAAAATCAGCCGCTGCTCACTTCCCACGTTCATGGCTTTGGCTCGTCACGGTCATCCCAGCCAAGTTGAAGAGACCACCCCATTACTCGCTGGCCAGCCACCTCTTGACCCCGTGGCGGTGGATGTAGTGCATAACGACGGTACTTAAGCAATGCCAGCGGTCAAACTCCGACTGAGGAGCGCACTAGGCACATTTGGCGAGTCCTTCGACAACATCCCCAAGGCAAAGCGGAAACTCGGTGCGCCATGTTGCCACCACTTACGTCCTTGAAGAATATCGTCTGTGATAGGCCTGTTCAGTGCGGTCTTTCTCGTGTTCAACCGCGTTATCGGGACAGGGTATGTTTAATCTGGTGTTTGGGTGTTACTTACACCTTGGTTTAGGATATATGCCACGCCCAGTGTCATTCTACGCTCGTCAGGCAGCGTCGGGCTCGCCTTGACAATGTGGTTGATTGGCGCAATCATCGCGGCCGCTGGGACGGCGGTTTATGTGGAACTGGGAACAGTGAGTTTCTTGTCTGGCTTTGCACATCAAGTCAATAACGCTTTCAGGGCCTGCCGCGGAATGGCGGAGAGAAGAACTACTTGGAATATATTTATCGGAAACCGAGATTCCTGGTCAGCTGCTCGTTTGTCGCGTACACTTTGCTTATCGTGAGCATTCTCTTTTTGCCATCCTTTTTGCTTATCCGGACGCTGAAAGGGCTCTGCAGCAGCAAATAGCATCGTGTTCGGAGAATGTGGGTCGTTTTGTTACTTTATTCGTCCTTCTCAAAGTCTATAGATGTCCTCCATGCCTTGTCGATTGAACCGACACGCGTCGCGTCGCGGTTAGTCGCCGTTATGGTGCTCACATTCTGTCTCGTCACCCACGGCACCCTTCCCGACCTCGGAATTCGTCTGCAAAACACTCTCGGGGTATTCAAACTCGCGATCCTCTCTAGCATTGCACTTGTTGGGGCTCTATCCCTTCTCGGTATCATTCCAACACGCCCTGAATACCCCGCCCCACGCAACTTCGTGTCGTGGCACGAATTTTGGGAGGGCACTGGAAATGGTGGCGCCAACGGTGTCGCGACCGCACTCTACAGCGTCATTTGGTCCTTTATCGGGTATGCCAACGCCAACTACGCGTTGAGCGAAGTAAAAGATCCCGTGAGGACAATCAAACGCGCTGCTCCGCTGGCTATGGGTGCAGTCAGCGTCGTGTATTTACTCGTGAATGTCGCGTATTTTGTGGTGGTGAGTAAGGAAGACGTGTTAGGCAGTAGACGGATTATTGCGTATGTCCTCAATCGTCTTCTAGATCATTTTCTCAGTGTAAACAGGGCCTTATTCTTCCGAAATTTGTTTGGACCAACAACTGAGAGGGTGTGGATGCTGCTAATCATTGGCTGAATGTCTTATTCTTCACATAGGCTCTCAGTGTTTTTATCGCTCTCTCAACCTTGGGAAATCTTCTTGCTGGTCAATTTACACAGGGCAGAGGTCAATAGGTTTTGGGCTCCTCCGTTGTCAACTCATGTCTCCCCTAGTTATCCAAGAACTCGGACGTGAAGGCATTCTACCATATTCAGGCTTCTTTGCTTCGAATAAGCCATTTAATGCGCCGCTAGCTGGTTTACTGACGCAGTACATCGTATCGTGTCTCTTTGTCCTCGGACCGCCTCCCGGGGATGCCTATCTGTTCATGATTAGTAGTAAGTTTCCTCTCCATCTCAGTCGCACTCCCTGATGATCATAGCTTCTTCGTACTCCCTTGCACTAATCAACACTCTCGTGTCATTCGGCCTTATCCTCCTCCATACGCGCATATTCAAAGCATATGCATGGTCGCCGCCATTTGTCGCTCCGCGCTGGGTCTCTGCATTCTTCTTCCTCTCAAACGTGTTTCTTCTCGTCGTGCCGCTCGTTCCTCCGCCAGAAGGAAAGCGGGTTTACGAGGGCCTCCCGTACTTTGTCAGTTCCCATTCGATTTTTGCGAAGCACTCGCTGATAGTGTCGATCCGGATAGTTGCATGCCGTGGTCTCGCTTCTCATTTCCGTTCTGGGGCTTGCCTATTGGGTGATCTGGGCCAGATGGTTGCCGCGGAAGGGTGGGTATGTTTTGGAGAGAGAATGGGTGATGCAGGATGATGGTGTGTCCAGATGGGTGTTTATAAAGAAGGAAGTTCCAAGGTGAGGTTACAATACGTTAGAGTATTGTCTTTACAGTCATTGAACACTTGGTCTGGAGAAAACTAATTGGCTAAGCAAACACGGATGGGTAGGCGAAATCCAGCTGAATAGCTTTGCGACGATTTGCTTGAGCCAAAACTTTGGTTCTGTAACGTTCTCATCGCTCCGGCGAAGCCAAAAGTGCGTGACCATATAAATGTCGGCGCGTCCTGTCACGGACATTCGTTTGTCTTCTCGGACGCCCGCCGCTTGGTGTCTGACCATGCTTTCGCCTGACGACTCCAATGACCGCAGAGCTAGGCCAAGCGCGTCTGTATACCTCGAGTTTCGGTATAAAGGAGCGAGGGGGAATGCCTTCCACCTCATCTCGCCATGTCTTTCATCGAGGCTCCCATTCCTGCAGCGACAAAACTTGCCCACTACCGAACCCTCTCCCCCAATGCGGGCATACACGTCTCCCCTCTGCAGCTCGGCGCCATGAGCATCGGCGACAAATGGGGCCATCTTGGGATGGGCTCGATGGACAAGGAATCGAGCTTCAAGCTGCTGGACGCGTTTGCCGAGAAGGGCGGCAACTTCATCGACACAGCGAACAACTAGTAAGCTTTCTCAGCGCTGTTCTAAAATGCTCGTTTTCATTGTGATCAACAGCCAGGACCAGTCGTCTGAGGAATTCCTGGGCGAATGGATGGAGCAGCGCAAGATTCGCGACCAGATGGTCATTGCAACCAAGGCAAGCTTCTCCTCCACTGGGTTCGCCCGCCACAAGCTCATTAATTGCCAGTATACTGCTCTGTTCCCGCAGCGCAAACCAGGCTTCCTCAACAAGGCCAACCACGCAGGCAACAACGTCAAGTCGATGCATATTAGCGTCGAAGCCAGCCTGAAGAAGCTGCGTACATCATATATCGACATTCTCTATGTGCATTGGTGGGATTGGGACACGAGTGTCGAAGAGGTGATGAATGGCCTCCACAACCTCGTTGTCCAGGGGAAGGTCCTCTACCTCGGCATTTCAGACGCGCCTGCCTGGGTCGTCTCGGAGGCCAATCGCTACGCGAAGGACCACGGGAAGTCGCCGTTTGTCATCTATCAGGGTCGATGGAATATCCTCGAACGCTCGTTTGAGCGTGAAATTCTCCCCATGGCTCGTGCCCACGGTATGGCTTGTCTATCACTCGTGGTACTTGTGCTCAAATGGCTTACAGGTATGGCGCTGGCACCTTGGGACGTTCTTGGGGGAGGCAAACTGCGAACCGATGCGGAGGAAACGGCGCGCAGGGACAGCGGGGAGAAGGGTCGCATGCTTTTCGGCCCTTGGGAGCGCAACGAAACTGAAATTAAGATGTCGCGCGCTCTTGAAAAAGTTGCTGCCGAGGTTGGAGCCAAGTCTATTCAAGCTGGTAAGGAGATTATTGCCTTTCTTAGATCCTACGCACTCACAGTTTCTAGTCGCCATCGCCTATGTGATGCAGAAGGCTCCGCACTGCTTCCCCATCATCGGAGGGCGCAAAGTCGAGCATCTCGTCGCCAACATCGAGGCCCTTGACATCTCTCTCTCGCCAGAACAGATCCAGTACCTCGAAAGCGCTGTTCCCTTCGACCCGGGCTTTCCGAATTCCTTGATTGTAAGCATACCTGTTTGTGTACTATCACCATATTTATTGACGTTTTTGAAGGGAGACGGCACTGAACAAGCTTTCCTAATCAAATCAGCAGGCATTTTGGTGCATTTGCCACGCGTCGAGCCTCTGCGTCCGAGTAGAGATTAGTACGAGGAAAATAAGAGACGTACAAATGACTTGAGCAACACCCGTTTTTGTTTTGTTTTCATCGACTCTGGATACAACTGATTTTTTTTTGTTTGGTGGGGTAGTGGTAATCTGGGTCGTTCGAGTCCCGTTTGATATCTTACCAAATTTCTGACAGCTCTGCTCTTGCCTTGATCTTGAACTGGGAAACAATAATTATCATGAGCACGGGGCTTGAGCGCTTATTGGTAGCCCACGAGTCAGTTTTGTCCCACCACGATCTGGATGTCCACGACTTTCAAAGACGCCTCTGCGCCGTTTGCAAGCACCGGCGATGACTCGTTCCATCCATCCAAACCTGCCGATGTCATCTTGCGTTCAAGCGATGGCTTCGATTTCTACGTCCACGGCGACATCCTCAAGTTTACATCAGAAGTCTTCGAGGGTATGTTGGTCGTTGGCACCAGCGTGGCTGCCGACACAGTTTTGCGCGATGGCAAGCCTGTCGTCGAACTCGCCGAGCCGCATAAGGTGTTGCACCGACTGCTCTCTTGCGCATATCCAATGACGGACCCGCAACACTTGCGAATTGTGGATGCTGAGAGCCTGGACGACTTCTACGCAACCTTCCAGGCGGCTCATAAATATGGCTTCACAATCACCGAGAAGGCTTTAAAGAAAGTCCTCGCCGACTGTGATCTCGTCAATACACTCCCCGCGCGGTTCTTTGCGTTGGGGATCCTCTGTAACCAGTTAGAGGTGACCAAAAAGGCAGTCTACTCTGCTCTCCGACTGAAAATCGATACACGAACTGTGGACTTCCCCGAGATGCGGCTATTGACGTGGGCGCAAGGACAGAGACTGGCTCAGCTCTGTGCACTCTACGAGGAGGGGGTTTCCGCTTGTCTCAAATCCCATCGTACACATACAAAAACACAGCATCCTGTGAAAACATTTGACCAGCCTTTTATTTACCAGTCGGTCGCCGGGGCCGATTGGACCAGACACCGAGTCAGTGGTTGTCCACAAGCACACAAGATGCAATGGGATGGCATCCAGACCGCCACTTGGCTCTCTCGATGGTTGGAAAAGATTACCATTCCTTTGCCACATCACAATGCAACTACTATGGATCCCGTGACGATGTCCACGGTAAGTAATGTCTTGACATCATCCTGCGACGCATGCAACAAACAAGATCGCGTTAACTTATTGATCTTCAATCGAGTCTTGAACGACCAGCTAGATGATTTCAATCGACGTTTTGGTAAGCTCTTGCAAACTGAATTCAGAGCTCGAGGTCTCTTGATTGACCTATGTAATGTCCAGATGCGCATATGGATTGCAGTGTCTGCATCTGAATGTGTATGATTGTAGGTTGGGAAGGATGCAAAGCTAATGAAAACTACTTGGTATAGTTTAGCGGAAGGGAATAAATTATGCTCAGCAGAGTGTCATAAAATAAGTTTGGTGTAAGAGAGAGAGAGAGAGAGACAGAGGGAGAGGAAAAAGATAAGCTCAATGAAGGTCTTATTTGCTGACTGCTTTGGGGGGGAATCGAACCCCCGGCGGGTCGAATCGCAAGCGAATCGACTTGGCAACGACCCAGGTTACCACTACCCCACCAAAGCTTGTTTAATGGACATTTTGGAGTAGTAGGATGGTAAAAACATCGAAAGAATACCGCTTTTCTATAGAGAAACCACGGATCCCTTGTTTTTGACCATCTCTAGCGTAAATAACGCGTTTTTTTGGTCCTGGAGCCCTTTATTTATGGTACGGCGATAAGAGAAAGGCTACCACTACCCCATGAATTGTCCCGACGCGTCTATAAAGGCCGTGAAAGCCAGAAATCTGCTCCATCAGAAGGTTTGATGGCGGCCTGCGGTATTGCTTGTAATGCTCTGTAATCACTTACTGAGCTTATCAAACCTGATTCAGTATATCTAGAGAGCCACTACCAATCCTACCATACTAGCATTTCCTCTGTGTGTGTGGCTTGTGTGGAGGGAATCGTCTGATTCTACCATCACTCACCATCAACCCATCAGTGATTTCCAGAAGGGTTTGATGGCTGCACGTTGCTAGGTATTACGCAACTCTGCGACGTTAGTATTATTGAATGAGATGTGTAGCTTATACTCGAAGCGATATAGTTTCTTTGATGCATAAAATCTAACATAACTAAGGGAGGGTCCACGCTCAAAAAAGCTCCACCCACATATCCGACAACTCCATGACCCGCTCGCTTTCGGGTCTACCGACCGCTATTAACAACACTTGGTAAAGTAATTAGCGCTGCTCTACTTATACGGAATACCGTTCTGGAGTCGCTGGAACTCGTCATACGCAGTACTGCGGACATTCTCATGCGCATTCTTGATGACGCTCATCATCCACTCCGCCGCCTGCCGCTCATTCAAGCCCAACGCAAACCGATCCCGTAGCCGCTTGATTGTCGGCTCGCCTTTGAACGAGGGCAGCCCGGTGTCAAGCATCAATTGAACCGTGTTGACGAGCTGTTCCGCGTGAGGGCGGATGGCGAGGAACGCTTTGACCGTGAGGTTCTGGAAAAGCTGGTAGCCTTGCGAGTATCGTCCTCCCATTAGTAGAACCATTTCGTGATTAAGCTTGAAAGAATGCGGCTCGAATTTTACTCCCTGAAGTTGTGTCAGCATGACAAAAAACGAAACGAGATGCAACTGACTCCGGGGCGTAATCATCAAACGGAGAAAAAGTCAGTTACGAGGACAAGAAAGAAGGGCCAAGATAAACTTATCTATGTCAAACAGGAACCCAAAGTCTACAAAGACGTCAGGACTATGGTCTCTTTCTGTTTGAGCACGCACCGATATGCACTATATGCCCTTCTCCGTCAATCATAATATTGCCGTTATGACGGTCTTTGATCTGGAGTATGTAGCACGCGACAGAGTACGCAGCCATCGACTGGATGAAGTTCAATCGCGCTCTTTGGAATGCGACAGTGTCTTGTCCACCATACTTGGCTACGAAAAAGTCGAGTAGATCGTTAACTTTGGCCCGCCCCATTTCGTCTCGAGATGTCGCATTCGGAACCACGTCAATTACTCCGCACTGTTGATGAATCAGCTGCAAACTTTGGTATGAAGAGAACAGACGAACACCTGGAGCCGTTGCCGTAACACGATAAGGGAACAGGTACAACGTCAAGCCAACACTCTCGAAAATGTTCTTGAACATGGCAATGACTTGGAGCGCAAGAACATCCTGCCGACAATCATCGCCGACTTTGAAGATCGCCTGCTGCCAAACATCGTATTCGACCCGCGTCTTCACAGTGTCGTTCCCGTCAAGCAACGATTCAGGGTTCTCGTTGACCACAATCATGTCCTTGCGCACTTTGAAAGTAGCCATGAATGGCGCCTTGGCATGACTTTGCAGTGGCCGGCCGGACTTCTTGTCGATGTCAACGACGATACCATCGGGATTGCTGGGAAGATAAACGCCAACGTCGACCGTGATCTTCGCCATTTCTTCGTCAATTTTCGCCTATCATAATGTTAATAAAGTGGCAGCAAAGGAGAGCTAAACGAGGACCTTTTTCTCTGGCTTTGTTTTTTTGATGTACGGCTTGAGCTTGCCAGAAATCGACGTAACCTCGTTGAAGAAGCCAAACTCCCGATCGTAGAACGCGCGAGCTTCACCAGAAAGAGAAGCAACAACTTCGTCGGTCATTCGATCCAGCGCAGGCTTCATAGGATCTTCCTGCATGTCGAGTATGAGGAAATGGCTCAACGGTTGCTTTGAGACTCACAATTTCGGCTGCATCATCCTTGTAGCAGTTGGCCTTCATGTTCCATATGATTTGATGGCAGAACAATTGCGAGATTTTGGCCGTCTCGAATATGAACCGAGCCACATAGCCTAGGAGGATGAGGGACATATTGGGAATGCTGGACCTAACGCACCGAGATCATCATAACGAAGGGCCTGTACTACTTGAGGCACAAAGAAAAAGGTGAGATCAACTGGATGTTGTTCAAGTACTCGATGAGCATATTGAAGCACGAGTGGATCGTTCTTGAAGCGTCGTTCAAAGAAAGTATTGGCAATTACGGGTGGAACCGGGGCCCAAAGCAGGAGGTGCTTCAAGTCTCGTTGAACATCGGCTTCGAGACGATCGCCGAGGAGGAACGGGATAGCCTCCGGTGTGTCAAGAACATCACGAGTTGTTGAGCGGACAAGTTTAGTGACCTCGTTGCGCACCACGACAGCACTTTTGAAGCGCTCAGGGAGGTGAACAGCAATGGCAGGGTCAATCTGCCAGACCGTGCGGACCATAGTAGCCCATGAGGCCTCGAAGAGACCTCTCTCGACATGGTCAGAACCCCGCTTTGGATCGTTGACGGGGTTTGCCCAGACAGAGAGACGGTTGAGCTCATTTTCTACGAGGAGCTTCAACGGATGGTTGATGCTGCGCAACTTGAGGGTGAACTCTGCGAAAGAGTGAATGACAAGCCAAGGTGATTAGCATCACTCACGTGATGACTTTGATTCTGATTGCACGGGAGCCAGACTGGAGATGACCGCTGAGCCACGGACGGCGTCGGTTTGGAGGTAGGAGAGGAATTCCGAGACGACCTTAATGTCTGCATCAACTTGCACTCGATTGGCACCAAAAGACCATCTGGCTCAAGTTAGTTATAACCACAAAGGATATTGAACTGACTGTGGGCGAACAGTGAACCATGAATATGCGACCTTATACAAGTTTTCTCTGAGAATGTTCTCGCAGTAAGAGTCGAGATGTGAGCTCTTGAGTGTCTCAAAGCCAAATAGTAGGAAAGAGAAGCGCGGTTCGCGAGCTAATGCATGGGTACTGATTGAATTGTTACAACGGAAAATGTCGATAAAAACAACCCACCTCATGTGTTTGTGTGCCCGAGCCGAGCGGAGAATGAGATGCTGGATAAGGAACATCACACCAGGTCGCCGATACCTTGCTGCTTGTAATCGACTGAACAGCATTTGCAGTACGAGCACATGTGGAGTCAACAGCCGACGCGCATTCGACATTTCTCGGTCAATAGTTTCCTTGTCCGTGGGGCTGTATTCGATTGGATGGTAAAACGGGTCATCGTAGCTTGGAGAATATCAGCGAAATAGTGATAACAAGGACACAAATCCATACTTGAGGGAAGTTGAGAATATGCCTTTCTCCTGGCGAATAGTATCGGACCACGCTGCTAACACCTCTCCCATCAAGCCAACTTCGATGTCGGGCTTCTCTGCAATTGTCCAGGTCCAGATCTCAATTCCAGCAGACACTGCTGATGGGGTCGAGACTTCAAAAGGCAGCGCAACAAGGTAGTGAAGAAGTTCGAAATCACACTGAAGCAGATGAGAAGACTGGTTGGCAACAATTGTCAAGATTACCTGAGGCAGTGAAATGAGGGTAGCAGCACAGCGGAATAACAGGCGTTTGAGGTCTTGCACAGTCGCACTGCTAACTTTATTTCGAATCTCCTCAAATGTGCGCGCCATCTTTGCCTTGAGCGCCTGGATTTCTGACGACGGTGCAGCTTGTGGAGGCAGTTTCTCAAGTTGGTCAGCACCTATTACTCATGCATCAAATAATGATTGCAGGGTTAAGGACACAAACCTTGACGACTTGCAAGTCGAATACCAGCCGCTTCACCCGCAAAATAGCCCTTGCTAGCTATTTGACTTGCGAGAGACTTGGCCCCGTCGGTCTTTTTGGTCGACAAGGTTGACAGAGAAACTACGGAATGTGAACTTGAGGGAGAAGGGATCCAAGCAGGACTCACCAAGTTGTCGTTGAACAGGGCCGATCGACTTGCCAAACTGCTCGGCCACAGATGCTCCAAGCTCAGTCCATTCCGCCCCAGTGGAGGAGTTCCCAGAGAGGTACTTTTGCAACGTCGACTGAAGTTCAACTGGTGCCCGACTCAAAGCCAGTTCGAACCAGCTGTTGGCGTTTCGATGTAGTAGTGCGAGGATCTCATTGCGAACACTATAGCTGTCGGTTAATTGCAGTGTGATTCCCGTGCGATCCGAATGGAACTCATAAGTCGGGTTGTATTCGTCGATGAATTCATTCTCGCAAGCACGCCGAAGAAGCGTGAGGACTTCAAGAATCGCGAATACGAGTGGTGGGTCGCACATGAGTGACGGGAATGAGGTGATAAGGCGGTTGAGGAATTTGGACGCAATGTCTCGAGCCTTGGCAATCCTGTGTGTGCTGCATATCAACAGAGTTTGGAGTTCTGTGGATAAAGACTCGGGGAGTGCTTGTTGCGCCGCTTGAACATTAAGACTACTTATGCACCCTCGAATGACCTGCGTTGTTTAGAGTCGACTCAGTAGTGTGATATGAAAATACCTTTTCTGCGATGGATTCCATGCATGCACTTAAGCCAGGATGCTTGTTCAAGCTGTCGTTAATGAAGTAAGACACCAATGACGACGTTAATCCGGCAGCTGAACGCATAGATTCCATGTCATGCATAGTAAGCAAAAATATAATCTGGCCGGTCGACAACGATCGTATGTCGCTTGCGCGGAGGGAGATGTGTGTGGTTAAACTCGATTTACGTTTCGATATGATCTGGAAAAAGCTTAGTTCGCCGATTGGTGGCTAGAAAACAGACTTGCGGTATGGGCATAATCCTGTCTTATCACCGAATTATATTCGACGACGCTTGCAACCGAGTCATGAGACTCTTCCAGGACCGTGGCAGGAGTCTTGGCAGCGATGCGGGAGAGAGCGGGTCGCTGCCACTCCATAGCCGAGTCTTCCTCGTCATTGGAAGTGAAGCCAAACAAGATGCAGAGGAACCACATGTTACGGAACAATGAAATGATAGTTTTGTCCGCCTTCGTCTGCGGGTTGAAATCTTCGTGGGCAAGAAGAGCGTCGATGGGAAGGAGAAGTGAGGCGAGTTGCTCAATCATATCGTCGGTCTACAAAGCGCGTTAGGAGTTTCTCAACGGGCATAAACCACAGACCTTAATATGGTGATTCGAAATCTTCAAATTCTGAATCGCAACACCCTTGTCCGCAAAGAGAGTCAAGAGTTCTACGAGGTATATCTCGTAGAGCTCAGGTCGGCGATCGAGTTCTTGAGCGAGCCTTGTTTGTGCTGCCAGCACCTATATTTATTGGCATTATGTGAGACAACGTTGGTGCGAGAAGTTCTTTCTGACCATGTTATTGGAGAACCTCGGATCATCCGGGTTAGCTGATCGGTTGATGACCGAGAATACCCGAATGATGTCGATAAAAGCACTTTCTGGGGCAGACAACGCCAGATCGACCAAGTTATAGGCAATGGCCGCCTCAACAGTCGGCTCCGCTGAGCGCAGCCTTTGCAGAAGCATCGAAATCGTTAGTCGCGTGACCTCCTCCATCTTGAACTCCAACGCAAGTCGAGTAACGACAGAGATAGTGCTGATTCCAATGAGACGCTTCTCTTCTTCGGATAGTCCGCGTAGGCCAGTCTCCACTGATTGAATAGTAGCATGGTCTTGACCATTATATAACGGATTGCTCATTAACTGGGAGCTACTGGAGCTCTCGAAGATCTCCTTACTCGTGGCAGCAATGTAGTTGAGCAGCGAATACATGTTGGACATGATGAGGTCGTCCCCTGGGGCCAGCTGCAGATGGTCAACCTCAAGAAATCCTTATGAAATGATGAGTTACTTTGATGCAGGCAGCAAGACATTTCGCTGCGGCAGCAAGTGGTGGAGGGGCGCGCGTTTCTGAGGCAAACTCGAATTCGAATATAGGCAGAGGCGATGTCACAAAGCGGCGAAGATGTGCTGCCATATTTCCCGCAATGTCTGGGAAACTGAAAATTTGTCAGGAATGGAACTAGACAGCAACCATAATACTCACTTGTGCACCAAGACGATCGTTGCCTTGAGCGCCGCTTCTTGCACGAGGTTGTCAGAAATTGGAGACTGGTCGCTCAAGAGGAGGAGCAATCGAGAGTACAAAGCTTCGTCGAGTTTGTTGATTGCTATTGAGCAAATCGAGGCCAGTTTCTGCGATTTATCAGTATAGGCGTCAAACTGAATGAAAAAAAACCTACCAAACTCTCGGACATTGTTTCGTATGCGTAGGTGTCCAAAGATGGCTCTGAATCCATCTCTTGAATCTGGACATACAAGTCTCCGAAGCATTTCATAGAGTACTCCACGGTCTTGCGTAGGGTGTCTTCAATCTCGAGGTCCTTGATATCGAGCTCGGAAGCAGCATGGCGCGTAAGTGCGACCCACGCCTTGTTCGCTGCCGCGGCCTCACTGAACGGACCTTGCCGCGACGATTCTGGAGGCACGAGAACTTGGGCAAGGACGGTCCAGTTGGTCTCGATGACGCAACAAACAATGAAATAGCCGCTGAGAGGCCGGCCGCGCGAAACATAACGCGAGACAAATGTCTGCACGTAATGAAGCGTTTCCAAATCTGTTTGCTCTTTCTGCAGGATGTCCGCGAGTAGATGGTTGAGTCGGTCAACAACATCTGGTACGCCCAAACCGGCAAGCTGGTGGCAGAGCTCACGCCATTGGGTGATGGTCCATTGGAAGGAGGTTGAGCTGATGGCACGGTATAGACCGTGTAAAGCGGGGGTCAGCTGTGTCAAGATGTCGAGCGCTAGAGGATGTGAGTAAGAGAAATATGTAGAATGGCGGCACGCACCGCTGGAAGTGGCAATCTCCTCTACAATGTGTGATATGAAGGAGAAGATAGCGTTGGTCGCTGCTTCGCTGTACTTGGCATGGGATGTTGATATTCTGAGCAAAGCGGAAACGGTGGAAAAGACGAGTTGATCAGGGAGTGCCCATTCTACGTCGCCGGTGAGGAAGGGGTGGCCGACACAAACAGGGAGAGTGTTCACCTTCCCAGGAGAGGCACTTGTCAAAGTCGATATAAGGGACATCCCGCAACACATCGATGAGCGCCGGCATTAGGGTATCGATGGCATTGTCGATGTGGACTTGGGGAAAGTTGACGACGAGCTCGCCGAAAGCAATGTTGCAACGAACTCGTGAGGCTGACTGGTTGAATATTTGTTCAGCTTCATATACTGTGAGGTGATAGAAGAAACAAACCATGAAAACCCTCGGCTCTCCGCCTTCATCTTCTGGGTCTGCAGTCCCATTACCGTTCACCAGGAGGGCTTCGGTGGGGTCAGCCCTTGTCTGAACTTTGGATGTTATGATGTCCTGCGCATAGGACAAGTCATCTTCCGCCTCAGAGACATTTGAAGCAATGTCGGAAAGGATCCTCTGGTGTATATTCAGTTCAAGGCTGCTTCCAGATCAGAGAAAGACGGAGAATGCGCGAAAACACAGACCAGTCCATGACGCCAAATATGTACTGGAAACGTCCAGTTGCACTGCCACTGGCACCTCACCGATCGGCATCCGTCTGGCTTTCTTCTTATGCGACGACGGACCTCTCTTCAGCTCATCGGACTGTTATGCGTTGTTGGCATTGCTGCTCATCTTGCAAGTCTTCTGGTGGCTGATAAAGCCAACTTAGCTGACACGTCATTATCAAGTACTTCACTCCCGCGTCTCGCTATCGGTCACCAGCAGACTTTGAGGAGCCTGGGTTTGGGAGCGGGGAAATAGTGGAAGAAGAAGAGAGGGAATCGACAATACCAAGGCTACCAGCGGATAAGCCGAAACGCGACGCGGTTGTCGCTGCTTTCAAAGTGTGTATTTTCATTTTTCCTACATTTTCTGACCACCTTCCTGAATGTAGCATGCTTGGTCCGCCTATGGTACGCATATGGTTTATCAACATCCGCTGCCTCCTGTTGACTGGCGCCTTGAGCACGCGACGCAATGGGTGCTGACGAGTACCATCCAATAAGCCACAGAGGAACCAATCTTTCTCGAAGCGGAGGCATAGGCTACACTGTTGTTGACGCACTTGATACGATGCTTCTCATGCGGCTCGATAAAGAGTATACGCAAGCCAGCGAATGGGTCAGGAATTCCCTTACCTTCGACCGAGATGGGAGGGACAGGTGCTTCAATACTTTTGAGGTTTGTCAAGCCTATATTTCGTCCTACTACTATTCTCACCCCTTCAAAAGACAACAATACGCGTTCTTGGAGGCCTTCTTTCCGCTTACCATCTGTCTTCCGACAAAATGTATCTCAATTATGCAACTGACCTCGCTGACCGACTTCTCCCGTCCTTCAACACACCCTCGGGACTCCCTCATTCTTCAACTAACCTCCAACTGCGGGTTGGAATTCCTGACGGGTCTGTGAGCACTGCGGAAGCAACAACACTCCAGCTCGAGTTTCGTTATCTAGCGGAACAGACAGGGAACAAGGAATACTGGTACAAGGTCGAGAAAGTGATGCAGGTTGTGGACAAGGCAAAACTACCCAATAACTTGGTTCCGATCTCCATGAAGTGGGTCCTCTGACAGCGGTTGAAGAAAATAGCTAATGACTAGGTCGCAGTTCGAACGACGGGTCCTTTACGCCGTCAGAAATACGATTAGGGTCGCGTGGAGATTCATATTATGAATATCTTCTGTCTGTGACAGGTCTACCTCCAACAACACAATTCATTTTTTACCAGGAAGCAGTATCTGCAGACCGCTCGGACGGAGCCGGTTTACCTCAGAATGTACCAAGATGCGATGGCTGGAATTCATAAGGAACTCATCCGACAAACACCCAAACGCAAAGTCTGGTATACGGCGGAACTCATTCCTGGAGGGGGTGGAGGGGACTGGAGGACGTGGGTCACACACACTTGCTTTTTCTCCATCTCAATGAGATTAGATCATGGTCGCTTCAACACAAACAAGACCATCTTGTGTGCTTCCTCGGCGGATCACTTATGCTAGGCGCAACTACAGTTCACCTGGCAGAACATCATCGGCAGGCCAAACGCGCACCAGCTCTGTCTCGTTCTCCACATTCTGGCCCATCCAGACCTCCTCATATGAGCGAACTAAGTGAAATAGGGAAGAGGGACTGGAATGCTGGCGTGAAATTGCTAGATGGGTGCATGGAAACACATAAAACAGCAACGTGGGTGAATCTTCAGGTGTCTGGCCGATTCAACGAGGATATGCAGTGGAATGTCTCCCGAAATCGCTATGTTTCTTCCTGATCCAGGTCAACCAGAGCGCGAGTGGCATATCAAGGGCTCCAAGTACGTTTACTTTGCCAAGGAAGGCGAGGGACTCACCATATAGACCTGGTGGACCCGCATCCTACGATGCCCGTTATATGCTCCGACCCGAGACCACCGAATCACTTTTCCTTGCTTGGCGTCTTACGGGTGACCCCAAGTACCGTGACCACGCATGGGGAATATTTCAGGCCATTGAACAACATGCTAAACTGCCGGGAGGAGGTTACGCAACGGTGCTCGATGTGGATACAGTCCCTGCAAGGCTGGACGACAAGCAGGAAACATTCTTCCTGGTGCGCTTTCCCATTATCAGCAGCAACCTCGTACCAATCTTTGATCAGAGCGAGACCCTCAAATACTTGTACCTCACTTTCGCGGACGAGAGTGTACTGCCGTTAGAAGGTACTTTTTTTTTGTCTCTCGTCATTTTCTCTCTCATCATTCTGGGCTAGATTATGTCTTCAACACAGAGGTACATTTTTCTTACTGGTCCTTGCTTCGTATGTGCTGATCGAACCTAGGCCCATCCCCTCCCTGTGTTCAAGCCGACGATAAAGCCTCGATTTACACTCTAATTTTCTTTGTTGCGGACATTTCAGGATAACTTAATATCAGCACAAAATTATCTACCAGCTTGAATAAACTTGGCTTCGTTGGGCCAAAGAGCATGCGACCCTTCTTCCCGCTGTCCTTGCGTGCCTTTTCCTCGGCATCGGTTCACAGTTCACCTCCAAGAGCATCCCAAGGTGCTAGCGCCATACCTGTGAGCCATGAGCACAAGTACCTAGAGTCATAGACAAGCCATACCGTGGGGCACGAGCCATAGGGAGAATTCCACGCTCAAACGAGCGTTTGAGGGATATTCCATCGACCCTGATAGATCTAGATGACAAACGGCGACTTGCTGTGAGAACCTTCTCCATTAGTTATGAATCGCCGCATAGAAGTCGTCCACGCTCTCAGTATCCGCAACTCTCTGGCGAAAGAGAGATGTCCAGAGCCTCGATGTTGGCGACGAGATGCTCTGCTTTGCGACCTCCGATTATGGGGAAGCACTATGGGGCTTTCTGCATCACATACGCTAAGAGCGGTCAGTTGAGGGCCGAATGATCCGGATTAGTCACCGTCGCGTCTTGCTCTGCTGCAGTCAAATGGCCAGGACGCCTAGTATGACTGCTTCAATAATCGCGAAATCAACCTGATTGTTTCTTCCAAAGAAGCGGCCACGAAGCGGTCCGCCACGCGTCCAACTGTCTCCTTCAAGGACACTGACGATATTGAACTATTCGATGAAGAGGACCTTGGAGGAAGCGAAGACAGCGCTGAGATGCTCAATCGATTCTTGGACGAGTACAAAAGTGTGTGCTTGTCTACATCTACCATTTGTTGATTGCTCACTGAACCCGACAGAGAAAGAAGCCAAGAAGGCCACTGCTCGCTCTGCCGCTTTCCAGAACCAGAAGAAATCCCTCTACGAAGCTGCCCGAAAACTTGCACGAGATATATCGCGCGAAGGAATCGCGTCTTTGTGCGTTTTACTCTGAGCCTCATCTATATCAAGCCAATATAGCGCGGTTAGAGAAGAAGGTCGTGCTAAAATCCAGGCTCTGAAGGGCGAAGAATTAGCTGCAGACAAGTTCAGCGAAGATATCATACCTTTGTGGCAGAGCGTTGAGGTATTATGTCTTGAAGATTCGCCTCTCTGTTCACCAGCAAAAGGACGCGTCGGAAGCCGTTCTTGCATCGTACCCCCAAGGCATTCAAGACCTTTTCCCCCGTCGCTCCAAGACAATCAACACTGCAAGCGAAATGCGTTAGTCTTCTGTCCGTCTCTAGTTTGCTAATCCACCCCCCAGTGACCGAGATTCCGACTGAACGCAAACAAATGCTGCAAAACTCTCTTGATGCTGCTAACGAACAAATGTACCAGAGCCAACGCGACGAGAAGGTAGTTCATTTTCCTTCCTAAATTCCAGGGGGGGTTAACAAGACGATAGCTGGCGAGAGACGCTTCCGCGTTGATCAAGCGTTACAAAGCACTTCTCCAACACGCCTAGAGCCATTTCCACTGCTGCCGCTGCTTTAGTTCTTGTTCTTCGGACCCTATAGACCTCAATTGTTACACGCATGCTGTTATACACGCTACTAGCCCATTGGACTGAGTGAAAAAGTTCATTCAATAAAACAAAACGAACTCACAAGATCGTCTCTAGACCGCTCCACGACGGTATTCGACTCGTCTTCTCTAGATTTCTTTTCTGCTGGTTTCAAATTCAAGTACTCCGCCATGAAAACACGCATGAGAATATTCCATCGCCTCAGTGTCGGCATATGAAGTGCTGAAGCATCATCCTGAGGGTGGTGGTCATCAAGATGTTTTCGGGTCAAAAAAAAGACTTACACGAATCGAATGCCAAACTGCTGGGAATGGGGCCGTGATCAGGTGCAAAATGTCCACACCCTTCTCTTGGAAAGGGACATGATCATCGCCAATCCCGCCATAGTTCATGGTCGCTGAGGTTCGTTTGTAGAAGAACGAAGACCATTTGTCGGGTGCCATTTCCTGCTCTTTGGCATAAGCGAACGCGCCGCTCTCCCCCAGTCTCTTCTCCGCCGAGACCAACGCATCGAATAACCACGCTGTGTCCAGGTTGTATGAGCGAATGAGAGGTTTGGCTGCACCGAGAAGGTCGAGTAAGATGAAATGCTCGATGCCCGAAATTTCTGTCGCTTGCGGACCCATCATAAGGCGGCGTTTGCTGTTGGGAAGCGCGTAGGTGGTTGCCCATTTCTCAGCAAGATGTCTTGGGGGTTGAATTAACAAGGCGAATCTTGCGTGACAGTACGAAAACATACCTTGCGCCGTAGATAGAATCGGTGTCGGTCCATTGGACAAATGCCTCTTCACCGTCAAAGAAAACAAGCTGGAGCGTTGTGTCCGACACGTCCTCGTCATCCTCCATACCGGCCTCGAGTCGATGAGCTCTTTCGTCCAATAAAGAATTGAGTGTTTCGGCCAAATCCAACATCATAGCGCAAGGTGCGGCAGAATCCGTTGCCCCCACAAACTAGTCCTTAGTCAGTAGAGGAGATGAGCTCTGGTTAGCAGTGCCAACCTCGTTCGGCTCCGGAAAATACTTGCTATCGAAGTGGGCAGCCACAATAACGCGCCGCGACGCTGCCGGGTCCTTGGTAGCGATTATATTCGTGAACTGCTTCTGCCCAAAGGGCGTAGTGTCATTGAATGCGTCTTGCTCCACGTGCCATTTCAGAGCCTCCAATTTCGAGACGATGTAGTTGCGAACGAGAGTATTATTTTGCGTATCCGCTGTTTTGAGTTTGAGTGTCTCGGAAAAGATAGATTGTTCACGGACGTACGGACTCGGGGAATAAGAATTTTGGACAAATGGGAGGACGGGTTATTCGGGTCGAGCTGCTTTAGTGGGTCGGGCGACGATATTAATGTTGAAATTGCCGCGGGGGAGAGATGTGTCAGCTCGCGTGGACCAAGCGTTGACCGCTGGAGCGTCGGTTGAGCGAGAAAAAGGCCAATAAATAGCACGCTGCGCCATAGCATGGTCGCCTTGTGGCCAGCAGTCGTGGTTGTCCGAAGAAAAAGCGGGTGTCACCCCCGTGCCGCCAATCACCCAACCTTTCCTTCCGTCCTCCATGCCGATTTACGGTCTTTGGGTCTGTTTCGCCATGTCGCTCCTTCTGCTTTCTTAACCCTGTTCAGGTAATAAACAAGGCTGGAGGACTAGTATACCAGCGAAACTTTGCCGGTTCATTTCACCAGCGACGCGTTTTTCCTCCCTTGATCTCTCCACCCAGATGGATTGGCGCAACTCACGTCCAATGAATATCTCGTTCTGGCTGGTACTCTCCACGGAATACATGCCATCACAAGCCGGCTTTCGCCCATAGGCTCCAGCTCTGGTGCTCAAGTTATCGAGGGCGAAACATTCAAGATGACCATTCTCCTCACCGCAACGGGTACGACCATCATTCCGCCGCTAGCAAATCTAACGTCGTTCCCCAGCCACTAAATTCGTCCTTCTTACCTCTCTCAGCGAGACTACCGCCGATGCTGTCTTACAGAAAGTATATGAAATCTATTCTGACGCGGTCATGAAGAACCCATTCCACACTCCTGAAATGCCGATTCGTAGCGAAGGATTCGACACGCGAATAACTGCACTCATTGGGAACGGCTCATAGTCTAAATTATTCTTGTACGTGACAGAATGTACCAATACGCTTTTAATCCTCGTCGTTTTCGACTACTTTGACTGGTGGAATCTAAATGACTCTTTGGCTCCGCTCTTGATCGCACTTGGGCTTCTACCGCAGCTGCGAGGCCTTTTTGGTCATCGTTTCTACGATGACGTCCACCCACGCCGACGAATTGGCATCGATGTTGTAACGTGAGTTGCGTGTTGTGCCCTCTTCAAGTGCAAGGTCTAATCCTTCGCATAGGTACGGCTGTGGAATTGTCGGGGACCTACTTTTACTTCCATATTGGTGGACGCGTCTCTCCACCGTCGGCATAAGCTCTTCGGGGGCATTCCTGTTTATCGGGTCAATACTTCTCGAACTGCTATTATTCTTCTCCGACCAATTTTACCGTTATAATCTCGACGAACGGGATCGACAAAATTTTGTCGTTTTGTTCACGGTTACAGTGATGCTGATTCCGCCAGCGATCATGCTGAGGACAATATTACGGGCCGAATTTGGCTGGGAAAACTGGTACCCCACTGTAACGCGGTCACCAGCGACACACCAGGAGCGACGGAGTGAAAGGGTCGACAGGGAAACGTCCTGGCTCGTTAAGCTTGCCATAGCAGTTGGTGTCGCACTTGCCTTCCATTTCGGAAAGCTCTACGACATCCATATCATAGCGCCATACTCTCCCATCGACTGTCCACCTGACGCTGAACAACACGGAGCCGTATACAACTTCCTCAGTCGACTAGGACCCAGCCTCCATCTCACGGGCGACATAAGCCAGTACATTCTCAATCATCGCCTCAAATCGTTTGGTGGACAATACCGAGCAACGGAAAATACTTGGGTTTGTCGCATCCATGGCCCACTTGCTTCATTATGTCCCCGCTTTCGTCGGCCGAAGGGAGTTCTGCAGCTTCTTGTCTGTGGGCTGGTTCTTGTCTGCTCTCGTCTTCCGCTTGCCCATGTTGTGGCAGGCCCTCACATTTGGCAGATTCTGCGCCAGAAATAATCTTGACTTGCAAACCTGAGTTAGATAAATGGCCTTAGCCCAAATCAGGCTTGGAGTAGTCGCTCGCAACGTTGGGCTCCATAGAACGTTGTACAAAAGTCAGGTCGAGGTTTGCGGCGTGACTGGCTACTTTTAGCTCTAATTTTTGTTCGTCCAACAGCTCATTCTACTAGCGAATTAACATGCAACGACATAGTTTTTATTAATGTGAGGTGATATACAGTAGCAGTGATCCCAACATAGGTTGGGTTCTTTACACTTGGCCCTTTTTTTTATGTGCTGCTTTTTTTGCCGTTTGGAGCAAAGAAAGGATGTGACAACAACTCCTTCACCGATGGACGGTCACCCGGGTGCACCCGGAGCATGTCCGTCAAAAGACTCTCAAGCGGTGCGGACTCGATCCCGTAAACTTTGAGAATGCCGTTGAGAGACTCGTGATGGTCACGGGCAATAGATACGATGAGGCCTAATAGTCATTTAGCGCACTCGAGACTTGCAAGGTGTGGTTAACATACCACCATGCGCGCGGAAGAATGCATCGAAATGCCGCCCCTTGGAGAATAAAGAGTCTCGCAGGCGCTCAACCTCGGTGTCCTCGTGCACGAATGTGGCGTAGATCCGTGCGAGGTGGTATTGCTCTGCAGAATATTGTGCGGTTCCAGACGGGTTGAACAAGCGCCGAGCGGTTGCCAGCTCAAAAACCTAGGGTTAGGGTTATATTATGCGTTGTGAGCCGTGCGTGTTTGTACTCACCATGCACCCCAGATTCCAGATGTCAGCCTTGGTATCCCATGGACACCCGACTATGACCTCGGGACAGCGAAGCGCAGGCGGCTGCAGCTGGCGGTCGGGAAAGCGAGACAGCTCGCTGAGCGGCATTCCGGAGCCATAGTCGGCGAGTATGAAAGAGTCGTCACTAGGCCGGCGAAGAATGTTATCGTGCTTGATGTCTGTATGAACCACCTGACATTCGTCATGCAGCGTCTGCAGCGCCTGAAGCATCTGGAACGTGATGGTCTTCACGAGGGGGAGGGGAAGCTGGCGGCGGGCCTCGGACGGGCCACAGAGTGAGTCATGCAGCAACGACACGCCAAGCAGCTCCGTAACGAGACATTGGTACCGACCGCCATTGCCAGTGACCGCAAACGAATCGGAAGAGGTCAAGAGATGGCGTCGCCCAGGGAGTGTGCACGTGTCTGGGAGCCGAGATATTCGTTGGGCAATCTCCAACTCGAACGCCTCATCGCCTTGTATTGCAGTCATTTCAGAGGTGAATATCTTAATCGCGACGTCGCAGTTGCTGCACAAGTTTTCAGTGTAACTTAGAAATGTGTCTTTGGATTCGACTTGCCGCTCTCGATCGTGAGCATGCCATACTGTGGATTGCTGGCCCTTCCCCAGCAAGTGGCTGATGTCATAGCGGCCTTGGAGAACACTTGGAGGCACATAGTGAGCAGGAACGGCGGCCAAGGAAGTTCCGAAGCGGGTTGCGAGACGGCCCAACATGCATGGTTGACGGCTTATGTCATCACCATTCAATTGATCGACATCCCCATTGTCATCGGTGCTTGGCACTGCTTACCCTTGCGTGGTCTACCAGCGACGCGTTTTCCTCCCTTGATCTCTCCACCCAGATGGATTGGCGCAACTCACGTTTAATGAATATCTCGTTCTGGCTGGTACTCTCCACGGAATACATGCCATCACAAGCCGGCTTTCGCCCATAGGCTCCAGCTCTGGTGCTCAAGTTATCGAGGGCGAAACATTCAAGATGACCATTCTCCTCACCGCAACGGGTACGACCATCATTCCGCCGCTAGCAAATCTAACGTCGTTCCTCAGCTACTAAATTCGTCCTTCTTACCTCTCTCAGCGAGACTACCGCCGATGCTGTCTTACAGAAAGTCTATGAAATCTATTCTGACGCGGTCATGAAGAACCCATTCCACACTCCTGAAATGCCGATTCGTAGCGAAGGATTCGACACGCGAATAACTGCACTCATTGGGAACGGCTCATAGTCTAAATTATGCTTGTACGTGACAGAATGTACCTAATCCTCGTCATTTTCGACTACTTTGACTGGTGGAAGTGTGAGGGCCTGCCACAACATGGGCAAGCGGAAGACGAGAGCAGACAAGAACCAGCCCACAGACAAGAAGCTGCGAAACTCCCTTCGGCCGACGAAAGCGGGGACATAATGAAGCAAGTGGGCCATGGATGCGACAAACCCAAGTATTTCCGCTGCTCGATATTGCCCGCCAAACGATTTGAGGCGGTGGTTGAGAATGTACTGGCTTATGTCGCCCGTGAGATGGAGGCTGGGTCCTAGTCGACTGAGGAAGTTGTATAGGGCTCCGTGTTGTTCAGCGTCAGGTGGACAGTCGATGGGAGAGTATGCCGCTATGATATGGATGTCGTAGAGCTTTCCGAAATGGAAGGCAAGTGCGACACCAACTGCTATGGCGAGCTTAACGAGCCAGGACGTTTCCCTGTCGACCCTTTCACTCCGTCGCTCCTGGTGTGTCGCTGGTGACCGTGTTACAGTGGGGTACCATTTTTTCCAACCAAATTCGGCCCGTAATAGTGTCCTCAGCATGATCGCTGGCGGAATTAGCGTCATTGTAACCGCAAACAAAAGGACAAAAATTAATCGGTCCCGTTCGTTATGATCATGACGGTGAACTTGGTCGGAGAAGGATAATGGTAGTTGGAGAAGTATTGACCCGATAATCAGGAATGCCCCTGAAGAGCTTATGCCAACGGTGGAGAGACGCGTCCACCAATATGGAAGTAAAAGTAGGTCCGCGACAATTCCACAGCCGTACCTATCCGAAGGATTAGACCTTGCACTTGAAGAGGGCACAACACGCAACTCACGTTACAACATCGATGCCAATTCGTCGGCGCGGGTGGACATCATCATAGAAACGATGACCAAAAAGGCCACCTATGCCAATGATTAGAGTTCACAATCCAAGCAGCATCTTCACTGACTGAAAACTTCTGCCGAATCTTGTCCGTTCATTTTGTCACAATCAGTCAGACTGTGGTTGAAAGCCTGTGGTTGAGAGGCGAGGTCTCCAATGAACTTTTTGGAAGGAGATCGGGCAGCAAAACCAATATTCCACGTCACGTCCAGAAACTCCGGGTCAGTATCGTTTCCGGTGGCACAAGGGTCAGAGTTTCTTGTAACTGGTATGCGGACGATATCCTATCGACCCATCCATCAGCGCAAGAAATCAAGACAAAACAACTGACTTTAGGACCTGCAGCCTCTGCCTTGGTGTCCAGATATGGCGCATATGCCCAACGAATTCCTGCTCTGCCTTCTTCAGGAACGTCCAACTCCAGAAGAGTCTCCAAATTTCCATTCGAGGAATATTGGCGGTTGCAGAGCGAAAAAACAGGCTCTTGGAACCCGAATCCTTGACCACACTGCCAATTGCGAGACACCAATGAATGGGACGAACGTCAGACACAAGGCACGCACCGATGTCCTTCTCAGTTGCTGATGTGAGATATTGTAAGCAGTGGCATTGAAAATGCGAGTTTGCCGGATGAGTCTTAGTTGTGTTCTTCGTAGGGTGAGCCAAATCAACGAAAAATAAGGAGGGACCCGCCTTGTAACAACGTATGGCTGCCTCGTTGTACTGTTGATGAGTGGACTTCCAACGCCATCTGTAGCATTTGTGGACTGGCAAATGCTCGGTATCTGATGGGTCTGAAGCAATGGAATTGAAACTGCAAACGACTCCAAGGCAAGATCAAGAATCGTCTTTTCTTCGATTGTTTCCCTATGCGACGTGAGTTGGCCATGGTACTAAGGAGGGAGAACTCACGGCCGCATTAAAGGTAGCTTCACCGACTCCGGAATCCAACTCGAATAGTTTTTGACGTGGTCAATCAACGAAGGCGACGAGGGGATAAGGAGGAATGCAGCGCGTAAATCTGTATTCGTGTACACGTCTTTGAACCTGTTGGTTGGAAGCTGAAACTTGACTTGGGCCACGCGATGTTTGTCTGTCGACCTCAACCCCCGAAAAATAATGTCAGAAAAGAGTGGGCGGTCGACTCGGACGACATCGGTGTCGTTGATTCCAAACTTTACTTCCACCTTTCCAAACTTTTTTAGTTCCATCACACTTGCCGAAGGTGCAGCGGCAACTCTGGTGGCCGATAGACCCTGCGAAGCTGCAAGCGCGGCCTCCTCATCCTTTGTTGCGCGAAGGAAAACTGTCGCAAGCACGTCGAAGCTATCTTGGTCTTGCAGTAACGGGTAGACTTTGGCGTCGGTTGCATTCTTTGCGGAACCATAGTACAGTGCTTGATGAGGGTGACGGACGGTGTTGACTCCTTTCCATGCACCCATCCCAACTACCCACACGATAAAGCACGCGACAGGAATCGTGACGGCCAAACAGAGGCATTTGCAGAATGAGGTTCGTCTGCGTGGTGGTGGTCCAGGATCAAGGGCGAGTTTTTTTCTCATTTGCCTCGGGCATGAGGGAAGAAAACGCTAAATAGCGCTTATATCCACTTGGTAGGAGTACGGAACCGCTTTCGGCGTCTACAGCGTGTGAGACACATGAGTCGCTGAAGCAATATGAACTTGCTGCGGGTCACAATCAGTCAGATTTCGGTCACCAACTTCTGCGCGGTCAGCACGGTTTCGCATTGGCAGCAGTCTGAGTGAGCACATAAAAGTATATTGGACTACTCCAGATCGTCATTCGGTTCTAACATCGGCAGTGTTGCTGCCTGCCACAACAACGGTAGACGAAAAGAAATATCGAGTAACGGTTTGACCGTCAATCCCATTCGTGCCTGCATCTCTCCGACCACTGGGGGCACGAAGTACAACAAATCTGAAGCACTGCCCAACACCCAGAAGACTACCTCCAGACGGTGACCCCCCGCATATCGGCCAAGTCTACGGTTTAACGAGAACTGGAAGATATAGCCTGTCAGACAGAGTGACGCTGGCACCGATTCCAAATAATCCAGCAGTTTACTCTCTGCCCAGGTTCCATATTCGCCAGGCTGGGGAGAGGGAAGGGTTGTTTCCAACAGGGAGATGTCTTTCAAAAGATGATGTATGACAACAGACACCGCGAAAACCTATTCAGAATAAGGAAAAATCGACTATGAAGGTATGACTGACCACAAATCTGCTTCGCCATGATGTCAAGTTGTCTAATCGCTCTGTAGTGCGTTCTTTGTGATCTGCAGCTGATCGAATTGCGGTTGGACGCCAGCCACGCCAGCTAAGCTTGACACGAAATGCACGATAAACCATAAGAAGTGGTATCACACAGGCCATAGGAACGTTGAATAACGAGTAGTTTGGGTCGCGAAGAGTGTCGATAATGTTGCTGAATAGAAACCCTGGTGCAAGAAACATCACAGCTGAATGACTGATTCCGGCTGTTGAGGTTCCGGTCCACCAAAAATGGAAGAAGAGGGCAACTGAGAAAGCTAAACATAAACCGGAGAAAACTTGCACTCCGAGACGACGTCTAGGGTGAGCATTATCGTGGAATTTATGCCCGAAAGCGCCATCTGATCACCGTCAAGTATCATAAAAAGCAAGGATGGAGACCCCCTTACTCCACATCTCTGCGGTGTCTTGTTGCGAAACTTTCATCAAGTCACTGGCTCGGTAGTCCATAATCTGTGGGGAGACGAAGTTGTCGCCTAGAACTTGTTTAATTGGTGTCCAGCTAGCAAAGGCAATGCGCCAGTGAATATCCATGAACTCTTCGTCAGGCACTACGGGAGAACACTCTTGGCGGTTGACTGGGATTGGCAAAATGTCCTTGCAATGATGAGTGTCGGGTTCAGTGGATAGCGGGAAAGCTTTACAAGGGGTCCAGCCGAGTGCGGCTTGGTGTCTAGGTACGGAGAGTAAATCCATCGCGTCTGTGTGGAGTTATCGGTCGGTAATTCAAGTTCCATTAGCGTTTCGAAGATGCCGTTGGACTTGTAAGTTCTTCTGCACCTCTCAAGACGTTATCCAATGACGGGAATACCCTGCCCACACTGGGTATGCACTTCAGTTGATACGGATAGTGGGGTCTGCAAAGACCTACTGAATGCAGCCTGATCTCATTTCGGACGGCGTTATAAGCTGCCGCATTGAAGAAACCGGTCTCACGAATGATCCTGAGCTGCGTCCTAAAGTTTTATCTAAAAAATATGACCTCAAGTAGAGTCAAGGCTGACCTAGTAACAACATGAGGATGGTTAGCGACACTGGGTCCGTGTTCTCCATTTGAACCGGCAGGGCAACGACTCGCTGAATCATGGAATTCGAGTAACGGCACAGATATGGAGAAAGAATCGAGGGCTTCGTCTGCTAGACTCCTCCTTGCACTGTTTTGTGAACCTAGAGGAAAACTGGTGGGTGATGAATCAAGTAATATGTATTGAAAATTTATGAAAGCTTACGGCCAAGCACGACTAGGCGGTCTTTTGGCAAAGACGGAGTCTGGCATCCACGAAGTAAAACCCTTTATATGATCGATTGAAGACGGAGTCGTTGGCATCAGAACGAAGCTAGCGCGTAGACTCGACTCGGTAAGAGCGGCATTTCGGAAGCTTGAAGTGGGCAGTCGGAATTTGACGATTGTAGATGCATGTTTCTGGTGGAGTTGAAGACCACGGAATACGATGTTGGAAAATAATGGATATTCGTTCTGAATCCTTCGGTATCGAGGGACTGGTATTTTATTTTCTGACGGCCTCGTTGCCCATACGGTAACCGCTATGTCGAATGTTTGGGTATCTGATATAAGAGGGCCAATGACCTTAGACTCTGCGCCGAGTTTGGTGTTGTATAACGAATTATGAGGAAAGCGCAGTTCATTGACGAGTTCAAGAACATAGAAACTTGTTGTGTACGCGAAAAAGGCGCCAATAGGAATGCCCAAGGTCCACAAGAGGCACCTGCATATCGGGCGCAACCGCTGGCGTGAATTCGGAGTGTCCATGAGCAAGTGATCTCATCAGTGGGTGACACAATGTAATGTGACAATCAATGTGTCTTTACTTGAACAACCAACTGCTTTTTCTTGTGTAGATCCATGGCAGTGCCTCAGTTTGGACCTTATCTGGATAGCGACATTCTCCTTGAAACCCCTTCACGTTCAGAAATCCTTGCACTGACCAATGTACAGTTGATGCAGAACGGTGAACCAATTGGGTAGGCTCTTTATCCACAAGTTAGTGTTGCCAAATAACAACGCTCAGTCTGGATCAATCAGACCGATTTCTCGTCAATCCTCGAGGGCAACCCGAAGTTTATTTCACGGGCGACCTGGTCTTGAAACCAAACGACCTTCGATGGCTGAGTGACCGCGGTCTCCGTTACCTCCAAGAAGAGCAAAGTATCACCATGTCAATATCGATAGCTCAATTTGCTATGGCGAACGTGACCGCAAAGGTAACGATAATCTGCAAAAGACAGTCACCCGCCATGTACATGACCTGTAAGTCGTTATTCGTTACTCGTCGTCAACTCACATTCCCCAGCAAATCAGTCAGACGATCTCATAATGAACTCTGTTCATGGGTAGGTATGAAGTGGATCAATAAATCGATGCTGAATTGGTTTTAGGCGGCGTTCTTACCGCATCCAATCTCTCTCCGCAGAGACCCACGCCAATAGTACGGCCTTTCTAGCTCGCTTCCGCTGGGTTAGGATCATACAGCGCATAACGGAGATGCGAAATTTCAGCCCTCCACTGAGCATCGAGGTATTAGTGAAAACCTATCGCGAAATGCATACTGCAGATCTTGCATCTGCCCAACACCGAAAGAGCCAGAAGTTCAGTGCTCCACAAGTCAGCCACGCACAAGTCCGTATTGAGCTCTCATGGCATGCGGCATGGCTCCTGGCATTCTACGTGCAGGGCCAAACGCGGAAAGTCGTGTTAGATGTTGATTCCTGGCTTCTTTTCATCCAGCACGTCGAAGTTCGCCACGAACGAGCACCAAGCAACTCGCTGCGGAAAATGGCGACGACCCTGTGTGAATTTGGTGATACCCCAGATAACTGGTTCAAGAAACTCGAATCGGCGCAAAAACGATCGCAAGCAGTATGGTTTTCGCTCTGCTTGTTCCCCCCCCGTTGATGTCGTTTAGCTTCTGTCCGCATCGACGCCAATACGCCCCGAGACTACCCGGGTCCAGCGCGGTCCCTCTCCTACATATGACTCTGACTTCTCCGAGCCATCTACCCCTAGCTGGTCTGGTCACGACTCGGAAGACGACGAAAGCAAATCGAACATCGTCCTCCCTTCGTGGTTTAGTCTGATGCGCACCCCACCTCAATTCCATCCGACCACGTTTATCTGGGAATGCCCACTTCCCCACTGCGACTACTACCTTGACCTCCTCAGGTGGCCCCGGATGCCTCGCGAAGACGAAACCGAACGATATGTGAGACAAAAACGATGGCGTACAGTCAACGACTCCAAAGTTCTTACAGCGCTGCATGGAAGGGCGTTTGTCCATTTCTGCACCCATCTCAACGTCACCGACATGGAAATTCGCGACAAAGAGGTAATGCCTTCACCTCTCACTGAAGCACACAGTCTGAGCGTTGAACAGGGACGAGTAACTGAACAGGGACTGTTAGCGAGCATCAGGAGAGAGTGGCGGCAAAATCCCGAGTAAAATACGGCAGATATTACGGTAAACAGTAAACTATCAACTAGAACTTGGAAATAGGCAAATCTGGCCAGTCTACCAACGGGCCCGGGTCAACAGAAGCAGTCAGAGTCTTCCTGAATGCCCCGAGGTCGGTAAGATATGTGACGCCCGGTCGAGGTGGGTCTTCTCCCTCACCAGGAACAGGGAATTTAGCGATAAGTCCAGGAACTGTTTTCAACAATTCCTGGCCATCTGGGCTTGTTCCCAATACCCCCAGCCAGTATTTCCCAAAGTCGGTGGGCTCATGAGGCTCGTCGCCGCGGGGGGCGTCTTCTAGAACAGCATCGGAGACCCCAACCAATGCCTTTTCTCGCACAAGGGCAGTGAATGCGTCCGCGGCAGCAGGACTGATCCTGGGTTGCCGCTTCTTCTGAGACCTCATGTGTATCGACAACTTGGCACGAGTCTTCGAAGCTGGGTGAACGTCGGAGAGGAATAGCCTCAACACATCGTCTTTGCTGACATTGGCAATATATTCGGCATCCTTCTCATCTATGTGGCCATGAGCAATGTCATCTTAGGCAAACGAAAACGGACATACTTCTCAAGAAGTCATAGTGACCGCTCATAACATGCGAGGCCAACCGGGTGACTTCCTCGGTGATGTTCTTCTCGCTCTCCGTCCACCGCTTCCTCACGCTCTCCTTGTGTTCCGCGAACGTCTCCGGACTCATTTGCTCGATGGTTGTCTTCATGGCATCCAAGAAAGCCTCAACGCGGTCCTCAAGATAGCCTGGCATCTTCTCGCTTTGGACAACAAACCGAATTCCTTTCTCTACGGACCCAGGGAGAACCCAGCCTGAACACGACACGATGTATCCCAGCTGCTCTTTCGTCCGCAGCACATTGAACGCTGGTTCTTGCAGCAGTTGGACCAGCAAAGACGAGGTTACCCGAAGGTGTTGGTCAACAACGGATCCAAGGTGGACAAAGTACGTGAGGGCAGAGTTGGCCTGATTCGGGTTTGGAATAACGCATGTCCACGTATGGTTTGTTCCTGTCAAACGCTCTCAGATCTATGATCAAATGATCTCTCATTAACCGTACCTCGAGGTAGAATCAATGCGTGCTCGTTCAGCTCCGTTGGCGTTCGACTTGACGGGCTGAGACCGTGCTCCATCGTTTCCGCAATGCGAATCGCTTCCTGAGATAGAAGTCAGCGTAATCCTCAGACTAGATGTTATACTGACATCCTTATAGACATTTCCAGAAACAACAATGCGCATATGGACTTCGGAGAGCAGGAGTCGAATATGCTTCTGAAGTTCTTCTGCGGTTGTAGCTGTTTTAGAGGAGGTAAGCAAGATCGGAGTCGGGGTACAACAACTATACTTGGCAATTCTTGAAGCATCTCTTCGGTGCTCCACTGGATTTCGGAGGTAGCATACCGCGCGAAATGATCAGATAGAGTATAGGATTGTCCGAGCCAGAAATTTTCCAGTTCACGCTTGACCTATTTGGCAGGTGAACAAATGATTGGCGTCCAACATTAAACGTCACCTGTTCTTTCATGATCTCGAGTCGACTAGGATCCACAACTATGTTCTTGATCTTCTCCAGGACTTGTTGGACGAGCACAGACATCTTGTCGTTGTAACCATTAATGGCAACATATAGTCCACCGGAATGGGCGATGAAGCGATATTCAAGCATTGCTAGCGATGCGTCATAGGAGTATTCCGTCAGGGAATCGTTGATGATATCCGCATATAGCCTGTGGCAGTCGTATGTAAGGGACAACGAGCATATAGAAACAACCATACCTCGTTAGAACAGATGCCCGAGCTGTTGAGTTGTCATAAGGGCTGCATGAAGCAATGAACAGTTTCTTTGAAGCCACTGATAAGTTATACCTTCGTAAATCCATGATTGCAAAGGCTTTCGGAACCCAGAATTTGTCGTCCTTCTTGTGCCACAGACTGGACAAGGGAGTCTCCCTGATATGATAGGCACGTTTCGCGGGCTACCAAGCATGTTAGCGAGCGATCTTGTGGTCACTGGGATGCGTGCCTCGGTCACTTCACGTTTGTCGACTTCAACATTGGTCGGAATGAATAGATTGGGGCCAGGGAGATGGAATTCAGGAATATCATTAGGCTCTTGTGCCTAACAGCTAAATCAAAAGGAACTCGAAGAGATGAAATCAATGCGCACTTTTTGCAAGAATTCCGAATCCAGTTTGTTGACAAAGTATTCGGTACCATACCACGGTTCCTTCTCCCAAACTGCATTGGGAGCAAGCTTGAGGTGCTCGTCGGCCTTGGCCATCAACGTGATTCGTACATTTTCGGGCTTGAGCTCCGCCAAATATTCACGAACTTTGGATTCACCGAACCCGTCTTCTCCCCAGTCCCAGACCAAGGAAGAAGAAGAGAGCGTAAGCTCCGGAGGAACAGGACGTGTCATGGATTCGGCAACCCACGTCGCATAACTATCCGGGCGACTCTTCTCCTTGAACCGGAATTTGATTTCAGAGAGCTGGACTTGCTCCTTCTGGTGGAACGGTTCGAGAGTGGAGTTTCGAAGGAGGGACAAGTATTTGAAGACAGCAAGCGCAACCTCGCGATGATTCTCTAAGGAATATTGTCAATCCCTCAAGCAAAGAATGGCAGTCACGTCACATACGTAGTCCGTCTACCGTGAGCGTTAAGGTGATTTTGAAAGCAGCGAGACCACGAGCAAGGTTCTGTGGAGAGCAACCCAGGGCAGTAATGTAACCTTTGTTTTTCAGGTACGAATGAATCGATCCAGGACCCTCATGTCCCACAAAGTGGGAGATGTATGATAGCGGTTTATGGCGCCAAAATGGGGGTTGCCACTCAGCAGGGAAAGATAGCTCCATCGAGCGGAAGGCCATGATAGTTTGAACCGCTACAAATGTCTGTACCATGTTAACCAAGACACGAAATAGGAATCGTTAACGTACACCTTTCTGGTCGGGCCCAATTGGCGACGAGGTGACCATTGGCAACGGGTCCGCGCCTCGGTTAACAATTGGTGAAAACAATCTTGAGGCCATTTCCGCGAGTTCATCCAGAGACTCTAGAGAATATTAAGTTGGGCGACTTAGTAGGAGAGCGACGCTACCTGTTCCGATGACACATAATCGCATCCTGCTCGCGCAGTACTCATTTGACCACCATTCGATCAATCTCCGGCGAGTTTCGCGACCAATTGCACCTCCGTCCGCCTCAGACTCACTCTCTACAGATGAAACAGATGGTGCAGGGGACGCCAAGCGGGAGGGAATGGGCGATGCAGCAAGATGGCCATTGGCAGTCTGGGACTCCAGTCGCCCCCTCGCTTTAAGTCGTTTAGCGGCCTCTGACAGTGACTCGCGATTTCCGCTGCCAAACTTGCGCCATTCATGTCCTTCGACACTAAGATGCTTGCTCAGTTGGAATATCCGCCACATGTCCTGCTGATGGTTCTGCATGACTCTATGTTAGTGGATTTGTCAGGATGAGCTTTGGTGACGAACTTTCTTGTGTTCAGAATCCACCGCATTGAGCTCGCGCGAGGTACACGATGGTGCGAAGAGTGGCGAATGGAAGAAGCCTGAGAAACGCTCCAAAGCCCCAGAGAGGGCGGTGGTAGCAACGTTGAAATGGTAGTTTGTGTTGGACGTTGCTGTGTATGCGTTGGAGCTGCCGTTGTTTTTGGAAAGGTACTACATAAGCACGAAAGTTGGAAGCAGTCGACCGAGACAATAAATGTTCACACACCTCTGAGTACTCATTTTCCTTTGGGAATTGTTCGGTTCCCTAATTTCGAGTCTTTTGAGCCAGGGGTAATCGAGTGTAAGATAGGGTTACCATGAACAGAAGATGCTCGCAAAAGTGGGCCAACCCAGGCATATCATCCTGTGGATGCTTAGCAGCGACTATAGACGCGCGTCGCCACGTACGGGGTCATGCAAGTGGCCAACAGCAACATCTAAGCTCGCGGCAGCTTTATCCGCCTTGTAATCATGAACAAGAATGGCTTCCAGGCCGTTCTCGAGGCGGATTAATCGATAGTCGCGGTCATCTTGAGCGGACTGTTGGAGGGGCTTGTTGAACACGGAGAACGGCGGTGCCGTGGTTGGGTTGACGCGCGTCCAATCGGCGGTGGTGGCCATTCGCGCGCGAATCGAGCTGGTGGCAAGACCGTGAGCTAGTTTAGTCGCGTGTCTGGCCAACATACGTTGGGCCGAAGCACTTTTATATATGTCACACGCGTTACAACAATAAAGTGCCATTCTTCGTTGGTTTTATTCTGGACCACCTTCGCAGTCATTGACCTCCACAGTGTCCACGGCATTAGGATTGCTGCGAGCCGTCAAATCTCCCGGTGTGGACACGATTTGTAGAAGTTGTGTTATCGTGTTTGATCCGTCTTTCTGATTGCAAAAATGTCTCGAAGTCCCAACTGAGCAGAGGGCCGACTGGGAAGTTTTCTGAGGTTTGTGTCGGAATACCACTTGGCTTACAGAGCTTTGCATCATTTGTCCTAAGCTAGTGGTGTGGACTATGCCTGGGTTAGTTGCCGCAAGCAAAAAAAAAAAAAAATGATGGTGATGGAAATGAAAGCTAATGAAAAAGCGACACCAGCAGGATTTGAACCTGCGCTCGGAAACCGAAACAGATGATTGAATATTCTAATCTGTCGCCTTAACCACTCGGCCATAGTGTTGTTGTTCTTGAAGTTCTCCTTGCTTGTCAGATGCCTAGAATAAGCCAGCAAATCATCTACACTATCTAGAAGTCAGTATATTATTACCTTAACTACTCAGCTATAGTGTTGTTGAATTCTATACTATCTTCAACACCAAAGTAGTCTGGTCAAGTTAGTATATACTATATCAGTAAACTAACCATGCTTACCAAGATTCTCTATACCTGTTATTTCAGCTCTCTATCCAAATATTAATCTTTTTTTTGGTTAAAAGTGATGAGCACTCTTATAACACAAGCACTAGTAAATTATAGTCCCAGAATATATATATATATTATATTATAGTTGTAAAAACCAAGCTTGAGCTGCATATATGTTATAGACACTACCCAAGGAATAAGGCAAAGAGAAGGAGACACACAAGGAGCCAGATCAAGGTGAAGGGACTCATGACATCATATGGTAGTCTATGTTACTAATCACATGAGACAGATAAGTATATTCAATGAGTAATTACTGTTTATGAATAACTACTTCTTCAACCAACCCAGCAGATAATAGCACTAAAACTACACTATCTACAAGCAATGATATGATAGGGAGATAAGGCCAAAAGCAGTAATTGCCAAACCTCTGGCAGAACATTGAGCATAACCCTACTTGTTCATGTTAGGGAAACTCCACTTTCCTCTCCTTCAGACCATCTAAACACATCCGAGGCACAATCTTTTAAGAATAGAGAGAAAACATGGAGAGGAGGAAGCCTCTATGACACAGCTTAAGCTTGATTTTTACAAATATCATACATTTTTTTTATAAACCTATACTTCAAGAGTAATTTACTATAAGCTTATCACTTTTAAACAAAAATATCAATATTTGGAGATAGAGCTAAAATAATAGGTATAGATTCAGAGAATCTTGGTAACCATGATTAGTTTACTTATAGCCAAGTGGTTAAGGTGACAGGACAGTGTCAAATGGTTACCTAGATGTTGTATAGAAGAAAATAATATGGCATCCTCTAGATACCAATTATTATCATTCAAGTCAATTGCAAGTTGTTTATATGCCCTTTTTTCCATTGCTCCTTCCCTCCGTACTTTGCAATCACACAAGTGTTTACCTTCTCTTGAAATTTAGTCCCAAGTCCCAATAATCCAATAAAATTACTACAATTACTCTACATCTCTTTGCCTGCCCTTCCCCTTGCCCTCTATGGCTGCAGCCAACCGGGCGATCAAATGGCCCTGGGCCTCGACAATACTCCTCAGCTCCGTGATCTGGTTGCTGAGCTCTGTTTGGTTGTGTGCAAGCTTGCGATTGGAAAGGTCTCCGGATGGAGGGGTAAACGGGTCCCGGCGGGGTATAAACGTTGATGTGATCGGGGAGCTGGGCTCCGAATGCGGCGACTGGCAAACAAGATGAGCTCGTTCCGTCGCGAGAGAGAGAGAGCATACGTCACGTGTCATGCGTTCCCAGACGAGACTGAACTCCCGTCCGAGCACGAAGCTGGGCAGTGCGATGAGGAGCAGGCCGAACACAAGGAGGGGGGAGAGTGACCAGCCGCCCGAGGAATGAGCGCGGTGTGATCTCGCCGTAGCCAACGGTGGTGATCGTGACTAGGACAAACCACGCGGCGGCGGGTATGCTGGCAAACTGCGACGGGTCGCCGTCCGTGTTTATGAAGGTCTCGAGGATGTCGTCCCATGTGCCGCGCTCAGCAAAGTATCTGAAAGCATTAGGTAGTACATAAGATGAGACGATTGACGCACAGTAAGGTGCTGAAGACGGTGAGGACCATGACCACGAAGAAGCCGAGCGCAAAAAGCGCGTGTTGAGATTGTCGGACGGAAATATACATGACTTCTATCGTTCTGTTGAACCGTCAGATCACAATGGTCAGTCGAAACAGAGGGGACAGACAATAGTACAGTATTATTAGACCGGAATGGTCGGAATACACGAAGGAGGCGAAACATGCGCAGAATCGAGAACCTGAAGAAAACGGACTGGAGGGCGATCATTGATGAAGAAGAGACGGAAAGAGTTGAGACCAACAGTATCTTGGGCAAGAATGAGTTCAAGATAATATGGCGCAACGGAGAGGAAGTCGATGATTCCAAAGAAGGCTGAGGCAAGTGAGCGGTGGAAATTGGACCAAAAAGCAACACACAGAACATCCACCGAAAGAGACCCATCCATGTCCCACTCCAGGCAAAACATCGCGCCACGTACTCCATTGTGAACAAAGCTACCTGAGAGTTCATTAGGTTGGTCCAAAACACGAAAAGACAGACGCACTAAGCTCGTCTCTAAACCAAACCAAACGCTTGTCTTAACTTGGTGGAACGCAGGCACAGTTTCCAGCACGGTGACGACGGCAGAGATTACAATGAGGGCTATATGCAGCACGTGTACCATGAATGCCGCCTGGGAGGAAGTCGGTTGCTCGAGGAGTGCAAAGAGATTCCGTCGCCATTCGGGGTGGATAGCTGCGAGAATTGTTTCATCACGGGACGGCCCAAACGAGAACAAGTCGGGTCGCTCGATATCGTGTTGTGGCTGTGGATGGTCCTCTGTCAAGAACCGCGAAGAAACACGCGTGAGCTCGATGGGGGCAGAGGTCATGTAGCAAAAACAAGTTTTGATCGGACTCTGTCCCGTGCCGAAGGGAAATTGGCATCGGCATGCTCTCTTCCCTTTAAACCACCACGACCAGCTATGACTCTTGAACTCCTGGAGGACGCACTCGACAATGTGCTCGAAACTCTCGAGCAGATGCCGAGCATGGTCTCTCAAATCATCGCTGACATAACGCGATATGGCCCTCCCCTGCCGTCGTTTCCCGATGTCCACCTCCCTGGCCACCTTGGGGACTTTGAGATTCCGCCTCCACCACCACCTCCACCACCACCAACATTTATTGAGAATGCTGCAAGCTGGGTTCACGATAACCCCAGGCAGCTTGCTGGGGGGTTACTCGGCACAGGGTTGGTGCTTTATGGGGCTGCCTACATGCACAAGTCGAGGGCTTGGAAGCTATTGAAAGAGAAAGCTACAGCAGAGCGAAGACAAGTCGTCGGTTTGTGCTCTGCTAATCCGATTTATTGGGGCTGACCGCTTTTCAGTCGTTCTTGGTAAGCTCTGGTCGTTCCATCAAGCAGGCATTAATGGCTCTTAGGCGGCGATGTACCATTGGCTCTTCCCCTTATCCTTGACCTGGAACGCAAAGGCTTCATTGTGATCACGAGCGTAAAGACGGCAGATCTCGGCGCTGATCTAGAACGACGAGGCAAGGGCTACGTTAGGGCAATTGTTCTCGACCCAACCGACGTGCGTTTGTCCCAACTCACTTTTACTTTCGTTGACACATTTCACAGCCGTCCACTGTTACCACTTTCCTTCGCTCATTGTCTGCTGCCCTATCCCGTCGATTTCCCATCACCTCTGCCGGCGACCCTTTCGTCTCGCCTTCATCGCACCCGTACATTTGCTCGGTCATTTCCTTGCTCAGTCTTGCCCCACCACCAGTCCATGCTCCTCTAGAACATATTTCCCTTCGCAGTGCATATCTGCCATATCTAACAGCAACCCATATCGTCCCTCTTCAAGTCATCCAAGCATTGCTTCCCATGCTTCGCACTGGTCCATCCCGCATCTCCAAGAAGTCTATAGTTGTTTGTCTCCCTGCCACTGCAGCCCGGGTCGGCCTCCCTTTCAATGCCATGCAATCCATGAGTGTCGCCAGTACCTCACGTGCAGTCGAGGTTCTCCGCCGAGAAGTTCGTATTGCTGCATTGACAGACAAATCTGAAGCAATGAAGAACATCCGTGTGGTCGTCGCTGATGTCGGTGCCTTTAATATCGGTCCGCTCGATACCTTCCTCCCCCCAGGCGAGGTTTACCGCGCGATGGAAGGCTGGAGCTCGTCTGAAAAGCTTACATATGGGCCTTCATTCGCATCGCTATCACATTCTGTCGCTGATGAAAGCAATTCCGCCTGGTTTGACGACAACCAGTCGTACCGCGCCCCACGGAAGCCCACCGACGTGTCTGTGTTTGTCAACAGCATCGTTGGGACTGTCAGCAACGGGCGATTTGGGTTGGGCCTCGGCATTGGGCGTCTGCAGAACTGGCTGCGTGGCGACCGCTTCTCGATCGGCGCGGGCGCGGGCACGTATAAATTCGCATCATTCTTGCCGCCTGTCCTGCTCGATGCGCTTATCAACATTCCCCACATCCTCATCGGCATTCGCAACGCGCTGCTGCCCGCCCAGCCGTTTGTCCGGCCGCCACGGAATCTGCCTGCGGTAGAGAAACTGCAGGCTGGGGCTGCCGCGAAGGCTCAGCGCCAGACTGAGTCGTCATCGGATGCGAGTTTGTCGGAGCATGAGCACGAAACAGGCTCGGAGGCAGATGTGGAGAGCAACTCGGGAATTGACAGTGCGAGTTGGGTCAGCTTGAACAAGAGCACGGCAGACGATGCGTGAGGGAGCGCCGAGCCTATATTAACCCCCCTTCAAGAATGTACGAATATCTGTTGTACTTATATCATTCCACCACTCCTCACTCCTTGCGATTACTTGCAACAGAAAAGATGTTTATCTTATCTTATCTACTCATCAAAACTCGAGTCATCAACAGCAACAGATTAGAAAAGAGACGCCAGCACCAAGCTAATCTGTCCACTCAACCACCATGTACGCATCGCCATAAACCTCATATCTCGCTAACTCTTCCATCTCCAGGTCAGAGTATAGCTACCAGTCGATTCTCCAGCCATCGTCAGCAACTGCGCTGCAAAACTACATCACCCTCCGTCTGCTCGCGCTGAAAAGCAACCCTGAGGCGTTCGGCTCGGTATATGCACACGAGAAGCTCAACACGACAGAGAAATGGCGCATGAGAATCGACAATCCTGGCCGCATGACGTTTATTGCGAGCGTAGGCAGTGGCGACGAAGGCGAATGGGTTGGCACGGCGTCGATCATTTCTCCAGAGTTAGCTGGCGAGGGCGACAACTACCACCTCGTCGGAATGTGGGTCCACCCTGAGCACCGAAGAAAAGGCGGGTGTAAATATTTGTCAGAAAGTATTTTTTCTGATGTTGTGCAGGTGTCGGGAAAAGCCTGGTCGGGAACGCAATCGAATGGGTGCGCAGCAGAAAGGTGGCGGGCGAAAACGAGCCCCAAACCCGCATCATCTCGCTCGAGGTCCACCGGCCAAACGTTGGCGCCAAGGCCATGTATGAGGGGCTCGGCTTCGTCGAGGCGGTCGAGGAGAAGTGCCAAGACCCGAATCGTGTTCCAATGCTGCTCGAGTTGAATGCAGAGTGCAAGTAATGTATACCCTATAAGAAAGAGACAAAAAAAAGGTACTACGGGAGTCGCTTCGTGAGGTCTTGCGGTAGACTGCGCTCTGGCCGAAGGATCCTTCCCAATTTGGGATCAAGTTGGGCAGCACTAAGACTCCGCATCGTATACGGCGGCGAGATGAACTGGTTCTATCAGTGAATTTCCAAAAAAGAGAACAAGTAACAATACCGACCTTGACTTTCTCTCGATGTTCGGCCGTGGCACGCATGACTTCTTTGCTGTTCTCCAAAAGACTATCCACGCACACAAACGTGTGCATCACGTTGAATCCCTCTTCGCGAATCGCCGTCTCCCACTTGTGCCATACTACGGCAAAGAACGGCGTCGCAAGGTCACTGCAAACGCTGTTCGTCGTGATCTGACAAACAAATCAGCCTACGAAAGATCTCAGGAAAAGCAAGGTGGGGCTAGTGACCTGTAACGGTATTAAATGCACCATCTTGTCCCGCGGGTTAATCCGCACAATGACCCCAGCCAAAAATCGGCATACTTCCAAGCCAGGAATACAGAAAAAAGATGACGTTCCTTGCGGTGTCTTCAAGGCTTGCTCAAACATCCACCCAAATGAAAGCGTCTGCCGGAATATATGAATTCGCATTGCTCCACCCGTGGCGTCAGCTTGCGAGAGTCCGCCCGTGGCGATTCGAGTGAGACATATTTGCGTGATGGCTTGACAGCGCATTCTTATCTTGGGCGAGCGCGCACAAGCATACCAAGCGTCTGTAGTGAACAGAGATGTAGGAAGGCTAAGGTCGACGCTTCTCAGAAAGTCGATGACTGCATCACGTGCAATTCCACAGTGTGTGTGACCCCTGCCTTCGTTGTCGAAGTAGAAGTACTTTGGATCCCAGAGCGCGGTATTTGCCCCTGGACGTACTTCGGGGAGAGTTTCAGTCACACAGGCATTCATGATTTGGTAGAACCGCGTTCGTTGGGATTCTGACCACTGTTCAGACTTCATCACAAACTCGTCCACCTCATCGTTGAGATCCTCGAAGAAGGCGCAATTACGATACATTGTGACAGCGTCGACAAGACGGGAGCCAGCGTAGCGACAGAGAGGCTGGAGGAGTCGGGGAACAGCCCCACTCGTATACTCGATGAAGCTGTAATATGGCTCAACAACAGGGGAAGGAATTCGGTCTTGATAGTGGGTCAACCAATGGTTGTATTCGTTCTGTGACTTGTCAACTGGCAAATTAAGCATAGCGATCTGAGGCGCACCTGTGAAAACCCTGAAGGAATTCGAATCCAGGAATTTCGCCTGAAGCCGGTGTCCAGTGCATATGCAGTATAAACCAGAATCTGTGTCCCCGATGCGGCCTTGACGAATTGTTTCATTTCATCGTCGAGCTGATCAAAGCCGTCGACCAGAAAATATACATCGTCACGAGACTCCCTTGCGAGCATAACGAAGTCTTCCAACTTGGTAAACTTGCTGAGCCGATGAAACATCTGCTGGTCATCAGCGAAAGCGAGGGCAAACGCCAGCTTGAGCCAGAAAATCTTGTCATCCGCGATCATCGGCCCATCAGGGATGAACACAACTCGATGGCCTCGGGAAAACAGCACCCCTGCTACGAGAGCAAGTATATGCGACTTTCCAGCGCCGACGGTTGCGAGCAGGGCTAGCGTTGATGAGACACGCAATGTCTCCATTTGTTGAAGAATTTCTTGGACGATGGGGACGCCCATATGAGTGTAGACTGGACCCTGCATCTCAATCGACGTGCGCAGTAGTGAGGGGAAAGTGACTGAGATACAGTTGGCGGGGTTGGCCAACGTCTTCATATCGAATGTCGTAGCACTGAGCTGCGTGAAGAAAGCATGAATTGAATCTGTGCAAGTGAGGGAAGCCCTATCGGCGATTCTAGGCATACCTGGCGTGTGTCGACCAATGGCAACACATCCATGAGTGCCCTCCGAACGAGCCCGTTTGCGTGGGGGTGAATCCTCCATGGATGAGTAAGGCAGAAAGTAAAGGTCAACCGGTGATCAAAACGCCACAAACACGATCACGTGCTGGCTGTAAATATCACGACCAGACGCGAATCCGACTTGCTGTCCAGTGTCAATCATCCGACTGGGTAAAATTAAACGAGTCAACGACATCCATTTGGCTCGACTTCTACCACCACTACATTACAGCTGTTTCAATAAACCTTGAGACTTATTGTTTTTCTTTCGCGCTGGTTTTATTCAGATTTACCTTTGATGGAATGATAAGACACACCTTTTTTGGCCCTTCGACCGCGGCTATAGGCGGCTATGGACGGCGCCGTCACTGGCAGTCCTACTGCCAAGTGCCAACGCGTTGGCTTCAGTCAGCACAGTTTGCGTCGTCGTGCAGCAGTGCATGAAACAAGATTTGTGCAGTATGAACCACTGCTCCCTGTGGCAGAAGGGGAATAGAAACACTTGGTCATTGGCTTGCCTTCAATGCCTTGGCCATTAGCCGCAGTCAAATAACCCAAATAAGGTGCGCGCTATCAGCCATCAAAAATATCTCCGAGCAAGACCTTTGGCCAGAAAAAAACTTGTTAGTCTCAAGGTTTATTGAAACAGCTGTAACTACATTACCATAAATACGCAGCATAATACCATTATCGAGTCGGAATATCGACCCTGTTAAGCGTGTACTCATCGAGTTGCTGGATTTCACCTCATTCCAGTTGGCAAGATCCTTCCCGTACAGATGCAACGAACATATGTAGCAAAAAGTGTTGTTCCAGACACCCCACAGGTACAGTTCCTACAGAATACCTATATATTCCAAGTTGTTGGTCTGGGGTTGGTCCGCATTTAGGACCAATTATTGGTGCCAGGGGTCTCGACAAACTACAACCCTTGACAGCCTTCAGAGTCCAAAGTACGATGTGAATCTTGAGTGTGAGGTTGGAGTATTGAGCAAAATTTGCCAAACAGGTAAGATATCGCCAGATGCTTCATTAATTCGTAATACCACATTGGATGAGGATCAGACCAATCGATTTTTTCAATCAAATAACCCACCTACTTCGCTGAATTCAAATCCACCCATTCACCGATGATCAATGGGCCGCAGAAACGAGAGGCAGAGCCCAAATAGAAAGCAGACAGGAGCCGAGCAGACATCGCAGTGCAAAGGAGTGACAGATCAAGCCTTGAGAGTTTCCACCTTCAAGTTCAACAGAGGAGGTTGCTAGGAGAGACATATGGCAAGAAGACACCAAGACAAATAGCTTTATAATAAGCCGTTGTTGTCGTTTTGACTCCGACAGTTGAGAACAAAGCCTTGTTGTGGGGCCGACATTGTCATCGTGGTCAACTGCAAGTCATCAACGATCACATGACCTGTGACTGTCTCTTTCATCTCTGTGACTTCTCTGTGGCCGATGGGTGTGCTCAGCGCAGGAACCGGATTGTTCGCTTCTAACAACACGAAGGTCTAACACTGTGGCTCGTTCCCAATGAAACCGAGGCCCAGAAACTCGAAGCAATCATGGCTATCCGCCCTCAGGCTGGGACACTTATAAACACCAGCGAAGCTTCCTACCCTCGCTTTGATCCCCATGTCACACTGGCAGCGCTGCCTAGAGATCCAGAGCCGACTCTTGAAGGGATTCAACTTGCCCTTCCGGTTCTTTCCGCTCCGCTGAACGTTGTATTTGACTCCATCGAGATCGGCGACCATTACTTCCGCTCAGTCTATGCTGCTGTTCGACCAAGCCCCGATCTCCTTGCGCTACATGGACATATCCATCAGCACCTTAACATTTCTAGCCCTCGCACGCCAAAATTCCCCCATCTCTCCCTGTGCTATATCACAGATGACCATGCGGCCACTGGAGAACGGACAAGGTACTACGACGCTTTATCGACGAGGACCAGAACGGTAGACGATAGAGTAAGAATTGACTGTAGTCGAGATAAGCCAGCCGAAGAGGCTCAGGATTGGCTAGCTGGACTGCAGATGGTGGAAATCTGGGTTGTTCGGTGCGATGGACCGGTCGAAACATGGGTGATCGAGAAAAAAATTCCATTGCAAATTGAATCCTAGCTCTCTGCAGTACTTAGCGTTGAATGAATGAAGACCAGTGTTTACATCTCACAATTACACCGCCTGCCTGGCAGCCTCTGGTAGCTCACCCAAAACCATGTCACATCGAATCACATCATGCAATAATTTCTTCCTTCTGACCACCATAGTGCCAGCTGGCGCGTTTTCACCTTCTAGCTGTGTGACCCTCGACACTCTACCGCGACCCATGCGTTTGATTCAACCTTATTAACCGACCTCTCCGGCTGTTTCGCCTCAAGTCGTATCCCAATTCAGCGTGTGTGCTTCCGACCAACCACTACTCTCCAACTCCTACATCTTCTGCTCCTCGGAATGAAAATTACCAGGCATGGCCTACTCTGTGAACTCGGGGCCTGGAGCAACTATTCGCGATGAGAAAGTTGCCCTTTACTGTCCAAGGTGGATGGAAATAGCACGAGTTCTAGCTCCGCTCCGGAGAGTGCAATGCGCTTTCGTCGCGGTTCTCGCATTTCGAATTCCCCCACCCAACACTTGTGGGTCCCAGCTTGTGACACAACTTCTGTCGGTGCTAAGCGACCCGACATTTTCTGATATTTCGCTCGGCTGCGGCAAAGTCATTTTACGGTCCGACACTCTCGTAGTCGCTTCTCGTCAAAGTTGAGAGATTCAACCTGACTCTCAATGTCGGTTGATTCAGGCGGCTCCAGGGCAGAGCACAAGTCATACCGCATCAAATTGTCGAGCGCCCGACAGATATCCCCACTTTGGCACTTTCCTTATTGCGCTGCTCACTTTACTATTGTTGGCTTGATCAAGATCGCGACAGACGCGTCGGTGTCCAAATGGGGATATCAAACGATGGTGATGGCAAAAACAATAAGGTGGGCAAGCTGCTATAAGGTTCAATCACCGATTCGTTCCTTCCAATCTTCCTCTCCGCCTTCAACTTGGGTCTCGACTGCCTAACTCGGTACACCCGCCTGCAATGTCGCCAAACAATAACACGATCCCTGACTCGGATGTTAAAACCCCCACAGTCGACCAGCATCAGGATCCTTCCCAGCCCACCAAAATGCCCCGCTGCAGGTCTGGCAGTTCCAAGTCACAGTCCTCCCCTTTGAAACCTTCCGACCCAATTTCGACCGCGTCGTTGTTTACGCCTCGCGCTTTTCCTCCACCTTCTCTCGCGGGCGTGCCTGTCGAGTATATTATTGAGCAACTCCGTAATTATGCACCCGAGTTGTGGGACAAGCCAGAGACTGCAGACTGTACCCTTGGTATGTGGCCCGATCGCGATAGCAAAAAAGTTTAAAGCCTGACTCGTTTAATAGTCATTCCTGTACCACATCCTCCTGGGAAACCATTAACCGCGTTCTCTCCAACGACTGAACCCGGCATAAGTCGACGAGTCACAGAACCAGCATTGAATGCAGTTCCCAAGATTTCCTTGAAGGTTCGTTATCGTATCTATGGCCACAACGGGTCGACTAACCGAATACTAGCTGCATGTCGACTACCTCTGTGCCCACTCCACCCTTCTACGAAGCTTGTTCAGTGGCGCGTCTTCGCTCGACCTTATTAGCACTGCCGCTCTCACGCAAGCGCCGTCGCAACCCACTCCCTCAGGCCAATTTGCCGTCCCCACCAACCGCCTTCCCCGTCTCATGCCATGCTCTCCCGACCACCCCATTCTCTTCCTCCCCATTCCCGACCCCACATCGATTCACCTGCTCATACATTGGATGTATTTCGGCAGCACATCCTTTATCGAGGACAGTCTGAACGACGGCTCGGTTGAGTGGGAGGGCATTGCTCGCAATGCCGAATACCTCGGGCTCCCTGTCGACCTCAAGCTGTTCCTGGGTCAGTGGTACACCAAGTGGGTACACAACCGCGGGAATAGCTATGTCTCTGAGGGGGAAGAGGGGGAAGAAGATGACGACGACGATGATGCGGCAACTGTCTATTATTCTGACGAGGAGGCTGAAGTCACGGACAAGGTCGATTTAGGGGCGGCTCTGGCCGCTGATGATAACGCATCTGACGATGGCGCTGCTGCTCCCAAACGTGGTCGAGCTCGCATTCGCCCCATTTCCGTCTCATCTGCTCATAGCGTCTGAGGACCCCCCCGTTTGGGCCATTTCCTCACCGCTTTCGCCACCATTTCACTTCGAACTTATCATTATTCCCTCCAACCGCTCTCTGCCTCTCTCTCTCTGGTCCGCCTCCAATCCACCAATGGAGCAGCACACCCACACTCCCTTTGTCGCTATTCGCTTTCTGAATCGAACTTTGAGCAGTTCTACAAAGTCATGCCCACAATGCTTCGAGCCACGAGACCGCTTTTTGTTTGGATATACGACTCTGGCCGAGCTTAATTTCGCACTCCTCTGTTTCGTTTATACCGTCGTCCAGGACCAGCCTGTACAAGTAGCATTTTTCACGTCGTATACGATAGCCCCGCAGCATACAGATAACTTAAATGAATAAACAGTAGAAACGGCCCTTGGATACCAGCGCGCAGAGAACAAAAAAGGACGGTTGCCGATGCGATCTCCAAGAACAATTAGGTTCTGAATAGATGGCGCCACGAGGCTCACATGCCGTCCTTGCATGGCAAATTGCCCAGTTTGAATGGTTTGAAATGGCCATCGGGATCACTTTTCCACGAAAGACAATAACGAGGACAACAAAGGGAGTAACAAAAAGAGAACGAAGACAGAGCGAAGGCAGTTCCGTTTGTTGAACCGTGGACAACACATGGAAGAGGATTGATGCGTCCCAGAATTAGTTGGTTTGTAGAACCACAGACAAAGTATTACGACGACTCTACGAAGTGAAGTCCAGGGTATTGACTACGCTTCACAGGCTTTGAAGGCCGGTCTGGAAATGGCCTCGTATCTAAGGTTGGTGGCTGAGAGAAGCATCAGTTATCGGAAAACGAAAACAGAGTTCAGCCCACCAGATACCACTTCCGCCGCATCCTGGGCCAGTCGACCGTGACCAGCCACGGATGTTGCCTGACCTCGTCAAAGCCCCCGCACGCTCCAAGCCTCTCATTGGCGTTGATGGTCAGCAGGCCGCTGATAAGATTCTTCAGTTTTCTGCCGACACGGATTTGCGCTGGCCATTGAAATGGACGAGAATGGATTAGCGCGAACATCTCTTCTCCGATATTAGGGCCCGCATCTGCTATTCTTTGCTCCGGCTTGCGTGATGATTGTGGGTCATAAGGGAATTCGTTTGTGGCCATTTCGTACAATATGACCCCAGCAGACCACCAGTCGATCGCCGTGCCATAGCGGACGTCGGGGGGTTGCCCACGATGGCCATCGATAAATGCCTCCGGCGCTTGGTACATCGTTGTTCCTTCACCATTCGCGAAAGAAGTACCTGGATTGGTTGACGCGCCAGGCTCAGGAACGAACATGGAAGGCCCAAAGTCGCAGATGAGAAGGTAACCGTCCGCTCCGACAAGGATGTTGCCGGGTTTGAGGTCTCGGTGGACGATGCCTGACTTTTCGAGGTGTTCCAAGCCACACATGATGTTGGCAAAGTAAAAGACCATTTGCGCAGGAGTCATTGGACGATTTTGCGTTGTTATGAGGTCCGAGAAAGAGCCACCAGAGCCGTACTCGAGGAGAAAGTAGATATTCCGTTCGTCATAGAAAGTTTGGAGAAGCCCACACACAAATGGATGCCAGTCCATGGTGACAAGCGCTGTCCGTTCACGGGAGTTATCGTTGTCGATTTCAGACTGAGCAACACATCAGTGGAAGGCCGACGCGAATAAGATATACACACACACATTTTCCCGTTGTCTTAAAGCCTTCTTCCCAACGGCCTTGAGTGCAAACACTTTTGACCCACCCTCGGCTGCGGGCCCACGAGTCCGTACTAGCAGGACGCTCCCATTCCCGCCTCTTCCCAGTGCCTTCACACATTCAAGATCGTTGAGGGTTAAGCCCGGCCCACGAGGGTCAGCTGGCTGAATGTCCTTTGGAATTGGAAGCGGGAGCTAGAAAGCTGTAAGGGCAAGGGTATGACTTTGGATACCTGCTCACCGGAGGATAAAAAGGTTCTTTTCCGTCATGAACGCCAGCATAGTTGCGTCGATATCGTGCTCCCAACGTCAGTCCGTCAACAATTCGTTTGTGATTATAGCCAGGAGGGGCTCTGGAGGATATGCGAGGCGAACTTCTGCGAGTCGGGGCCATGGTTCGATGAAAGGACGCGTGGAGCCGCTACCATTCTTATATATGAAGTCTTTGTACCATGACAGGGTCAAAGCGTTCTAGTGTACTAGCGCTTTGGCCACCTTTATTATCAGAGCCAAAAAAACGAGCAGATGCTGGGTCCAGCAAACGGGGAGCTGGAGATGGGGAACTCGTCCATAGTGGTCAGAGTACAAGTTAAAGAAGTCCGACATCCCGTGATCAGACATTCGTTTACAACTTGAACGAGTTCGAACAAACAACACTGAGAATACAGACACAAAATCATTTACACGGGACTTGTCGCCAGCGCCTTCGCAACCCACATGCTAGACAAATTCTCCATCTGTACAACATGGAAATGCTCGATAATAAATCTGATTAAGAGGAAAAAGACAAACCAAACGAGTGAACCCATCCTCTCTTACCACATCGCCTACCAGTTTTGCGAGTTGGCTGTAGGGCATCTCGTATAGTCCCGTAGCTTCACGAAGGGAGTCTGCGATTTTCTGTGCGTGAGAATCTGGATCTGCTGTCGGGAGCGACGAGGGTGGCGGCACTGCGCTTTCTGGCAGGATGGGAGATGGCGTGGGAGCGGGTGGCGGAGACGAGTCTAAAGGTACTGCTGTCTTTTCAGATTCCGCTGGCCAGAGTGACGGCGCTTCAGCTAGAGGAGATAAGCGCGGGGGACCACTGAGTACAATCGAGCTGTTGGGCTCCAAGAATCTGACGGCGGAGGGCTGGAAACGAGAATGCGAATGAGGCTCAGCAAGAATGGGATCTGGTGGTGGCGGTGGTGGTGGCTGGACACGAACTGCTGCAGTCTTCTTTCGTTCCAAGGTGCTTGGTTCGGTGGTCTTGCAGGGGCATACACTACTAATAGCATCGACGAGCTGCTGGGTTACAACGGACGAAGAGAAGGAGACTTGGAAACGCCGATAAACCTGGCACGAGTTAGGACTCTACAAGTCAGATATCGAGGCGGTTTTTCAATCACCTTTTGCGACGCGGAGGACTCTGGCACATAGAGATAGCGCAAGCCAAATGTCGTCTCGCGATAGACGCCCTTGAGCGGAGAGCTTTCACTCTTGAAAACATCACTGAGAGAAGAGAACGAAAGCAGGTCAAGATCTTCCTGCAAATTAATCAGCACAAGTTGCCGGCCAATGACGGCGCACAAGCACGATATCCTGTGGGGCGGTACCAGAGCTATGCATTGTCCAAACAACGCGTAGTCTAAACGACTCTGCTTTCTCGGGTGACATCTTCATATCCAGAATCAAACGCAAAACAGGATTCGTAAAGTGTTGCCATTCAGAGCCGCCATTGCTTTCTTTCTTGTTGGAGTAGGCGCGGGAGTACTTTTCAAGAGTAAACGTCTTGGTTTCCGTCGTCGACGAGGAGGACATGGCAGCTAAAGCAGTATGATTACATAATCAGCGGTTGATGATGATAGCTACAGATTTATCTAGTTACTTTTATGGTGGTTGGACTACGATTAATATTACACGTATAGGCACTCTCAGTTATACCATCAACGACACAGCCAACTCAGAGTCCTTCATCTCCGACTCTTCTAAGCACTCTGACTCGGAGTCTTCTTCCCAAGGGTCCGCCTCCATCATTTCTTGGTTAACCTCGTTGAACGCCTGCAGGAACGAGCTGCCGTTCTCGCTTGTCAACACAAAGACCCCAGCGTGAAGGGCCGCCAATTCGAAGGCGGAGATGTGCGGATTCATCAACGAGGGTCGCCCAAAGTGCTCCACAGCAAGCAGCATCAAAAAAGATGAGGTTAACATGATAACGCTCAGTGCTATGACAGAGACCAGATATATGCCCCATGTCCGGGTTGCGCAGTGTTCACGGCCCTCTTGTAAGAAGAGTCCTGCAAGCAGTAACGTTGCTGGGACGGCGGTGGAACGCACGAAGGAGGCAATGAAATCAGAGCAGTGCCAAGTGGGAGGCTCGTAGTTGTCGTTTACGCGCCACAGAGTCGGATCGATGACCAACGCCCGGCGCAGAAGGGTGTCGAATATATCGGTAGTAAGCAGCGAAAACGTTTCCAGGAAAAAAATGAGCCCTCCGAGCCAAACGCTCATTGGGGAAGTAATGTTCGCAGCCTGCCAACGAAGGTGGTCACGGAGCCAGACATAGGACCCGGAATCCGACCATATTTGCAGGTGTTCCCTTCCCAAGACGTTGAGGGCCAATGCATAGGTCAATAATATGACACAACCCATTGATGCATAGCTCAGCACCGACGCAACTCTGGCGCGATGCCGCAAGAAGATGGCTGGCGCCAGCAAGAACAACATCAAGCCAGGATGGCCGAGTATTTGATATGTGAACATATGCCGCGCGAAAAAGGTGATTGACAACATAGTTTCACGAAGGAGCGGAGTCCATGGCACCGCGACGAGTGGCTGGAGGGCGATTTGTGCGAGGGCAGCAGTCGGAAGAATGAGGAAAGTAATGAGTGACTTCGCGGTGATTTGCGTCCGCAATACGACAGGAGGCATGCATTCGATGATGGGCGCATTGCTGAGGTCAGCCAAGCGACACAGTGCCTCTATAATGCAGAATGCGAGCGGTTTTAAGAGGAACCCGATTGAGAGGAACACAAATGGCGATATGACGGTGTAGGCCAGAGGGTTCTGCCAGTATTGGCCAAGGATAACGCTGACCACATAGATGATCAGTGTGAGAGGCTCCGGTGTAAGATATTGCAGGAGTAAATGACCGTCCACAAACTTGGCTGGTGACTCGGATGCCATGGGTTCTAGGGTGTATTCAATGGCGCCGAAGGGACTTTCGCCATTTATAAACCCGAACGAGTTTTGCACTCAGGGCAAAAGAAACAGTATAGTTGCTATGATCGGTGGTTGCGAAGTGAACATGCGAAAGCGCACGTGCCAAATCAGGGAGTTTCGTCGATCTCTCTGCCTTTCAGTTAGCATCGCCATGGATGAGGCGAGGCTTTCAGTGCGCAAAACAAGCCATCCACCAATCACCAGCATAAGAGACAAACGCTAGCCCACCCCAGTCACCAGTATCACTTCAATTGGATTCAGATATTAGGGCTTCAAGTCGAACGATACTATAAACTACTACTGGACTACCATTATTGACTTGTTGGGCGGCTCCGGCGAGATGCGGCACCTAAGTTAGGCGAATTGTGCAATGGCGGTATTTGAATAAATCCCTAGGCCTGAAACCCATTGTAAATCTGTTGGCCTGCAATAGAGGATATAAGCCTTTCACGATCGTCCGCTTGCGGCTTGGCATCCCTCGACGATCCCTTCCCTCTCCACGATCACGTGTCATACAGCGTTTACCTGCTCTCACCTTCGGCCATCTTGACCTGCTTGTGTTTGAGAGGGTAGAACTGTATGCGTTACTTTGAATTGGGCGCCTGAATTTTTTTTCGGTCGGCTGTCGAGCCTCTGACTCAATTACGTCGTCGTCAACAACTTTCTCCCTTCTCTCACGATGAAATCTTTTTGGCCAGCAGTTGTGTTATTCGCATTCACCCTTCTTTCCTAACTCGTTGCTAGATTCGACTCGCACAAAATTGTGGAAGAATACTCCCCTCTAGAACTTGTCTCCCAGCTCGGCATGCACTGAGATTTAGCACAGCGACGTCACTCCCGACAAACTTGAGGCTCTTTGATGATCCAATGAACGATTTGGTCGCGGAAATGACGCTTCCCAATGGCGCCGTCAGTTTACTCAAAGCCATCCGACTTCCAAAGGACTCTAACGAGCCCAGTACGGCATGTCTCCTCTGGGGCAACACCAAAGACGCGCTTGATGAGAGTGGTTTTCGGCCAACACTTCCCAGCGCTTCCGAGCCTGGAATGTACACCATTGGTCCGAGTACTTTGGCGGGAAAAGGCGTGTTTGCTGCTAGGGACATAAAACGGGGCGAGACAGTTGTGGTTGAGAGGCCATTACTTGTGATTCCAGCAGGCCAGCCACCAGAAGCGCTGGTGGATGCGGCCGAAATGCAATCCTGGCCCTGGTCAGAACTGAAGCCAATGATACTAGATGCGGCACACTTGTTTATCGCCACACGGCTCTCCAAGGATGAACAAGAACAAGTTTTAGCGTTAGACAGCTGCGACGGGTCTTTCTGGAACATCATGTCGCAAAACGCCATCGTCTTCAGCAACCCGCTGCCCGGCAACTACACTGCTGAACACAGCGCTCTTTGTTCTGATATTTCTAGGATCAACCATAGGTATTCTCAGCATTTTGTCGCCATTTTGGACTCAAGCAGCTTCTTAGCTGTACGCCTAACGTTCAAGCATCATGGGATCCTCAAGCCTTTGCTGTTTCTATCCACGCTCTTCGGCCTATCGCAAAAGGTGATGAGCTCTTAATTGCTTATGGGCCTCGTCATTTCCAACTATTCACTCGACATGAGCGCCAAGAATTTTTTGAAAACCAATACTATTTCAACTGCACTTGTCCTTCTTGTTCATTACCCGATGATGCGTCCGCTACGGATGATACGACACGACTAGCCATTCTGACGGATATGGTCAACACAGCAAACGAGATCGAGACGGTTCTTGACGAACATCCGGATGATGGCAGACCTGACGACTTGGAGAACGATCCTGTCGTTACAAGATGGATTGAAGACCGGGCATTGCCTAATGATCATGTGACTGCCCACAGTGAAGCGATCCTCGAGAGTATGAACAATGCCGGCGTAGAGTTGATCGAACTGAAAGTAATCCATTTCAACCGCTTGCTGGAGGCTTACATAGCACTTGGAAACGCGGAAAAGGCCAAATTCTGGGCAGCACGCCTGCTGGAGTTCTCACAGCACACAACTGTGGCTGCCCTCGGAGTGGAAGAGATCGAACGCCATGCAGCCGATCCAGAGAAAATAAAGCAATGGGGAATCAGGAGAGTTTAGGAGGGCGATGCGTCAGGGAGGAGGAGGCGTGGCATTATTCCGATTCAAACGCCCATGTCCTACAAGGTCGGCTCGGGTTGGATGTGCCACATTACGAAGCACGTGATCACGGTCGGTCAACGCCAAAAGACAGATCTAGACGGATTTGGAGGGAGGCAGTCGTTGAAGAACCTTGATGCATCTTGATGCTCGCAAATATTCTTCGCCCTGATAAAGAAATTGTTCGACAGACGGTAACAGCGCGCGGGGCTTCTCGGGACGGATATGTAGATAGTGTCTGGTAGCCAGTCCGTCAACCTTGAATCTTGCTCTTCTCCTTCTACTTCCATGGCGCCGAGCACAACAAAGAAACTTATATTCACTCCAGACGCAATCCCAGCGATGCCTGTCTTCTGCGAGTTTTCTCTTGAAGCTTTTGATGAAGCGGAAAATAACCGAGATATAGCCCAGGCAGCAGTGTCGAATGGAGTTGTCTATGTTTCTGGTAATATTGGATGCACCAACGACTTCAAGGTCGTCGAGGGCGGCATTAAGGCACAGACAGTAAGTCTTTGTATCCCTTAGCGAGCCTATACATATTTTTAGCGCCGTGCATTGGAGAACGTGTCAGTCGTCCTCAAGGCAGCTGGGTCGGGAATGGAACACATCATCAAAGCAAATATTTACTTGACAGACATGAGCGACTTCAGGGCAATGAACGAGGTCTATGCTGAAGTAAGACTCACCAACCACAAAAAGTGACCCTGTCCTAAACCGCCGCAGTTCTTCGATCCCGATAACATGCCCGCCCGCACTTGTGTTCAAGTTGTTGCCTTGCCGCTTGCTGGAGCCGTGTGAGTTTCCTTGGACATTCCCGATTTGCCCTTCTGAGGAAATACAGCTTTGAGATCGAATGCACTGCAGCTGTACCGCAGTAGTAGCCCGACAAGTAGTGGTTGTGTAAAGAGACAAATGTATGACACGTGACATTTTCGGCTCTGTCTGCCTCGAGTCGCGTACGCAATCTAGCGCACGCGGCGTTTTTTTCCTGTCTCCCACCATTGACCCATAATGACTTCGTCCCGACCGGGCTCGGGGTCCCGCTCGTCATATTACCAGTCGGCAGCTGGAAGCACTTCCTCGTCCCGGCCTTTTCTTGCGATGCTAAACCCCAGTGGTCGGCACTATCAAGGGTATACACAAGCCAACCAGTCTGTGCTGGAGGAAGACGAGCAACGGAGTAGCGGTGACGAAGGGGAAGTTAGTCTCAGAAGGCAGGAAGAGTCTATCCCACTCTCGAAATCGCGCCATGGCCACCATGTCTCGTGGGACTCTGGCCCCGCCGTCCTCCACCCAAATATCCAACAAGAGGACAATGACAACGGCGATGATGAGGTCCCCCCATCCAGCTTTATGGTCGAAACTACTTCGACTACAACGAGAGCTTCACGGAGTAAAGGCAAATCAAAGGCCAAGTCAAAGACCTCGTCAACTCCGACTCCAGTAGAATCGAGGTCGCGGCCATTGTACTCCATAGCGGGCAAGACACTTCCCTCTGTATTACCACTGCACACGACTCCTTCTCCTGACTCCGTCCCCCGTTCCGAAAGCCGAACATCCACAAGCAACAACGACCGACCAAATCGGCAAATGGGTGGCTTGGATGCCTACGAACGAGCCTTATGGAACTGGGTTAATGTCTATAATCTGGACGCATTCCTCCAGGAGGTGTATTTCTACTATGAGGGAAAGGGCATCTACAGTATCGCTCTTTCACGAGGGCTCAATCTATTGTGCGTCCTTTATTTGGCCCTCATTGCTCCGGTTATTGAAATAGTTTCGTAGAACGGTCGGATTCGTCATTGGATTCTCCACATTCCTACTCGGCTGTGTTGACTATTCACGCATACGACACGAAACATCCATGAAGCTTTCAGACGTTGTGGTTTCCCGCTGCGTATCCAGATTTTCTGGCTTCACACTCCTCTTCTTCATCCTCTTTATTGCGTTCTACGTCTGGCAAATCGTCGCTTTCGTGCTCAGTATATTCCGACTGGTCGACATGTACAACTTTTACACCCACCTACTCAAGATCCCAGACGAGGATGTTCAGACCATTGCCTGGCCAGAGGTCGTTCGTCGGATAGGCGCGATTCGTGAAGAAAACCCACTCACTGCTCTCTCGTCTAACATTCCCAAAACGAGCGACACGACGACAGCCAAGCTAGATGCGCACGACATCGCTAATCGCATTCTCCGACAAGAGAATTACTTGATAGCACTATTCAACAAGGACCTGCTGGACCTCCGGGTTCCGTTGCCTAATGCCTTGAAACGGTTTGTCGACACGGAAGCTCAAGGCAATGGCAAGATGCTCACCCGCGCATTGGAATGGAACCTGCGATTCTGCTTGATGGAGTACTTATTCGACCAGCACGGTGCTGTTCGCAAGGTTTTCCTCAAATCGAAGAATCGTCCAGCACTAATCGACGGACTCCGCCGCCGATTTATCTTTATGGGAATTCTCAACGCCATTTTTGCGCCGTTCATCGTGCTCTATCTGCTCATGTACTCCTTCTTCCGGTACTTTGAGGAATACCACAAAGACCCTTCAACGATCAGTGGTCGGCGATATACGTCCTACGCGCAATGGAAGTTCCGCGAATTCAACGAGCTGCCCCATCTCTTCTCGCGGCGGCTCAAAGAGTCCCATCCATTCGCCAACATGTACATCGGGCAATTCCCAAACGAGAATGTTGCGCTGCTCATGCGTTTCGTTGCATTTGTCTCTGGTTCCTTTGCTGCTGTGCTTTTCCTCGCCACCGTCCTTGATCCAGACATCTTTGTCCATTTCGAGATAACCCCACACAGAACGGTGCTGTTCTACTTGGGTGTGTTTGGGTCGGTATTAGCTGTCGCGCGGGGCATGATTCCTGAAGAGAACAAGGTCTTCGACCCTGAGTTCTTGATGACGGAAGTTATCGGGTACACCCATTACATGCCTGACGATTGGAAAGACCAACTACACAGCAAGCGGGTGGGTTCAAGCATTTCTTTTCTATTAGAAACTAAAAGCGCGTCAGACCCACACCGCATTCGGCCAACTTTTCGCAATGAAGATTCTCATCTTCGTAGAAGAGCTCGTGTCCGTCGTTCTAACGCCGTTCGTGCTATGGTTTTCTCTACCCGATTGTGCGCCCGCAATCATCGACTTTTTCCGTGAGTTCACGGTGCACGTGGACGGACGCGGGTATGTCTGCAGCTTTGCGGAGTTCAACTTTGAGCGACACGGCAACGTCAAGTTCGGCGCGCCGACCCAGATCGAAGACAAGCGGATGGTGTCGAACGAGGGCAAGATGGAGAAGAGCTTCCTGAACTTCAAGGCGGCGAATCCGGACTGGAGTCCCGCAGATCCCGCTGGCTCGCTATACCTGAGCCGGATTGCGGACTTTAGTGGCTCACAGTTGCCCAGGCGACGTGATTTGGGCCAGTCCACGGTCCAGGACTACGATAGACTGCGACAAAGTCAGCGGAGAAGGGTTGTGGGTGGGCTGGCGGGGAGTATGCTCCATATGTCAGCTCTAGCTGGGCCCCATGCAACTTCGTCATCAGTCTTTGGCAGGGCGTCAATGGCGCAAACAGCCGTTTTGGGCGAATCGGCGGCGAGTATACCAACCACGCCCAAGACACCGAGACCCGAAATTAAGACGGAGGACTTATCGGCAGACGGGGGTGTTGGGAGTGGTTTGGGCGAGTCCTATGTCGATGGGGCCGGCGGAGCGGGCCGGACCGAGCCGGATGAGGACGAAGAGAGGTTGGAGGACGACCGCGGGGTGCTTGGACTGTTGGCGCAGATTTATGGCAGGAGAGAAGGTGCTGCCCGCGTAATGTGATTATCTAGACGAATTGTAATGTTTTTGTCGACGATATAAAAGTACTTGGTGATATTTAATGAACGCGATCACGTGGTATTATTTGAGTGGAGCGGTAGTGCGTCCATGCGGTTCGTAAACCAGCTCTGGATACTCTCCTTGTCGTTTTCGGACGTTTTAGTCCACAGTGAGTGAGATGGGAGGACGTGGCCTTGTCCTTCGGCATGAGCACGAATAGCCATATACGAGTCAAAAGCCAATTTGAACTGCTTGGCGCGGTAAGACTGGTGGGGATGGTCGGTCCTATCGCAGAGCATTCGATAGAACACATGAGCCCTCAGCTTCGGTCGTTCCAGCGTCATCTGGCGACAAACTTCGAGTATGCGCAAGGTCACGACAGCGTTGATGTGTTGCGTTGAGCAAGGCAGGTACCCCTGGCGGATACAACACGCTGCCATCGTTCCACACTCTTTCATAAGGAGGACGCTTCCCAAGCGCGACCCTAGGTATCCTCAGTCAGGAGAAAATAGGACTATTAGATAGTTTACCGGAGATGTCCACGATTATGACCTCGTCGATGCTCCCTTCAACTTCTGTTTCCACTGGGAGCGCAAATGCGCTGGGTATGACTCTATCCCCAATATCAGCGGCCCAGAGCAGGTACATAGCCGTCATTCCAGGTCGCTCCAGCTCAAACAATCTTTCCCGGTTTCGTTTGCTGGCAGTGTATTTCCGATGGTTTTCCTGCCTGAGTGGTAGGTAAGCGAGTCAGAAAAGAGAGAAAGCAGGGGACATCGGCCAGCGCACCGTCTCGCGTGCCGATCCAAGAAGTCTTTTAGCTCCTGCCCCCGCATGTTTTCGCACTGTCGCCATATAGAGTTTGCTACTGGTTTTTAGTGAGACAGCGCGCGGAAGGTATTCACCAACGTTCTCGTTTCCGGTACTCCTCTATTTTCGCGTTATCGCGTGCTATTTCTGCCTGGATTGCGGCATGACCTTTTATTAGGCGCGTCCCTTCCCCGCGTGGATTATCGGGTGTGCGAAGCGCAGGCAGTCTGATTGCTGGACGGTTGGCTTTGCGGCATGCCTTTTTCAAGGCTTTCATCTCGTCGGAGTGCGAGCGTCCGTACATCGAGGAAAGAGCAGTGTTGTTGAATCACGGTCACATGTGATTGATGATTGATGATTGATGGTGTGACCGAACGCGATTTTCACATGCAATGATATAATCTATTGAGGCAAATGCCTTCCACTCGCATTATATTCGAGTATGACGAAAACAGGTATACTTAGCATCTAATTATGATCTTACGGGACCTCTATAATGTCCGAGTAGGCTTGGCTTGCTTCCGAGTCAGCGACCCATGGGGAAGCACAAGCGGGAAAGGTGGCTGGTGCATCGATGCATCCTCATGGAGCACATAGTCCTCATCAAGCTCTGGTTCGTCAATACCATGGCTATATGTCCTTCAGTTCCCCGCCCAACATGAACATTGGCACAATACCTCATAGACATGTGGCCAGGCATTTGCGGGAAAGATAGTGGCTGGCGGCAGCCAATCTTGGCACACATAAAGTCGAGTGCATCAACACAGTTCACGCCATAGCCTTTTTGCTCGAGAGCCTCCGCCGCTTCCGACTCGTCAGCGTCCAAGAGCTGCCAACGGGCAGTTTCCTTCGAGGAAGTGTGGTACATGTCGTGGAGAATCTAAAAAGAGCCAGTAAGTGTTAGAAACTCGCAAGGCAAGCATGACAAACCGCTTTTCGCCACCTGAAGACGCTCTTGCCAGACTTGTGTCGACACGAAAGACATTCGAGCCATGCACGAACGTCTTCCATGTCCTGCAAGGTCGTGCGAACAACATCTAGCTCACAAGCACGGACAATAGCCACAGCCGACGCGACCGCCTCCGGGAAATATGAGATTCGCTGTCCGTCGACATCCCATGGCTCTGAGTCGAGGTTGCTGTACAGCTGGATTTCGTCGTCGTCCTCATCGCGGTTTCTGTGTCCATGTCCAAGGGTCGTTAGACAGGCATGAGCTAGAACTCGAGGGTATCCGATTGGCTCGCTACATTCCGTGCAGCGGAAGAACGTCGTCGCGCGTTCAAGAATGGTTGGATTCTTAGACTCGCCTGAGGGAAGCAAGGTGAGAAGATGTTGCATCTTGGCAAGACGCCAGTCTTCTGAGAGTTCAGGCAAGTCGGCTACAAGAGACTCAAAACTTTCTTCAGACGTGTAGGCAGTTTTGGAACGATCTAGTAGAATGACTTTGACGCTCGGCATAACGCAGAAGTCGATCGCCCGAGGGTTGATCTCGTCAAAAGGTCGCTCGGCAAGATAAGACTTGAGGACTTCAAGAAAGTGTCGTTGCCGGGTTTTGAGTAACACTTTGCGCTTCTTGCGTTCCATCTTCCCTGTGATCTCTTGCATTAGTTGCGACAGGGTGGGTTGTATGAGCCTCCAGTCTGGTAATGCATGGATCAGTTGCAAGCCAAAGTCCAACACAGTCGTTGTACCCTCGTCAGTGAGCATCTCCACCGATTTGACAAGCGGATGTTCGGAAAGTATCGTGGGTGAACTGCTATTGATATATTCCACCTGTTCGCGGTATCCCATCTGCTCCAGACGTCGACAGATGCTATATGGTGTCAGTCTTGCTAGAACCCTAGCGTAGAAGGTGCATCGTACGCGTCCTTGCGTTTACCACGTGCAGCGTCTCGTTCCGCCATCTTTCGTAGATCTCTTCTTGGCCCCGCCTTGACTGCGAGAAAGGCGTGCTGAAAACTAGAATCAGCGAAGATTACTGGTCAAAAAACACCGGACACACATCTTGCCTCTTCTTCACAAAGTCTTTCCGACTGGTAATGTACTCATCGCGTTCAGCGTCTTTCCCTTTCAGCTGGTTTATTTTTGCAGTAACTTCTTCCGCATCTTCGTAACTCGATACCGTTCCTGAGCAAATATCAGTAAGCGTGTCCTCGCTTGGCAAAACACAACGACATACGTGGGTATCCCAACGATGTGTTGACATCCGCTTGCAGCACGAGTTCGTTGCATTGCTGTACTTGAAGCCCAGCCATGGTCTGGATCACTTTATAGTAGTCGTCGAAGCGGCTGTAGATGCCTCAGTTTGCGTTGAACGTCAAGCGGACTACGCACCGTTCCTGGAGACACGAACCACATAGTCGCGTCCTGAAGGCCCACAGAGTAAGCTCGGTTTTCGCCAGACATGCGTGGCAATGCTCTGAGAATGCTAGATTGACATATTGAGGCTCGTTCATGTCGTCTGGAAGTGGAGGCAGATCGGGGTCGTTCCTCAAGGCGGCGGTCCAGATAAAGCGTGCCGAGCGCGACATGATGTGGTTGCGCAAGGTTTTAGTTGTGCGTGCCAAGTTCAGGACGTCGAGAGGGTCGAGATGAGAGAATATCTAAGCAGACATTAGTTCCCCCCTAAGTTAATGGCTGACGGGCTTACCTCAAAGAGTACATCTAGAGGCATTTCCTGGAGGAGCTTCAGTTTTCCTCGAATTATTACGCTCTTCTTGGGCAAAGTGTAGCCCTTCTTGCCACGTCGTTTCGGAGGCATGAGTGCACAAGAAAGAAAGGAGAAACGCGTGATCGCGTGCTGTCACAGTGTCACGCCAATTGTGGAAGGCTTGCCGACTGAGCGGCCCACGTCCCAACTCAGATCTTACCACGAACCGTGGCGGCAGTTTTCCGGTTTCAAGGGAATAAAAAGCCCGCAATGGAACAGCGCTACTTCAATGTCTCAACTGGCACTCGTCTTCGAAGGTAGTGTGGACAGCAATAACCTGGAGGCTAAGCTGACGTTGACTTGAGCCCGGGGTAAACATGTACTCAAGGAAATAGCCATCCCTGAGCCTTCCTCTGGACTGTTACAAGTTCGAGTAGAAGCTGCCGCGATCAACCCTGTGGACGTTAAGATTTTTGACAACGACCGTCGTGGTTTCGTGCAGCATTATCCGACTGTTCTTGGTTGGGATGCAGCAGGAGAGGTCACTCAAGTTGGTCAGAATGTGGCCAAGTTTAAAGTTGGAGATCGCATTGCATTTCTCTGCATCCCAGGCTTCAGTCGCGATGGAGGCAAAAGTCATACTTGTCGTGGCGCCTTCCAGCAGTATGCATTGGCGGACCAGCGATTCTCAGTGAAAGTAAGCATTAGTCTACTCATCGTTAAATTCCACTCAACCCGCTCCAAGATCCCCGCCGATGCTGATTATGCCTCTGCTGCCTCTTGGCCCATGTCGAGCAACACTGCAGCTGGCTCACTCTACAAACACTTCAAACTGACAGAGCCCTGGCTTTCTGGGGGTGAAGGGGCTTATAAAGGTGAAAAAATCTTGATTCTCGGCGGCAGCTCCTCTGTTGGCGCGTATGGTAATACCTTTCATTCATTCTCAATCCAATTCACTCATTTTCCCGAAGCCATCCAGTACGCTGTCCTCTCTGGCTTCCACGTCCTCACAACTTGTTCGCCCGTCCATTTCGGCTACGTCAAATCTCTTGGCGCTGACGTCGTTATCGACCGTTCCGCGTCCGATGTCGCCGCTCAGATCATCGCCGCTGCCAGTGGTCCGCTCAAATTTGTCATCGATGCGATTAGCATTCCGGTTACCCAGCTCCTGGCTACACAAGTCCTCCAGGAGGCCGGCAAGCTGAATCTCATGCTTTCGCCCGATCCGTCTCTCAAACATGTCCTCGACGCCAAGAAAATTCAGCTCCTTTGGGGGGCAGGGATGCAAGGATGGTACATCAGTGAACCGCTTTGGGATGCAGCAGAAGTACATCTTGCGAGTGGTCTCATGAAGTTCAATCATGTCACGGTGCTGAATGGTGGACTGAACGCTTGGGAGACGGCATTTGAGATGCATCGCAAAGGCCAAGTTAGCGGGACCAAATTGATTTTGGCGCCTCAGCAAACGGTGCGGTAACGCTGAAACTGTAATAGTATGTTGAATTCTGGTAGACAGGTACATACTAAGGCAAAACTCTGATCTAGAGTCCCTGGAAGGAAAATTTCCGGTCTACCGTCCTGTTTCCGATATATCTTATCTTTGCTTCCGTATCAGCCTAGATCAAACCTCCTAAATCTCGCATCAGTTTCCGAAACTGACTAGTTCCTGCTTACGATGACCAGTGGGCCACTCCCTATTAATCATTGTATAAAATGACGGGAAGGTGAACCACCCTTCTTCAAGTTGTTGCTTTCGACCTCCACCATGTCTGTCGGTGTCTACGATTCCAAATCCCTCCAGCTTGGCTGCCCCAGCCTCTGGTTCTACTTTGCCCGCGAGCAATTCCTTCCCAGCCGACCCAGTCTGCGCACCGGATCACAACTCGCTGGCAAGACGGCCATCATCACGGGGAGTTCCACAGGACTCGGCAAGGAGGCTTGCACTTTGTTTCTCAACCTCAAATTGTCACGTCTCATTCTCGCAGTGCGCACTGTGAAAAAGGGCGAGGATGTTGCTGCCGAGTTGCGCGTCAAATTCCCCCATGCGAAGATCGAGGTTTGGGAGCTTGAGATGTCATCCTACGACTCCGTCCAGGCTTTTGCGAAGCGTGTAGACGCCGAACTCGACCAGTTGGATGTGGCTGTCCTCAACGCTGCCCAGGCGTGTTTCGACTACGCTACCAGCAGCACAGGTCACGAGCGTGTCATCCAGGTCAACTACCTCTCCACATTCCTCCTCGCCATTCTCTTGTCCCCCATCATCAAACGTAAACGCGCCCCCGATTCCCCCGGTCGTATCACCATCGTCGGCTCTGGCGTTGCATACTACTCCAAATTCCCTAATCGCAACAGCGTTCCATTACTCCCTTCCTTCGACACCGACAAAGACTGGGACTTTGACGAGCGGTACAACGTCTCCAAGCTCCTGGGCCACATGGCTATCCTTAAGCTTGCGCACTATATCGATCCCAAGGATGTCATTGTCAACGTCGTTAACCCAGGCTTCTGCAAATCCGATCTCGCCCGGGAGGCTTCGGGAATGATGTTCGTGATGTTCACCCTCATGAAAACCTTTGTGGGGCACTCTTCCGAGGTCGGTGCGTCGACCTACTTGGATGCGGCGGTATCCCAAGGGAAAGACTCGCATGGATGCTTCATCTCTGGCTGGGCAATCAAGCCGTGAGTCCCCAGTTTGGAAGTTTGAACTCTACTTACAAACATTCTCACAGGTTTGCGCCACCGTTGTACTCGCCAGAGTTCCGCCCCGTCGTAGACCGCCTGTGGGATGAGACGTTGCAGGAGTTCGAATTCGCCGGAGCCAAGCAGATTCTGGAGCACATGAGGGACTAGAAAAGTATTTCTGCCGCAGTAATTAGAGCTTATTATCAGCCTGAATAGCAAAATTTAAAGCGCAGATCGGATGCAAATATTTGATCAGAGTCCAAACACCGAGAAATCCAACCAAGTTCACGACCCTGCTGCTCAATGATTAGATTGCCGCTATACATCTGTAAGTATGTCAAGTCCAGATCTCATCCTACAATCACAGCTCTGCCCTCTCCAGGCCCTTCCACCGGCCCTCCACACTCATTATCCTCGCCAACCGTGCATGGTTCTCAACCTGGACCGGCTGGTACGGTATGCTCTCCCCGTCAATGCTGATAAACCCGCTCTTCTCGCGGGGGGTACAGCGATAGACCTCCACCTTGTAGTAGTACACGTCGGGCAGCCGCATAAAGCGGCCCTCCTCCTGGCCATCCATCCCAGTCAGACTGGCGAATGCGCTTCGGGGCGGAACGATAACGACGTCAATCAGCCCGTCGTCGTCCGCCATGGGTAGGATCATGCTGTCGCGACTAAGCCAGGGCAATTTGCCCGCGCAGACAAACTGGACCGAAGTGCGGAAGGTATGCCAGCCAGGGGTCAGCGGAGCGGTGATGCTTGTGTGGATTGTGCCCAAGGGAAGCTGGGAATCCGTGCTCCCAAACGATAGTGGTGGCATTTGCGCGTCGGTGGGCGGTAGTGTTGGAGTGCCGCTCTCCCGTATTGGCTTTGTCTCCCGCAAAGTGTTGTAAGCGTCGGCCATCCGCCGTTTGTCGCTCTCGACGACCTTCATCGTGATCTCCACTTGGTATTTCGCGCCAGTTAATGCCCCCCCAGATGTACCCCAATACGAATCGAATTCCACCAACGAATCGAATCCATTCGGTGCCCATGTCGAGGTCTGCCATCAATCCGAATGCTTGTGAGAGGAAGCTAAATCGCCGGGTTGAGCCTTGCGATACTGAACAGATATCTAATGGCATCGGATGGCCTGCATATATTTGAGCAAAAAAAGAAGTAGAAGGGATCAGAAAAGACCTTTGATGGCATTGAGGACAGCAAAGCTAACGTCGTCGACCTTGTCTGGCCCCATGAGGTTGACCGAAAGCGCATTCCCACTGCCAGCTGGAAGCGGGGCGATCGGGATTCGTAATGCTGTCCGTGCATCGGGACGACTGGCCAGTCCATTCAACAGTTCGCTGACGATACCGTCTCCGGAAAGCGGGGCAAGAGCATCATAGAGGGACAGATCGAGGTTGCGGGCTACATTCGCAGCGTTGGTCGGGGAAGAGACAGGGCCGGTATCTACCTAAAATCAATGAATGAGTTGTTGAGTAAGAAGTAGACTCACATTGCACATCGACAACACTGCCTGCAGCAGCAAATATCGGCTCGACTATGTCTTGCCAGAGTGTCTTTGCGTTGCCTTGGCCGCCGTGTGGGTTGACGAAGACAAGGAATCGCCGTTGTGGCTTTATACCTACAAAGAAGGTCAGCAGCATGAAGACCAACCAAAGACTGCCCACACACCTTTATATGCTCGCGTTTGGACAGTCTCCACCCAGTTGAGCAGCGCAACACCGTGTGCCGCAGTCACATCGCCCGATATCTGGCGTAGGCGTAGTTTGTTCTTCTTTCTTGTCGACAAACACGAAAAGTCGAACACGCTACTCCGTCCGCCAGGCGTAAGCGCGACGGAGGCAGAGAGCACATGCAGATACGGGACGAGTTCGCTGTCTAGAAGACGATGAGTGCTCGGATTAGATAAACCAGGGACCAAACAGACGGGGACGGGAAAACACGCCAGCTGCTCGTCGTCAATCGAAGCAAGTGGCCCAAGAATATGTGTGTGTACCTTTGGAAATAGCAACCCTCACACCGTCCTCTTCTATTCTCAAGCTTGTAGTCACCCCGTTCTCCGAAAATATCAATTCTAGCCCGTCATCAGACAGCCGCGACGCAGCCTCTTGCGCGAGCGGCTCGTATTGTGTGGCCCGGGTTGGCCAAAGGAACGACAGAAAAGACAAGAGGGCGACCATGAAGGGCGTTCAGCCCAGAAAAAGTGGGGGATGACCGGAAGAAGGCAGCGTTAGAAATCACAAGCCATCCCGAATGATATAAAAAGCGAGCGAAAAAAAAAGTACATTTATACTACACTCTTGACCGCCTTGAACTTGATCTTATAACTTCTGCTGCTCTCGTCCCACTCGGCGGGTTATAGGGCGACATTTTCTCCTGCTGCGTCAGATCATGCTTAACTGATTTTGCCCTGGTCCCGTTGAGCGGAAACGATTCGGCACTCGATTCTCTTGAGCGAATGGTGGACCAACGACCGCTGCGCAGCTCAGACCCAAACCGCAAAGGTCCAGCAGAAAATACATCAGGCGAAAAGTTTTGCTGTTCGTGTACCCGTCGCCCAGTCGTATAGCTGATGGGTGACTTGGAATCGCGAGTTCCTTCTGGTCGTCGACTACCCATTCTTCCGCTTCGAAGACTGCCCAGAATTTCCCGTGCTGAATCGCGTGGGTAAGCGGTAGGCCTTGGGACTGGAAATGCCAAATCCGTTTGGCCGTCGTCTGTCTCGAGTGACTGCTGCCGTTGAACAATTATACGAGAGTTCGTGGGGACTGGAGGAGGGGGCATAATCTCTTCTTCTTCTTCATCCTGTGGTGGCTCTTCGGAAACGCCACTCACATTTGCCAGCAGTTCCTCGACGTTGTTCTCTTCTGCTTGTGTTTCTGACTGACCCTGTCGCTCGTCCTCAACAGCACCCTCTTGTTCAACCCGCTCATCATTCTCAACTACAGCTTGTAGTTCCTTACCCTTCTTATTAACACCCCTGCGTCTTTTCTTGCCAGCCGTGACGATATTATCAGCCACAGGCCCGACAGATCGGGAACGGGACCGGGTATTTCGCGCAGGCATATCGTTCATGGGCTTTTCTTTGCTCAAGATTTTCGCTTTGTCTTGACGTCTTTTCCCTGTCGGTTTTCGAGGCGCAGGCGACGGCGACGGTACAGGCTGAATATTATCTTGAGCTTCGATGGGAGGTAGCTGCAGGCTTGGTTCGACTGGTGGGTCAGAGAACAAGGGGTCGTAGCTTTGAAAACTGGGGGATTCTTGAATGGCTCGCAGCGGAATGAGGAGAGCAGACGTACCGTTCAGGAGATTCTTTTTGAGGTTGCGCTTTCTGTTTTCCCTTGACCTTGTTTTTGTTCTTCTGCGTGATTTGCTCTGGCCCTTTGCCCTTGAAAGGTGGTCTTGGATCTGTTCGTGGACGCTTCGGGGTAGGTTGGGATTCATGCTCTGATATTCGTCGCTTGAGGTTTGAGGGTACCACCTCTTCTTCTTCCTCTTCCTCTTCCTCCTCTTCTTCGTCTTCATAATCATCAAAATATTTAACTCGTTTCACTGCTCTTCGAGAATAATCGTATCGCTGATGTGGTGCAGTCCATTCGCTTGCCCGCAAATTCCGGATCTGTGCATCGAACCAAGGCTGATTTTTCTTATATCGTTCGCGCCAGCTTTGCCAGGTGTGTCGCTTGGCCCAGCCATATTCGTCTGGCATGACGACAGCCTGGATATATCTGAGTCTAAGATCTCAGGAAGGTTAAGACCCACATTCTCCACGAGCCGCTGGTAAACAGCGTTGCCCAGTCGTCCACCGTCTGACTTGTCGGGTATGAGGACTCCCAAGTAATGGATCAATTTGTCGTCGTCTTCAGCACTAAACTCGATTCTCCTGTGGACGAGATCATTCGATAGCCACAAGCGAGAAAGAAGAGGACACACATTCTCCCCGGTCTTGTGGCCCCACCCATAGCTCTTTGGATATACACATGTTGACAGCTTTCGGTCTTGATGCATTGGTTGACCCACCCCATCGCCTCCACATAAACACGGGCGAGTTGGGCGTTCGAGTGCGTCTTGTACGCGTGTCTCAGCTTGTCGCGATCCCCAGATGCGGAAGTCGGATCGACCAGAATAACGTCAGCCTCCTCGTCAGTTTCAACCACTATTCCGCCGTGGGTCTCCAGCTTGTCCTGTAGCGCCTCTCTTGCACCCGCGTTGTGGAGACTCTTGTGGAAGAAGAAGCACATAGGCGCCCCGTCGTCGTGGGCGAAGATCGCCCTCCGGAATCCCTCAAGCTCTTCATCGTCGGACATGGGTGCTGGTGATGGTTGATGGTAAGTGTGAAACGATCACGTGAAAGTCACGACTCATCGTTTCTCGTTGATCAACTCCACAGATTTTTGATCCCTACATAAGAACGATCTGGACACACTGCATCCCACTGCCAAGGCCGAGGATCTCGAGCTAACGCTTCAGGTTCAGTTTCACATGCTATTCCCGCTGAACCTCCTTTTGCGCTCCTTTACTCAGTCTCGGGAGTCTATAAACTTGAAACGAGTGGCAATCGTACACCTTCGCTGGCCTTGATATGGCACGAAGTGTCCAACGCACCAATTCGAAGCCTGTAAACCTCCGGATTATAATGCCTCCAACTCTCAAAGGCGCCGATTCCGGTGATTCGTCAGACACTCGTCGACCGGCACACAGTGCAACGCCACATGCCACATACGAGCTGGGCCTGAAGCTCGCTAGTCGAGCAACCGGGGCACCTGGCGTATTCGAACTTCTAGATCAAGTGGGTTCGGGTAATACTTGCATCCAACGCTATCTAAAGGAAATCCTTCAACCTTCCAGCTTCGAAGCGCCAACACGCCAGCCGCGGCGACTGAAATACTCTCTGAACTTGAAGCCGCATGTGGCACTACTCGGCGGGATCTAGTACGAACGCCCTCGGTGTTTGAAGAGCGTAATTGGCGGCCAGGGAGTGTTGTGGTTGAAAATGGGTGAGCATACGTTATAATCACTGTTTCGTTCAAGGGTTTAAGGACACCAGTCAGCGTCATGGACGGATGTGCAAAAGCTGCAGACCGTACGGCACGTTCGATTGGGATGAAGAGATGCAAATCTGAATCTGTACACCAATCCATGCTATTCAATGTTGTTGTTACATTCCTCTTTTTGAAACTACACCTTTCACACATTTTTCACTACAACCTGCAGACCACTCGCAGCAGACAAGACTGCTCTGAGACCGGAGCCGGTGATATCGGCGTCCGCAGCAACGCCCCAAGCGCTGCGCTTCTTCTTTCCGGCTTCCTCGTAAACGAGCTCGACATACGAAGCAGCGACGACGTCTGCGCCCTCTCCCAACGAGTGTTCAGAGTACTCTCGCAAGGTCAGAGTGCCCTCGATATGAGTGTGTAGTGCCGCAACCATGGCTGACAGAGGTCCGTTACCCTGCCCACGAATGGGTCGCACTTGGCCGTGGAACGACACCTCGCCAGTGATCAGGCGACCGGCTCCGTCGCCAACATGCTCCATCTTGAACGATGGCAAAGCGATGGCGGGTTGGGCGGAATCACCAAGGTCGAATGAATATGTGTTCCGGAACAAGTCTGTCAATGTGCCAACAGATATTTCTCCGCCCGCATCTCGCGCCGAGCGCTGGACAACCTCGAAGAATGCCGCTTGGAACCGTCGAGGGAGCTCCAGGCCAAGCACGTTTACGATCACACTCGCAACATCGGCTTGTCCCGATTTGGCGTTGAACCCAACGGTCAACTTCAGCTCGGGCAGGGCACGGGCACCGATATAGTTATTGACTGCGCTCAGGACAGCACGCAATCCAGAGCCCGCGATGTCTGAGTCCGCGCCGACACCCCACCAGGATTCGGCTGATTTGCGGTTGCCGCCCGGGACAAGCTCAACGTAGGTAGCAGCCTTAGCATTTTGCCCGTCTTCCTCGTTGATGATGTGCTCGCTATACTCGCGAAGAGTCAGGTCGATGTCAAGATGTGTCTTTAGGGCATCCAACAGTGCCGACAGGGGTCCGTTTCCGTCGCCCCGAATGACGCGCAAGACACCATCGACAGAAATCGTGCCATCAAACCTCCTCCGCTCGTCATCGTCCCCAGAGAGGTCTGACGGGTCCGCGACCGGCTCGCTGGAGATTTTGAAGTTGCGCAGCGACAAACGGCCCTTGTACTTCGTTCCCCCGTAATGATATGTCTCTCGGAAAGCAGTGGTAATATCGTCGACGGTCATTTCGCGCGCCTCGCGGTCTGAGATTTCCTGGACAACATGGTAGAACGCAATTTGCAGCTTGCGAGGTAGATCCAAAAGCAAATGTTGTTTGATGAGGTAAGCGATACCGCCCTTGCCAGATTGAGAATTGACACGAATGACAGCTTCGTAGTCCATTCCCAGGTCTTTAGGGTCGACGGGGAGGTATGGTATGTCCCAGTATTGGGGCTCGCCAGTCTTCGCCGCTTGCTCGTGCCGTATTTTCTGCGCCTCGAAGCCTTTTTTGATGGCGTCCTGATGGGATCCAGAAAACGCGGTAAACACGAGTTCACCGGCGTAGGGATAGCGCGCAGGAATCGGAAGGTCATTACATTTCGTGACAACGTCAATGACACTCTGGAGGTCGCTGAAATCGAGGTTGGGATGGATGCCCTGGGTGTAAAGGTTGAGAGCAAGATTGACGATGTCCACGTTGCCAGTTCTTTCGCCATTACCGAATAGACACCCTTCGATGCGGTCGCCGCCGGCCAACAGACCAAGTTCAGCAGTTGCAGTGCCCGTCCCTCGGTCGTTGTGGGGATGGATACTGACAATGACCTTTTCCCGCTCAGTGATTTTGTTGCAGAAGTTTTCGATCTGGAAGAAGTTAGGGACAAGTTTGAAAGAAAACTGTGCCCACCATGTCCGCATAATGGTTAGGCGGAGCAATCTCAACTGTGGCAGGTAGATTGAAGACAATGCGGTCATCGCCCGTTCCAGCCTTTCCCCAAGCGGTCTTGACTGCCTCACAGATCTCAATGGCGAAGTCGGGTTCGGTCTGGGTAAAGGTTTCCGGGCTGTACTCGTAGCGGAACTTGGTGCCGTATTTTTGGGCAAATTCCTCGGTCAATTGGCGGACGATTTTAGTGTGACGGACAGCCAGTTCGACTGTTTGTTCTTTTGAGTTCCGGAAAACGACGTTTCTGAATGTCGGAGAAGTGGCGTTATACATGTGGATGATGGCGCGTTTCGCTCCAGCGACTGAATCAATAGAGCGACGAATGAGATCCTCCCTGGCCGGGGTCAAGACCTTGCAAGACACTGAGAATGCTGTTGAGAATATGATAAATAGCACTCACTTGTATCCAGACATCGTCTGGTACTTCGTTATTCTCAATGAGACCCCGAACAAAGGAAAAGTCGGTGTCGCTAGCTGCAGGGTAGGCAACCTCAATTTCCTTGATTCCACACTTGACGAGTTCACGGAAGAAGAGGGTTTTCTGTTCTATCGTCATTGGGTTGGCAAGTGCCTGATTTCCGTCGCGCAAGTCCGTCGACAGCCAGATCGGTGGAGCACTGAAGGTTTTTGAGGGCCATGAACGGTTGGGGAGAACCAAGGGAGTGTAGGGTCGGTATTTTTGTGAGGGATCGGGACTATTGGCGTCTTCGTTTGAGTGCGAGCTGTAGTGGTAGGCAATAGTGCTAGACTCACAGCATAGGCATGGTCGTGGATGGGGGTCAGGAAGAAATTTCTCTAAATTCGGTGGAGCACCGGCCGACAGGGCCGAGATCGTCATCGAGTCACGTGACGCTTCTTTTGACTCGATTTCGATTTGGCCTTTATCTGCTTTATCGATCTTTCGCAGTCGCGTCCATGGCGTTGACTTTATCGTCTAAACAGACTCCTTTCCCCTACGCTGCAGCCGCTGTTGCCCTTTGGTCTGGCAAGGCTGAGCTCGTCTTTGATGAAAATGTGACACTTGAATACAACGGCCTCTCTGATGAGGAGCAGATCGTACATTCGCTTGTGCAAGTAGAAGATAGTTCGAAGGTACTTGAATGTTTATTTACAACTTTGCTCTAACCGAGGGCAGTCTCCTGCGTTCTTCGCGCTTGCAAAAAATATTTCCACGCTTACAGTTGTTCCCCAAATTGTTACTGCACTCGATACTCTCGACGACCATTTCACGTACCGGACATTCCTTACTGGTCACAGCCTTTCCTCGGCGGATTGGATGCTCTGGGGCGCGTTCAGAGGTGTGCAACAAAGCATCCAAAAGTTTTTTTGACGATCAACTCTATTCGTAGGAAATTCACGAATCACTGGAATCCTCAGGAACAACAACCATCCTCATCTTCAACGATGGTTCTCCCACATCGACTCCCTCGAGACATCACAAAACGTCCAAACCAGTCTAGCAGCGGCAAAGGCCCATAAGGCGCGTACAACAAAAACCGCAGCCTCCTTCGCGTTGGGTCTGGCCAATGCTGAAGACGGCAAAGTCGTGACGCGTTTTCCGCCCGAGCCCAGCGGCTACCTCCACATCGGCCACGCAAAAGCAGCTATGCTCAACCAATATTTTGCGAAAATGTATAACGGCAAACTCATCATCCGTTTCGACGACACCAACCCGAGCAAAGAGCGTACCGAGTTTGAAGAGACCATTCTCGAAGACTTACAGCTCTTGGATGTCCACGGTGATGTTGTCACGCATACATCCGACCACTTCCAGAAACTCTACGACTATGCTATCCAAATGATCAAGTCTGGCCACGCCTATGCGGACGACACTCTTCAGTTACAAATGCGCGACGAGCGGATGAACGGCATCCCGTCCTCCCATCGAAATGACTCGGTTGAATCGAACTTGGAGCGTTTTGGCTGGATGTCGGAGGGTTCAACTGAAGGCCTGCGATGGTGTCTCCGCGCCAAAGTCAGCTTCGACAACCCAAACAAAGCAATGCGAGACCCTGTCATCTACCGATGCAATGTCCTCCCGCATCATCGCACCGGAGACAAATGGAAAGTCTATCCCACATACGACTTTGCCTGCCCTATTGTTGACTCGGTTGAGGGCGTTACTCACGCGCTGAGGACAAACGAGTACCGGGACCGAAATCCACAATACGAGTGGATGATCGATGCCCTGGGGCTCCGCAAAGTGCATATCTGGGACTTCAGCCGACTGAACTTTATCTACACACTGCTGTCGAAACGCAAGCTACACTGGTTCGTTGATCAAGGTCTTGTTCGAGGCTGGGATGACCCGCGGTTTGCCACTGTACGGGGTTGGTTATTCCCCTCTTTCCCTCCTTCCTCCAGTAAATGACGTGTAATTTAGGCATTCGGAGACGTGGGTTGACTGTCGAAGCCTTGCGACAGTTTATGCTTGCTCAAGGTCCTTCGCAATCTTATGTCTCGCTCGAATGGGACCAAATTTGGGCCATGAACAAGAAAATTATTGACCCCATCGCGCCAAGACATTGGGCCATCACCACCGATAAAATGTCAGGAATCGCTGCCCACCATTAGTCCCCACTCAAACACTTTTTTTCCAGGGTCCCAGTAACGTTAACCAATGGCCCATCGACAGCAGAGGTCAAAACTCTCCCGAAACACAAGAAGAATGCCGAGATAGGCGAGAAGAAGACCGTTTTCACATCGACGATCTTACTGGAGCAGGAGGACGCGTTGTCATTCGACGACCAGGAGGAGGTATGTTGTTCACATATGTGAACAATCAGTTCTAACTTGCGAATAGATAACCCTCATGGACTGGGGTAACGCTATTGTGCGCTCAAGGACCCAGGACAGTGACGGGAACATTACTTCGATTAGCATGGAGCTGCACCTTGAGGGCGATTTCCGCAAGACAAAGAAGAAAATCACTTGGCTTGCACAGTCCTCATCGACCCACACGCTCGCTCCGATTGTTCTCCTCGACTACGACTACCTCATTACCAAGAAGAAGCTCGAGGAAAACGATGACGTCGCTGACTTTGTTACCCCCGAAACGGAATTCCGCATTGATGCCGTTGCGGATGCGAATGTGGCGGATTTGAAGAAGGGCGATATCCTCCAGTTCGAACGCAAGGGTTATTACATCTACGACGGAGAGGTAGACGGGAAGAAGGAGTTCATTTGCATTCCAGATGGACGAGCTGCCAGTCTCGCGAGCAAAGCCGGGACTACAGTTGTCACCGAGCCGCTTCCAGCTGAGCCTGTAGCTGTGGAGGCGCCGGTACCGGTGACCACCATGTACCACATGGACCAGATATATGCTGGAAACGTTGAGACGGGGAATGTGACCAAGATGTACAAAGTTGACAATGTTTATCTGTAGCAAGTTTTTCAAATATTAGCAGAGACAAAAGACGCCGTTTCATCACGATGTCACGTCACGCTCAGGTTTGTTTTCGCCTCGATGTCCCACTCTCGTGGCAGAAGGAAAGGTATGCGCCACTTAACGAATGACCCTTCAAAAACATTTCACACCTCTTAGCCGAGTCTGAGCGCTGGAAACATCATCAAGGTACCCCGACTCGTTTGACTTGTTTCCCAGTCGAAGAGACGCGATCCTCACGTACGCTCGCGGATTCGAGTTGGTTCCTTGTTGTTCATTAATTCTCTCGCAGCTGTACGCGCACTAAACCCGCAGCTCGACATACTCGAAAAAGCCTTCCAAGACTGCGCCGATCCATCCAAGGCCTTCACCACACGGGTGCTTCAGGAGCTCGCTGCCCAAACTGGACTGTATGTTTGTTTGCGTTCTGACTTCTCTGCCCTCATTTCACCAAATGGAAAGGAAAGTCAAATGGATTCGAGCGTGGTGGACGCGTACTCGCCTCCGATTCCGTTCGCACCCTGAACTACGATTTAACAGCACTCTCCATGGGCCCAGTCCGCTGTCAAATCCCAGCATTACTGCAGAATCCTTGCCTGACCTCAAGCCGGTTGATGAGTCGCAGTGGCCAACACATTTTCTGGTGTCTAGAATCGAAAGCAAGCCGACTCCTCCTCCACCACAACCTCGCCCAGTCCGTTCAAATGCAATGCGCTCCCCTCTCGCCCCGACTTCTGCGAATCCCAAAACACTTTCAAACTACCCTCCAAAAGCCACACTATCATATCAAAATGTTTATCCCACCCACAGCATGCGACACGCTCCGTATCGTCTTCCGTCCAATTCTCCTCATGATCGTTCACTACCTCGCACTTCTACAATGCGTCCAGCAATAACACCATCGCACCCGCAAATGCCACAGAGTCGACCCTCACAAAGCCACATCCAACGTCAACGTATGCAACACAATCAATACCCCCCTCAAAATCTGGCTTTTCATCAACATCAGCACTTCCACTTGAGCGTAAGATCGCTGATCTTTGTTTCCTTCCACAAGAGCCGATTCTTTTTCAGAGCAACTGCGTGTCTAATATGAACGACCAGAATCAAACACAACCGGATTTGTTCCAGCAAATTATGCGCAATATTGAAGCTGAAAGCGAGAACATGGTTCCACAGGATTTAGAGTTGAGTGTAGGATCTGATCCGTCTCGTGCGCAACTGCCGACGTTACCGCAGAGCAATGGCATCCTGGCGGCGGACAACAACAACGACAGTTCTGAGGACTTGTTCATGCAGCTCATGCGCGAAGCGGTTGCTGAAAACGAAAACAAGTATCAAGCTATTCTCGAGGTACTTGTTTCCGCTGCTTTCCGACGTGGCGTTTTGAGCATGTTCAGGACGCGACGAACAGACAGTTTTGGGGTGTGGGCAATAACGCCACGACAGTGGACGAGTTTTTGTGTTTCTGAGTAAAGGATCATTCGTATCTTGCACTTTGTACATCTACTATGGGCCTGGAATATTTTGCGCACAATCTCCGGCTCCTAGCAAAAGTATAAGTATACTTGCGTGAGTCTATTGAGAAATGCCTAGACATGGTCCCGGCAGACCGACCCGGGATCAGCCGAAAAGCGATCACCTCAACCGACAACCACAACCAACTTATGGCCGCCCGTCTGAGCAGGCAATTCGTCTCTAAAACTGCCCGCATTTCGCGCTCCCTGCGGTCGAATGGCTCCCGCCGTTTAATGAGCGCCGACGCGGGTGCCCACCACGAGTACAAACCCGGCTCGGACCTGCCTTGGATTGTGTGTCGCGTTTCAAGCTTGACTCTTTGCTGACTTTTCCTACTTTAGCTTGGCGCCGCTGTTATCACCGTCCCGACGGTATGTGTAGAAAAAATCGAGGGAACACGGCGAAGCTAACGCTCTGGAAAGTTGGGGTATATCCTCAAGGACACGTTTGCTATCAAGGAGCGCATTGCCGCTGGCGACCACGGTCACGGGCACGGCCATGACGACTCGCACTCCCATTCCGAAAAGCACGAAGAGAAGCATGCGGAGCCGGTTGTGATGAAGGACGACGAGGGCAAGGAGGCGGATGTGACGAGCTCGGTCAAGGCAGCGGAGGTGCGTAAACCAGGCTCTTATTTATTTCGGGCACTAATTGCGTCGATTGCAGGCTGAAGATGCCCCCAAATCAGCTGGCGCGGTGGGTTGAATGTTGGGCCAGGTTATCAATGTACTTATTTTTTCGTTTAGTCGACGGAGGAGTCTTCGGACGCTGCGGTTAGTGCGCTTTGGCCACCCAGAAGTTGTTCTAATCATAACTACAGGCGGCCGAACCTCCAAAAGACGAAAAGGAAAAGGATGGGGAGAAAGAGGAGAGCAAATGAGGTATGCCCAGGTATGAGTGCGAATTCGATTAAGCGGTCTCAATGGTTGCTCAGACGGGCACACGAGCAATCTGCTGAAATCGTTGACGGAGGTAGAACTACCTGGCGTGTTTGAGTACAATTCATGGAACGCATTTCCCGTTGAAAAAATCGCCTTTTTCAGACGAAAGGTGGTGTTTGTTTATGTGAGCAGAGCGACCGATCAAGGCACGCGGCAGCCTTGCCTCTGACCACCACCCCCGACCGACCCACATCCCGTAGCCAACCCCCCCTCTCGTTTTTCAACCGAAATGGTGTGTTGATTCGCAGCTCTGACTGGCCTGTGTGCTGACCACCAGCGCTTATTAGTCCACCAACTGCAAGCGTCGCCTTATTCGAGACTTTAAGCGCCTTTCCACCGATCCTCCCGGCGGCATCTCTGGCAGCCCATGCCCCGACAACATCATGCTCTGGAACGCTGTCATCTTCGGGCCAGGTGTGTTGTGTTGTGTTGTGTTGACCCACTGAGAATAACTATTGCGATAAGCCGAGACCCCCTTTGAGGACGGCACCTTCAAACTAGTTCTAACCTTTGACGAGTCGTACCCGAACAAGCCCCCCCACGGTCAAATTCCTTTCGCGGATGTTCCACCCGAATGTGTACGCCAACGGCGAGCTGTGTCTCGACATCCTGCAGAACCGCTGGTCGCCCACCTATGACGTTGCCGCAATCCTCACCTCCATCCAGAGCCTCCTCCACGACCCCAACCCCAACAGCCCCGCCAACGCCGAGGCAGCACAGCTTTACCGCGAGAACATGAAGGAGTACGTCCGAAGGGTGAAGGCCACAGTCGAGGAGAGCTGGCTCGACCCCGACGACAAAATCGACGAGGAGTCAGAGTCCGAGGCCCAAGTCAGTGCGTCTTAATAATACTGTCAGTCCGTTTTCCGTGTCTGCTCCCAAACGCATTCTGACTCGCGCCACAGCTGTTTGTTGTAGTAATATATTTGTATTCATCTGGGTGGCTCGCGCATCGTCTCCGTCCTAAGTGCCATCTGTCGATAACCCTGGCCATCATCATTCTGTGGCTTGGAATAAGCAACCAACGTCATGCTTCTGGTCTTCGCCGTGGCCTGGCGGGCTACTACCTATCAGCGGGTTGCTTTTCAGTTCCAGATAGAGGTGGCCTTGAGGGTCTTTAAGTTGCTTGGCTGTTTGGTGTTGAGCTTGCAGCGGACCGATCAGTGTTCTTGAAAGTTGATTTCAGTCGCTCAACCCTGGCTGTTGTCGCTTGGTCAACCGAGCAGACGAAGAAGGGTGTGTGCAAGCCGTCCAGGAGTTGCGAGTCACGCTGAACTTGAATCTTCCAATTAATCTATGCCCTCTTTATAGCCTTGCGAATCGTGTAGTTATGAACAAGATCGGAGCAGCCTAAGGTGCCTCCAGGAACCTTATATTCGTTGACTTGTGAGCCGAACATTGTCATCGTCTGGACTTGAGGCAAACAAAGTGCAATGTTGAATTCCACTCAGAAAGCCTCCTAGTCGTGCTGAATCTTCGCTCGTGTCTTTGCAAACTCATGCATTTGTCGTGGTTCAAGTTGTCGAGCCTTGGAGCAGACCAAAAAAGCGTAACGTCGAATGCACTCTTGAATATAGATTGCCGATCGACTCTTGAAGCAAACGGTGTCTTTGGTCACAGCGCAATTTGTCGCAGTGGTGGGCTTGAGGCATACAGAGGGTTCCGGCGTTCTCTTCGAGGTGGTCGAATAAACTCTTGAGGCCATCTAGGTTCAGTCTTGCAGCCATGTTGATTCTTCCCACAGTCCTACACTATTGTACACTTCCTCCTTCCATCCAAGAAAAATCTGTCCCCGTTAGATGCGATAAATGAAAAAAAAATACGAAAAAAAAATCAGCAAGAGCGCGCTACTAGTCCTCTTGCAGGGCACGGGCCGCAGCGCCAGAGATGGTCTTCGCCTCGTCAAAGGCAGACATGATGGATATCGACCCGCCAGGCATCGAGTCCGCCTTGATACCACAAAGGGTGGCGAAAGCGATTTCGAATGCGAACCACTCGCTTTTCGAGTAAGCATACGAGGCCTTGATGCGCTCCTGTGCCTTCTCGTCGCCAAGGGAGCGGCAGTTGAGTGGTTGCGAGTAGATTGAATATGCCGCAGACACAATGGCTGTCCGCAGTTTCTTCTGCCCCGCCTTGTCCTCCTCGCCGCAAGGATCCGACTTGACGCTTGCAGTCTTCTTGTAGTGCTCGTAGGCGGCGTCCACTTGCGCGATGGCCTTCTTTAGATACATCGGAAATAGAGGTAGCTCAGGGTCATTTGTTTCAGCTTGCCTCTTGGCCACCTGATACGGCTCAAGCAGCGCCTTGTCGCGTTTGAATCCGGCATAGGCCGTATTGTGGGTCCCAGAAAGCTTCTCAAATTCCAAGAGGAACTGGTCGCCCTTTGCCTTGGCTGCCGCAGACCTGACAAACATGAGCAGTGCGAAGATATTCACGGTGGAACGAACATCTGCGAGCATATCTCATCCTTTCGGACTTCCTTCGGCTTGCCACCAAACTGCGCTCTATGCTTTTCGAAAACACCGGGGCGGAGCCGTAGCCCAGATTTTGCAGCATCCAAGAGGGTGTTCCCCCTATTTCCCGTCAGGCGCCATATAACAGATGACCTGGGACTTACATATGTGCCATCAGGATAGCGTTGGGATGGTCATAGCCAAACTGGAGGACAGCATTGTCGTGGAAAGTCGAGTACAGTCCGACCATCGTGTCGTGGATGCCCATCAACGACTCTTCCTGGTAGCGTTTCTGAGCTTCTTCAGGGCTCAATGAGGCGAGTTCGTCGAAGAAAGATTTTCCAGTCTTGACATCTTTCTCGAAATATTGCTCCACAAAGTTGGGGGGTGGCTGGACCAAAGGTTTATTCTCGAATTTCTCCAGAAGCTCTGCCGCCCAGCACATGATGACGGTGTCTAATTACGATTAGCCAGGGTCGTTGTGGGATGTGTGTTCAAACCTCCATCATAGTCTGCCCATGTACTTAGGAAACAGCCTTGTAATACAAAAAAGAGTAAACTCACCACCGCCACTCAGGTCTGAAAGCAAACTACGCTCTCCATGGATAGAAGCAAGCATGACATCGGTGAAGCCATGGAGCTGGGGGATATCAACTGCTGTAACCTAAAACCAGTGAGAATTCATGCCGGCGGAGGCCAAAATCAAGCATGAAGACAGACCAGCTGCATGTCAGATGATGTGCGAATGGGGTATCTATGTTCTCTGATTAGCCTGCTTGAGTTGGTGGTATGTTAACCCCACTCACCGCCCAATCAGAACAGGCCCAGTTAGAACGGTAAATTGAACCTGAGTCTTGGGGTCCCTGAATGGCTTCGAAGATTCGAAATAAACTTGTCGGGGCTTCAGAAGGCCAGTAGGATCTGTTAGAATCAGCACGAGATGTTGTTACTAGAGTGAGACGACACACCAGTTCCAGCAAAACTACTCGCCCCGGTCGATTCTGGGAGGGAAATACGGTGTTTTTCGCTCGCCGAATTGATCTCCATTTTGCCGACGAACTTGAGCTTGTCGTTAAGATAAGCACAGTGTCTGGGATGGAAGCCAGCTTGGAGCAGCTGAACGACGCGCTCATGCAGGCCAAGAGCGCCTCCAGCTTCATCGAGTCCAGCACGTGATTCGCCATCAACCTCCATCTCATCTTCTTCTTCGTTCTCTGGCGATTCGACCTCCCGATCCCTGAGACCGAGTACCCGGCTTTGACTTCCAGCCACTCGTTGAGCACGTGAGTTGACAACACTACCCAGCTTGTCGACGGCACGCCATAGCTGGACCATATCACCCAACCCAGACTCGTCGTCTTTGTTCCACTGAAGCAATGGCGCAACCGACTCAGTCAAGCCATCGACCAAAAGCTTCACAATAGTTTCTGTCGGCACTCCGTCTGCGGAGAGACACAAAACGCTCTGTTCAGAGAGCTCGAATCGCGAATCGGTTTGCGGAGGATGGGAGACCTTCAAAAGATCGAAAATACGATGTTCGCGAGTTTCGCCTTCGTCCGGATGGTACTTGATTTTGCATTGCGACTCCCGAATCCAAATTTTGGGCTCGTTACCCACATCTACGTCGGTAGGGTGAAGCAACCACGTCCCCTTTGCCCCACCAATTCTTCCTTGCACCATCGTGGGCATTTTATCATAGCCAACAGCTTCTTTGATCGCAAGGGCGGCTGCACGATTTAGAAAGCCGCAGCCGTCTGTCATTACTGGATCTTGCGGTTAGCCAAAGATCATTGAATTTGAATGAGACATACTTTGCTCCGACGACGCCTTTTGGTTAGGATCGTGTCCGTCCGCAAACCTATCCGAGATGTACATGATGTTCTCTGGTTTGAACTCGAGAACTGGCTTCGACGTTGAAAATCCGAGGCCATATCGTGACAAGTATTTGGCAAATGCCTGCAGGTCCCTTAGCCAATCGTAAGCGAAGTTGTCGCATGACACACCTGGTCGGCATTATACTCTATTGGATTATGTCGGCGCATGAACTCCAAAAGAGACATTCGTTGGTCGTCCCCAAAGTAGGGCAACGGTTCTCTGAGCCAGTTTATATCCGTCTGGAATAGATAGACAGCGGTAGCATCTTTCACCGGAAGGGCGACATAGACACGTCCATTGAGAATAAACCTTTGACTTAAAAATGCACGCAGTTGGGCAGGTTCGTCCCGGACGAGTTGGTTGGGAATTGACAGGTGCAGGAGGCCAGTTGATCCAAGGATCCGTAAGAATCGATATGATCGTCCTTTGGTGGGCTTTTCCAAGACGATTTTGTAGTCACCTGAATCAAGTTTGCGGAGACGGAGGTGGAATGTCACCTGCCCTCCATGCCATTTGTCTCCGTCTAATAAGCCTAACCCGCCACCTCGTCGTTCTAGGAGCGCCTTTTGCTCCCTATCCAACTCTGACCTATTCTCTCAATTAGAATGCTGGAGAGTGGAAAGAGTTCAACCCACCATAGCTCTACAGCTTTTTTGTTCGGCCTCTTGGACTTTCCTTTACCAAGTAACTGGCGAAGATGAGGGGCTGTATCGAGATTCGAGCCATGGAGGGTCGTCCGTTTCGTACGATCCTGTGCAAGTTGCTTGAGGTCCTGGATGGTCCAACGTGGGCGGCTTGTGAGTAACTCTCTGACAATTTCCCATTGTGTACCAAGCGGGACCCCAACCGAGTCGAACAGTTGTTGTAAATCGTCGTCGTGGAAAATGACATGCTCTTGGAGAGAAGTGCCATGTTCGCCCAGAATGCTCTTCGGGATGAAGGCTGGCTCGGCCTCGTCTAATTTTCGGGATTTCGATGGAGACGGCGACACTGCCTGAATATCGGCAGCGCGTTTTCTCGGAGAGTTACCCGCAGACGACAAACTCGTCGCAGAAGTCTTTCGAGAAAGATTCTCGAAAAAAAATGAATCCACGGAGTCGAGCGAGGAGACTGTTCCACTTTTGCGAAGGGCATTACCGACTATGAGAGGGCCGGTAAGCTCCTATGATTTTCAAGATGGACTGCTGCACACCTTCCAAGTCTGAGTGGCTGCCTCGAGGCTACTCACGCGATCAGTTCCCGTATATGCATGATCGAAGATGCAAACCTTGACAGGCCCGAAGTCGGGAGCGGGGATTGCTGTCGATCCTTTTTCAATAATGGATGCCAATAAAGCGACAAAACCCACGCACGGCGTTTGAAGGTGGCCTCGTCTTCTTCTTCCTCTGAGGATAGCTCAATGCCCTCCATTGGCTGGGAAAGGGCAACTTCTGTTCTGGGCGTGGCTAGTTTAGTAGGCGATTCGTCGTTTCTCAAGATCCTATCGTGGCTGGGGTCGATAGTGGGCGCTAATGTCTTTCAGCCCTTGGAACACTTTCTGAAGGCGGATTACAGACTGTCAGTCCTCGCGACACGATATCGCTCTGGTGTTTTCTTGCGAGGTGATTTTTCTACTTCCACCTCGTATTCCTCCCAGAACTCTGGCCCGCAGCCATCGAGGTCATTGTCCTAAAGAGTTCAGTCTGGTGTTATGCGACGATATCGAGCCATACATAGTCGAATTCTGACATGACGAGCGGGATATATTATGGTGCGAAGCACTTAGGGACGGAACGCAGCGCGTAGGCGCTTGTGCTCTGGGAGAGCTGGCGAGATGGTTGGAAGGAGGTAAAATGAACGACAGCATTGCACGTGATGGTAATTAATTTTTTCCCACGTTGTTTCAGCCTCGAATTTTGAGTTGACTGTAATCTGGCTCACAGGAACTTGACAGATATGTCGTTGCTCAGCCATTTATGTTGAGTGGATCAGGATGGTCTTCAAGCTTCAAGAATTAAGGACAGGCTTGAAGTTAGAACAAAAATACAGATTTGCCGCGGTGTCGTACAGTGGTTCAATGTTCAGTAGTTGCTCAATACATCTCCAAGCTCATTCCGTCGTTAATCTCGTAGTCGGAGAGCGTTATATGGTCTTTATAGATGGTGTACCTATGTCTGCTCAGCTTATCTGGCGGGAAGAAATGTTTCGCAGGCGCACCATTTCTTCAGCTGGATCTTGGTGTGGTCTGTCCCAGTTTGGGCAGCGATGAGCTTCTTCAAATCGCCGACCGTGTCGTCTGGGCTGCACTTGACGCGAACTAGGACACCGAAATCGAGTCAGAGCGGCCTTTCCCAAAGGTAAACACCGACCTTTCCGGCCCAGACGATCGTTAGCGATAACCTGGCCAGACAGGGTTGAGCGATGGCACAGACATGAGGTATAGACAAGCAGACCTCAATGAGTGGCATCTCGAAAAAGATTCACCAAGTGGACGAAAGACAAGAACGATGTTACAGCGGGTCACGCCGCGGCCAGTCATGCAGAAAGAGACAGAAGTACATCGAAAATACTGTAGCGTTGCACGACCCGAGCATTACCGCTTGCCCTTTGTTCGCTTTCCTTTGCCTCGTGCAGTCTCCCGACCCAAGGCAACACCACCCCGACCTTTACTCGCAAATCTGACCGCTTTACGCTCATTCAACACCTTCTCTTCCTTTGGACCCTCTCTCCTCACTTTCTTCGCGTCGCTGTCCATTCTGGACAGTAGTGCCAACGACGTGGCCTTTTCTGCTTCGAGAGACTTTTCTGTTGGTTCAAACTGCTCACGATGATCAGTTTCCGTCGCATTATCTGAATCATTTTGGCGTACCTTTCGTTTGACGCCACGCATTTTCTTTTCACCTTCAAGCTTCTTGTCGAATTTGCCCATACTAGCTGTGCTAATCCGCGATGACGCCAATGTTTTCTCGATCTCCGCTTTTCGTGGATTCGTAGCGCCCTGCCCACGAGACACATTAGCAAGCCGTTGTTTTTCGTTTTTCGTGACCCGTGCTTTGCGCTCATCGCGAGCGGCCTTGCGGGGATCGAAATCAACATCTTGCAAGAAAGATTCAGTCTGAATCCAAAAAGTAGTGGGAGTAGGTTTAGCATACCAGCATTAGCAGGGACTTCTGTAATCCATTGCTCCTCCACCTGCTTGTTCTTCCCGTCCCGGCCCCAACGATTCACCCAATCCTGCCTCTCTTCGTCCCATACTCGTTTATCGCGAGTTCGATGCTGGATACCCTTCGCCTTAGCAAACTGCTCCCACTTTGTCAAAGGTTTCGGTTTGGGTAAAGGCTTCGCCCGAGGGATGGCGGTGGTTGGTGGTGGAAGTTGAGCGAGGGGACCTTCGTCTGACCGTTGAGTAGGTAATGAGAATAAGGACCCAAGCAGTGCTTGAACGCCATCTCGGGCAAGTGACTGGAGATGTTCTTCGAGATTTGAGGCGTATGACTCCTCGTCGATAGGGTTGAGGTCTGATACTAGCAGAAGACCGGGATCGACTTCAAGAGGCGTTTCTTTTTCGACAGTGATGGATTGGCTGGGAATACCTTTAGTTATTGGTACGCATAGAGTGTGTGCCTCACTATTTCGCTGTATTAGAAGCGAGGATATTGGAGACGTCCATGCTGCGATATTTTGCGGAGTGAGACCGCCGACAAAATGGTCGTGCCTGTCCAGTGAAGGACTGTGAAGGATTCCAAAATTTCCGTGACGTGACAGAGGTGTGACTCGTCTGAATGGATGCTACTGCCACCCAAAAGCTCTCTGAGGTGCTTGCGACCTTTGCAGGGGGAGACAAAGCAAAAGAAGAACAACTGAAGAAGAAGATTGCCGAGCTGCTGAAGAACGGGCAGGGAAACGCGGACGCCATCATTGCGAGACTTCAACAAGGTCTTTTGCAAGCAAAGCAAGGCGGCACACCAAAAATCGCGGATGATGTGCCACACCCAGGAATGAAGTCTACCATGGACGAGAGTCCCTTTCTGAGCTCTTCAACCACGGCCGCTGAGGCTTATCCAATCAGCCAAACACTGTCGATCTCGAACCCTCCTCCCGTTGCTTATGCTTCTTCTCGACCAACTCTCACGGGTGGACATGCAATGGGACGTGTAGCGGGCACGCCTGTGCAATACGCTCGAGAGGAGCCACTCCCAATCACGTTCACAACTGATCATCGGACCGCTCAACAACCGCGTAAAAACACGCCTGGAGACTTGAGCATGAGGCGTACAATCCACGACCTCGTGGCCAGCGTGGACCCCAATGTGAAGATCGAGTCAGACGTCGAGGATGTGTGTGTGTCTATTTCCGGAACGTGACTAGCTCTAACAGCTCCGATAGCTGCTGCTGAATATTGCCGACGAATTCATCGACTCAGTAACGAATTTCGCGTGTAGACTTGCCAAACACCGTGGAGGAGAGACGCTAGAGGTCCGAGATCTTCAACTTCACCTAGGTTCGTGCGTTGTCCAACTCACCATTCAGTTACCCATGGAGCACTACAGAACGAAACCATAATATCCGAATACCCGGCTTTGCAGCTGACGACACCCGTATATCTCTTTCCCAATCTTCAATCACGCCTGCCGCTGCACCCACCGCCGCCCCCAAGAAGACAGCTCAAGGCACTCACATGACGCTTCGAAGCCAACGACTTGCCCAAGTCCAACAGGCAAAGAGGGAGGGGAAGCTGATGTGATGAAACTCTGGCGCATTGTGTTTGTACTCTTACATTGTCTTGTAACGCTCTTGTAGAATGACCCAAATGCCTGTGCAAGCCTGTCAGAAAGCGACAGAGATGATCACCCAGAAAAAAAGTCAGGGAGTTGTTTGGGATTGCTTTGGAATCCACAAGAGACTCGAGTCTCATTCGGAAGCGGAGCTGATGTTCATCACTGTGGGGTGTGGTCGCAACGCTCACCTCGCAAGTGGTGGTGGTGGTGGTGGGTAGAGAACAAGTCCATGGTTCAGTCTCACGCCGAGCTGTTGTTCTCCCAATCTCTTCCCCACACCATGTTTGCGGATTTGACCGCCGGCGATTCCCTGAATTGACTGATCAACTACAGTGATGCCTATAGATAAGTACGAAAAATTATGTCTCCATCACAGTTGTGGTCGATGCTCTTCCTCCATAGAACCTAACGAACCTCGTGAGTACCAGGAAAAACTCAACTCGAGAATCCACACATCAGGTATGGGCCTGTTGGAAGAGACGTCTTCAAGTTGTCCCCGTCATAAAACACAGGTCTCTATGACCACTCGATATACCGCAACATCGACCATACCATCGCCACCTCGCAATCTGGCACGTGTCCGTTGGAGGTGACCGAAACTTCGGCCATGAGAACCAAGACGATACTGGTGTTTGGTTGTGTTTACATCGTACTTGCATCGAACGGATATCGCAAAGATATCATCCAACGGCCTTGGCCTTCGAAAATTTAATTCTCCCGATCTCCGGTGGCATACAGCAAAAACAGCTCGTGCTTATGTTTGCGCTGAGGGTGCATAGCGCGCAATGTTTCGCGGAGGCTCATGTTGGTGTTGCCCTCCAGCGCCGTCCAGTGCATGATCAGCAGCGCGGCAACAACCATTATGTATTCAGCAATTATCGCAGGTCAGGACCGGCGTCTTTCGCTGGAAAATACTTGTTGTTTTTAACTGTTTATTTCACCAGGAAATGGGATCTGCGACCGACTGTTCATTTGCAGCACACTTTGCTGGCCAAATTCCTGCAGTTGGAGCCAGTGAAACCTCCGCTGGAGCCAGTAGACAGCTGTACCTAGGCCGCTGCGGGCCGTGTTTCGTTGCGGATGCAACCAAGACATGAATTTTTGGCCGCGGCAGAGTATAAGAAGGGCATGATCTCTTTCGTAGAAGTTTAGGCTCTTCGGAATCCTTCACACACGACTATCAGCACTTGCCGGTCAACTGCAATGTCTTCAACTACCGCCGTTATTTCAGCTCTACGGAACGCTCCCCCGGTCCCAGGCGCCTTTACTCATGCTCGTCGTCGGATGAAGAATGACTCTTATCCCCGAGGCAGGGCTTGCTACCCTCACGCTCCCTTGTCGTGGGCCTTGGGCTTAATTCCTTCATTCTGGAAGACCAAACGCGTGTTTCAAAGATAGCATACCACTATCGGACAGTGTATTTGGAAACTAACGCTAAGTGCTTTTGCGTTTGTATGCAAGAAGCGACCGACTGACTCAAAGCTCTTTGAAGGGTTCTCATCAACCTCAACACTTTTTGGTGACGACGGGGCAAAGCAGCGGGTAATCCCCTGACGCTTACCTGGCCAGAGACTCGACCAAAAGGGAGAGCGGTGACGAACTTCCACACTCGTAGCATTCCTCGCGGCGCGTCGTGGGCACTACGATTTCAATAGATCTTTGGTCATGGCGCGTCTGCAGGTGGATTATGAGTGTGGTTGCTCGGGCGGACCGTACAAGTCTATTGAATGCTCCTGGTGGAGGAGAATCGGAAAGCTATCTTCTCAAAGATTCATACGACAGTATGCAATCGAGTTGCTCTGGCTGGCTGATTTGGCCGATGAAGCTACTTTTGAGTCTCTGGGATCCAATGCGGCGGCGGTGACGGTGAGCCTGTGGGGAGAACCCGTTCTGATCCTTCTCCGTAATCTCGCAAGACGACGCGTCCCCTTGTTGCGGGTTGCGGGCTTCTCACTAAGCACGCGTCAACCCTATGTAGACTGTACCGTGACTTTATAAAGTGTTTACTTTGTTGTCAAAAATGATGCCCATATACTCTGCCGCATCAGAAAGTCTCAAAAAAACTCCCACAATTCTGACTTTGATTTGCCCCATGCCCTATGACAACATTCTGAAGCATTCTGCTCGTCGTATAGTTCTTCCGCAGCTCTGACGGGCTCAAGCGGCCAAAGCGGAACTCTGGTGCAACACCAAATCTGGTGTCAAGAACTTCCTCTTACGTGGACTGGCGCTTTTCCAGACTTGGACAGTCCAGCTCCTTTTGAGTATTAACGAATGGCATGCTAGCGGAACTAGAGCTCACGACAGTTCTTCTTGTGGTCACCAGCCATGTCTGCTTTGCTTCCATCCAAGGAGATGAGGTTTGTGCTATCATCAAACCGAGTGTACTTTCAGACTCAGAGTCATTCTCCTCAGAACGCTTGTTGAAGCAGCCAGGCGCGCTATCTCAGAACACGGAGCGCCACTTCAAGAAAAAATTATGGCATACAGTACCGGCCCTATGCCTCACTGGACCTCCGACGTCGCTATGGGTCAAAGCGCACTGAGTGCTTCGATTTTGAATGGGGTTGGCGAAAACATCCCAAGACATCTGCTCAACGAGCCAAACGTGCTACAAGTAAGTAAAATTTCTTCTACACCGATGGGTTTAACTTAGTCTTCATGAACACAGCGATTTGCCTCCAAGTTGCAATTTACAGTGGCCGAATGGGCCTATTCACTGTTCGACGAAGGACAAGGTCGGGTCAACATACTTGCTGCTGTAATCGGTCGAGAAATAGCAGAGGGAGACAGTGTCTGGAACGATTTTTCGGTCGAGATGTTTGCAGATATCAAAACAGCATATACCCCAGAGTACGTCGCGTCGTGTGTTTGGTCGCATTATTTTGCCCAACAGCCCACAGAAATCTTCCACAGCGCCGAGCTCCATCCCCTCCGGCCCTTGCAGACGATCGCGTGAGACTTGCGACCAGAATGCTAACTTGACACTCGTCCTATAAATTTAATTTTCATTTCTGTGACTTTCCGTGTGACACCACTTCCTCTGAACCACCACAATCTCGCCAGTCAGCATTCTTCCTTCTTTGGATTTGTCTAGTCTACATCAGCATTTGCTCTTTTCTATCTCGCCGTCCACTTCCAACTCAACCCTGCCTGTCCCCGTCATGCCTACTGGAACCGGCAATATCAACCACCTCTTCGTGCTTGTCGCCACTCGGCTCGAGCTTCAACCAGGGACTGTCTCACCTTCAACGAGTCAATTCAAACGCTCCTTACCGCGTACCGAGCAAGAAGTCCGAAACGACATTGCTATGGCCGACGTTACACTCTCCATGGTCGCCTCTCGGATAGTTTACCTCGAATACCGCCAACACCCTGGCCCGGAAGCCGACGCAAGTTTTATTCCTCATTTTGCTTGTCCTGGCACCAATAGTGTACTAGATGGTCATCAAAAGCTTGCTTGCAGATACGATCTTGCTGGAAATCATCAAAGCATACTTCTGCACTGCGTGGTGGGACTCGACGAATCCAACAACGACCAGTCGGCTTATGGTGGAATCGTTCAAAATTGCGATCACGACAGCGCTTCGAGGTTTGACTCTTGAAGATCGGATGGACAAATGCCTCAAGATCATCGGGCCCCCGTTCAGAACTCTTGTCCGCCATGCTCTAGCCTATAGGTACCGTGCCGTTGGTCTTCTGCATTAATTTGTCACACTTAAGATTTCTTGTAGCTGGCGTCCGCAACATGATGAGGAATCAAGCGGTATATCGGTCGGGACTATTCCTAGTGTGTCTAAGCGCAAAGGTGGGCACCCTCGTATCCCAGGAATCACCCTGAATCTTGATCACCTACAGCTCCTCTGGGGAATATCACTAACCAGGAAACCCTGCCGCCGACGAAGAAAAGACGACTAGACAAGGTGGAGTCGGGGTCAGAGTCAGAGTCAGAGTCAGAGTCATCGGAAGTGGAAACGGAAGCGAAAAAAGAATAACCCATCCTAGACGAGCCTCCCGCATGTACAACCTACACCCAATCTGAATAACACTCGCAGTCAATAACTCGCAGCGTGATCGGCTTGGGTCCGATTTGACCGAAGTCCCGTGACATCAAGTCAACCCGAACTCTCCTTGGCGATGAGCTGTTGACCATTGCTTCTCCTTCACCATGCTTGCTGCAGTTCAGCAGGACGCCGACTCGTTCGTATTTTCTTTCTTGTTCTGTCAGTCGTGGTTCATGTTTGTTCTTACATAGCGATTTTCGTACCACGAATGGCGAAATCCTCTCTGAGATCGTTTGCAAAACTCTTCAAGACCGCTCGGAGCCACTGTTTCGTGATATCAAGGCGTACTCAACTGGTCCCCTGCCATTTCACCACATGGATGTGGAGTTAGGACGAGCCACTCTAGCGAGATATCACCAAAACTCTGCATGATATTCTCCCTTGAGACGCTTTGAGACGTAATCGAAGTCCCCGAGACGCTGAAGGTATTGGATTAATTTGCCTCAAGGAGGGACCCTCACTTGTCATGTAGCATTGCGCAGCCAGAGTGCAGGATATTCTCGCGCATTGGGCACGTGAGTTGTTCGAGAATGGAACAGGCCGAAAAAATATTTTGGCGGGGTTCATCGGCTCCAGAGAGGACAAGTCTACATGGGAGAGTTCAGGACAATACTGGTTAGTCGTATCGAAAGCGCAGAGTTCGTCTCCCCTCAGTATGCTCTCAAGTCCATTGGCCTTCCCATTCTTCTCACCACCAAATCCATAGATCTCCATTTCCTGGTCATCTTAGCGACAACGACGAGCGTTTGGTTCTGATGCGTCGCATGCTTGGGCCTGGAGCCACGGATTCGGCTAGTTGACTCATATAATCCTGAAGATTTATATTTGAACCCTTGGGCCCGGGATGAAGATTACTTCTATTCACCGGCAATAAAAGAATGGTCAACCTGGATTTGATTTGGAGGTGGTTTTGACGTCGACCACTGGCAGGAACATGCTTTCCCGCTGCAGACTGACTGACAGCCTCGTGCTTTTCATTCAAGTGCCCTCCTCGAGACCTAATTTGGACGCGGTCGACACATAAAAGGCGTCGCGAATGAACGGAGAAGCTCCAGCCCTCCCAGCCCTAATCATCGATGCCCCGATTCTGGCGACGCCTTCAAACCACAATGGCTAAAACGCCTATGGCCCGAGTCTGGGGTAAGGGCTACCACCATGAATTCCTTGTTGTTAGAGCGCCGCGAGAGCGATACAGCGACCAAATTGCGCTTGTCTGGCATCAAGACTCGTTTCGCGTTATTTCAATCCGCGGGGCTATGCAGAAAGAAATTGCGCAGACGTCGTTGCTGGGGCGGATGATTACGTCAAGTTCGTTGACCTGGGACCAACTGGAGACGTTGGCGGCCGAATGCTCTAAGAAGCTCGACAGCTATTCATACGCCAGTGAACAGTCAATTATACGATCTGAAACGGCGAAATACCAAAAAATAGGGCGTAAAGCTCTTTGTACGCCTCCGCGCACAGACGAAAGAGCGGAGCGGAGACGATCCAGCGCTTGTTGCTGTCTATCTGGTCGAGGTGGTCACTCAGCATGAAACACTTCTCTACGACGATGAAGAGCCCCGCCTACCACCAGGATATCTTGCGTATGGGTTGAAGCCACACTTCTAATAGTTACTGACGATGATACCCTCAGGTTTGCGTCTAGTCGGATTGCTTAGACAATTGTGTACAAACAGTTAATTCGAGACACATAATACGTCATCCCACTCCGAGACGGCAAAATTATGTTTTAGGCCAACATCGCTCAGTGAGACTGAGACTGGCAATGAGACTAATAGGACCATTCAATTAAAGCCATGGTTGATGTTGAATAAGTCAAGCAAGATGTATTCGTTGCAGCTTGTTGTGGTCGAAGTTGAGATTTGTCGTGAATCAATCAGTGACAGTCACGCTTCGTCACTTGTTTAACCTCTCGTCGGCTGGAAAACCTCTCTACTTACCTTAGGCTCCTCGTCAACCTCTCTGTCATTCCGACCATATTCCGTGAGTGACGCGGCGCCCCGCGCCTTTGCCTACTTGCCGTCTCAGACTCAGACTTGGACTCCATCCGCCCTCGGCTCCACCAGCTCAAAGTCTCCACAGATGGCCCCGACTTTGGTATAAATAGCTGGCTCTCTGTACTATGGAAAACATCCTCCTCTGCATCCTACGAAGCAGCTCAAGTTACTTTCACGACCCCAATAACGACTAACGAACAAAAACAAAAATGCACGCTTCGAACACCGCATCGTTCTTCGCCCTCGCGACCGCTTTCTTTGCGTCTACTATTCCGGTATCCGGTATGCCTAAGTATGCTTTATTTGTCTCCCCATAATATATGCGGTATCTAATGTTTTCTACTCAGGCGGGCTCCGTCTTGCTTCCCTGGAAGCTATTACAACTACACGATTACTGTCGGCGGCGGCTGCACTACTTGCGAGCCTGGAAACTACTGTGCTGGTTATGGAGCCAGTAAGCAGCAGTGCGATAGCGGCACATATCAGCCAGGTAAGTAGTACTCCAATTATTACTTCCCTTCCCTTATTTATGCCCTCTTTTTTCCAGCCTCTGGTCAGGTGTCGTGCATTCCGGCTACCAACGGAAGCTACGTTGCGAACCGTGGATCGACTTCCCAGCTCCCGTGCGCCGCTGGGAGCTACCAGCCATGTTCGTTATCTTATCTTGATTATCTAATGATCAATTTCTCATCTTTGGTGCAGTAGCCGGCAAAAGCTTCTGTTATGGTGCTCCGTCGGGGCGGTTCGCCGGCCAGCCAGGAATGAGGGGAGTCTGTGGAGCATGCTGCGGGTGGTCCACTGGTCAGGCCAACTACAACGCTTTCGTGTACAAATGCCCCAGCTCGGCGCCTTTTTCTGGTCGCGCCGGAGGCTCTGGATGTGTCGCCACTCGCCAGGGATGTGACCCCGTCGCTAGCTGCGTGCAGGCGTCTAATGGGGCGTGCCGTGAGTCAGATCAAACCTTTTGTGAACCTTGAACTGACCAGATACCCAGCTGACATGTCATTCGACTTTGTTCAACCCCCTCCGGCGTACCCGTCATCGAGCGTTTCCCAATCTGCCTCTGCTTCAAGCCAGTCTGCGAGCCCATCCCGCTCCGCATCATCGTCCGGCTCGGTTTCCATGCCATCACTCTCGGTGTCCCGCCTGCCCTCCGGATCGGTTTCGCTCCCATCAGGGTCAATTTCGGTGCCGCCAGTTTCGTTGCCCTCTGGTTCGGTGGTCTTGCCTTCCAGCTCGGTCCCCCGACCGTCTGGTTCAGGCTTGCTTCCCTCTGCCTCGGTTGTTTTACCTTCTGGATCGGTTTCGCTGCCTTCTGGCTCAATTGCTCTGCCTTCCGGATCGATAGTGTCATCGCGCTCGATTGTGCCGTCTGGCTCGGTCGTGCTGCCATCTGGGTCAGTCTCGGTATCATCCATATCATTGGCATTGCCCTCCAACTCGGTGTCTTTGCCATCTGGCTCGGTTGTGCTTCCGTCTAGCTCAATTGTGCTTCCGTCTGGGTCGACAGTGCCCTCCGGGTCGGTTTCCCTACCATCCGGGTCGGTTGCATTACCCTCTGGCTCAATTTCGCTGCCATCACTCTCGGTGTCCCTCAGCATTGTACCATCGTCGAGTCTTTCGGCTCCTTCAAATGTTCCCACCTAAACAGCTGTCGTTATATCTGTAGAGTAATCTGTAACTTTATAGGTCAATATATTTCAATCTTTACTTCCATCCTTTGCCAATATCTCTTCGACCCTCTTCACCTTTGCTTCGTTAAGCCCACCAGGTACTGACGCCACCTCTCTGTCAGTGCGAGTCCCGATTCGTATGTCGGTAGCGATGCGGAGTGCTCCTTTTTCGTGCACCGCAGCGTGGCAATCGTGAATAGCTTGGGAGACAGCACCCCAAGGGCCTTCTGCAGGGTTGTGTTATCTTGGCGCGCTAGTTTGAATCCAAAAACACAGCGTGCCTAGATTCGTCCCATATCCGCTGTACTCCCAGTCAGTGGTTGCTGCTCACCCGTTGGAAGAAGACATATACTGCATCTGTAGACGGAGCTTGAGCGTCGTGGCTGGCCGCGGCTATTTCCAATTACTCAGACCTTGTACACAAGCCCTGATTTCTCGAGGATGCGCTGACATTCAGCTATATATCTTCGCCGATGTAAACAGACTATATGGCGGGCGAGGAGAACTGGCGATTACTCTGCAACAGACGTTTCCCCCGTGCCCATGGGAATGAGGCAGAAGTCGGCGGTTGCGTAGAGTTCGGTCATAAGTAGGAGGAGGCCCTTGTTGTCACGTGTTCCCTTCCTTTCTCCACCCAGCCATGTCCGTCCAGTCGCGCATCCACGCCTTCGAGTCTGGCGCGGTGCTGCAGCCACGTATCATACCCTCTACCCCACCAAAAGTCTCTCCGTCGCCCTCACCGCCAAATCTAGGCCGGAAATCGTCATTGATTGACCTGAAGATTGATTTGAAGGAGTGGGTGTTTGACGAGGGCTCGCCGCCACGCACGAATGGCTGGAGAAACAAGAAGGAGGGCGATGAGGATGCCTTGATCCACTTCTCACCACCCAAGAAGGCGCCCCCTTTGCCGCCACGAAAGCCATCGCTAGTCAGTCTGAAAACAGCACCACAACGGAGCGACTCACTCACTGTCGAACACACATATCCTCCGTTAAATGGCGGCAGCCCCAAACACACCCACGGGTCATCCATTTCCTCATTCCATTCCGTCTCCCTTTCCGATGGCTCCCCCAGTCCATCCGCTGCCGTCTTCCCCCAACATCGCGGGAATGGCACACCCACAGCGGCAGTCCATACCACCGGAAGCAACAGCTCTATAGGCTCAGAGTCGTTTGAAGAGCTCACTGCCTCAACCGCGTTGGTCAGTCCCGCCACTGCGGAGATAATATCGCAAGACTGGGAACGCGCTATGAACAGGAAATTACCGCCGAAATTACCAGCCCGCCCGCCAAAAATAGCATCATCACCTCCCCCTCCAACACGTCGTGCCGTTCCGCCACCACCCACAGGCGACCGGGCATCTATTCGCAGTTTTGCTTCTGCCTCATCTTCAACGTCGCTGACGTCACGGACTTCATCCTCGACTTCCCCAAAACCTGTGTTGCAATTCCCTTCTCCGCCAGTAACAGCGAAACTCACCTCAAGACCACCGCCAGTACCCCCTGGCCCGCGCAGACGATACGATGCGTTGTTTTCCTCTTTACACTCCGCCCACCTTTCACAAAACCGCGAAACATTATCTCCGCCGAAACGACGGGCCGCGGGCTGGAGGGGCTTGTCGGTAGACCTCATCAGGGATCCTGCGGGAGAGGGAGACACTCCAAGCAGTGATATACTGCCAGGGAATGTGGTCCGGGTCGTATGGTGTCGGTCGAGGCTGCCAAAGCAAAATCTGTCGTCGATATGGTGGGTCTATTTGCTTCACATTATACTGCCTGTTAAATGGACTAGGACCGAGTGCGATCCACAGGGAACAGGCTCGCTTGACCGCGATGCATTTGCGCGGGGAATGTGGCGAATTGACGAGGAGCTCAGGCATGCAGCGGAGGCGGGCAGTCTCGCGAGGAGAACAAGCTCGAGGCGGGTTGGTGGTATACGTTGACTTCATTTTTCCCTATGGCATATACATCGGACTTTCTATTAGGTACATATACTCACAGTAGCATGACAGGTGCAGCACAATAATAAGGCATTGCTTTTTTCAAAACAGCTGGTTCTTTGCTACTGCAAAAACACTGTGCTTCGTATGACGGTGCGATTTGAGGGACACAAAAGGGAAGAGGGAGTGCATTCATCGTAAGCGATGGTGGACTGTCTGATAGCACCTGCGCAAAATTGCATCCGCCGAGTCCTCGATCTTTTCCGCTGTCTCTATCTCCTTGTCTTCTTCCTGACTGATTTGTGAGAGCCGGTATGTTATAGCGCAAACCTCTTGTAGCCAAACAAGCAGGTCTGGAGGACATTGCTCCTCCAACAAGCCACAGACTTCATCAGCTCGCATATGACGGTGGAGGTCAGGCGGGAGCATGACGGCGAATAAGCTTCGAAGGTATGCTACTACGGCAGCTGAATTGGTGAACGAGGTGACCTTTGTGGCCCGAAGACTGAGGAGCCGGTCGTGTATTGCTTGTTGTCGTTTCTTCTCAAGTAACGGTTTTGGATCAAAGTATTTCTCGACTTGCATCCATATAAACAGCGGAGAGACTGGTGAGGATTAGTACAATGCTTTTCTGGAAGAAATGACAAACCGAGCAAGAGGTAAAAGATTAGTCCACGACGTTTAGCTGGTGGGGCATTTGGGTCAGGTTGTTGGCGTTGAGGAAGCAGTTCTCGAAGTGCATGGGGAATGCTGGCCAAGTCTGCCCGAGGTTGTCGTGGAGGAATGGTTGCCTTGAAGCGAATTTGGCCAGCACGGCGGAGGAGAAGATGACGATTCATGATCAAGTGACCGAGAATTTTTTTGACTGGCCCATGCATGCATGCGACCAGTAGGGTTGCCAGGTCCCCGCCATTTTCTTCGCCCGCGTCCCCGAATGTAAACCGTCTCTAATTGCTTTCTTCTTGTCTAAACAGTCTCCAGTCTTTCTAGGCCACCACCCCCCTCCACAATTGCCCGCGCTCAAACCCCAACATCGCTGTACCAAAACCTGATTCGTCTGCTAGCTGTCCCTCAGACAGGTTCACTTCCGATCCTACTAGACTACCATGAGCTCCATAAAGGAGGACTCCGCTCTACACAATCATACAACCTGCTTATTTCACTTGCAATCCGAAACGTAGCATATGGGAGCGCACAACTCCTCTTCGACTCCATGTCGGCCGACCAGATTCCCCACGACTCTGAGACACAAAAGCTTCAAACGCGATTTCTGCTGCGAATTAATTCATGGGAAGCTGTTTGGGACCGAGTCAAAGCGGCACATAACCCGATTCCCTTGGATTTGTGGCTGGAGTTTTTGAAGGACATGAAACGGCCCGGTACAAGCGCAACATCTTCCGCCCAAGAAACCCGTTTTCGGATGCTAATGCTTCATCTGCCAACCTTCTCCTCCGATATTCGAGACTCTGCACACCCTGCCCTGGTTATCGTCCGTTCAATGTTGCTAATGGACAAACATGACGCCGCAATGACACTGGCAACACGATACCTCCGCTCATTACCGCACCACATCGACGAGAAATGGGTTGGACATTGCATGCTCATCATCAACGCCCTCATCGCGCATGAAGCGAGGAAGCGCGGCTTGCGTGATTTCTATCCAGCTCGCAGGAAACTCAACGAGATGTTAGCGATCCATCCCAACTTGTACCCGTCACCCAAGACTCTTATGGTCCTGCTCAGCACTGTTCGGCAGACACAGAAATGTGGGACCATAGCTTGGCACACTCTCATCAAGTTCAAAACTCGATGGGGCCCTAATGTCGAAGATGAAAACGTTCGACATCGGGTGGCGGAGTATGCTCTTATTGAAGGGAGGCTGGATATCTATAGGCGACTTCGTGCAGCAGAAGAAGCGTCGTTGCCCCCGGACCCTACAGTCAACCAGGGCGAATTTCTGATGCGGAGGACTTATCGAGAGTATTTCCCTCAGGATGGACGGCACAGAGAGCGATGGAAGAGATTGGAGGCTAAAGCGATGACAGTTAGCTTACGGTTGCAGAAGAAGAAAAAGTACGTAAATACGACCACAAATTGATTTGTGATGTCGTGGTCCACAACCTTACTTGCACCCACACCCGAACTTTTCGTGATCCCTTGCGCAAAACCTGATGAACCTCAAACATCCTCGCACTGAAGCGATTATTGGCCAGCGTTTGTTTGATGCAAATGACTCTGGGGAAAATATTCCCTTCTGTCTTTCTAGCCTAACGAAGACAGATGTCGTCCGGCTGGGCCCATACATGTCTCTTCATTCGATGGTATGCTTCATCCGCGTCGCACCCGACTAATAGCAGGAACTATCCCCGCCCGTGCGCAGGTGCGACACATCAACGAAACTGTTAAAAGGCTCCAGGGGTCCTTAAACAGCCGTCAATCCAACAATTTCCTCTCCTATGGCTCACTTTCCTGCACCAGAACACATCCTTTCGCTGTCCACTGTCTGCGTCGGCGTTGGGCCCGGTGGAACGACGTCTATGGTCGCGTATGTGCTTGTTTAGCCATTCTTCCGAGCTAACGGTGTTGATAGGCGCATCGTAGGTGTGTGCTAAACCATATTTTTTGTGCCTCCACGCTTACCCGCGATTTTTCTTCAGTGGTCAATTTTCAGGTCGGATTCCGTCTCAGCAACTTCTTAGAAAATCTCGCAGCTGAAATTCGGCCAGGGCGAGACTATATTGGATAAGTTTGTCGCACCAACGGTTCCAGTTGTGGACTATCGGGCAGCCCAAACCGGGATCACTGCTTGGCATCTCTCCTCCAGTACGTTTATGGTTCGTTCTAGTTCTGACGCGTTTCTAAAGCCCACATCAGAGGATCCGATCCCCTTCAACGTCTTGCAAAGCACTTTGGCCAAACTGTTCCGTGGCAAAATCGTGGTTGGGCATTCTATATGGGAACATCTCTCGGGTCCTCTCATAGGCCTTCCCCGCTATTTTGTCCGTTATTTACATGTACTTTCAGTGCTCGGCATTCCTCATCCTGCTGTGGCTACGCGGGATGTCGCTCTGTATCAGGTGGGTTCTACCGGTGTCAACAAATCCACATCTTTGACAGGCCCATCCGTCTTCTTCTTTCGCAGCCGTTCCGAAACGCGCTCCGTACTCCCAACCAGGTAATCGGCTTACAGACGCTTTGCTGGCAACTTATGCGACGGCGCTGTGGAGAGGGACTAATTGACCCAGTATGTGGTACCCTTGTTTCCTCCACAGTTCGACTTGACGAGAACCTGTCAGGCGGAGAATGCACGTGCCGGGATGGATCTGTACCGTTCGCATGCTCCCGAATGGGAGGCTTCGATAGCGAGAGGAAACTGGCCGTGCTCTCTGCCTCCCCCCACGTACTCCAGGTGTTACTTGTAGATGATATCGATATATTTATTGATCACGTGGCCGTGTTTCTTCTTTCATTCCGACCGTCATCAATGTCTCTCTTGTCTCCGATTGGATTCAGATCATAGGCCGCAAAAGACACCAGGCCTGATGTGCAGAAATTTGGTATAAATGCCTCCTCCCGCCGTAACATCGCTGCCAAAACATGGCCACTCAGAGTGTCGGAATCATTGGCTCGGGGCCATCCGCCTTGATAACTGCCCACACTCTTATCCAGGACGGATTCTCAGACGTGCAAATCCTGTCGCGGGACAGTACCCCAGGCGGGGTGTGGTCCTCAGCTCGAGTCTATCCCGACTTGCAAATCAACAAGTATGTCTCTCTCCTCTTCTCCCAGCTGCTCGAATGTCTCCTTTCAGTGTTCACGGCGAATATCACTTCACTGGGCTAAACATGCCTGCAACCGCGTCGGGCCGCGTCACCGGAGAGGACATGCGTGTTTACATGCAGAATTTTGCCAGCCAAATGCTCGATGGACACATTCGGTATCAAGTCGAAGTACTCAGTATCAGGCGGGATGATGCGGCCTCGCAATGGTTCGTCACCGTAGAGAGCGTCTCTACCAAGCAGCAAGAGACCTTGCAATTCTCGCGGATTGTCCTCTGCACCGGGGTAAACCAGTCTTTAGTATGTTCAAGAGAGCTAAACTTACCGTTGGCTAGGGATGCGACACACCAAAAATTCCCGAGGCTCTTTCCGAACCCGCTGCGCGGAGCGCGAACTTCAAGGGGAAGGTTATTCACTCGAAATACTTCGCCGCCAGACTACCGGAAATCGAGCAAAAAACGAAGAGCATCGTTATTGTTGGAGGGGGAAAGTCTGCTCAAGAGTGTGTCCCTTATTTTCCACTTTGCACAGTTTCTCAATCAACACAAGTATGGCCGCCTACTTGGCCAACAGGGGCTGCAATGTGACTGTGGTTTTCGAAAAAACCGACGCATTCTTAGCAAGCCCGTCGACGCTTCCACCGTTCATTCGCAAGAGCAGGCCAGTGCTCTCTTTGTATTCTCCCCAACCGTGAAATCCGATGCGTCCCTACAGATTGCTGTCTATTATGGCCGGACACCGAGTGCTCCACACCCGGCTGGAGCGCTTCTTCCACACCACGTGGCTGGGCAGCTGCCTCGTATGGATATTCTGGCTCCTGCTCAAACACGCCTCTGTAAAGCCCTGTCGCATCATCAGCTAATACTTAGCTCGCTGACCCCCAGTACAGCTTTTCGCTGCCGGCATAACGCCCTTCTCCCGGGGCCCCCTCCGCCCCGAGCACTTCCACCCGCTCTTCTGGAGCACCAGCGTCAACGACGAAGGTGTTCCGTCTGCCACCGGCTTCCACGCGCTTGTCCAACAGGGTAAGATACGGGTAGTAGTACCCGCGCGGCTGCAAGGGTTTGGAAAGGACGGCGTGTCGGTTGTGACCACGGACTGGCGCAGCATCCCTGCTGACATATTGCTCCTCGCGACGGGGTACCAGTCGTCCTGGGCCAGTCTGTTTGATGGTATGGTTCATGCCTCTTCATTAAACTCCTCGCTCATCCAAAGCATAGAGCAAACAGCAAGGAGTATCGGGATGGCCCCGACGATGCTGAAATTTCCCGGCGACGAAGAGAGTGAAGCCGCTCTTTTCCCCCACCGTCTGGTTGGCGCCAAACCGCAAGCACGTCCGGCTGCCGAGAAATTCGGGCGGGCCACGCATATCTATCAAGGCATTGTTCCGAGCAAGAATATCGCTCGGAGGGACTTTGCGATCAACGGCGCTGTGGTATGCGGGCATCTGTCTCTCGATTTTTCGTTGCTTTTGACACGAGCTTGCAGTTCACAACGAATATTGGCTACACATGGGAGGTGGTGGCCCATTGGATATCGTCCTACTTCCTCAACGACCCGAGCCTGCGGGTCCCTGCAACGCCCGAGCAAGCCGAAGAGGTCGCGAAAACAGACGAAGCGTGGATGCATCTGCGGTACCCAGACTGGTTGCAGTGTGTTCATTGTCCATATGCATGAAACAACTTACTCAGCGTCAACAGTGTCAACGAGTCGTATAGCAGCCTAATTGCATTTTGGACGTAAGCGGAAATCCCAGCTCATCCAGTTTATTATGTAAACCCCCGCTGCAGATGGCCACAGTACACCGACCAACTTTTGCAAGACATGGGTCTGTCAAATATGCGGTCCGGGGGAAACTGGTTCAGTTGGCCCTTTAAAGTTGTTGACCTTAAGGAGATCTCGACGTTGAAGGAGGAAAGGGTAGCCAACAGGAGCAGAGGTTTTTAGGTGGTGATATACAGAGACATGCGTTGGATACAGTATTTTACCTGGAAACTGAAGGTCTACTGTGTCCAGTGAGCCATCTTTAAGACAAAAACAATGTACCAGAAACACTGTCTATGTCGCTGTGAAATGGAGTTTGTGCAAGGTATCAGCCAACACCTGGGTCAGTAACTCGGCATATCAGTTTGGTTCTCAACAGGATGAGAGAGCTCAGTGTCCCGGCGTCACAACATGTGCTCAATACTAATCCGTTTCCTTAGCTCGTTTTTGCAACCTCTAATGCCATATCGAACGATCTCCCATACGCCCTGCCACACGCCACCGTTGTCCCACTCGACGTCGACCAAGACTGCCTTTTTGTGTGAGCACAGAACCACCGTCCGTCCGCTGCCGTCTTCCCCAACAATCGCGAGAATGACACACCCACAGCGGTAGTCCGCACCACCGGAAGCAACAGCTCTATAGGCTCAGAGTCATTTGAAGAGCTCACTGCATCACCACCAGGCGACTGGGGTCACTGGGCATCGAAGCTTTGCCTCTGCCTCATCCTCAACATCGCTGACGTCACGTACTTCATCCTCGACTTCCCCAAAACCTGTGTTGCAATTCCCTTCTCCTCAAGTAACAGCGAAACTCACCTCAAGACCACCGCCAGTACCCCCCCTGGCCCGCGCAGACGATACGATGTGTTGTTTTCCTCTTTACACTCCGCCCACCTTTCACAAAACCGCGAAACATTATCTCCGCCGAAACGACGGGCCGCGGGCTGGAGGGGCTTGTCGGTAGACCTCATCAGGGATCCTGCGGGGGGAGGGAGACACTCCAAGAAGCAAAATCTGTCGTCAATATGGTGGGTCTATTTGCTTCACATTATACTGCCTGTTGAACGGACTAGGACCGAGTGTGATCCACAGGGAACAGGCTCGCTTGACCGCGACGCGTTTGCGCGGGGAATGTGGCGAATTGACGAGGAGCTCAGGCATGCAGCGGAGGTGGGCAGTCTGGCGAGGAGAACGAGCTCGAGGCGGGTTGGTGGTATACGTTGACTTCATTTTTCTCTATGGCATATACATCGGACCTTCTATTAGGTATACTCACAGTAGCATGACAGGTGCAGCACAATAATAAGGCATTGCTTTTTTTCAAAACAGCTAGTTCTTCGCTGCTGCAAAAACACGCATGGTCTCCGACCAGGTCTCGATATTACCGACAGCCAAATAGCCTGAAGAATTGGAACCAGGCTTCAAGGATCTTGAGCTCTTCAGTTGTACAGCTGGAAGCGGCTGCCAAGGCCCATGGATTTTTGCTTGTTGTTGGCTTTCCTGTGACCAGCTTTGATTTTCAACTTGAAGACTATGATGTGTGGTGCCAACCCTATATGTTTTGCTTTCTTTCTTTCTTTTTCATTTGCGCATCACTCCAAACTTGAATAAAGGTAACGCATATAGCATATTGGAAAAAAGTGTAGGTCATAACCATGCTGCAAATTGGCTGCAATTTGTGGAGTATACCATTGATTGCTACCCAGACGCAGCAACAACCCGCGCCCAATCTTCCTCCCCCACCAGTGGCCGTCCCGCTTCCCTCCAGGCAGCCGCAAGCCAGGACCCCGGCGCTGAAGACCACCGTCCTCGAAATAGATCAGGCTCGAATGCATCAAGAATTCTGGCCCCCGCACTTTGCGCCTCGGCCATTTCGGTGCATCCATTTGGCAATGACCACTCCTCTGCATGGACCGGATTTGTCATCGTCCACCCCAGCTGTCCCGCGATCTTCTGGGCGCGAGAGCAGTCGTGCGACCAGCCTCGGAGCGAAGCCAGCAGCTTATGCTGGTCTTGTGGCTTGATGGCTGCAGCACCGTGTTTTACCACTATGCTTGCCAGTCGCATTGTTGCCACGACGTTTCCGCTGTTTGGGAAGTGGAAGGCCGTGACGCGGTGGCTGAGCTGCTCGAGTTCACCGATGGTCTCGTCATCTAGAGAAGCTGGGGCTGGCAGAGGTAGTTGTGAGGATAGATTAGCGGGGACGATAGTAGAAGGAGGGAATATGCTGATTCGCTGGGATGGCTCACAAGCCTCTGTTGATGTTGGCACATCATGACAATCCAGGCACTGCTTGAGCCAGTCAACGATATCTCTGAGTAATGGACGAGAATGTAGAGAGCTGTCTGGCTCTGCAGCACAAATCAATGTCCATCGGTCACTCTGCCACCAGCCACTCAGACAACCAGTAGAGACAACGACGACCTGGTCGGGTCGCAGGCTTGCCTCCTTGACGCGATGCTCAAGATGAGACCTTTTGAAGTAAAACAACTGGCCATCAGAGTCGGGACCAAAAAGGACATGTCCGCCAGCGGTGCCTTCACACTGCCCGCATAAAACTAGGATGACCCGTCCATCACTTGGTGTGTTCTCGAGAGCAGTGCAGAGAGTGTAGGAAAAGTCGCTGTATAGGTGGTCAGGCGGGACAATGGTGAGCCCTTCTAATTGCGAATCATGATGTGGGTTCAAGCTCTCGAATGGTAATGCTCCAGCTTGATCCGCAGTCAGGAGCCACTCAGAGCGAGTCGAGGAAGAGGCAAGGAGATATTTGAGCGTCAATAGATCTCGAAACATCCATTCATCGTCGGGGAGGCGGGTGGAACAAACAACTCCTAAAATGTGTACATGTGTGTGCATTTGGGAGAGTCTCGTGTGTGACAGTTGTGCTTGTCACACTGATGAGCTTGACCATCACATGTATCTGGATTACTGTTGTGCCTCCCGCTCCTTCTCGCTCTCCATGATAGCCTTGATCATTTCGCCACCCATAACCCCAGCTTCCTCAAACCGACTTTCAAAAAATGCTCGGGTTTCGTCAAAGCGCCGTCGATACAACTCAAAGCTGCCAAAACTGACACACTGGCTCCATCCACGGGCAGCAACTACAAATTCAAGGTCGTCCTGGCGATGCCAAGTGTCGTACAACGCTGAATGAATAGCGCTTTGGAGAAGAGTGGGCGAGAGAAAGAGGTGCTCAGCCACACCAAGGAAAAGGCGGAATATGGGGGTAGCAGCGAGGAGCAAATGCTCAAAGGGCTGGATGCTGAGGTGAGCCCAACAGTCGACCATAGCTAGTAGCGATAGATGGGAGTTGGCCTTGTCTGTCTTGCCCGTGGGGGTCCCCAGACTGAAGCGGTCGAGAACATCGGAGGACAGTAATATGGGCGTCCGCTTTTTCTCTGCCCCAAACACCGTTTTGCCTGCCCACTCTATCCTGTCACGGAACTTCTTCTCCGCCTCGCTGTCGCTTCCAGACTCGAGCATCATCGTGAATAACACCGTTGCGCTTGCGGCAAACTGGTCTATTTGAATCTTTGCGCTCGGGTTGAGAATGGCCAGGCCCGCGTAGACATGCCACTTGTTGGAGTAGATGCGGAGCGCAATGTTGACTTTCGCGGTCTCTATCCCCCCCACATAGAGTCCATGTTCCCATGGGTAGGTCCGCATTGACGCCCAGGCGGTACCCATGCTGTTTCTTAGTGAGTTAAGAATATGACAAGGAGAAAAACAACCTTAGGAAGGCGGCGTGGGTCACGGCCTGGGTGTTGGCGGTTACAAGATCATGCTCGTCGTAAGACATGTAGACGAAGCGTGAGCCGAAGCAGGACAGGATGGTCTCCACCTGCTTCAGCGCTTCAACAGAGGCTCGGTGTCGAATTAAAACCTGGCAGTAAGCATTGCATGAAAAAGCAATGAAAAGAAAAATCACCAATGGCTGTCCAATGGGCGACACCCCCGGCCCATGCAGAGAATGGCACGACACTATCTGTGCATCCGGTGGGAGATGGTTCTCGAATGCCGCCTTTTCCGGCGCCTTCACGGACGTCTGGCCAGCAACGATCGCGTTGAGTTTGGTTGCTTCGATGGGAAAAGATTAAAGGGTTATATCAGCAGCGGTCCGGATACAAACAGGGTCCGTATTCAGCGACAACCGACTCGATGAACTCGGCCTCGACCGAGTACATGATGAAGTCAGCTGACCGCGAGACGGCATGGCCATCTGTGAGGACAACGACTCCGGGTACACCTATGGTAGATTAGATGGGGTCCCCCCCGTTAAAACGTCCTCATACCATCATATTCTTGCTTGAGCGCCTCGTACTTGGACGGCAAGTCGCAGACATGGATTCTTGTAGCAAATCAGCTTGCTGAAAACAGCCCAAACAGCGATTAACTTGGTCCATCCGCCTTGAGAGAGATATTTGGTGTACATGCGGCCCATTGCACCCATCCCGATGAGCCCGATTGTCGGCTGCGGGTCAGTCGACGACGACATGCTGGCAGGAGGGAAGGAAGGCGAACACGGTCACGTGGAGAAAATGAGTCAATTTCCGCGGTTCGAACCATGCGTGGGGAGCACAGTCTACATACTGATACACCAACTATTACTCGAGTGTAGTCTAGATGACCGAATTACTGATGATAGGCTATATGTTTTGAACGAGCGTGGGGTTACAGCGAGGGTGGTGATGGCTGGTACTACAAGGATGCGATGCGAAGACTAAAAAAACACAACAGAAGGCAACATGCACAGGGCTCACAGAGCCCAATAACCACTTCGTCTTGATGGCGTAGCAGACTTGGCGGACACAATCGTGCCGTCCTGGTAACAAGGTCGTCGTCAACGCATCGGGGAATTAGTCGGATAAACTCACTGGACTGAATGCGCTCCGGTCATAAACGTCTCCATTGGCGCCAGTGAACGACGCCCGACTCGTGCTTCGGTGCAACGACTGCATGTAAAAATGCGAGTCCGCATCGCCTTCGGTTTCCTCGCACTCCGGTTGCTGCCGCGAGCCAAGCTGGTACAGATCGATGATGTTGTTGACCACCGAATGGCCAGTGTTGAGCTGATTCTGGGGCGGAGCACCATCAACGGGAGTAGTAAAATTATCTCGCAAGACATACGCTGGCAGTTCCGGGATGGTGAGAGCCGCTTTGGCCCCGCGATCGAGATAGAATGTCGTTTGGTCGTCGTAATTGCGTGGACGCACGCGCGTTGAGACTTGGGAAGAGTCGGTATATGGTTGTGAAAGGCAGAGAAGCTCTCACGATGCAAGAAAAGAGTTGGACGAGACTGGAAGCTATCAGACTTTTGTTAGATCGCAACTACAAGAACTCACCTTTCGTCAAGATGGCGAGAACGGCCATCCAAATGACTGACGGCCCGGTTTTAGTGGGACAGAACAGACGAGATAAGCACTCACGGTATTCCCCCAAGACGAGGTACTAAAATTGCTGAGTTTGTAATTGGGACGAGAGTGTAATGGACTCACGCAGACCAAGGTGACAAGGAACGACAGGCTAAATGAAGAATTGAAACGACGTTGTTGTAGTTGCTTGCATTGCCCACCTGGTGATCACACCCGTTTCTGCGGCACAAAGGGTTAGAATAGAATGTCTGGCCTTCGAAATTGAATACACACGCAATGTCCATAGAATGACCCGATCCAGTAATTGCCTAGCACTCGCGCTGTTGAGGTTAAGCCTCGAAACCGCTGATGAAGAGCTGACAAACTTGGTCGAAGTTTTCGCACGCGAACGTCGTTGTGCGAGGAAGTAGGCTATCCAGGCGGAGATGGCCAAATCGATCACGGCGCTCATGCCAAGCAACATGGCTAGGAGCCAGCCAAAAGTGTCGATGAAGCGGGACAGTGAGGGGGTGATAATGACGTGCACCGCAATGAACACCCATCCACACCAGCGAGCGAAGGCGAGTCCCCAGCCCACGAGAGCGACAGAAAGCTTGCCAGAAAAGCGGAGGAGACGACTGACATAGAATGCCTAGAGGGAATGAGTCTTGAACGGGAACCAACAATGATTACACGCACCTCTACTAATGGCCCGACGGCACTCCCGAGTAAGAACGATACTCCAACTGTTCTCGGTGGGCTTAACATGGCCGTTATGTCCCCAGACCTCGTTATCGTTATCGAGTATAGGGCATGGCTCACGCAGCCCAGTTGGCCCAGCTCGAGGACATAAATCCCAAAGACCTAACTCATGTCAACACACAAACGCGACCATAGAACAGCAAACACACCAGAGTCCTGAGCGGCCACGAATCTGTTGGTACAAACTTGCGGTTGTAGATGAGGACTTGCACTGTGAGTGCACCAAAGAGGAAGCCAGAGGCAAGGAAGCCAATTTGGAGAGAGCCCAGGTCAAGATTGAGGGTGCGAAGAGGATGGTCCATGTGCAAAATTTAAAAAGAGGAAAAGAGAAGATAATAAAATGGGTGTAGGAAGAGAAATGAAAAGTAAGCAATATGCGCGGCAGTGGTCATTACAATGCTGGGTCAGAATCTGATGAGTGGATGTTGTTGGTAGCCCTGATCGACACGAAGTTGTAGATCTCTTGGTCTGCGAAATGACGAAGTACTTGACACGATCACGGGGCAACACGGGGCAACCGGGCTGCCCTTGCAAGACAAGCCCGTGTGGTCGGCCGGTCGCCTACTTATCTCCGATACGCAAAGCAGCTTGATTACGGGATACTACCAACCAAACAAGTCAAAACAAACGCGTCGCGTTGTGGTAATGTAAACGGAAGCAAAAAAAATCATGCGGACCGTCGTTTCTTCCGTTGACCACGCTCCTCCCTCCCATTCTTGCGCTTCCTTTCCGACTCGTCTTCCAGACTGCTCATTTCTGACAGATCGTCGCTTGAGTCACCCCCATCATCCGTCGCGCTCGCCAATGCCGCAGTCCGAACTTCTGGGTAAGTCAACCCGATTCCCAGTCTAGTCCGTTCTGGCGTTGTCAACTCCGTCGTTTGTCCCTTGCGCCGCTCCTTCTTGGCCGCCACATCCAGCCACGTGTCCCCCGAGGCAAACCGAAACATCACAAACGGCTCGTTAGAATCGTCGTCCACCGCTGCAGCAAACAGGCCGTGGCCGTCAGCTTGGCTGTCGCGGTCTTGTTTCTTCCAATGAAAGGTAACAAACTCCCAGTGGTTGTCTGCCAGCCCACTGCCATCTCGAGCCCGCGCCCGTTTTATCCCACTGAAGGTCCCCACTCTGCCAAAGTGCTCGACTTTTCCAAAGATGTTTTTCAACGTCGCTTTTCGGCCCGACGGACAGGAAATAGTGAGGGAGCCGGGGCTGGGTGTCTGCATTTTGGAGTAGTTAACTTCCGTGGGTGGCTCGGGCGGATCGGGAAATTCATAAGTCCTGTCTACATTTGGTTGACAGCATTTACAGTCCAATGAACTACTCACCAACGGTACACCCCACACAGTGTTGAGAGACTGATGGGCGTTTCGCGTTGTTTCTGAACCGACGTCAGACAGCACTCGGAAGGTAGAATGGCCACGACTCACAAAACCTACAATGACCTCGTCCTCCTCAAAGTACTTGGGATAGTCCTCGTCGCGTTTGCTCTCTTCAGGATCGAACCACCAGTCTGTGACTGTTTCGGAAGAAGAAGATGATAGTGAACTCGACATGTGAGCAGTAAAAGGCGAAACGGGCCCACAACGGGAGGCAGGAGGGGGAGAAAAAGAGAAAGAGCTGGCAACCAGGGAAGCGGGAGAAAAGAAGGGAGTGAGAACTTAAAGGGAGGCAGAAGGGGCCTAGCCGGCATGTAATCCAACAACGAGGCATGCTATGATGCCGTACGCCAAAAGGGCTGCCTTAGGTAAGTATTTCACTCTCACCGCGCTCTACGTCTCGGCCTTCTCAGCCGCCACCAACTCGTCTACCGATTCTGGTGCCCCGACTTCCCCCTTCCATCCATTTGCCTCAAGGAAGGCGGCAAACCGGGCATCTTCTTCCGCCAGGTCTCCACCGAGACTGAATACAATTCTGTTAGCGCCGTACGAAACATATAAAAAAAATTGACTGACTCATTACGAACGAAGAGGACCGTGACCAACATTCCTGCCAACCCACAAATTGCCGCGACGATCTACAGTAGCGTTTGACGTTTCAGACGACTGGAGCGAGCTCGGTATCCCACAGGGACTTACAAACGTCCACCTTGGGCCAAGATTGTTTCGGAGTGGAGTGAATGCTTGGGTCCCCAACACTGCACCAGTCTTGCCTACTGCGGCGCTGAATCCATAGCAAGTGCCACGGACGGCTGTCGCATACGACTCGCTTGAGGTCAGTCCCAGCCTGTTCTCATCAAGTCAGCACGGATCCATCTGTCAAACAAACAACACACATGTCGCCCGGTCCAGCATTCGCGAAACTGTTCATAAGCCCGTACCTATATCGATCCAGTAAGAAGAGTCGCAAATGAATCCACAACGTACAATACGACGAATCCAGCCACATTCTTGATGACCTTGTCGTACGCCAGTCCGACGGCCAACCCTAATGCCGTCAACACACAGTCTGTCATGGGGAGACACGGACCAAAAATAAGATAGCCAGAAAAACCCATGACCATGGTGTTTCTTCGGCCAAGACGGCTACAAATTAGAATCACACTCTTCGAATGTTGGATCGTCTTACTTGACCAACGCTGCGCCTACAAAACACCCAGGAACCGATATAATTCCCAGCAGTAACTGATACTCGGCAGTTTTCCGAACAAGTTCTGTCATTGAATTAGGAGTGAAGGCTGCTGGCTTTCTACTGACCATGGCCCGATGCTTTGACGATGGAAGAGATAATCACTCCAGAGACTACAATTTCATCAGACCATTGGACTCTAGGGCGAAGCAACGCACAAATGCCGTTGGGAAACGTCACGAAATCGTACAAGAACCAAGCTCCTGCGGTGCCAATCAAGCTCCGCCAGTAGTAGCGCACGATGAGCATATAGGGTACATCCTTTTGGATAGCGCCCTTGCGGTAGAGCGCAGAGTTGAGCATCTTCAGTCGGAAGTAAAACACAATCAACGCTGCTCGTTGGTCAGCTTCCGATTCGAGCCAAGATAATCACTGACGAGGAATAGCGCTGATTCCGAAAACAGTCCTCCAAACAGTAGAAAGGTTGGCGGAGAGACCTCCAGCTGCTTGGAAGACAATCAGGTAGAGAATGCATGCTACCGGGCCACCCATCCTGTTCACGCCTTAAGCAATATCGACAGCATGAAAGGCTTGTCTCACGAAAGCACAAAGTTCGTGACCTATTGCCGTTGAGTTTGAGACCAACATCTAGTCGGAAAACGCACGATGATGAATACTGGACCGCGTTGTTTAAGCATACGCTCGCTTGGAGATAGGTTAGCGTTGCCCTTTGTCGCTGGAAAGAGCCACATACTTGGCAGCCTCAGCCGCAGACGTCGAAGAACTTGGATATTCGCCGCCTACTCCCAAACCAGTGATTCCGCGGGCAATCTTTGTCAGATTAGTTCCAGATAGTACGGTCCGAATGACCACGCACCGTAAACATCCAAAGAAAACCGTGAAACGAGCCATGGGCCCCATGCGCGGCGGTCGCAAGTATGACGCCGATAACGATGAGCACCGTCGAAATAACAATGCCATACTTGCGGCCCTTGATGTCGACAATATACCCAATCGCAAGCTGCCCCAGAATAGTCCCGACGGTCAACGAGTTCGAGAGTTGGGTCGACCAGAACGAATTGTAAGCCTGTTTGCCGTAGATCTGCCCGAAAACGACGTTGGTGAGGGACATGATGTTCTGCATTGGTGTTTTCGTATAAGTCAAGGAGGTTTGGCGCGTTTCACGCGTCGAAATGTGGACTAACATTCTGCAGTCCATCGCTGATGAGCGCGAAGCCTGAGAGAGAGAACAGGTCGTAAGTGTAGAAGCCCGTCAAACAGGACGACAAACCAGAGCAAGCGATTGTAAAAGCACTCGATAAACGCTCTTTCCGCGAGACAAGTGCCTGAACATCGTCAGGCGTTGCTTTCTCGTCTTGAACGGAAGCTGCACTCATTCCTTGTCTTCGACGTCGGCGTTAAGTGTGGGCAGTCATTTATAGAGCAGGGGAATCGTATTCGAACGTGGGTCATGGGAGCTCGGAAGGAAGCAAGTTCAATGTGCCCCATCAGCCCAACTGCCAAGCGTAGAGCAGTTCCAAATATAGCGCAGGCTTTGGACAACACAAAAACTTGATTTCAGTCGGGTAATTCTTCTATTAGTATGGAGGTCATCAGGAAGAGGTTTGTTGCAAGCGATGTTACATGCGAAATTAGGTACACTGAGGACAATCGATTCAACTTGGCGCAATCCAATTCGTCGCCACATGCCCAATCTAAGTTACAACAGTCTCGATGGGTCGTCGACAAAGGAAAGGCATAAACACGTCCACAGACGGCGAAGAAACAACTCTTCTGTGCTTTCCCAAGTCTCACTCCTCGGAGGTCTTGAGTAGAGCCACACAAACGCAAGCAGTGAGAATGAAAGTCGAGAAGCCCAGAATTCAATGAATGTCAAATGGAGGGTGGAAACCTTCACAAGCCTGCAAACGCGGTGGCACTCCGATTTCGTGCACTGCCGACCTTGGTTCGGATATGGAGGTACTCGAAAGGGTCGCCCGAAGGTCATCGACTGAGCGCAACGACTAGTAAAGGCGTCAATGAATGAAGGGGGAGCCAATAAACAGAGATGAACCATAGAGCGGAAAGTGTATCAGGTAATGGATCAAACCTGGAGCAATCCTATTCGTCACCACATGCCCAATCTAAACCACAACAGTCTCGATGGGTCGTCGACAAAAGAAAGGCATGAGCACGCCCGCAGACGGCGAAGAAACAAATCCCCCGTCCTTTCTTATGTCTCACTCCTCGGAGGTCTTGAGTTGAGCCACCCAAACAAAAGCAGTAAACATGTAAGTTGTGAAGCCCGTCATTCAAAGAATGTCAGACGGAGGGTAAAAACTCTTCACGAGCCTGCAGTCGCTGTGGCACTCCGATTTTGTGCACTGTCGTCCCCTGGTTTGGATATGGAGGTATTCGAAAGTGTTGGCTACTTGTCCTGCACGAAGTACAACTTGAACAACTAAACAAAATGTCAATGATCATGAGTGGAGGGAGGAGGCAAGAACGACCAGTAGGCTGGGGGGCATTGAAGGGAGGTGAATCAAGCGATGGATCAAACTTGGAGCAATCCCATTCGTCGCCACATGCCCAATCTAAGTTACAACAGTCTCGATGGGTCGTCGACAAAGGAGAGGCATGAACGCGTCCACAGACGGCGAAGAAACAACTCTTCTGTCCTTTCCCAAGTCTCACTCCTCGGAGGTCTTGAGTAGAGCCACACAAGCGCAAGCAGTGAGAATGAAAGTCGTGAAGCCCAAAATTCAATGAATGTCAAATGGAGGGTGGAAACCTTCACAAGCCTGCAAACGCGGTGGCACTCCGATTTCGTGCACTGTCGACCTTGGTTCGGATATGGAGGTACGAAATGGGTTGCCCAAAGTGTCACCAGAAAAAGGACTCTGAGATAACTGGCAGAGGACGCAAGCAGAACACCAGCCGACTGGGACATGATACTTAGAGGAGTGAAAGCAAGTGCCACTTCCGCTGTCACAGCGGATACCATTATGATTTGGTCACTTCTGTCTCAGACACTCACATCGCGATCTATTGGCATGTGCACGTAGTTGTTGGGCCTTTTTCGCCATACTCTACAGCAAGCGCTCCCGTCAAGTATGGCGAGCTTCATTAACCTCTATTCCGCTTCTGCCGCCGTGTCCAGTCGGACTGATTGAACCCCGCTTGGCGTCCTTGCTCTTCTCGGACCGCGACGGCTGTGAGGTACGTGCTTTATCAGCTCGCGAACTCATATCTAACTCTACTAGCAATGCTCAGACCCATCGGACACCGCCGCGGTTGATCTGGTGCTGTGCATCCAAGAATGTGACGGGTGTTTGAAGGATAAGAAGTAGGTCTTGTGCCGCCTGTTACGGGTTACTTATTGGTTCAACTGGACGCGCTATAATCAGATTTCGCCACCATCGCCGATTCCACAACTGCCAGAGTTTACTCCGTTTGATTTCTGTCTCGTCACCGACGGCAGTAAGTGATGCGTTCTTCGACACTTTTTCGGTCCCATTTATCATGAACAGGCTATATTACCAATGAACTTGACACATTCCTCGACAAAATCAAGGACATGTCTTTGGACGACCAACGAGCAACAGTGCAAGCAAAATCAGCTACCTTGAAGGAGACACGAAAGGTATACTCTATCTCACAACTATCTTCAGTAACTTGACTCTGTGTTCAGCACCTTTATGCAATCCGTCGCTGGGTCGACCAAAGGGCAAAGACTGAAGCGGCCGATTCCGAAGTCATCCTTCAACAACGATATCATGAGTGTGTGCCATGCATCCAACCGATATGGTTTTCTTATCATCCTCAGCATCCGACAACGGTTACTCGACCTGGGCTGGGAAGCGGAATTTGCACTTTTGGAGCGTCCAGAGCATGAAGGGGATCTCAAGGCCGTCAAAAAGCATTTCCTCATCAATAAGGCTCATGCTTTAACAGTTCATGGTATCTTTTTCGGGCCGGGCTTGATCTGGATAACATTTTGCTGATGCTCTCGCAGAGTGGCGCAGAATCGGCCCATCCACCCTACGTGTTATCACAAAACGGTGTGCAACGATCAAACAGCGCCAGTTGAACTCTACAAGCAAGCCGAAGCAAAAAAAGAAGAATATGCACAAGCGAAAGCAAGACCAACTTCGAAGTCCCTATTATCTACAATCTACGACAACTTCGTTCAACCCCACCCTACTCAAACTTTTTTCAATCAAATGTGCATGTCAAGCTACGGGCTCCTCTTTTCCTTGCTTGTCTGGGTTTCTCTGTCTCACAACGAAGGATCTGGAGACTTTGTCAAAGAGGCATATTGGGCCTAGTACTAGTAGCTTCTGTTCACACAATATCGATTTTGTCTTTTTCTGATTCTAATTCTGCATCGACACTCTTTTCGCGACTGGGACTGTCTGGTTTGGCGCCAATTGCGAACGAGATTTTCTCGAATTCAACCACACCGATCTTTCGTATGACGGCCCAGGCAAATGGGAGAGACAGCACAACTAGATTGGTGAGAAGAGAATGCAGGTGGACGTAGCAACACGTACTTAGGCCGACATTCAGTCCGATGGATAGCCAATCAGTTGTGTCGCTTGATTTGATGCCATACGCGACTGCCTGGCCGGCACACTCAACTCCCCCGCAAGGTCCCCGTCATGTATGAGAGCGCGATGAAGTCGTCAGACACTGATGTTCGAATGAGTCGCAGTGTTCTCTAAGCGAAAGACACCTACTCTGTCCAATGATCCAGTACAGACTCGTTTGAGTTGCCATTGTCGCGAGGTCGAAGAGGATGAACAGGACGAAGGTGCTTGCGAAGATGCTGCCTGAACTCCAGTCGATGACGGGTTTCTTGTCCTGGAGCTGTTTGGTGACGACGGCGGTCCAGATCCTTCGAAGGTTTATTAGTTGAACGACTTTGAAGGCAGAGTAAAAAGTGATACCATAATGCAAGGTTCAAGACCATAAGACCGATGAAGCTCAATCGCGCCCGTTGTTTGACTGTCAGACGTTTGTTGTCGAGGAAGTACCCAATCATGAACCCTCCAGCAATATCTCCGAAGGGTATGACGAAAGCTACAGGTGGATTCAGATGTGATGCTTCCATGTCAATGGAACTGACCACAGAGAGCCCGTGTCCGCACATTCATGTACTGGGTTTGCAATGTTCCGATGTAAGAGCCGTAGAACCAAGAAGTAAAGAAAAGCGGGCATAGAAGGAGGATCTGATTGTTTTTTTTCGAGTCAGACATCCAATAACGGTAGAAACGACACCCACATCGCGCGAACAAACAACCTTCCACCATTCAGCAAGCGTTTGCGCCCAACCCATCTGGCGGAAGACAATTTTGACGCCGTCTTTTCGCTGGACCTTCTCTGGATGCGAGAGAAGAAGCGCGATGAACGGACCGGCACACATGATTCCGATGATGACCAGGTAAGTTTGGAGAGACACTGCCCCAGCAGAATCGATCTTGTTGTTGAGTCCGAAAATTATAGCGCCGCCAATAACCGGGGCGGCATTTCTCATGAAGACCCAGAGTCCGAGCATGCGGCCTCTTCGGTCGGGCTCGGGGTAAGCTTCAAGGAAAAGTTGGCATTTTCAGTTCATGGAAAGCAAGTCGGCCTACAGGTGATGATAGGCCCTTCTACCGCATACATGAGACCGTCGGTACAGCCAGAGATAATCGAGCCTAGAAGAGATTAGCTCGAAAGGCGACGGTAAAAGACGGGCCGTTTGTACCGAGCATCAAGAACCATTGAGTCCCATTCTTCGAGTTGAGATAGAGACTGCCGGCATATCTAACAAAACTTGAGCTACTATGTTGGCTGATTGGATGGAGCCTCGCGCACATGATATCACCCGTGCTGGCAATCTGGGAAGTGGGTAGGTTTGAGCGACGATGTGAGGCGCGGAACGAACGAGTAAGGAGGCGTTGACGCCGATTTTGGACACGATAATCCCCCCAGTTATGCAAAGAACGGCCATAAACACTTGACGAGCGTCATGAACCAAGTAAAAAATAATGCATGGACACACCGTAACCAGCTGCAGCTGTCGCATTTGCATACCAAGGCGTTGCGAGACCTCCAGCACCTAGCGAGCTGAGAGCATTGTACATGCCCTGCTTTCATGAGAAGGTTAAGTTTTCAGAGTTCGAGAGCATACCGGGGCCTGAACTCAATGAGTATCGGTGAAAAATTGAAGGAAAAAAACGGACACAAAAGAACACGCCTCCGACAACGAAGATCTGGAATATCGTGCTTCGAAACCAGTGGATTTTGCTATGGTCAAGTTGGCCATCGCTCTTGAGCTCTGGGGCTTGGTCGGTCATGAAGGACGGATGAGCGGGCCCGGGTGGAGAAAGATGGTTAGATTGGGGCGTTTCTTCTTAAAGTATTCATGCTAAGTCTATCACGGCTCCGGTGGGTTGCGTATGGGCGATGTATGATAAGGGAGCCGCTCTTTAAGCATGTGCAACTCCGATAGGTGGTTTTCAATGAAAGCAGTTGGTCTAGAAGTGGCAATGGATCCAAAGTAGCCCGCCAGAGGTCAGATTTAGGTTAAGAAAGACACAGGAAGACTTTTGCGTCGAGTCATGGTGGTATTCGCCCCTCGACGGGTGAGTTTGGGCTGATTACAGTAGAAGTTGGCTGCAGTTCTCCGTTTGTCTCCTCGGCTATCATCGGCAAGCGAGAGTCGCCATCACATCCATCACTTTGGACTTCCTTCTTTCCTCGCTGCTGCTCTTCTTGGAGCACACAGTGACTCCATGCTACTATTACCATGGTCTCTCCTTTTATTGGCACACACCATTCTCGCCAGTCGCCCAGCGAAGCGATTCTATGACACGCACAACTATTATGTCCTTGAACACGATCCCCACACTGGTATTCCACTTTCTGATGCTGCCAAAGCCCTTGGTGTGGAGGTCGTAGAGCAGGCTGGGGAGCTTGCAAACCACTGGCTTGTCAGAGTGGAGAAGCCACCACTCAATGCGCGGGGCGAAGAAGAGTCGGATTCTGTTCTCCATGCATATAACGAGCTGCGAAGGGGAGCACAAAACCTGGACCGGCGGTCACCCCTTCTCGCCTCGACAATCCCTTTCCTACAACGCCAAGTCCTTCGCCAGCGTGTAAAAACGAGCCCCTCCCCCAATACCTCCGCCTTCAAAAGCATCATCCCAAGCTGTCGCTGACCGCATGGGCATCCAGGACCCGCTCTTCACAAAACAATGGCATCTTGTCAATGACGAGTTCCCTGAGCATTCGATGAACGTGACTGGCGTGTGGGAGAAGTTTGGATTGACGGGCAAAGGCGTGATTTCGAGTCTTGTCGACGATGGACTCGACTACACTTCTGAGGACCTCAAGGACAACTTCGATAGATGGGACAGCTACGATTACAACGACCACGAAGAGCTCCCAACCCCCAAACTCAGCGATGATCACCACGGCACGCGTTGTGCTGGTCAAGTCGCTGCGGTCAGGAATACTGCTTGTGGAGTTGGTATCGCCTATAACTCCAAAGTCGCTGGAGTTCGCATTCTTTCCGGCCCGATATCCGACGTTGACGAGGCTGCCTCGCTCAACTACGGCATGAAGAACGTCTCAATCTATTCGTGCTCTTGGGGTCCACCTGACAACGGCAAATCCATGGAGGCCCCAGGGTATCTCATCAAGAAGGCCATCGTAAACGCAATATATAATGGGCGGAACGGGTTGGGGGCAATTTACGTTTTTGCGAGTGGAAACGGTGCTTCGGTGGGTAACTCTTCTGTCCTGTTTCCTGTTGAAATAATTGGACATAGCACGGCGATCATTGTAATGCCGATGGGTACACAAACTCCATCTACTCGGTCACCGTCTCTGCCATCGACTACAAAGGTCTTCGACCATACTACTCTGAGCCTTGTGCTGCCAACATGATCGTCGCTTACAGCTCCGGGAGTGGTAAATCCATCGTGCGTAAACAAGACTTAGTGAAAAAAACGGATGTCTAATATTCAAATAGTACACAACTGACAAAGGCGAAAACGCTTGTGCCAGCACTCACGGAGGGACATCTGCTGCCGCCCCAAACGCGGTCGGGGTCTTTGCCCTTGCTCTCGAAGCGCGACCAGATCTTACTTGGCGCGATATTCAATATCTGTGTGTTCTCACCGCCCGCCCAGTTAACAAGGACGACTCTGACTGGGAACCTACTGCTCTGCCCGGTCGAATGTATTCTTACAAATACGGCTTTGGCGCTCTCGATGCGTACGAATACATTAAGGCCGCTCAAACTTGGCAGCTTGTGAAACCACAGGTGTGGTTCCGGACCCCGACCGTCCAGGTTGATCGCGGAGTTATGCCCTCCTTGGAACAATATTCTGGTGGAAGATTCATCCCTCACGGCGGTTTGACGAGCGTGATGAAAATAACCCCCGCAATGGTTAAATGGGCGAATCTGGAGAAGTTGGAGCACATCAATGTGAAGGTTTGGATCAACCATGGTAGACGAGGTGACGTGGAGGTCGACATCCGGAGCCCCAGCGGAATTCGTAGTGTGCTGGGAGCTAAACGAAGTGGCGATATGGCTACAACTGGATATCCTGGGTGGACTTTCATGTCGGTCAAGCATTGGTCAGTGATTTTCCTCTCATTGTCTATCTTGTGTTCACCAACTCAACTTACAGGGGTGAAGACCCAGTTGGAGATTGGACCATTAAAGTCTCTGATCAGGGCTCAGACAAGTTCAATGGCACATTCCTAGGATGGAATATGATTCTCTGGGGATCTGCTATTGATGCCTCAAAAGCCACGGCTCAGTTCGAGGTTCCACATGACGACGATGATATCGTTTTCCCACCTCATGTAACGCCACGACCGAGCCCAACCATGAGTGTTGCTACGACCACTAAGCAGCATTCCAAACCCACTGCACATCTGCCCGGTGATCACGGGACCGCGCCAGGCGAAAACCCCAATGCCGATAACGCAGTCGTCGTTTCATCCGGTGTCGCTGCTTCGGCCTCTGGAAAACCTACCGCACCCAGCACACCAACCGCAGACGAAGGCTGGTTCTCTGACATGTCGAATCTGGTCAAAAACCAGGCCTGGTTCTTCGGGGCCCTTGGGGCAGTCGTACTCTTTAGCGCTGGCGCCGCCTTCTTCTTCTGGCGCAGATCACGTGCTCGGAGAAGGAGCGAGTATGCATCGCTTCCTGCGGGAGATGAGCTGCCGATGAGTGGGCTTGGTGGCCGGCTTTCTTCAGGTGGCGGGGCGGGGGCTCGGACAAAGGAGCTGTATGATGCTTTTGGGGAGGTGTCTGATGACGACGAGGATGATGCCAACGAGGAGACAAGACTAAATGCACGGTCTGGATATCAAGATATTCCTCGAGGGAATAGCTCGAGACTGGATCTGCACGACACCCAGTATCGTGACGAGCCCGAGTCACAGCGAGGCAGTGGGGCAGCGAGCCCAGAGGCTGGCGCCAGTGATGGCAGTTGGGAGCATGCAACGACGTAAACCTATAGTATTGTTTTCCTGGAGGAGGATCTATTTCAGTATTTATACTTCATTGGCACAGACTACATTGTAATGGCACGATAGTAGAGCGAACAGGGCTACAAAGGCGAAACAACAAACAACAGAGTGAGATCAGCTTAGATTTACAACTAAGAGTGAAGTCAGAGTTCCGCTTCAGGACTGTCCTCGCGGCGGCTAGACTCGGATTGCAGCAATGCCTGCTCGAAACTGCGGCTAACTGCAGCAGCAAGAGGCACAGGAACAGCGTTGCCGATATGCTTGTAGTACTAGGGAAAAGAACCAGATAAACAGCAGCACAAGTCAAGTTCCGTGGCACCCACCTGACGAATGACACCTCCAGCATTGCTCGCGTCAGACCACAGCTTGAAGGAATCCGGAAAGCCTTGAGCGCGCTTAGCCTCCAAGACGGTGATCGTCCGTTTTTGCTGCAGACCAGGTCAATACCACTAAACAAAACCGTGCTCCGACAAACCGTTGGATGGAGAAGCTGGCTCCCATGACTACTCGGCGATACTTGAGTCATCGCAGTCTTGAACGGCCCATTCTCATCCAATCGCCCAAACTTCCGCGTCTTGTTCGGATTCAGCCGTTTGTGAAAAGCCCGTGGAAGATCTAGCAAATAGGATTCAGAAATGCGAGCAATCTTTCTCTTTATTTACCAGGATGTCCTGCTTTGGGCTTCAACGGTACCGTTACCGTCGCCTCCACAACGAACGACGAGTACCGAAGTGTCACGTGATCCTCTACCAAGGATGAGTTGCTGCGCCGCATTTCGCGTTGATAGCGGGTTTGGGGCTCTGTAAGATACGGCACAGGCTCGGCATATCCAACGGGCGTGGTAGATGCATCGCACTGCTTGATGCCAGACGCGAGTCTTGTTTGGACTGTCTTCTTATCTGCCGCAGTCTGGGCAATGACTTCGTGAGGGTTGATCCTGCCGGCGTCAGTAAGTGTGCGAAACCCAGGAGGAGCTTACCAATCGAATTTGGGGAGGTCACTTGTCGCGTCTTTGATCGTGAACCCGGGATGTGGTGCAAAATTGTTGCCGTCTTCATCATCCGAGTCGGTATTCGCCATCCGTCCGCGTTTGGCGCCGCCAATGAAGTCGCCCTCGATGAAGAGCTTGCGCCGCTGTGCAGGCTTGAACACGTGCATCGGCAGTGGGGGTTTCGGTAAAACAGAGCCGCGCCGGGCAGCGAACAGGAAGAAGCGCGGTCGGTTTTGCACACATCCATGCTGCCCCGCCTGGGCCAAAATCGGCGAAACTTGGTAGTTCAGGGCGAGTAAGACGCGGGTGAGCATAGTTTGAGGCAACGTGATTGTTTACATAAATGAATCGCAACCAAAAAAGGTCTACTCAAAGTGACTGCCCGGCACCCCTCGGCCCGCAACCGCTCTCATCTCGAATAACCACCGCCGTGAACGCCCATCCAAACGGGCCGCCCTGCCGCCTTCCTTCCCGCAAGCCACTCCACACAACAACGACCAAATCTACCTGCTGCGTTGTCTCCCGCTCTCCTCCTGATCCGCGCTTGCGCGTCTGGCCTAAAACGGCTGGATATCAAGGTCAGTCCCGCCCCGCCCTAGCCAGCCATAACGCTTACCCTACCAAAGAGAAGGCTCGCGCTGTCAACTCGCGGGCTCTTCGCGCGGAGAAGCCGTACTCGACATCCAGCTAAACTGCTCGGCGCTCCCGGTCCAACTCGTTCCGAAACCCATGCCAAACGAGCCGCCTCGTACATATGACCAAAGTAGCGGCTTTCTCTCAACACCGAATTGGCTATGACGCAAGGTCAGCGCCCGCAAACAGAGGCAATAACACATACCTTGCCGACGAGAACAACCCCAGACGTCAGCAGCAAAGCCTGAACTCGCACCACACACGGAAACAAACCACAAGTCCGTCGTGGAAATATCAGTGTTGCCCAAAAGCAAACACGAGACTGGGATGACATACAGTCATCTTACGTTCGCAAACGCAAGCTGTTCCGCAGGCCAAACTCTCGTTTGAGACGAGCAGTACCCGCCTATAAAGGGTACGACCGGTCCGAACCGCTTGCAGACTACTAGTCAAAATGTCAGTGAGAACAGAGTTGAGAACAAAGTACTTACCACGCAATCTCGGTCAAGACGCGCTTCCAAGAGCACCAATCCGAATGCAGATCTGTCAGAGGTAAGCAAACCAGGTCCAGCAGTACCCGCCGATGCAAGGACTGTCGCAACGAGCAGAATTTCATCGCCGACCTGCTCAAACGCAATGTCTCCTCCGGAAGACCAGCAAGAAACTGTCCAATAACATCAATATTGTCAAGCAAACAAAAAGAAAGGTACAGACCGTATCTTGGAGGCCAAACAGAAGCCGTTTCGCCCGACAGTCGTTCTGCGGGGCGGTTTGAGACGAGGAGCATGCTCGATGAAAGGTATGTACAAACGGGCAAACAACTGTTCAAACACGTCAGTCAACAAATGGAGTCAAAGAAAAGGCACTGACCGCGCAGCTCTCTCGCTGCCTTGTGGCCAGAATCCGCCCACCAAACGACCAGCGATTCATCTCCGACTTGGATCGCTGCCCAGACTCCCAAGACTCCTCCCGCGGGGCGAAAGAACGACAAGAAACTGTTCAATAACATCAATATTGTTGTGAAGCAAAGTAAAAGAAAGGTACAGACCGTATCTTAAGGGGCCAAATGGAAGCCGTTCCGCGGCCCAGTCGTTCTGCGCGCACTCGTTTGAGACGAGCAGCATGCTCAGTACCCGCCGATGAAAGATACAAACGGTCAAACGACTCTTCAAACACGTCAGTCAGTCAACGAATCGAGTCAAAGAAAAGCTACTGACCGCGCAGCTCTCTCGCTGCCTCCGCCCCACCAAACGACCAGCGTTTTATCCCCGACTTGAATCGTTGCCCAGACTCCTCCTGCGGGGCCAAAGAACAACAAGAAACTGTAAAAGACGTCAATATCGTGAAGTAAAAGCAAAAGCAGGGTACAAACACTGGTGCTCGCAAACGCGAGCTATTTCGCGGCCCAGTCGTTCCGCGGGACAAGCGAAACTCGTTTGAGACGAGCAGCACGCTCCAAACCCGCTGATGAGCGGTACAGACAGCCAATACAGCTCGGAGACCACTGTTACAGTGTGTCAGGCGAGAAATGAAGATAGAGGAGAGTACTGACCGTACAGCTCACCAGCAAGACCACATCCCGCCAACCAACCGCCCACCAAACGAGCAGATACCCATCGCCGACTCGAAGCGAAGCCCAGACCGGCGGGAACGCGAGAACCTCTCCCGCGCGGCGCAAGAACAGCAAGAAACTGTTTAACAACATTAATATCGTTGGCAAAAAAAGCAAGATACACACGCTAGTGCTCGCAAACGCGAGCAATTTCGCGGTCCGGTCGTTCCGCGGGGCAGGTCAAACTCGTTTGGGACGAGGAGGAGCCGATGAAAGGTCCAGACGGTCAGAACCGCTTGCAGACCGCTATTAAAACAAGTCAGTAAGGACAGAACAGAGTCAAAAGAACAAAGTGCTCACCGCACAACCTGGCTCCGTCAACGAGCCCGCCCGGGAGCAAGAGAACCACTAGCTTGAAAGCGCTGAGATTGACACCCCAGTATAAAGCGTCAAAGAGCTGAGAAAAGAGTCAGAAGTTGAAGGAAAATGAAGCCCAAACGCATACTGGGAGCTCAAGGCAGCGTGAGCGCGACTCCCAAATGGCTACATGAAGTAAAATTCAGAGTCTTCGGCGTGCACGTGCGGGACACGGGCCGGCCGATCGATCGCCGATCGATCACGCGCCAATCTTTCTTCTCGAGCCGACCACTAGCTTCCAACGGGGCGCGCGGTCGGGGACAACGAGAGACCCACGCGGAAGAATATCTACGACCACATCACTCTGCGGCGACAATTGCTCAGCATAGCATCAAGACAGCGGCAACGATAACTCACCAACACTGAAGACGACGACGACGACTCCATAGACGATGGCTTTCTCAGCTGGGGCTCGGGGCTGCAGACTATGTCATCAAAAATCAACAGCCTTCAACAACCGCGTTGCATCCACACTGACTCAAATGTCTACGTGAACAACGACAGGACCGCCCCGCTGCCAACGCAGAGCTGCTTCCCGAGCCCTGCTCTTTCCATCTAGACGGCAACTCGGCGCAGACTGCGAAACTGAGCTCGAGCATAGCGGCAGGCAACAAGCACTCACCCGTAACTTCTGGCTTTGACGCGGCCAACGCGGCGAAATCCCCTTCCATCCAGATGGCAAATCCGCACAGACTGGGAAAATCAGTTGGGGAACAGTGGCAGCAAGATGACGACTCACCGATAACCTTCGGCAGTACCGCCTTAAACGCGGCCAGAGCTGCCCACCATTCTCTCCTCTTCTAACGGCAACTCAACCGAGCGCGGCATCGTGTCGCCAACACCGAGCTTTCCGGCCCTAACGCTACCAACTCGTTCCTTCCGCGATGACCCGCAGCCAGTCTTGGCAACAACCTCGCCGCCCTCGTCATCCGACCTGCTGCTCGCCCAAGGATCGCCGCACCGACACCAAAGTCGAGAATCCACGACGAACACATCGATATCGCCAACCCTGGCCGAAAGGCGGAAAGGCACGGCGGTATTTCGGGACAGCGCTGGTGAGTTGTTTCGCGTCGTTTGTGACTGAAGTCTCAACCACGGCAAAGGTTCACGATCGTCGTGGGCCCGGTACCCCGACGACTGCAATGCGGTAAGTCACTGCCTGCAAGAAGGAAATGGTGACAGACTCACAAGTAGGTTCCACGTCCAGGACAACGGTGTTGTCGTTGAAGAAACAGACCAACCCGGCGTTGGTGCCCGGGTCCACATCGCCACCTACAACCAGTAAGCAAGACAACAAGAATATCAAGACACGACCACTCACCTTTGCAACAATCAGCAACACCTCGGCGAAGCAGCGACAACGCACCTGCGGACAACGACAAGCCCGGCGAGTGTGTTGCCCAATGGTAGCGAACTCGGATGGGGGGGACGATGTCGACGGCGGCATCAGAGCAAGGAGAAAAGTGGGAGAGAGGAAAGGGAGAGAAGGGGGAATGATGGAACTGTCGGATTGGGGCTGGGCTTTATACCCAGTGCCCGTCGGCGCTCGGCGTAGGCGAGCTATGACACACAAGGTGATCGCTCGCCGGAAAGGCGCATCACTGACAGGTGTACCTGGGCGATCTTGCTACTGCCGATAAGGCGTGGAATCCGGTTTTGTGTGATTCAGATAGCTTTCGGGACATATGCTGAGCAGTTAGTGTGTATATATACATGAAGTATGATACTATGGTCGGTATAGATGAGTTTCAGGGCCTGATAATACAATGCAAGAGACCAAAATCTGAAAACTGAGTTGGGGAGTGGAAAGTGAAATACGACATACTGGAGAGCGGAGCGCCCAAGCTTTTAGGCGAGTGACATCAGGGGTGATGCCCAGCATGTTTCATGCTGACATCGCTGCAAGTTCGCCGTTGAGAAATGCAGAACTTTGGGGTGTTGTATGAAATTTCGGCGGAGTAAAGGATCCTGTGGGGAATCAGAGGCGGCGAAGTTGGTGGGGCATGTTGTCACGTGAAGGCCTCAAGTTCCGAAGGAAATCGGCCGACTCCCTGGCTCAATATGCCAGGAATCAGCGAAACAACACACCTTCGCAAGATGGCCTGTTTCTGGAGAGCCTTCGCCACCGATGAAAGTTGGGTCCAAGAGGATGATTACGTAAGCAACTCCTCCTGAATTTTGAGCAAAATCGGAGCAATTTTAGCCGTAGAACAGTGGTTGAATTGAGAATTTCCCTTTTTGGCCACAGGCGGTAGTGCGCGATAAGGTCACGTGACCGGCTTCCGGGTGTCCGAGAAAGCATTATGGAACATTTTGACAGCTGCCCGACTGTCATCGGCTGGGGATGTTGTGTGTGTTCAATCGGGAATTGCCATTCTCTCAGCATTTCAAGGAGGTCATAGCACATTTTTCTTTTGATTTTGAATCCTTTTGATATTTCTTCTTTCTCACTGTGAAGCCTCTTACAATAATGCCTTCTAACTATGTTAGATTTCTAATAATATCATAAACTGCTTTTTTAAGGCAAAAGTTTTCACTTACTTTCTATCAGCACTACTATACAAGTTTGACCAATTCGGCATGTCACAGTCATGCCGAACTCCAGAAATAATTCTTTCTTGATTTTTGAGATTTTGTAAAGCTTTTGATTCTATCAAAAAGTGATGATCTGGCCGAATTGATCGAAGTAAGTCTGGTGATATGGTCTGATATTTGATATTTAGCCACTTTTTATTGGGACTATTGCTGGCTTCAAAGGCTGTTTTGACTGGCATGCAAATGTGGATTTGTCAGCCCCCACACTAGTTAAGATCCAAAATTCAACCAAAAGATTTCTATATACAAGCTAGCACCCTGTAACTGATGTCTTTTTTGTCAGATCAGCACAGGTGTGACATATGACCAACACATTGAATATAGTACTCAAAACTGATAAGAATCAATATACATATTTACTCACTTTTTATTGGGCTTATTTTGGTTTTGGCTAGCATATGAAGACAGATTTTGTCTGTCTTAACTTCTTATGCCCAAGATGTCTCCATTTCTGGTCTGACTTAAATTCCGCCCCTGCGACTCTATTAGGCACATCACTGCTGCCATCCGGTGGTCTTCCGGATGATCTCCTGGGACCTGGCTTATGATCTGGCCTTCATCTTCTCCAGGGTTGCCCTTACACTTTTACCCACTTTTTATTGGGCTTGCTCTGGTTTTGACTGACATATTAAGATAGATTTGTCAGCCTAAACATTTTATTTCATTTTCACCTACTTTTTATTGGAACTATTTATATACAGACCTTATTTGATTTTAATATCAATGAAAGTTTTTGATTTGATTTTTTTGTACACTTTGGTTGGGTTTCTTGTAGATCAAGTCTGACCAGTGTTGTAGTCTCTAGGTACAATGTGATAGAGTGTGACAGATCATGTGGTCCAGTTTGATGCCCCATCACACCAGATATGAACTACAAGCAAGCATCATGATTTCCATCAAGAAAGGCTTAGATTTGATTTTTATCTCCTTTTTATTTTTCCAAGAAATGCTTTTATTATCAAGGAATTACCATTTTGGGAAATATTAAGCTCTGGATGTGTAGAACACTTTCATTTCACTACTTTTGTAACCTGCTAAGCCCAAACATTAGATTCCTATTAGGGAAAGTCTTTGTAGTTTTATAAATGCTTAGATTTGATTTTCACCCACTTTTTTGAAATAGTTGTCTAATCATCAAGGAATTACCATTTCAGGGAAGAATTAAGGTCTAAATCAACATTTGATTTGATTTTTGCCCACTTTTTACTGTGACTAAACTTAAACAGATTCCTATTAGGAAAAGTTTTTATTTGATTTTTACCCAACTTTTATTGGTCTTTATATCAGTGTAAAGCTGTAAAGGTCCAAATTAGCATACTGGATTCCCTAGGCACTGACGATGTGACTAGATGTTTGCAAAATAATGTAATTTCCCAGCCAAAATCATATGGAGATATCAAGGAATTGCTATTTTGGGAAATGTTAAGTATATTTTACCCACTTTTTATTGGGACAAGTCTAGTTTTGGCTTCAGGTTAAATACTATTCCAGGAAGTAATTCCAGTTGAATCTCTGTTAATAAGGCCAAATTACCATTCTCGGAAGGTAAGGACTGCATATTCAATCAATTTTTATTGGAACCAAGTCCAGTTTTACTGGCTGATACAAGCATGAAACTTTAGTTAGTCTATAATGAAAATTGATTTTTACCCACTTTTTATTGGGACAAGTCAGTCAATTATAAGCTCAGAATTCATTTTTACGCACTTTTTATTTTTCCATAAATCACTATTCTGGGCAGTAATTCAACTTGATTCAAGCTAAGTTACCATTGAAGGTTCATTCCCACTAAGAAAAGTTTTCATTTCATTTTTACCCACTTTTCACTGGTGAACTACCCACTTTGACTCACCCTCACATTTGATTTTTCTTACCATGCTACACTTCTGTATCAGAGTTAAATTGCGCAACATCGGGAGTTGAACTCAGGACCCAGATGAAACACTATCACATAACATAACAGTGTAAGGTCCGATCAAATATTCCGAGTCCCTCGATGAAGAGCTTGCGCCGCTGTGCAGGCTTGAACACGTGCATCGGCAGTGGGGGTTTCGGTAAAACAGAGCCGCGCCGGGCAGCGAACAGGAAGAAGCGCGGGCGGTTTTGCACACATCCATGCTGCCCGCCTGGGCCAAAATCGGCGAAACTTGGTAGTTCAGGGCGAGTAAGACGCGGGTGAGCAGCTTCAGCATCGCCATCTTGATGGGCACTGTGTACTTCGAGCAAAGGCTGAAGGATATGGTCGCGCCCTTTGGGTTGATCCTGACTTTTGATTACTCTTCTTAACGTGTAGACATAGTTTGAGGCAACGTGATTGTTTATATAGATGAATCGCAACCAAAAAAGGTCTACTCCCGGCACCCCTCGGCCCGCAACCGCTCTCATCTCGAATAACCACCGCCGTGAACGCCCATCCAAACGGGCCGCCCTGCCGCCTTCCTTCCCGCAAGCCACTCCACACAACAACGACCAAGCGTTGTCCCCCGCTCTCCTCCTGATCCGCGCTTGCGCGTCTGGCCTGAAACGGCTGGATATCAAGGTCAGTCCCGCCCCCGCCCTAGCCAGCCATAACGCTTACCCTAGCAAAGAGAAGGCTGTGCGGGCTCTTCGCGCGGAGAAGCCGTACTCGACATCCAGCTAAACTGCTCGGCGCTCCCGGTCCAACTCGTTCCGAAACCCATGCCAAACGAGCCGCCTCGTACATATGACCAAAGTAGCGGCTTTCTCTCAACACCGATTGGCTATGACGCAAGGTCAGCGCCCGCAAACAGAGGCAATAACACATACCTTGCCGACGAGAACAACCCCAGACGTCAGCAGCAAAGCCTGAACTCGCACCACACACGGAAACAAACCACAAGTCCGTCGTGGAAATATCAGTGTTGCCCAAAAGCAAACACGAGACTGGGATGACCGCGCTCGCGAGGCCGCGTTGTTGTCCAGACTGTCCAGGTGTGTCAGCGCAAATAAAGGGAGTCGAAGAGAAGAAAGTACTAAACTGCCGTTCACCAAACACGAATAGCCCAACAGCAAACACTTGAGAAAAGCATCAGTATCATGGTAAAGCGATAAAGGTAGAGCACATACAGTCATCTTACGTTCGCAAACGCAAGCTGTTCCGCAGGCCAAACTCTCGTTTGAGACGAGCAGTACCCGCCTATAAAGGGTACGACCGGTCCGAACCGCTTGCAGACTACTAGTCAAAATGTCAGTGAGAACAGAGTTGAGAACAAAGTACTTACCACGCAATCTCGGTCAAGACGGCGCTTCCAAGAGCACCAATCCAAATGCAGATCTGTCAGAGGTAAGCAAACCAGGTCCAGCAGTACCCGCCGATGCAACGAGCAGAATTTCATCGCCGACCTGCTCAAACGCGATATCTCCTCCGGAAGACCAGCAAGAAACTGTCCAATAACATCAATATTGTCAAGCAAACAAAAAGAAAGGTACAGACCGTATCTTGGAGGCCAAACAGAAGCCGTTTCGCCCGACAGTCGTTCTGCGGGGCGGTTTGAGACGAGGAGCATGCTCGATGAAAGGTACAAACGGGCAAACAACTGTTCAAACACGTCAGTCAAGAAATGGAGTCAAAGAAAAGGCACTGACCGCGCAGCTCTCTCGCTGCCTTGTGGCCAGAATCCGCCCACCAAACGACCAGCGATTCATCTCCGACTTGGATCGCTGCCCAGACTCCCAAGACTCCTCCCGCGGGGCGAAAGAACGACAAGAAACTGTTCAATAACATCAATATTGTTGTGAAGCAAAGTAAAAGAAAGGTACAGACCGTATCTTAAGGGGCCAAATGGAAGCCGTTCCGCGGCCCAGTCATTCCGCGCACTCGTTTGAGACGAGCAGCATGCTCAGTACCCGCCGATGAAAGATACAAACGGTCAAACGACTCTTCAAACACGTCAGTCAGTCAACGAATCGAGTCAAAGAAAAGCTACTGACCGCGCAGCTCTCTCGCTGCCTCCGCCCACCAAACGACCAGCGATTTATCCCCGACTTGAATCGTTGCCCAGACTCCTCCTGCGGGGCCAAAGAACCACAAGAAACTGTAAAAGACGTCAATATCGTGAAGTAAAAGCAAAAGCAGGGTACAAACACTGGTGCTGCAAACGCGAGCTATTTCATGCCCAGTCGTTCCAGCGGGACAAGCGAAACTTCGTTTGAGACGAGCAGCACGCTCCAAACCCGCCGATGAGCGGTACAGACAGCCAATACAGCTCGGAGACCACTGTTACAGTGTGTCAGGCGAGAAATGAAGATAGAGGAGAGTACTGACCGTACAGCTCACCAGCAAGACCAAATCCCGCCAACCAACCGCCCACCAAACGAGCAGATACCCATCGCCGACTCGAAGCGATGCCCAGACCGGCGGGAACGCGAGAACCTCTCCCGCGCGGCGCAAGAACAGCAAGAAACTGTTTAACAACATTAATATCGTTAGCAAAAAAAGCAAGATACACACGCTAGTGCTCGCAAACGCGAGCAATTTCGCGGTCCGGTCGTTCCGCGGGGCAGGTCAAACTCGTTTGGGACAAGCAGGAGCCGATGAAAGGTCCAGACGGTCAGAACTGCTTGCAGACCGCTATTAAAACAAGTCAGTAAGGACAGAACAGAGTCAAAAGAACAAAGTGCTCACCGCACAACCTGGCTCCGTCAACGAGCCCGCCCGGGAGCAAGAGAACCACTAGCTTGAAAGCGCCGAGATTGACACCCCAGTATAAAGCGTCAAAGAGCTGAGAAAAGAGTCAGAAGTTGAAGGAAAATGAAGCCCAAACGCATACTGGGAGCTCAAGGCAGCGTGAGCGCGACTCCCAAATGGCTACATGAAGTAAAATTCAGAGTCTTCGGCGTGCACGTGCGGGACACGGGCCGGCCGATCGATCGCCGATCGATCACGCGCCAATCTTCTTCCAGAGCCGACCACCACCAACTTCCAACGGGGCCGCGCGGTCGGGGGACAACGGGAGACCCACGCTGAACAATATCTTCAAGTATTACGACCACATGACTCACTGCGCCGATAATTGCTCAGTATAGCATCAAGACAGCGGCAACGATAACTCACCAACACTGAAGACGACGACTTGCTCAGCTGGGGCTCGGGGCTGCAGACTATGTCATCAAAAATCAACAGCCTTCAACAACCGCGTTGCATCCACACTGACTCAAATGTCTACGTGAACAATGACAGGACCGCCCCGCTGCCAACGCAGAGCTGCTTCCCGAGCCCTGCTCTTTCCATCTAGACGGCAACTCGGCGCAGACTGCGAAACTGAGCTGGAGCATGGCGGCAGGCAAGACAACCACTCACCTATAACTTCCAGCTTTGACGCGGCCAACCGGCGAAATCCCCTTCCATCCAGATGACAAATCGGCACAGACTGGGAAACTAAGTTGGGGAACAGAGGCAGCAAGATGACGACTCACCGATAACCTCTGGCAGTATTGCCTCAACGCGACCAGAGCCGCCCAAGTCCTACCCACCATCTAACGGCAGCTCAACCTTTTCAAGTCCTTCGAGCGCGGCATCGTGTCGCCAACACCGAGCTTTCCGACCCTCCACCGCCTAACGCTACCTCCTCGTTCCCTCCGCAATGACCCGCAGCCAACAACCTTGCCGCCCTCGTCATCCGACCCGCTGCTCGCCCCAGGATTGCCGCGCCGACACCAAAGTCAAGAATCTGCGACGAAGACATCGATATCAAAAGGCGGAAAGGCCACGGCCTGTCTTTCGGGACAGCGCTGGTGAGTTGTTGCGCGTCGCTTGTGACCGAAGTTGGCAAAGGTTCGGGCCCGGTACCCCGACGACTGCAATGCGGTAAGTCACTGCTTGCAGGAAGGAAATGGTGACAAACTCACGATGTCTAAGACGTCAGGTTCCACCTCCCGGACAACGGTGTTGTCGTTGAAGACACAGACCAACCCGGCGTAGGTGCCCGGGTCCGCATCGTCGCCTACAACCAGTAAGCAAGATAACAAGAATATCAAGACACGACCACTCACCTTTACAACAATCAGCAACACCTCGGCGAAGCAGCGACACCTTACCTGCCGACAACGACAAACCCGGCGAGCATATTGCGCAATGGTGGGGAACTTCGGATGGGGGGGAGGATGACGACGGCGACATCAGAGCAAGGAGAAAAGTGGGAGAGAGGAAAGGGAGAGAAGGGGAGGGAATGATGGAACTGTCGGATTGGGGCTGGGCTTTATACCCAGTGCCCGTCGGCGCTCGGCGTAGGGCGAGCTATGACATGCAAGATGATCGCTCGCCGGAAAGGCGCATCACTGACAGATGTACCTGGGCGATCTTGCTACTGCCGGTAAGGCGTGGAAACCGGTTTTGTGTGATTCAGATAGCTTTCCGGACGTATATTGAGCAGTTTGTGTGTATATATACATGAGGTATGATACTATGGTCCGTATAGATGAGTTTCAGGGCCTGATAATACACTGTAAGAGACCAAAATCAGAAAACAGAGTTGGGGAGTGGAAAGCAAAATACGACATACCAGACAGCGGAGCGCCCAAGCTTTTAGGCGAGTGACATCAGGGATGATGCCCAGCATGTTTCAGGCTGACATTGCTGCAAGTTCGCCGTTGAGAAATGCAGAACTTTGGGGTGTTGTATGAAATTTCAGGGAGTAAAGGATTCTTTGGGGAATCGGAGTTGGCGAAGTTGGTGGAGCATGTTATCACGTGAATGTCTCAAGTTCCGAGGGAAATCGGCCGACTCCCTGGCTCAATATGCCAGGAATCAGCGAAACAACACACCTTCGCAAGATGGCCTGTTTGTGGAGAGCCTTCGCCACCGATGAAAGTTGGGTCCAACAGAGTGATTACGTAAGCAACTCCTCCTAAATTTTGAGCAAAATCGGAGCAATTTTAGCCGTAGAACAGTGGTTGAATTGAGAATTTCCCTTTTTGGCCACAGGCGGTAGCGCGATAAGGTCACGTGACCGGCTTCCGGGTGTCCGAGAAAGCATTATGGAACATTTTGACAGCTGCCCGACTGTCATCGGCTGGGGATGTTGTGTGTGTTCAATCGGGAATTGCCATTCTCTCAGCATTTCAAGGAGGTCATAGCACATTTTTCTTTTGATTTTGAATCCTTTTGATATTTTTCACTTACTTTTTATCAGCACTACTATACAAGTTTGACCAATTCGGCATGTCACAGTCATGCCCAATTTTCAGAAACTCCAGAAATAATTCTTTCTTGATTTTTGAGATTTTGTAAAGCTTTTGATTCTATCAAAAAGTGATGATCTGGCCGAATTGATCGAAGTAAGTCTGGTGATATGGTCTGATATTTGATATTTAGCCACTTTTTATTGGGACTATTGCTGGCTTCAAAGGCTGTTTTGACTGGCATGCAAATGTGGATTTGTCAGCCCCCACACTAGTTAAGATCCAAAATTCAACCAAAAGATTTCTATATACAAGCTAGCACCCTGTAACTGATGTTTTTTTTGTCAGATCAGCACAGGTGTGACATATGACCAACAAATTGAATAAAACAATATAGTACTCAAAACTGATAAGAATCAATATACATATTTACTCACTTTTTATTGGGCTTATTTTGGTTTTGGCTAGCATATGAAGACAGATTTTGTCTGTCTTAACTTCTTATGCCCAAGATGTCTCCATTTCTGGTCTGACTTAAATTCCGCCCCTGCGACTCTATTAGGCACATCACTGCTGCCATCCGGTGGTCTTCCCGGATGATCTCCTGGGACCTGGCTTATGATCTGGCCTTCATCTTCTCCAGGGTTGCCCTTACACTTTTACCCACTTTTTATTGGGCTTGCTCTGGCTTTGACTGACATATTAAGATAGATTTGTCAGCTTATTTCATTTTCACCTACTTTTTGTTGGAACTATTTATATACAGACCTTATTTGATTTTTAATATCAACAAAAGTTTTTGATTTGATTTTTTGTATACTTGGGTTTCTTGTAGATCAAGTCTGACCAGTGTTGTAGTCTCTAGGTACAATGTGATAGAGTGTGACAGATCATGTGGTCCAGTTTGATGCCCCATCACACCAGATATGAACTACAAGCAAGCATCATGATTTCCATCAAGAAAGGCTTAGATTTGATTTTTATCTCCTTTTTATTTTTCCAAGAAATGCTTTTATTATCAAGGAATTACATATTTTATTTGATTTTTCAATTTATTTGATTTTTACCCACTTTTTATTGGGACAAGGCTAGTTTTGGCTGTGGTTAAATACTATTCTAGTTGAATCTCTGTTGATAAGGCCAAAATGTCAAGGAATTACCATTCTCGGAAGGTGCTAAGTGCTGTCTATTTTACTCACTTTTTATTGGAACCAAGTCTTGACCAAGTCTAGTTTTACTGGCTGATACAAACATAAAACTTTGGTTTGGATCTAAAGTCTGCTAGATTTCTACAATGAAAATTGATTTTTACCCACTTCTCATTAGGACAAGTCAGCCAAATTTCCATCAAGCAAAGCTCAGAATTCATTTTTACCCACTTTTTATTTTCTGTAAATTACTATTCTAGGAAGTAATTCAGGGCCAAGTTACCATTTAAGGAAGTGTAAGGTTCCATGTAAATACATATCATGATTCACACTAAGAAAAGTTTTCATTTTACTTTTACACTAGTGAACTACCCCAAACAGCAGACTTTGACTCACCACTCTTACCCACTTCATATTGGAAGTTGCAAAGTGATTAACAGTGCTGATACTCAGAGTTAAATTGTGCAACATCGGGAGTTGAACTCAGGACCCAGATGAAACACTATCACATAACATAACAGTGTAAGGTCCGATCAAATATTCCGAGAATAGGTGACGCCAAGTGGTCACACAAAAATACTCTTCCTCTTTTCCCCCCATCGTCTTGTCGTTATGCTGGTGGTGAGTCTGAGTGCTCTGTTGAGGAGGTGAATACCAAGTGGTCAAACATAACCTCTCTCTTTCTCTTTTCCCCCATACTGGTGGTGGTGAGTGTTGTTACTATATGCTAGACTCGGAGTCATGGTCTAATGACAAGTTAGCAGCACTACAGAGACAACTCTTGGACTGGCACGAAGACTGTTACTGGTGAGTGCTTAGTCATCACTCCCCATTCCTTTTTTTTTTTTGTTGTCGGCGCTGTCTTTACCTTCGGGAGGGGAAACCCTGGCCCAGAACTGCAGAAAGTGCAGAATGGGATTGGGTACCCGGAGCACGCGTTTGCTAAGCCTAATTAACGTGATTTTAGGGACATCTCAAACTCACTCCAGCCAAAACTATGCTAAAATGGATAAAATCGCGCAAGTCCAAATTAAAAGTGGAAACACGTGACCGCGTGGACTTGGCGTGTAAGCGGTGACGATGACGTGGCGAGATGGAGGAAGAGGTGGAGGTGGAGGAACGCGGCGCGGCGCGGCACCACAGGACACATGCACGCGCGCGCAGATCACAACGAGGCAGTGGGGCAGGCTGGCGTTGGGAGCATGCAACGACGTAAACCTATAGTATTGTTTTCTTCATTGGCACAGACTACATTGTAATGGCACGATAGTAGAGCAAACAGGGCTACAACAACAGAGTGAGATCAGCTTAGATTTACAACTCTCACAGTTCCGCTTCAGGACTGTCCTCGCGGCGGCTAGACTCGGATTGCAGCAATGCCTGCTCGAAACTGCGGCTAACTGCAGCAGCAAGAGGCACAGGAACAGCGTTGCCAATATGCTTGTAGTACTAGGGAAATAAACAGCAGCACAAGTCAAGTTCCGTGGCACCCACCTGACGGATGACACCTCCAGCATTGCTCGCGTCAGACCACAGCTTGAAGGAATCCGGAAAGCCTTGAGCGCGCTTAGCCTCCAAGACCGTGATCGTCCATTTTTGCTGCAGACCAGGTCAATACCACTAAACAAAACCGTGCTCCGACAAACCGTTGGATGGAGAAGCTGACTCCCATGACTACTCGGCGATACTTGAGTCATCGCAGTCTTGAACGGCCCATTCTCATCCAATCGCCCAAACTTCCGCGTCTTGTTCGGATTCAGCCGTTTGTGAAAAGCCCGTGGAAGATCTAGCAAATAGGATTCAGAAATGCGAGCAATCTTTCTCTTTATTTACCAGGATGTCCTGCTTTGGGCTTCAACGGTACCGTTACCGTCGCCTCCACAACGAACGACGAGTACCGAAGTGTCACGTGGTCCTCTACCAAGGATGAGTTGCTGCGCCGCATTTCGCGTTGATAGCGGGTTTGGGGCTCTGTAAGATACGGCACAGGCTCGGCATATCCAACGG